GAAAAGAGAGAGATGATTGCTTTCAGAGCGAGAATCGCAGGGAAGAGTGAAGATATTGCCAAGGGAAAGACTACGATGAAGAATGAAGAGGAAACTCAATCAGGAGCAATCTGCATCAAGGAGTAGCACATTCCATTGACAACAATAGGGGATAGACATATAAGAATTAGAATGAGTAACCATCTCATACCTTGCATGCTACCATGCGACAATACCCATGTGCATTGATTAATTAACCGATCTAAGAGATGTAAGTTGTATTCCAAATAAGTGAGCAGGTTATATATGGGATTATTTTCTAGTAGATAAGCCCGCTAATTTGATTAAGCTTGTAAAGCTGCAAATTGTAGGCCTGGTAATCCCGTCGCACTCGATGTTGGAAGGAGGAAAGAACCAAAATAAAGTAGACCTGGCCACTCACTACCAGCCTTACACCACCACTCTACCAGCAGTGAACAGATCCGACATCTGTGAAGTCATTCCCCTTGTCAAATCACACAACTCGACCACCAAGCAGCGCCGCAAGTGTTGGGTAGTGGTTCATTAGTCTGTTGTTGCCTTTGAAGGTGTTGTCGTGTCTTGGTCAAGTTGACTGACGCTCTCAAAGTATCTCAAGATGGCCGTTGATATTGGCAATCACCAAGCACAATTTTCTCCACAGGATTTTGCTTTGTCCGCCATTTACTTTCTGCTCAAACGGAAACGCAGTAGAGGCATCGGAACCCTCAGGCATCATTGGGTGCTTGATGTGATCGACAGCACAACAGCCTAGCCAACGCCTGACTCTGCAGACTGAGATCATTGCCGTACCTCTTGCGATATTTGGGATGCAGTGATGAAACAAAGCTCGTCAAATAGATAGGTCCTTTCGACACCGCATATCTTGATGCGGACCACCCTCACACAAACAGCCAGCACACAAAAGCATCCGTGAACTCTCGTATTGGGTCTTCATACGCATCCCCATGACACTTCCAGACTTTTCTCCAACCCAGCGTCACGGAACTCTCCTTGGACACGAGTGGCACCCTTGCGTCTGGCTCGGGTAGCAGCATACTTGCGAAGTGAGTGAGTGCCCAATCCCTTTCGGTCATCTTCATCACCAACTTGATCTTCAAGTCGCTTGAATTCCGCCTTGTCCCATACTAGCTTTCTGACTCGGTTGGCATACTGTTGGTTGAGGTTGTCCGGCCCTTTCTCAAGGTGGTCATTGTTGGTGAAGAGGAACTTGGCATGGGGATGTTGCACAAGCCAGATTTCAAGGTAAAGGGACAACCAAAGCTGGGGACAGTTCCTAAAATCACCAGCGCCAAAGAGAACTTGATCGGGACAGTGCGCATTCCACGGACATTCTTGGACCATTTGGTACGGGTGTAGATGGCAAAGGGAAACTTTGCAGAGTGGGATCCATGAGGGGCGCTGACACTTGAAATGGCAAGTGTTCATCAAGTCGATGGATGAGATGGTAGCTCCAAAAAGGGACGTTCAAGAGACAAACTTGAAGGCGTTGTCGAAACCACCGGCATAGCATGAAACAGCTGCAAGCATCATTTGAATTCGTTTTGGTCTGTACGGCACGTCTTGTCATTGGCCTGCACACCTTCTCCGCGAACTTCAAAGGTTGCAAACACGGGAAATCAGCTCAAGATTGCTTCGATGACGGGTTGGATTCCTCCACGGCCATCCATCCAAAGAACGTGCTCTGTTCGGCATGAAGTGACTGACAGCTTGCTTGCCTTCTTCAGAGATCCAGATCAGCATGAATACTGGACGGTCGCGTGGGTGGGGGAAAGGGTCTCCATAAGCTTGAATGTTCAACCACTGACGGATGACGCTTGGATTGAGTTGAAGGAGTTCTTGTTTGTGAAAGTCTTCTCACGAGGTAGGGATTGTCCGTATCGACCGTGATGCGTAGGACATGCAGTTCGTCATGTAGCCTTGGTAGTCATGATGCGTGGATGGACCATTCTTCCATACGCTCAACAAAGAACGGCGCGTGAGGTCGACATTGGGTGGACGGTGCCGTACACACCTGCCATGGTGTTCGATATCAACAAAATAGATTGGATCAGGTAGATAGATCAATCGGTTGATGTCAAACTGTTGCCGAGTTCGAAAAATGAAGAAAAGTGAAGATTACTCCACTTGCAACTCTGGTCGGATTGGAGGGAAGATCCAAGCGTTGAGGGCGTTCGCCCTTAGATAAGCTTGGTGGGATTGCGCATGCAGCCCTGCCTGGCTCTCCAAGACTTAATCTCTGTATCATTTCGAATGTGTGTCTGTCAAAAATAGTACTTTTTGAATAACATTCCGAGGACTCAACTGCTATCCCAGGCGTTACAGCCCGCGAAAAACTTTCCTCGAGAAATTTAGCGGGAATACGCACGATTTTATGTTTCCCGGAACAAAGAACCATGTACTTCCCCCCTAAGGCTTAAGGAGAATTACTGGGGCTTCCGGATGTTATATGTTTCTACTTAGGCTGTAAATGTAACGTTACGTGTGTAACATTTTACCCTTATTTCCTGGGGATTTGCCTACGGATTGGTCCAAGCCCTTGGATGGGTCATCATTATCATCAACACGCTCTTGTTGGGATTCTTGTGGCTGCAGGCATTGGAAATGCGATTCATGATTCGAGGAACCTACCAGCGAATCGTCCAACAGCCATTATCATCATCATGTACTACCGATACTACCAGTACTACTGCCAATAAGGAAGATGTCTACAGTTGTTTTCGAGGAGAACGTTTCCATGTCCCGCAATATTGGAATCCGCTTCTCGTCGATTGCCTCTTTCGCTGTTCCTTTGCACTCCTCTTTTTGAGCATGCTATTCTCCTTGGTCTGCTTCCTCGTCGGCATATGGACCGTGGGTAGCCAGTTTGCGGTCATTCATGCCTGCGGGATTGCCGCCACCACAGTACAAAAGGTCTTTTGCTTGGAATTGGACTGGCTCGGATTTCCACAAGTCAAGTGCGGCAAAGATTTTCATATTCTATGCAAGGAATGGTCGGACGTTGACTTTACCGGCATTCTCTGGAGTGGATTCTTGGCCTTTGTCATTCACTTTTACTTGGTGGCATCCACCGGATTTGCGGCGCACCAACGACGCTCCATTCCCGCTCTCTTGGCACAGTACAACTTGGTCGTGCAATCCGTGCAACGACCGGAACAACCAGAACAAACACCGCCACCACCATCCAAACAACCACAACTATCCGAACAACCACTAACGATAGTAGAGAGGACAGCTGGCTCTGTCGCAACCTAACTGTTTGTATGAGCCACCAAGCAAAACAAAAAAAGGATACATCGAGAGCAGCAATCATCGATCATCGAGCAATGGAAAAGGCATACCTCCAACAACACATCAATCATGAAAATCGATGAAAATCGAAACAGAAGATTCGGGACGACTCGACTCGTGATCACCGACACGATCTCCTCCAAACTAACTAAACCAGTAGCTGGCTTCCAGAGCTGACAGTCCTTTGGTGGTGCATTTGGTGCAGGCATGCATGGAATCAAATCAAATCAAAGAATCGATTGCTACAGCTTTGCAAATTAATCTTTTTGGTACGGTATGGTAGCATGAAAGGACGCTGGTGTATCTGAGTCACCCCTTCCCATGACAACATCGATCGGCCACGATTGAGGAAAAGAATGAGGGTCCAACGAGAGAGGAGAATCGCCATAATCACGATAATCACAGATACCAGCATAAAGACAACAATATTAAAGTTTCTTGTAAAAACTTATATGCAAACATGTAGTACATGTTGTATAATGAATAACACAACCATCCAGTCATTCGGTTCAGGGTTCAGTTTAATTCCCCCCCTGTTTGGGTTGCCTCACTCAGCGGCAGATACTGACCATCACTCCACAGCAGCAGCTGACCATCTACATATACACTGTTTTCTCCCTCCAGTAGTGGTGATGTTTTATTGTCAGAGCAGATACACAAGTCACACCCACAGAGCTGGCTGCTGCAGTCAAAAGTAAGATTGTAGGCAGAACGGGAAAGGAACATTGCCAAGCTCCTGCGGCGCTGTTCCAGTCAAATCGTTGTCATTTAGCCAAAACTGAGACAAACCATAAGTAAGCTGTCCGAGCTCTGTTGGAATGGTTCCTGTCAGGTTATTGCTTCGCAAGGTCAACACAACTATTTGCTCGTACATTCCAAATTCACTTGGGATTTTGCCCGACAAAGCATTCGCACTAAGCCATAATGCCGACAGCTTTGTCAGCAGGCCAAGTTCTGTTGGGATCTATAGAGGGAACATGCAGAGGACACCACAAGTTCAACTGTAAGAAGATGGAGAAACTTGAGAGGACAGGCACAAATGTATACGTATACAGTCCCAGTTAAGGAGATCCCCTCCATAGTCAATGTGTCTAGGGATGTCATATTGCCAATTGAGCCATCTCGGGATTGTCCCTGTAAGACCCGAGTAATCCAGCTGCAGAGTTTGCAGAGTAACTGTTGACATGCCTGTAAGAACTGCAAGCTCGGTTGGGATCTGAAGGAGTTGATGGAGAACATGTACTGAGCACAGCTATAGAACACATGCAATAAACAAGCACCCAACCCCCCAAACATAGCTGAAAATCACTTACTGTGCCACTAAACATGAGTTCGTCAAGACCTATATCCACCAAAAGACTCAATTGCCCCAGCTCTATGGGAATGGTCCCTGTGAAGATGTTGCTTCCAAACCACATGGCCTGCAAATCAGTCAGCAAACCCAACTCTGTTGGCAACTACACCATGAAGAATCCGTATAGTGAGAAAAGCAAAACTGTATTCACAAATTTAAGACAAGACTCGCAATGTACATACTGGACCTGTCAGCTGATTATCCAATAGAGCAATGCCTCCAATGGAGTTTGTACGGGAAAGGAGGGATGATGGAATCTGGAGCCATAGAATGTCAAAAGAGATGATTTGGCCAAATGAGATGTTGCAGAACAATCTTGTCAGGTACGTCATGGGTTAACACAAGAAACACATGCCCGTGGGATGAGCGTACATGTGAACAAGCTGCTCAGTGTTGTCACCTTGATGTGCTCAAGTGGGCACGTGAAAATGGTTGTCCATGGAATGCAGCAACATTTACAGCTGCCAGAAGAAGCAACGACAGCGAACTGATCCAGTGGCTACACGACAATGGCTGCCCTGAGTCTCATCGGGACTGACACTAACATCATGGTTAATGTTAGGAACTGAATCACAAGAAGATAATGCTCATGTTGCCCACTACCAAAGCCGGCTATTGGTTTAGTTTGATTTGGATACATTAGAATTCCATGGCTGTCCACAAGTTGGATTCGACCACTCTTCGGATAAGGTTGTGGGCAAGATCAAGTTTCACGGGAAGGCAAAATGGAGAAGACCCAAGCTGTGCGGCACAGGGTGTCATGGTGCTTCGTTTCATTTTCCTGGCTCTAGCAAATAGAATTGCAGCTGGAGAAGATTGAACCTGCCGAACTCCAGCAGCAGGTACCTTTACGAAATAAAATGGAATCTCATTGTTGAGTAATGTAGTACATCACTTCCGGGCGTAAACCAACAGCCCCGCACTGAAGAGCCCGAAATGGTGACGTCTACAGAAACTAGATGAGCCACTTTTGAGGACAAATGCTCATGTTCGTTCGACGGCATTCTTAACAAAGGAAAATCGGCTATCATGACTCGGAGGAGGAAATGCACGTTGGTACAAGTCGCGACGGCAATCCGAGGCGTCATCGTAACTTCTCCCCGAGATAAACCCAAAGACGGACACGTCTGGATATGCAGTGTCTCTCCTGCATACTTGCAGGTGGCAATTGGGAAGCCCTTGTTGCACTGATTCATCTTGCACCAAATCAAATGGTAATCGGCGGGAGTCAACATTGACTACTGGTCCCACTGGGATCACATACATTGAGGTGTATGTGATTGCGGCCAACCCAAAGATTGAAGGAACATGGGTCATGAACGCACTAGCTGGAACAACTCTCTTGCGACCGGGTTTGTTGTTCGAGATTGCAAGTTCACTCAACAGGCGGCATCCGCTAATCGACATCGACTTCCATCGATACAATCTTCCACTCTGTCCTTGCCCATTCCAGCATTGGTCAGAACCAAGAAGGCTTAATCTTGCGGATGCCTCCTTGGGTCACGAAGATCCCGTGAACAATTGTATTTCGCCTTCAAATCCCTACCAGCAGAACCATAACCTGTTCAAAAAAACGATTCCAAACCTGTCTATCTGCAGGGAGTATGTACTCCGTTGTATTACACCATGTTGCCAGAGCCCTTCATCCCATGCAGGGCAACGACCTGAGCGACAGTTGCGTTGACCACGAGGCGACGCGGTGGATCTTTATCCACGATACCACGTCGTGGAAATGACGTCAGTGAACGGTGAACCAAACTTTTTTGTTCTTGGTTTGTGTGTACTGGCTAGGTACCAGTATGTACAGGATGTACATGAGTGTGTTTTGTCGAAGTCGTCCCGAAGGCATGCCGACACTACCCGAGTATGAAGCATCGACCACATTGTATCATATCAACTATCTTATTGCTCTCTCGGTGTGAGCCTGCGTCCTCGTTTCTCCTGAAGACTCGGAGCAGAAGCGAATCCGACGGTTCCCCACCACCTGTCCTTCACAGTCTACAATCCACTTTGGCAGACGTTTCTAGCGGTGCTGATAGCAGCGCGAGGATCCTTCCATTGGACAGAACGACAAGCAAAGGAATTCCCGTGAATGAGTTTCCTTTCAGCGTGTCGATAGCTGAGGATCAGGACCCTTCTTTGTGGATGCAACAAGCGGCACGGTTCTTGCGAGAACATGGCGTTTGTGTCCTGACCCACGTCCAATCCGGCTCTGTGATCCATCCTTCTCACTGCCAAGCCGCTGAGGAGGCAGCTTTGTCTCGGATATCTACTTTGAAGCAATGGATCGAAACCAATCATGGCATTGACCCCAATGGACGCGACGATGGTCCCTTTAGATTCCGAGAGGTGGTCAGTCGCGACAACAGTGGAGGTCGCTATGACATGTCTGTCCCCTGGAAGGGCGACCCGAAAAACAATCATGGTATTCCACTGTCAAGTCAAGAATCTATGGCTATCAATCAGTTCCATACCAGTCTGGAAGAAACAGTGCAACCAATTCTGGATCTTCTTTGGAGCAGCAACAGCAACAGCAGTAATAATGTGGCCACAGCCTCTGGATTTCTCATTAATCAACCAGGATCTACCGATCAGACTTGGCACCGAGATGGACCCGTGGCGGGATGGATCAATGTCTTTGTCCCTCTGGTGGATTTGACAATCGACATGGGACCAACCGAAGTATGGCACGACAGTCATTTGACCATGGAATCTAGATCCCAATGGCAAAATGGCTCCTCTGCTGAAGCGAGGACAAATCTTACTGATGGACTATCGGACGTTTCATCGTGGATTGGGAAATGCCTGTCCCAAAGGAACCACCCGCACAGTGGCCTATGCCGTCTACAACCGAGGAGCATCCGCCTCGCTTGGTGACAAGTTGTCCTACGGGCTCTTGCCACGAGCATATGCATCCATCGACACCAACGCTGCGTCGGATACTCTGACATGCCGCGGGGAAGACATTCCATTCCTTGTCAAAATGGAACACAAACGACACAACGTTGGGATCCAAAAATCAGCTACGCTCCTCCAACGGGACGGTGTTTGTGTGCTTCAACAAGACACTGTCATTGCGGCGGACGAAGCAGCTCTATGCGACAATAATATGATTAGCACAGAAGCGCGGGCACGGCTGGACGACCTCAAACAACGGATCATCAATCGAGGATTGGATCCTGAGGAATTCCCATTTCGATTCAAGGAGATTGCCTGCCGGGATGAGGGACGATTCAATCTACCATCGCCGTGGGAAGAAAACCCAAGCGGAAACGATTCATCTAAGAGCGCAAGTGAATCCAAACTCCAGGCAATGATGATGGACGACATGGTGCGACCTATTCTGGACAGTATGTGGGGCAAGGACGGTCAGTACTACTTGGCAGAGAGTGGCGTGTTGGTCAGCGAACCAGGATCGCCGTCACAACCGTGGCACCGGGATGCTTGCGAGGAAGGATCAGTGCACGTATTGTGTCCTTTATTGACGACTGGAGAAGGACAAGAAGTGGGCCCTGTAGAGCTCTGGCCGGGGTCACATGCACCGGCAGGCAAAGACACTACAAGGCCGACAATCCCATTGCTCCAAAAGGGCCAAATTATGCTGACAGATTCTAGAATGCTGTACCAATACCGGAAGAACACTTCGGAAGAGAAACCTTTGGTTTGGGGATACGCGGTTTGGCAAAAAGGGAATCTGCGGGCTGGTCAGCAGTCGGGTGGTTTGACTCTGGAATATGACTGAACTTAAAAAGTTGCCATGGGATGAACTAGAATAAGGAGGGAAAACGTTCAATAATTCATTATTACGATACAGTAGCCTGGAAAGGGACGTGCTACTACCTTGATTTTCCAATTGCCTGTGTCAATCATGCGAACACACGCCAGAATGATTGAATGATTCAATCATTTTGCCATGAATCGAAATACCCACGGTTGCTTGAGACAGCCAAGGCTTTCCCCTGGCTTCTAGCTCCAGACCGAAGAATTGGGGAACGAATGAAGAAAGATTCTAGCTAACTACATGTAACTAGACTACAGCTTGCACCAGAGCAAAATTTGTTTGATTGTAACTGCACGGACAGCCAGCTAGCTAGCTTGATATTATTGAGTGGTCCACTTTGCACACTTGATCACTTTTTCTTTATTCTTCTTCAATATCTTCTATTTCTCGGCAGACAATTCCCATGCTCCTCGCTGTGCCCAGAACCGATCTGGCAATTCCTTCCAGAGGCAAATGCCATCGATGGTCATCCTTCTGTTTGAGCTTGGCAATTTCGTAGACAGCCTCTGGCGTAATGTAGCCAAACGGCTTTTCAATATTCGGTTCGGAGGGTCCTTTCTCGTTGGTTTTTCCCATACAACGTCGGATCAAATACGATGTAGGCGGAGATCTCACTTGAAAGGTAAACGTACGATCGCTCATGGCATTGAGCTTGACGCTTAGAGGCACATCCTTCTCGTACATGGGTTCTGTCCGCTCATTGAATTGCTTGCAAAACTCCGCCATGTTGATTCCCAGCGGACCCAAAGCTTGACCAATGGCAGGACCAGGACGGGCGCTGCCGCAGGGGACACGTAAACGAACATGGCGGACCAGAGACATAGTGATGCTTCTTTCACGATCTTGCTATTTGAGTTGTTGCTTCGGTGTGCTGGTGATGGTTCGATGTATGTATGTGATCTGCGGTTGTGGCTGTACTAGTATGGTGTGTGGCATAAATTTAAAAATGGAGTCTTTTGATACACAGTAGGGTTCAGATTATTACAATAGATCCGTTCTTTGGACCAAAGTTCGCCTCTTCCCAACGTATTGTGTGTGAGACACAACGACACCAAGATCTCGATACGGTACCGGTAGCCCAGGCAAGGTGCTAATAGTAGGGCTCGGCTGAAATGCAAGGCGAGTAGTTGCGCAATGAGCCATACTATGTGTCTCGATGGCCCATCTGAGTGTACAGCTGTACAGAGTGTCTTACTATACTATTATTAGCAAGGCAAGATATCTATCTATGCTCTTTAGAAATTCCCCTCAAAACAATACTGACGAACATAGCCACATCTATAGCCGCACAAATCAATAAAGTAAATCACCCTGCCAGCAGAAATGTCTCAAATTCTGCCGTTACTCTGCGCATATAGTTACCATACCACACCCGGAGCCGTGCTTGCTGCTCATCCAAAGCTGCCGGATCCTGCAATAGCTTTTGCACAGTTGGATACATTTCCTCCCACGAATTCTGTAACACCACAATGGGTGCTTTGGGTTCGACGTCGAACCACCAGTGGAGCGATTGTTTGCAATTTTGATTGTCATAGTCATCATCCCGCACAAACACCGGAATGGATCCTGCTTCAATGGCTTCGTAGAGACGAAAACATTCGGGATTGTGCCCCGAGGGTGCCAATGTAAATGTACTATCGAGAAGCACCTGCATGTAGCTGTCGGTATTCAAGTGCCCTGATTTTCGTTTGGGATTGTTGACATCTCGGATCCATTTTTCGGCCATTTGGGTAAAGACAGTGAGATTGTTATGGTCGTGATTGTGATTGTCTTCGATAATAGTGGCAAGCTTGATTCGACCATCATTGGTAGACCTGGAAAAGATGGCATTAAAGGCATACTTTCGCTTTGATGCTGGAACGATAGAAAATTGTTGTTGTCCATGCTTTGCCGTTGCCTTCTTTTTGATCTTTTGAAAGGACGCCCAAGAATCGCTGCGTGGTCCCAGAGGTATGTAGGGTGTTTCGGGTGTATCCGCATTGTAGTATTCTCTGGCATCGTACTTGGTGCCTTTTGGCTTGCAAAATTCGTCATTGGTAATGAGTGTTTTGCAACGTGGATATTTGCATTTGAGTGCTCTGTGGGGACAATCACGAGACACTGCCAAGCAGGGATTTCGTCTCAGGACGGGCTGGGTGGTGGCATTGCAACTGCAATCGCCATTGTGAATAATGTAGCGAATCTTCCCAGAGCCAAACCGGTCCAGTGTGCCAGTGGTAAAGATGCTATCTGCTGGGTTGTCCCGTGTGGTCAGAAATACGGTAACGTTGGTAATTTGGGGTATCATTGCTCCTTCCGATTCTTTAACGATCGTGGTGACCTCTTGGATGGAGCTTCCATCCTTTGTGGAAATGATCGTGGCATCATTCAGAATATTGTGCGTCGAAGAGTAATGGTAGGAAGCCAAGACTATCAGGAGTATCCCAACCCCCAGGACACTGAGGAAACCAGCAACGAATCTCATGGTAAGGTCGTGCACTGTGATGATAGATAATTGCACGACAACTCCATATTAGATGCTTCAGCCGCTTCTTGCTGTTGTTATCTTGGCAAGGAGAGAGTAGTGGCGAGTATGCAGTATAAGAAGAAAATAAATACTAGCTAGTCTAAATAGATATGTTAAGGAGGAGGGGGGCGAGGCTAGGCAAAGCAGTGGCTGCGGTGGTGGGTGGCTGGTGTGGTGGGCATACGGGGAGAGCAATGAGGACGCGAGCAGGGCAAAACAAGGGGGGGCAGGGAAGGGGGGTGCATGGAGGAAAACCAGGATCCGATGCAAGGGTCATTGACAAAACAAATCGGTTGGTGGTTGGGAAAGATTGGGTAAGCCAGTGCACACTGCAAACAAACTTCTCCTGTGTGCATGCATACGGTACCGGGTACCGGGTACGGGTACCGGTAGATCTTGAGCGTCAGGCTGGTACTAGTACTGGTAAAAGCCAGAGTGTGTGTGAAGCAAGATGTCTTAGTTTTCGGTTGTTTGTACTCGTACCACCAAACAGTGAAATGAGATGCAATAAATTGTTTCCTACTTACTTAGGCTAGCTAGTCTAGTCTAGCTAGTAGACTACTTGCTTCTGATTGCAAAGCAACAATAGGAAGCTACCAGCAACTTGCTTGGGCTACAAAAGCACAAACAATCATCTGCCTTGCCCGGTGAGCGAAGCTCTAAATTGTTTTGATACCCTATTGTGGTGGTGCTGGAACTCTTCAAGGGGCTCACAATACAGGTCCTACTTACTCAACTGCTAGCTAGCCAGGTCTCTACCGTACGCAGGCAACATTGGTACGGTACAACCGGTACACTCGGAACGCGGTTATGGCCCCATGCACGTTGTTGAGCCCTCGAAGAAGTATGTACCGTACCAGTACGTGACAAGGCTCGACTTGCACAGTCTCACCAGCCCGAATTTCGGTCCCAAGAAGTGGTCACAGCCATGTGTCCTGGATATGGTTCTCAATCAATCAATCAATCAAAGCAGGCAGGTAAAAGATGCCTCAATCTAACTTTAGAAGGACACTATCATGGTTGCTGAATGAATTATTGCCAAGCGGAAGGAGATATTCGAATCAAAGTCCACTAGCTAGCGTAGTTTTTGTTTGTATGGTTGGTCCGTCGGTTGGCAGCATGACTATGGAACAAAGAGCCAACTGTAGGAAGAGTGTCGCCGCGTTGAAAGATTCCATCGTTGTGTATTTGATTGTAGTGTGCGTGCTGCTGCCTCGAGGTCATTCATTCTCGAATGCACTAGTTTTATACCGTGTTCGTTGACGGTTCCGTTATGTCATTTCCCCACTGTTGGTTGGCTTGAGAGTACTAGTAGTTTCTCCTCCTTCTTGACTTGTCGTCGTGTTGTTGTTTTTTCGTTTGTAGCGCGACCACCAATGTTTGGGTGTGAGGGATCGTGCGACGAATCGTCGTCGTTCCTCGGGGACAAATACGTTGGCATCGTCGTTTTCGTTTTCATTTTCATTGTCATTGTGTTCGTGCTGTCGTGTCATTTGCGCTTCTACATAGACGGTCGCCTTGGCTCGTTTGAGTTTGGTCATGGTATCTTGTTTGTTGTAACATTGCAATCCATTGACACTTCGAATGCGCATCCCGACTTGGAGTGATGTCGTGGCACACAATCCCTGTGGATCAATATGAGCAATGGTGGGGACAGTTTGGGTGGTGCCCTCTTGAGTTGGTTCATCAATAATGACCAGACCGACCGAACTTCGTTTGGATGGTTTGTGAACCACAGCTTTGACCGTAATCACTTGTGGTGCTGTTTCTTTTTTGGTTGCGTTGTTTGTGTTGTTGTCAGTGTTTGTATTGTTGTCAGTGTCAGTGTCTGTACTACTATTGACAGGAGTGGGAGTTATTGCTGCTGCTGCTGCTGCTGTTGCTGTTGCTGGTTTGGAATTGTTGTTTCCTGCCACAAGAGCGACAGTGGAAGAAGTAGTGCTTTGTGCGGCGGATGGTAGAGCATAGGGTGACACTGTCGAGTTCGAGTTCGGAGCTGTGGTGGTCATAGCCGTACTACTAGTAGTGCCGTTTGCACTAATTGATGGCGTAAAGAGTACATTGGCATGTGCGGCGACAATGGTGACTTCTCCAATGGTGGATTGAATCATGAGCATGGCTTCTCCCACGAGCATTTCGGCGCAGTCACAGCCATTGATGTACAGCACCTTCATGTTCGGCACCAAATGGGTTCCATACAAGAGCGACGGACCGTAAAACTCATCCAATAGAAGACCTCGCCCAGTCACTCGCTGCAGTCGAATTCCCAAATCGGTCTCCAACAAAGGCTTGAGCAGAGACACTGTCACTATTCCAAATTCATCCAATTGAGTCGATAGCAAGATTGCCTGTAGCGAATCATCATCATTGTCATTGCCATTGTCATTGCCATTGCCATTGCCATTGCCATTGCATGACGTTGGACGAGATGGAGTGACAGCTGTTGCTGGTAGAGTGCTAGTGGGGTTCAGAGGAACACCCTTTGGGACAAAGATCTCTTCTGGATCCATTCTGCTCTACCCGTACACGTCGTACTGTACTGTACCGGTATAATCAGATGGATTATGCGACTATACTAACAATACAGTCTTGAGAACTGAACCCACTGAGAATGATACATGTAGAGGAAACAAGAGCCCACCAGGTCGACACACACTTTCAAGTTGGTTTGAGAGACTTTCAGTCCTGATTTCGCTAGCTAGCTAGCTCTGCCTTGGCTGTGCCAAACTTTTAAAAAGCCAGCTGGGTTGCATGGAAGAGTGCATACTCCATGGTTCGGTACCTACCGGTACCGTACAACTGGTGCCATACCTGGTCCAAAGAATGTCCACTGCGGAATGGTTCATGAGCTACGGTAACTGATACGGTAGGATCTGCTACAGGATGGAGATATGAATGGGCTCCTACTACTAGTAGTTCTTAGTCTACGTATATATACGGTATTCTGTAATGGTTCTGGGGGCTGCCCAGTGGTCAACCGCTCATAAAGTCCAAACCAGAGCCAAGCTAGCTGTGATCAATAAGGCATGCATCGATTGGAAACTTTTGCCTGTCTCAAGCAGCAACTGCCTCCTCTGCTGTTACTGCTGATGGCAGAGGAGGTGGGCCCATGTCCATCATTCCACCAACTTGCACATAAAAGCCAGGAGGGTCAGTGAGGCCTCCCAAGGAAATTACTTGAACCAATGAAATGAAATCTTGCCATCTTTGATAGATCTTGAACCAACCACGCTCTTTCAGGATCGTTGATAACATGCTTATTGGTGCTTGGGACACGAGGGAAATGCGCACAGCCATAGGGCTCTCCAGTACCGGTATGGGTACCACCACTCACTTGGATCTCCTCCACAAGTATATATCAAACCATGTCGATCCTGCTCCTTGATGAATTCATTCATACCAATAGTGGATGTCTGGAAAGCTACTACTAAGCTTCTCTGTTTCACCAGCAAACATGGCAGCTGTAATGCTGGGAGAATCCAATCCTCAAACTTGAATGTGACTTCTGTGGAAGACAAAAAGGTCAGAAGCTGTTCTGTGCTTTGATGGCTGTTCATGGCTGTGAAGAAGGCAGTTATAACCTTCTCATTGGGGGTTTGATGCTCCTCTACCAATTCTGGAATAGAAGAGGAGGCTTCCTTGGACTTGCTTCCATTGCAGTTTTTAGCCCTTTTCTTCCTCTTCTTTTTCTTCTTTGCACCGCTCTGAGAAGAGTTGTTTGAGGAGATAGAGACCAAAACAGTATCGCCTTTGGAAACATCCTCCACAAGGGAACCACTTTCTTTCTCCTGCAGCATTGCCGGGTCATCTAATTTTCTTGGTGCTTGTTCCTGTTATTGATGCCCCATGTCTTGGGCTGGAAGATCTGATGTACTTGAATTTCATTATCAAAGGGCCAATGGATGGAACAAGAAACAAGAGAGACCAACATAGATGAGAAAGAGGAATTATCAAATAAGAAGGAATAGCCAGGCCGAAATTTGCTATGACAGCAGCCAATGTGCAAGCTGCCAAACCCAAGATTTTCGTTGTAGACGGGAAATCTCAGTCCATATTGCAGGCCTCAAGCGGCCGTCAGATGTTGCTGCCCGCAGCAGGAATCCTCTCTGGCTGGTGGCGGCCATAATCGCACCACACCTTCATTCACTGTAGATTTGCGCCGAAATCCCAAAATTACAGACAGCCTTGTGCGGTGCTGGCTTTCGAACGGGCGTGTATTGCAGTTGGACGACGAGGAATCCCTGATTTAGCGAACTAGCTTGCTTGCAGAGCCAAAAAAACATGAAAAGCAAGATATTTCCTCGACAAGAGATGGGTTTAGTAGTCTAGTAGTACTAGTACTCCTGGATACAGGGTGGGCCAGCAATGTTGCTGCTGGGCAGCTGCGACTTGACCACCGAAGAAGCGTTTGGCTTGCGGTCGCTACTGGTGGTACCGGTCAGGCGGGATCATTGTGGCTTCTCCTCTCCGGTCTCTCTCTGCATGATGCCCACTGTAGACCCCCTCCTGGCTTCTACGGTCTACGGTACATGCACCGACAGCCAGCCAGCCAGCCAGCAGGAGCCGGTTTTTTACCTGTGATGATCACAGCCGCGACTTCGCCCTCTGAGCTCGCGTTTGGCTTGCTGTAGTCTTGCCGTACTGGTGGTACCGGTACCTGGTACCACCAGTCAGGCTGCATCGATTCACGGTGCATGTGCAAATGCATACCTTTACGACCTGGTACTGTACCGGTGGGCCTGCCATTCAAGAGCCCGGCTTTACCAGTGAAGATCTAAAGTGTTCTCCTCTGGGAACGGCCTGCTCTCGTGATTTAGAATGAATAATTGCCCAGAAACGCCTTCCGGCCGCCTTTGAACTCAATGTTAGTTGTCTTTTACGGCTATTCAACGAGTCTTCGCTGGGATTGAAGTTTGAGGCAATGGAAGAGGAACAGGTGCTGAAGAGCGGCCCAAATCAAAGCCGGCTCTACCAGAGATCAAATTGGAATACACCTTTCTGGCGCTAGGCAGGATCCTTAGTAATGGACGTCGGAGGTAAGTGTGTATTTGCCAGACAGGACTGAATCCAGCTGCTATTGTTTGGAGGAATGAATTGGCTGATATTAGTTGTTGTTCTATCTATCTGCACTGGTATTGTCCGCTGGTCGACACAGATGCTAGCTAGTCAAATGAGGAGCTTCAGGCGCCTACTTGCAACGATTTGAACTGGGGAAGGGGTGGAAACTATCGCTGTCCAAACTAGTCAATTTGAGCTGCACTGGCTTCCTCTTCTGCGGATGGTGGCAGTGGTGGTGGCATGTCCATCTTTCCACCAATTTGCACGTAAAAGCCAGGAGGGCCAGTCAGATCTCCCAAGGAAATGTCTTGAACCAAAGCAATCTTGCCATCCTTCACTTTGAACCACACTCGTTCTGGATCATTAATAATATGCTTGTTTGTAGTGGGAACTGGAGGGAAGTAGGCAAAGCTGTAGGGCTCTCCAGAGTGGGTTCCACTGACTTGCAGCTCCTCCACAACCACCAAGCCGTGGTGATCCTGCTTTATGGATTCATAAGAATATTGGATGTCAGGAAAGCTCTTACTAAGCTTCTCTGTTTCACTGGCCCACATAGCAGCTGTAATGCTGGGAGCATCTTCAAACTTGACCTCGACTTCTGGTGAAGAGAAAAAGTTGAGAAGCTGATCCATGCTTTGATGGTTGTTCATGGCTGCCAAGAAGGAAGTTATAAACTTTTCATTGGGAGTTTGATGCTCGACGACACAATCTGGAACAGAGGAGGCTTCCTTGGAGTTGCTGCCGCTCCGGTCCTTTTTCTTGCTCTTTCTCTTCTTTTTACTGCTTCGAGAAGAGCTGCTGGAGGAAAAAGACACTGAAGCAGTGTTGCTTTTGGAAACATCATCTGCCAGGGGATCAATCTCTTTCTTCTGAACTGTTTGGTCATCTCCAGCTTCTTGTTGCTTGTTCTTGTTCTTGATGCTCCACCTATTGGGCTGGAAGATGTGCTTGAGTTTCATTGTCAAGTTGACGGTGGATGAGATCTAGCTAGAGAAAAGAGGAGGAGGAGGATGAAGCGGGAAAACGAACCAGAAATGGAATTGTGACAGCAGTAGCTCGGAAACACAGCAAGCAGCGAAAATCCAAAATCCAAAGCTGGAGAAGTTTGGCCATCACCTTTTAAAATAAGTTTTGCCATCAAAATCGCACCACGTCGGTGATAACCACTGTAGATCATCTTGGAAGCATGTCTCGGTGACTTATTGGCAACAGGCTCTGACTCGTCTAAGTGGCAAAAGGAGAGGTAAAGTCTTACTAGCTAGCTGCTAGCTAGTAGTACCTCGTTGGCTGTTGGCCAGTGTTGGCTCAACAAGGCTGTCGACTGACGAACCCAGCAGAACTCCATTTGTACGACGAGATTTACAGTAAGATTTAGCAGTTAGCCATTGAGCTCTAGCTAGTAGAACTGTACTGGAAGGACAGGGGGTAGAGAGCACTACATACAGCCTGTGCATATGAACAGGATTTTTAGAGAGCCAGCCTGCAGTCAAATTTTGGCCTGGCAGGCGACGCGATTCCTGTGCAAATGAACAGGCGACGCGATTCCTGTGCAATTGAACAGGCGACTGTGCAATTGCACAGGCAATCCGTCCGTCGGATTGCCTGTGCAATTGCACAGGAAATCTGACGTGCATGCTGGTTGGAGTCTTCTTCATTTTCAGTAACAACAACAGTAACAGCAACAGCAACAGCAGCAAGGAAGGACAAGCATAAGCATAAGAACAAGAACAACTGATCCTTCCACTACTGCTACCACTACTTCTACCACTATCATATCTGTCTCTTGCAGTCATTTGTGGCTTGTGGCTTTTGGGTTTGTCACTGAGAGATTTGGACTTCATTTCTCCTGATTTCTTTTTCATTATCTGAGAAGAGGAAAACACAGGAAGTTGCAACCATCTATTCTTTCACTTGAGCATCTAAGGCAGCCACTTCTACAGTCTGAAACAGAATACCTCCATCTGGTCAAGAGAGGAGATTTACTCTCATTTCCTGTACTACTGAACAGGCATCCGTCGCCTGTGCAAACGAACAGGCACCCGTCGCCTGTGCAAACGAACAGGAGAGTTGATCATCAGCTTGACTGAACGCAGAGGACATGCTTGACTGTAATGCTGAATGTAATGTCAGATCTATACTGTTGAGTAATGAGAAAGCCTACCCAGAAAAAAACGTCACAATTCCTGTGCATTTGAACAGGACATCGAGCTCCTGTGCATTTGAACAGGACGTCACCATCCTGTTCGATTGCACAGGCCGTCCAATTTCCTGTGCAATTGAACAGGCGTCGCTATCCTGTTCGATTGCACAGGAAATTTGCGTTTTTGAATTCAGGCCAAAAAAATGGCTGGCCTTGCTCTCAATCTGCGGGCATCCTCCCTGTTCATATGCACAGGCTGTATGTAGTGCTCCTCTCTACCCCCTGTCACTGGTAGAGCAGAAGTAGATAATATTATGGATACCATGGTACCGGTAATTCCAGCTGGCCAGTAGCTCCAGCCCGTCTATGCCATACAGTATGTCATGATGGCTCCACCAATTCTGAGAGAAGCTACTAGCTAATAGTACGTATTAATATTCGTACTCGGAGTAGCCCATATGCCCATTGCCCACACTGGCTAATAGTAGAGTGATCTGCACATTAAGACCCACTGCAGATTAAGACTATTGTAATATTGTGGGATTTGTACAGTATTTTCTATAGTAACAACTACATACAACCTAGCCAGCTACTAGCAGCTACTACTACGGTCGTAGCAGCTAGCTAGCTACTAGCTAGAGGACTATTGCTCAAGCCGTGTGTCGAGTGTTGGCTATGTTGGCTACAGGTGTTGGCTGTGTTGATCAGAGGAAGGAGTGCCGATAGAGGAAGCAGTGCTGGTGTGGATGGAGGAAGGAAGGAGTGTCAATAGGCAGAGTCATGTCGATAGAGGTACGGTACGGTACCAGGACCAGCACCGTACTGGTATGCATATCATAGAAGCTTCGAACGATAGAGGTGCACACCAAGTGCAGTGCCGTAACATCCAAGCAAAAGAGGTGCTTCAATGCTTCAACAGAGGTGCCTATCATGTGCTTCGGAGCCCTACAGAGCTATTTCGATAGAGCTGGTACCGGTACAGTAGGATCCTACGTAGACTCAGTACTAGAGTCTACGTGTGACGTCATGTGGTCTTAATCTGCAGGGGAAAAGAATTCGTGTCAGTTGGGTGGATATCTTCAACCGCCCGTAACTCCACCAATAAGTACACTATGAAGTTGCGAGATTTATGGCATACTCAACTACATGTGTTCTATCGATTCCCCTCTTTGCATGTACTATATTCAATATACAGCCCTGAAGAGAATATTCCGCGGAACGGTCGGTCTTAATACCCAGATCACTCTACCTGATATTCCATCCCGGGTCGAGCAGACTCTATGATACGTAGTTGTACTCGTACTCGTACTCGTACTCGTAATAACGGCATAGAATATTCTGCGGAAGCAACAAGCGACAAGCAACGAAGCCACAGCTGCGACTTTCTGGAGGAAGTCTTCAGGACCACTGAATCTCTCGGATCTCCTTGAGAACTCGTAAAAATTAAGGTGCTTCCTTTTTCCAGGGGGGTGCCTCAAACCAACCGGTTTTGCCTCTTCCTTTCTTACCCCACCTTTTTGGCAGTTTGGCGATTAGGTACCGTCTCCGACCAAGTTTAGCCATCTTCAACCACTTTCGACCGCCTCCCACCGCCTTCAACCGTCTGTTTTACCGCCTGTTTACCACCTGTTCACCGCTTGTTCACCATTTTACCGCTTGTATTAGCCTTAACCACTCCTTACCGTCTTTGACCACTGTTCATCACCTGTTTGCATCAAATGGGTACCACATGCAGGTGGTTGGGGATATATTCAGACAAACAAGATTGATTTGAGGCACCCCCCAGCCAACCGCACCTGCTTGGAATCAACACCTCATCATTCTGGCCGACACAGATCTCGAGGTTCATTTTTTTTAAATGTAATCATTATTTGATCTGCTGGCTAGTTGTGGTGGCAGGCAAAAGCTGGCCATGCTGGTTCTATCAGAACTGGCACTAGCTCTAGCGCTCTAGCCACTCTAGCCACAAAGCTGCCAAGGGAGAAGGTCACTGTTGTTGTTCCAAACTTTGCTAGCTGGTGTTTGAGCGGGCTCCATTTCTTGAAAAGCCGCCCAGCCTGCCAACACAATCCAAAGTTTCACAAGCTACTCTGGCGAAAAAGTTGAGAATTCTCAAGTTCCTACCCATACCCTATCCGTACGTACCAATGTACTACCAATCCATCATCTTTCACCCTGAAGCATCACAAATTGATGTTGTGAAGGCACTGCAAAGATGACTACAGGATGAACTCAATATGGCACCTACACAAACGAACTAACTATCTAGAGTTGTCTACATTCTCTGCTTGTGACAGCCATGTGCTGGTTGTGGTGTCAACAGCCATGTAGAAGGCATTATCTTATGTGAAACTGGGTGCTTCATTTTTCTTCCAGAAATTCCCAAATGCTCTGATTCACCTTCGTTTCGGACTGTGGCACCCTTCTGCTATCAACCCAATCATGCATATTGATCTAATGAGCACAGTAGAGAGGATGATATAATTGAAAGTGAGTAGGATCAACGAGTTAATAGAAAAAAGTGGCACCTCAGACTGCAAATCCAAAATGAGCCAGCGTCAACTCCAGCATCTATTCTAGTGGTTCTTCTGATAGTAGCAATGGCTTTAGCCATTCCACTCTGGTTGAGTTGTCTACCTGAAGGAATGGATCCATCAGATGGGCCCAATGGGGCAAAGAGTGGGGACATAGACTGGTCGACCTGTTGGTGATAGTAAAAATTTCCAAAAGATGGCCACCTAACTTTGCTAGTCGTTCGTTACTTCCACGGCCACCAAATGGGCAAGCCATTACCACCAGTGCGACCGCCACATCCAAATTATGTATTCCCTATCTCAAAGTATTGCTAGGGTAGCTCTATTGGTTAAACTGCTAGGGTATCTCTGACAGCCATTGTGGTGTGTTTGTTGATGGGGATGTGCCCATGCAGGAATAAGCAGATAATTTCAAAAGTGTGACCACCTGGTGATTCCACAGTGTTCCAGGCGACTTCTCACCATTTTCAAAATTCTCAACTTTTTCGCCAGAGTAGCAAGTACATATAATTTAGCCCAGCTCTGGACCGTTGCTCAATGGTGCCTGTGGTGGTGTTTAGGGCAGAGTTTGCCCTAATTGAAACTCTGCCCTAAATTTCAAACTCTGCCCTAAAATTAGGGCTGAGTTTGCCCTAAATTAGGGCATGGTTTCAAAACTCTACCCAATAATTAGGGCAGAGTTTGAAACTCTGCCCTAAATTTCATAGTATTTACTATTCAGTCCTGTTTCGATTTAGGGCAGAGTTTCAAACTCTGCCCTAAATTTCAAACTCTGCCCTAAATTAGGGCAGAGTTTCAAACTCTACCCTAAATTAGGGCATGGTTTCAAAACTCTACCCTATAATTAGGGGAAACTCTGCCCTACAGCAAATCCTACCCTAAATCCTGGGTTCCCCATTCGCACCCCCTGAGGCACGCTCCTGATGAGTCTCACAGAGGAGATGAAAGAGTCATGCCAAAACCAAAAAGTAACCACAGAGGCCGAAAGCCTGTGTTTTAGGGATTTGGCGGTTGGTGACCTGTTTCAGTAAAATTTACTTAATCCAGTCACTCTTTGCTAAAATCGTATGAGGGAGAAAAAGTCCCAACGTTGCTTTGAACTAGCTACTAGCAGGAGCGTCCCTCAATCGTGGGTGAGTTTAAAATACGACCCAAATCCGACCTTAAATCTTTGAAAACCGACCCTAATTCCATGTAGCGGTTTTGAAACCCGCCCCTAAATCGAAACCCGTCCCTAAATTAGGGACGTTTTTTCAGAATCCGTCCCTAATTTTAGGGTCGGTTTCGAAACCCGACCCTATTTTAGGGTCGGATTTCAATGTATTTACCACTCAGTCCCGCTTCCATTTAGGGACGGTTTTCAAACCCGCCCCTAAATCGAAACCCGTCCCTAAATTAGGGACGTTTTTTCAGAATCCGTCCCTAATTTTAGGGACGGTTTCGAAACCCGACCCTAAAGGGGAATCCGTCCCTAAATCCGACCCGGAAATAGGGTCGCTTTTCGATATAAGTCATGCACGATTGAGGAACGCTCCAGGAAGTTAATTTTAAGCTGAAGTTACATGTAGTCCAGTGGTTCCCTCGAATGGAGAATGTCTTTGCTGCTGCAACAAGGCACATGTATTGCCCTCGAGTGCTACTAGTAGCTCCATAATTCCAAACTCTTGTCTTCTTTGTAGTTTGGCTGCCATGATACAAGGCAGGGCAGGAAAATCGCATCTATCGTGATCGTCACCGTGGAGCGTGGAGCGTGGACATTCTGTTCAAGGATCCAAATCGAACCGGATGGATCAAACAAGCAAAATGGTGGTGGAAATCCACAGCTGCCTCGATTGTCCCCTTTTTACGTTTACACTGTATAAGCAAACGTCGTCCTTGTTGATTACTCAACCGACACTTACTTGTTGCTATACAATGTTTTCAGCAAATGAAAATCTGGCTTTGCGCCAACACAAGAAGAAGGTTGTGTCGTTTGTGGAAGCATGTATACCCGAAGAGGCACTGGACATGGGAACGATCGTGATGGCCATGCAGGTCTCGTGCAAGGCCCCTGGTTGTGTCCCATTGGAGACAGCCATTGTCATTGTATTTCCAAAACTGGGCGAAGAGTTAATTGCTGGATTGTCGGAATCCTGTGGTGGGAACTACAAGACCAAAGTGTTAAAGCCCATGGCGGAAGTGACCAAAGAAGATGTTTTGGAAGCTTTGCCTTCAGCATTTCCTGGGGGCAAAAGGTCCATGGAAAAGCTCTGCATGCAAGCCAGAGATGTGATGCTGGGACAAATCACGCAGCTATTTGGTGAGGAAGATCAGCAAGGGAGAAAATTAATGGCCGAGTATTTGCAAACCTGTCTACAGGAATACATTGACCGCGATTGCACCCCTCCCGAATGGGGTGGGCCTTTTCCACCATTGTCCAATGACAACAAGGAAGATACAACTACTAAGGCTTCTTTGACCGGTAAGAAACCTACCGCTGATAATGGTGATAAGAAAAGTGACAATCAGGATGAAGCCACAACGACAGAATTCAAAGCAACCAACCCACCACCAGAAAAACCGGCAGCTGCGGTATCCCCACCACCTTCCAAAGGCAACTTTGTGTTCAAGCGACCCATTGATAGTGAGGAGGAACCGCCAAACAGCACTGAATCGGAGCCTATCAATAGCGATCGGCAGCATGTCTTCTCCTCCTTCACGGCCTCCACCAACATTGCTCGTCCCTCAAAAAACAATTCACAACCACAACCTCCTCCCAAACCAACTGTGTCCTCTTCACAAAATATTATTGTGCAACTTGGAGAGCGACAGCATGCTCCTGGAATACGTCAACCTGGGTGTCCTTGTTGTGATCCTGACAACACGAACAATCTGCTAGACCAGATGATGGCCATGTGATGTGATTTTGCTTGCTCGTTAGTATTGAATTTTCTGCTGCAAGCGACAAAGCTACAAGAGCTCCTGCGACTTATTGGCAGCAGCGGCATAGTTCAAGTTGTTGGCATCACTAGCGCTGAGCAGCTGCCAGGTCTGCAAAAGTGGTTTTGACTGCTTGGGAGTTGTCGATTTTGAACTCGCAACGCTGTTATTATCCACGCTTCTCCTATTAGCGAGCACGCAAACGGCACGACTGTACCCAACCTGAAAGCCAAACTTTAATGTTGAACCTGCAATACTGTATTTCTTTGTTGTGGCTGAATCTCATGATGTACACAACAAGCGATACTGCATACATTGCGCGCTTCGACGCGACTCTAGTTAGACTCGTTCAACAGCAATGGATTCACGGAAAGGCTGAGATCCCTCGAGCAACATGGTTGGTCCAGACGTCGCTTCCTTTTGTCGAACCATAGACATCCAGCCCCGCACGTGCTGAATTCTCTTGATCAAAGGCAATACCAAATCAATGTCTTTGCATTCCTTCCCTCATACGGTAGCTTTACGAACGCGCGCAAGATGATCACAACCATTGCCAAGCCTCAGCCTCTGTGACACAGTACCGGTATTCTTTTCATCGACCGAGTCTGATGTACGGTAGAAGTCCATAACGACAAGACACATCTTTTATAAAAGAGTTTACTATACTATGCATATATGCAGGCTCCACTACTACCTGTTCCTACTACTACTAATTTCCTGGAGGTGGCATTTCCAGCTTGCCGCCCACTTGAACATACAACCCAGGTGGCCCAGTCACATCTCCCAGAGAAATAACTTGCATCAAGACCACTTTGCCATCCTTGACCTTGAACCACAGCCTCTCAGGATCATTGACAACCCGACGGTTGCTGGTTGGGGCAGGAGGGAAGTGAGCAAAGCCATATGGCTCCCCCGTGTGAGTACCACACACGTGTAGCTCATCCACAACCACCACTCCGTGACCATCCTCCTTGAGGGATTCATAGGTAAACGTGATGTCGGGGAAACTCTTGTATACCTTTTGCCTTTCTGCCGCAAAGATCTCTCCCGTGAGACTTTTACCATCCTCGAGCTTGACAGGAGTGTCTTTGGAATCAAAGAAGCTGAGTGTTTCTTCAAAGTTGGAATGGTTGTTCCAGGCTTTCAAGAATGCAATGATCACTTTTTCGTTGGGTGATTGGTACTCCACAATCGATTCGGGGATTTTGGAGATTTGGTGAGGCCGGTTGCCGCTCTTGCTACTCTTGCTGCTCTTGCGGCTTCGTCCGCCAGACTTGCTCGACGACCTGGACGTTTTCGATTTGTGCGTGGACATGGAAACATCGCTGGAGAACGTAGTAGCAGAGCATCTCATGGTGTCGTTCTTGCTGGCTCCTACCTTCTTTTGCACAGCAGGATCCTCGGCATCTGGCTGCTTGGAGGTCAAAGTCCATTTCTTGGGCTGGAAGATGTGCTTGATATTCATTGTGAACAAAGTACAGTAACTTTTTAGAATATGAGAGTGGGAGGGAGGCGAGAGGAACTGCTTTTCCAAATTGTGAGGGAAACCGAAGCCGAGCTCCACAACATGTACGATGTAGATCCAAAAGAGATGTAGCACAGCCTTTTAGTGGAGTACGGTACGGTAGGTACATAGCGTAGCGGTAGAGCTCTGGCTAGCGGTAGATTGGTACCGGTAGCTGGCCAGTAGAATATGAAATGACGTGATGTTCGAACGTTCGAACGTTCGAACACACATTGAAGGAGAATCCTGTGACTCGTGTCGACATTCCAAAGTCAAGAAGATTTAAAATAGCTACCCGTACTCAGGAGTGTAGTCTTAAAATTTATGTCCAAGAGCTAAAATCTGTCTGGGGGAACACAAGCTTTAAAGCTTTTGTACCAATGTGGTAACATCTTACTCTTTCGTAGGAATTAACATCCACACCAGAATGCCCACACATGACCACCAAAAGGCTTTTGGGGAGCACACTCTACAAATTTTGTACCGACGTGGAGTCTACTATTAATAGTATTGGAATTAACGTTGACGTCGAAGTGCCCATTCATGACCCTCAAGAAGCTATTAAATATATTATGGGGATCCCACTATACAACTGATGTACTGACTTGGCAATGCCATGATCTATTGGAATTAACATTGAAACCAGAAGTGCCCCGGCATGACCCAGCGATTGCGTCGGACAGTCATTGTGAACAGACAGGATTCAGCATAAAACCAGAGTTCCCCAGAATGACCCCACAGCAAAGAGAAGCTCTAAATGAATGCGCCTATAGGTGAACGGCTGGTACCTGGTAGTTGGTACAGTACCGGTAGCACGATGACCTGAGAGCTTTACTCCCGCCACCACTGGTACTACCCACCGGTACCGGCCGACAATTTTTCACCGGTGCATGTAGACTATGGTAGAAATACGGATCTCTTCCTACTCGGGTTCTGGATGGTTCAAGTTTGTGCCTTGTGGTTGCCAGAGGCCAAGAGGAGATCGGATCATGGATGATTGGCAATCTCGGCATAGGAATTATAAAGCCACGTGGATGGTGTGTGGCTTGATATACATGTAATAGTTGAGAGCTGCTTTGCCAAACGATTGTCAACAAAGGGTTCAGCCCCGGTTGTGTCAGCCTCGCGATAAAGCCAGCAGGTGGAGCTACCGCCCTTTTAACGATGTTGTTCTCGTTCAGGTCTTGGATTGAATCTATCGGTACCAACAGAGCCAGACATCAGCTCAAGGTTCCCGGGGGCGAGCGCGCTTCTATCTCCACGGTACTGTACTGGTACCGGTTGTTCCACCTCCACGTCCACTCTTTTCCTCGATTCGATTCGTGAAGCAAAACAGAGTACCGGTACTTCGCGTTACCCATCGCCAAGAAGGGCAGAACAATGAAGCCTAGCCCAACCGTTTCGGCGTTTCGGCCATGATGCAGTTCTGTGGTGTATAAGGTGTTGTTTCTCCCGGTAGACCACTCGCATTTGTCATGTGTGCTGCTGGCAAGAAGGGACCTGAAGGGGTTGTTGGGGGCAAGAGGCACCGCTTGGATCGCCATGTGCTGACTCGACTCGACTCGACTCGACTCGACTCGCTGCCTGGCTGGCACTTTCTGTTGAGCGTCTGCAGCTGGTGGCTAGTGGCATACATCATGATGTCCGTCTTCCCACCAATCTGAATGTGGAACCCAGAACCCATTCCTCGCATCATCACAATCTTACCATCCTTGATTGAAAACCATAGTCACTCATTGCCAAAATCCTACTGTAGACCATGGGTCATTGGCCGCACTTTGCTTGTGTTGGTTGTTGGAACAGGAGGGAAGAAGGTATCGCAGTATGGCCCCCATGTGCGGGCAGCACTTGCTTGAAGCTCCTTGACAAGCACCTGTCCAACCCATGGACCCAAAGGTGACTTAGTATCTGGGAAGCTCTTGTATAGTTTGTCGAGTTCTGTTGCCAGGATTGCAGCAGTAACGACGAGAGCGCTTTGAACTTGAGAAGAACATCCGGAAATGCAAAGAAACTGAAAGTTTCGTCCAGGAAGGAATGGTCATTCCATGCATCCAGAAATGGCTGCAGTGATCACCTTTTTGTTGGGTGTTTTGTTCTCCTCGAGCGATAAAATCAGGAATAGAGGTAGGTCTTGCAGTTTTGGACTTGCGATTGTGGCTTGTTCTCGGGCTGGAGTGTCTCCGGCGAGAGCCACCCATGGAATCGAAGCACTCAATGACACCACACGAAGCGACGAGACAACCCAAATGATTGCGAAGCACCCACTGCGATTCGATTCCCTCGTTTGTCCCATTGTCCAAACAAGCTTTTGTCGATGGCACGTAGAAGGTGAAGGGTACATTGGTTTGATTACTATTTTTTGCCCATGCCTAAAACGGGTGTACTAATTGTTCGATTACTATTTTTTTGCTCGTGCCCAAAACTGGTACGGTACGAGTTTGCCTCACGCAACATCAATTTCGTTTTTTTGCTCAAGCCTAGAACTGGTAAGAGTTTGCCTCGCGCAACATAGTAGCCTCGACAAAGTCGTAGAGCTCGTCTTCGATCTCGCAGACGTATCCGGCGCCACCAGATCCCGGGTTGTATCCGCCTCCTCGTCCACCCTTTCCAATGCCTCCTCGTCCACCGTTCCCGAAACCTCCTCCAGCGGGACCACCGCTGGCGCCATTATCATAATTGTAAACATTGACGATCACATCGCCAAGCTCCCTTGTATCATTTGCCTCTCCAAGGTTCCGGTACCCACCCCCATTAAGTGAATCCACAATTAAGCCCTCCAATATGGCAAACTTTTCCTCGTCGCTGCATCCACCGGCACTTGAACCACTGTATCCACTGCCTCCACCGTACGACCCTCCGCTGCTTCCTCCTCTGTAGGAACCACCATCGCTGCCGCTGCTTCCACTGTCACCGGAGTCAGATTCAACAGGCCCTCCTTTGTAGGGACCTCCTGTGTAGGAACCTCCATCGCTGCTGCTGCCTCCACTGTCGCCGGAGTCAGATTCAACAGGCTCTGGCTCTGGCTCTGCCTCTGGTGGGAAGCAGATGTCCTGGTCCTCACAGAGGCATGGCGTCCCATCGAGGCAAGGCCCGTGAGGATTGTCATTCTCTTTGAACAAACCAGGGAGGCAACAAGGCGGCTTTAGTTTGTTCTCGGTGATGACATAGGACTTGGCATGAATATTCATAGCGTCCTCACGCTCGTTGTCTGAAAATTGTTCACAAAGAGTGTGGACCACAGTCTCAAACTGCCATACCGCCCCCGGGGACAGGTCAACAGACCAGGAGTGAGACTTGCTGAAATCCAGAGATTCACTAATCGTCTCCGAGGACTCTTCACCGTAGTTGGAGTTGACTTCAAGACTAGTGCTTCCAACGCCACCATTGGCCTCAACGGTAGCGGAAACACCAACCTCCCAATGCCATGACTTTGTCACATCCTTGCCCCGCGTGCTGGGTAACACAACTTGAGAAAAGGATGCAACAACACAAGTTCAAAGACCAGCGCAGATGACTTACTTGGTAGTTCCGACATCAAAGGAAAAGGATTGGTGGCCATTACTGAAATTGACGTACTTCCAGTTGCTATTGGGTCTTTTTGATTTGTCACGACTCTGTGTTGGTTGACATGCGATGGCACTCTCCAATCCACCATCTCCATGTTCTCTCCTGATGATCCATCGTAGTCTCTCTTCTTTATCGCCGGACTCCTGCTTGGTCACGGAACGAACCCCGTCATCGTCATGGTTGCTTCTGGGTTTGTACACCGACAAGAATTTATAATCGCCTTTCCAATTTTGGAGCACAATAGAGCTAGAGCCCAGCAAGCACGGGGCAATCGATAGGGCCATGCAGCGTCAGGCATCGGATATCATCAATCAAGGGGACAGTATATATCTGCCTATCTCTTGCGTACCTGTCTTCCATGACGCATTCTCCATTTCCAGGGACATGTGACCTTTTGAAGAGACCAAGCAAGAGTCCCCAGAGAATCAGACCAACTTGAAGGAAAGGAACTTGGAAGTGCACAATAGTCTTCGTCAGAAGCACAACTTACGATTTTTTCCCTTTGCCAATGTCGGGTCGAATCTTCCAAATCCATGCGTCGTCATTTTCCTTGAGCCCATTTGATCTTACTTCGTAGCCCTTTCCACGACCACCAGTCAAATACCTCTGACTCCCTTTTTTGCCACCTTTGCCACCGTATGCGTGAAGGTAGACCAGGTCTGTCCAAAGTTGTTGAATTCAATCGAGTGACAGTCGAGTCGAGTCATGTTTTGTGAGAACTACGGATACAGGGGGGGCTCTCCACGACTGTGCGGCGTCATATCTCTTACCTCCAAACTTGATGCACTATTACGATGGGAGAAGGGCAGGGGATCAGCCGGAATGCGGTGCAACCTGAGTATATACCGGTACATGTACTTACATCGCCTGACGAGTATCCGCCCGACTCTTGAAGTTTTCTATCTTTTGCCCCATAAAAGCGCCACTCGTAGTGCCACATGGAATTCTTTTCCTTTCCTTTCCCCAAATTCATCACATAGCAATCTTCATCTTTAGTTCCTGCACCTCTACCACCAGTGAGCCACGCCGCCTTCTTGGCCTGTGACTGAAGGAAAAGCGGTTCTTTGTACCTGAGTTTGAGGCACTCAATGCGATCCAAGGGTTTCAGGTCCTTGAGGTGTTGCTCACGGGATTTACCAGACTTTGGTTTACAATCCTCTCTCCAGTTGAATTTGCTTTTTTCGGCTTGGTTCGACGACGACTTCTTCTTCTTCTTGTTCCCCCCGATGAGGCGGCTCAAGAAAGCTTCAGCTTGGTTCGCCAAGGCAAGAAGCGCCAAGAGCGCGATCAAGCAACGGTTGATAGAGCACATCTTTCTCGTTTTGGTTTTTACTTTCGTCAATCGAAAATTGTGAGTATCATCTCCTACATGGATCAACAATCGACAGCCGATTTCTTGGATCTTTTGCTCGGTCGTCGTCTCCGATGCCGAATGACAGTCTCCATGAAGGATCGACGCAAATGTGAATGAGGAGGGACACGGTTGTACAAATAACCATTCAGGAAGTGACCCGCTCCCCTCGTTGAAGCCTACGCCAGCAAAAAGTGTCCAGATCTGTTGGACTGCTGCCTCAGGACTACGGGGCGCCTCTTATTCGAGATCGGTGCAAACGATGAGGCTGACCGTGTTGAACGGAGGCGGCTGTGGTGTTGAAGGTACGGTTGCAACCTTGAATGACTGCATATCGATACCCGGTAACCGGTTGGTCCTTCTGGAAACCGGATGGATCTTTGTTCTTTATTGTACCAGTACCGGTACTACCTACTACCCTAGCTACAGGCGATATTTTAAAATAATTACGACATGTAGTACCATACCAGAAGTAAGTACTTCGTACCGGTTCCATGTATATGCAGCCTTTCAGATTATTATTAATAGCTGTACAGCTGTACCATGGTACCAGGAACCAGGTACCCATTGAGAGTACTCAAATTGATATAGTACTCGATACCATTTAGATGAAACTACATAAATCCACACTTTCCTTTGGGTTCAAGGGGACAATACTGAGATTGGTTCTATGTTCAGCTCGATGGTTAGAATGTGATGCGTACCGGGTAGATGACCATTCTCATGCCTGCCATTCTTTGCAAGCTCCTTGGGAGCTTTACCCAGTATTGGAGTATGTACTCAAAGTACCAGGTACGGTACATACCACCAGAACATGACTTCACCGACCATAGATATTCTGTTGGGAGGGTTTGCATAAGTACCTGGTACGACGTACAAGACTACTGTATTATTTCTTTTGGTTCCATGACTTTGAGGCTTTGAGGAATGGCTTTTGGATCCTGGCTTCTCTTCCGTTTCTACCGAGCCGAATGGCATGTAATGAGTTGCCCAATCCCAATCCCAGTCCAAGCCATTCTTCAGGTTGGCCGGATGGCATGACAAAAGTAGCATCTTCCAACCCTACATACATCTATTTTGGAAGCATCCTCCATAGTCTCACAAATCAGGAAAGCCGACTCTTGATTCGAATTTGAGCCAGAAAGCAAGATGCGCGTTTCCTCTCTTTTGTTGTTGTTGACTTGCTTGCTCTTGGGAGCGGCAGTCTCTGGCAATCTACGCTCCAAGACAACTTCCTCTACCACTACTGACCAGGATGCCGAGAATCAGCAAGGTGGTGTTGTCCACTCATCCAAGAGAGGCCGGGAAAGGGCCAGTCTCCGTTCTATGGAGGAGAACCATCGACGCCTCGGGTGCACGGGCAGTGACAGGAAGAAGCCAAGGTGTAAAGGTGATGCCGGTGCTGGAGACAGTGAGAGCTCTGGCGGTGATACCGGTAGCAGCTCTGGCAGTGGTGGCGATACCGGTAGCAGCTCTGGCGGTGATTCCGGTAGCAGCTCTGGCGGTGGTACCAGTAGCAGCTCTGACGGTGCTAGCAGCTCTAGCGGTGCTAGCGACCCTGAGAGTGGTGGTGACGGAAGTTCTAAACGTGAAGGTGAAAGTAAGAAGAAACCATCTGATCCCACCGATGATCCCGCTAAAAAGAAGGGCAGAGAGCAGCAGGCTGATCGCGAAGCAGCTGATGAGCGCGCAGCAGCCGACTCAGATTCCGTCAAGAAACTGAAGAAGCGGCAGGAACAGGACGCTGGTGTGGCGGATGTAGGCAGAGACACACGGGACGTCTTGAAGAAGAAAAAGTGTCGTCGCCGTCTTCAGCAACCAGCAAGCCGACCAAATGTTCCAGAGGATTCAAATCAGAGAGCGATTATGATGGCAGAACTCAAGACGAGACTCAAGCAGGTGATTGTGAGGGAAGTGGAAAGAGCAGCTGATTCGGTTTCTTGCAGCATTTGATTGTGTGGACGGAGAACAGTGGACAGCATTGATGCAGTATCAGTGACATTCTTAGTGAACTTTCGACCAAAGACATGGTGGTCGAATGTGTGTTTGTGGACTGTTTGATGAGAGAGGCAAAGTAGAAACTGAGGAAATTAAGTTGAATTAGGACCGGAGAAGACCTCTACCTGCACGATGCAACGTACAAGTCCTAGGCTATTGCGTGCAGCAAGAGAAAGCTGGCTATCTGCTGGGTGGCTAGTACGGTAGTACCACGTAGTTGCAAGAATAGCTAGCATGTCGCTACTAATACGAAGGCGAGAGTCTGACAGGGGCAGAAACCGACTTGGGAAATGCAAGGATCGCGACCATGGAAATATGAGACTGCACGACTCAATGTTTGATCGCGAATGACTTCAAGATCTCTCTTGTTGTCTTCGGTAGGAATCGAATCGGTATTATAGTACCAGTACGGTACAGTACCGGCACTACCTACATTGTACCCGTACCGGTACCGGTAGTACCGTACCGGGTTCTGCGTGAAACTAGTACGTGAAACTTGTACTGTACTTTCACGCAGGTGCGACCAAACCTTCCTTTAATAAAAGATTTAAGTCCCATTCCCATGCCATTGTAGAGGTCGTAGTACAGTACGACAGTATAGTACAGTTGTAGCTGCAAGACTGCTGCAAGCTACCGAAATCGATTTTGAACAGTCAACACGAAAACCAACAGGGGCCTAGCTAGCTAGCCAGCTGGTACCGGTAGCCAGTTTGTGAAGACTGGAAAGCAACGGGTTTATTGAGAGAGGGAAGCAGGGTGCAGACGAGTCCACGTGGTCAACTCCTCTCCCCAGATGCAGCCAGCGTAGTGTTGAATTGATTTGACAAAATTGTGGCATTGGGACAAATGGGCGTACCCGTAGTCTGTTAGACGGATGATCATGGGATGATTGCTAGAGCGATCAAGAAAGGGTGCAACCATCATCCATGTAACCATTGCTCCTTTTCCTGGGCCTTCAATGGTCAACCAAACTAAATCTGTTGAGCTACAGGTGCCTCCTCTGCTCCTGCTGGTGGCATTTCCATTTTGATAAGGGGTCTAGAGTAGGTAGTCACATATGCAATATTACAAAGATTGATTACGCTTCTCTGCTGCAGCAGCTGTTGGGGACTGGAAATCACCCAAACAATGTGTCAGCCAGCCACCAACCACAAGGTGTCATCACCGAGGCTTTGCTTCTCCTTTGGAACCCCCATTTCAATCTTCTGATGGTGGTGGCATGTCCATTTTGCCACCGCACTGCACATAAAAGCCAGCAGGGCCAGTCAAGTCTCCAAGAGAAACGCATTCCATGTCAGTGATTTTCCCATCCTTGACCCTTAACCACAACCTCTCAGGATCATTGACGATGTGCTTGTGGCAAGTTGGAATGGGAGGAAAGTGGGCAAAGGCATAGGGCTCTGCAGTGTGAGTGCCACTTGCCTGCAGCTCTTCTACAAGAACCACTCCAGACCTCTCTTCCTTGATGGATTCATATTGGAAGTGGAGGTTAGGGAAGCTCTGCATCATTTGCCTAGCTACAGCAACCCAGATATCTGAAGTGATGCTTGGGGCATCCTCAAACTTGACTCGAACATCACCAGATTTGAAGAATTTTTCCATTTCTTCAGCTCTACCATGTTGATTCAACGCTGCAAGGAGTCCTGAAACAACCTTTTCATTGGCAGTCTTGAATTCCTCCACTTCCTGTGGAATGGAAGAAGTATTTTGGGTTTCCCTACCATTCCTCTTCTTGTTCCTCTTCTTGTTCTTCTTGCTGCTCGAGGCAGACTGGGAGAAGTCACCGCTGGTTACGGTTGCCACACAAGAGCTTTCCTTTTCATGGTGCTCATTCTTCTTCTTGGATACAAATAGCTTCAGGAACTTCATCTTGGCTTAGTGGGGTGCTTTGGATTGATGTTGGCCTTTTTAAAAAGCTAGCTATCGAAAAAGTGAGCTGTGAGTGTTCGGCTATCCTGGTTTGTTGGTTTGACCATTGGGGCAGCTTCCGAAAGAAGTGCCGAGAATTCAATTTTATAGGCCGCATAATACATGTTCCCCTGCAGGATTAGATGGCAACAAAAAGGTTTAAAGGCTCAAGTTACAAAGTTGAAACTTTCTTCTTTGTTTGTTCTGGTTTGATTCGATTCGGTTCTATTCAAGTACCAGCTTGACCACTGGCCACAATCCAATGCCATCCAAGGCTTCCCTCTGGCGCCCATTCACATGATTTACCCAGCTAACGGTACCAGGTACTAGCTAACGTAGCCACTCTCGGCTCTCGGTGACTGCGTACTACTAGTAGTACTGCCGTACTGCCATTAATCTCCCGTACCTTGTACAAAGCTCCTGGTCTCTTTGGCAGAGTGCCACTTCCGTGAAGCCGTGAAGGAGCTAGCTAGCTAGTCTCGTGAAGGTATTGATTGACCATCATCATTCGACAGCCAAAAAATAACAACCTTTTTGGTTGCCAGAAAGAGGGCCGGGTAGCTATTGTGCGGTGTGCGGGCTCGAAGCAAGCAGGAACAATCCATGCCATGAGAAGAAGTCGAAGAAGAGACCACAAACCGAATTGGGGATTTCTTCGCAATACATGTACCTCTCGAAAAAAAGACGCGAAGAAGAACGATGAATCGAATTCAATCGGGACTACTCGTATTCCCGTAAGAAGCAAATTTCGGGGCTCTTCCTGGCATTGCCGGCCTTGGCAAGTCTACTTTCGCGCGTCTTCCGCACTCCCCCATCAAACCGCCGCCCCATCGTCAACTGAGGTACCGTACGGTGAAAGGTACGGTAAAACATGCCGCATCTTGCCCAGATACTGCGTGATACTGTTAGCTTGCCTAGTTGGTGGTGGCTCTTCTTGTTGTTGTGCCTTTCAAAAAGTAAATTACTGTTTGCATCAACAATATAATTTCATTTCATCGACGAAGGCAATGGGCGTTGAAGGCGCGTCTCTCGTCTTATAAATCAGCATTGGCCACCATACCAGTTCCCAATAGCTACCGGTAGGGGGTTTTACTAGCTGTTTTACTGTAGCCTTCGCCTTCGAAGGAGGTCGCACGGTCGCACCAAACCAAAGTCTCTTGAGCTGCAAGGGCCTCCTCTGAAGGTGGTGGTTGGCAGCATATCCTTCTTCCCGCCAACTTGCATGTAGAATACAGGTGGTCTAGTAGTCAGTCTCACCTGTCACTCGACTCCCCAAAAACAAAATCTCCGTCATGGCTGTCTTGCCATTCTTAACACAGTGTGGACCAGGCACTTGGACTTGCTTCCATTTCGGTCCTTTTTCTTTTTCTTCTTCCTTGCATGGCTTCAACTGCAATTGCTCGCAGACAACAGAGATGAAGTTGTGGATGAACCGTCATCAGCGATGGGTGGCTGTCCTCCTTGTTGCTTCGCGCTGGCGAGTGGACTGCGACTCCCGCCTACTAGAAGTTTTCCCGCGAAAGATGCCTTCACCCTGCCTGGCCTCCATCAGAATGGTGAAGAGAATTTGTGGCCATCGGCATGTGCCAGGGAAAGGGCGCATTAACTGTGTTTCTTACGTTGTTAAATCCACCTTTCCGCATTGGTTTATCGACTGACTTTCTTGAGCTGCAGAACCTCTTCTCTTTCAGCGGAGGCTAGGAGGTGAACCCACAGCATCAACCTCCGCTTCTGCCGGAACGGTGTGCAAGAGGCACTACTAGCTAGGCAAACTTGTACAATACTGTACCATCAATGCATGCCAACAGACATTGTACAGATCAATGACCAGAGATTGAAGTACGCAAGCAAGCTACGGTATAATGTACGATACTAATAGCTGTACGATGTACAGTCGTACGGTGGAGTGGAGCTACCGGTAGGTACCTGGTAGTGGGAAGCGTTTAGCTGCTAGCTAACCGTAGTAGACGCTGTACCGGTATGTAGCATGGCCAGTGTTGGGGGGTGGAGAAATCCAGTGCCATTCCTAAAGGATCCTAAAATCTTGGTGGTTGCCCAACAGACATCGTACAAATCAATCAAAAGGTCTTGGTCATCCAAAAATATTCCAGCCAGTGACCAAAGTGAACGAGTAAGTACCTGAGCGATCCTGGAACGCAGCTTCTGTGCTACCAGTACGTGTAGCTAGCTCTACGAGTACATACATGTAGCTGCTGGTGGCTGGCTCAACAGCTGCTCAACGACTAAGTCTTCTTGTTCTTTGCGCAAAAAGCGCTTCCTCTGGCCCAAAAATTGTTTTAAGGGTTTAGTAGAGTACTAATAGACTAGTAGCCTAGTAGACTAGTCTAGTATGTGGAGTATCTCGTTTCCAGGCAAAAGAGAGTGGAGGATCTTTCGATTGATCGAGGCTTTCCTATAAAATTGATGGCCGCAAACTCTGCTCTTTACTCTTTTGACTCCACTACAAAAGCAACAGCATGAAACTCAAAAATCCCTTCAAGTCCAGCAAGTGGAATGCCAGTTCTAAGAACAATGATGGAGAGGCCCCCGTAGCTGCCAAGAAGGACGACGAACACAGCGTCTTCTCCGCATCCACCATTAACACAGCTTCTTTGTCTGCTTCCAGCAAATCAGGTAGAAGTCATGAAAAGAAAAAGAAAGGCTCCAGTGGCAAGAAGTCTAAGAGCAGCAAGACCAAGCCACCTTCATCCATTCCACAAGAAGTGGAGGAATTCAAAACAGCCAATGAAACTGTTGTAGCTGGACTCATTGATGTGATAAATGGTCATGGGACTGCTGAAGAAATGGCAAGCTTCTTCAAATCTGGTGATATCCGAGTCAAGTTTGAAGATGCTCCCAGCATTACAGCTGCCATGTTTACTGGAGTAGTAAAGATGCTTCATGGGAGTTTCCCTGACTTTCGCTTGCAATACGAGTCCATCAAGGAAGACAGGTCTGGAGTGGTTCTTGTAGAGGAGCTCCGTGCAAGTGGCACTCACACTGGAGAGCCATTTGGCTTTGCTCACTTTCCTCCCATTCCAGCTAGCCACAAGCATGTCATTAATGATCCAGAGAGGATGTGGTTCAAGGTCAGGGATGGCAAAATTGTTGACATAGAATGTCTTTCTCTTGGAGACCTTACTGGTCCTCCTGGCTTTTACCTTCAGTTGGGTGGCAAAATGGATATGCCACCGCCATCAGAAGATTGAGACGGGGGGTTGCCAAAGGAGAAACAAAACCTTGTTGATGATGGCACATTTGGTTGACTTGTGGTCCCGACAGCTGCAGCGGTGAAGCGTAATCAATCATTATAGTAATATTGCATACATGACTACCCTACTCTAGACCTCCATGTATTCATATATTTCCTTTGGCTACCGTACACTGCAACCTCCTTGCTAGCTAGCTTTCCAGTAGTTAGTTATTCGTAGAGTCTGATGGGCTCCTGTGCTGTCATGGTATGATGGCATGCAGTGTGGTAGTCTCCACCACTATCTTGCTACAACATCTGCAGTGTTGAAGGAACCCCTTGCAACGTTCACAGTGTACGGGGAAGCAAAACAACCCAAAGGCTATGGGTACCATGTAGAGGGCTGTTTCAGGTGACGATGCAACCGGCTCAAAGGGGACTGCAGTACTAGTATAGCCAAAATGTAATCAAAACGCAGTATTGCTAGGATGGCTATGCTGGAGAGGGACCTTGGATGTATTTGGGACCAGCCAGCCAGTCAGCCAAACAATAAGTAGCGTACCGGTACAGTAAGTACATGTACTTCAGTACTATTTAATTTTAATAAATAGTAACACTGGTCAAGAGTCATGTCTTCACATATGATGCCGCGGTCGCACTTCGCGACCTCAACGAACTCGCAAAGAGCCAAATTTCGACCGCTGTGCAGGCCGGTAAAGAGCTTTCTAGCCACATAGCTGCTACCCTACATGTAGCTATCGATGAGCGACACAAAGGTGTTCAAAGTTCCTCCTGGCATCGTACAAACTTGAACCTGCTATGCCTTACAATGGTTGACTTATAGGAGGTGGATTGCAAAGCAATTTGACACTGAGGCTCTCCTCCTCCTTTTGAAATAATGTGGATCACAAGACAAGGCTGCTACGATTTTAGCGCCACCGCAATGAAAATTATTCAGTTTGTTTGGGGACGGTTGCATCCTCTTCTGCTGCTTCTGCTGGCGGTGGCTGCATGTCCATCTTTCCTCCAATTTGCAAGTACAAGCCCGGAGGTCCAGTATTGTCTCCCAAAGAGATGATTTCCATCACTTGGATTTTTCCATCCTTAACGGCGAACCACATCCTCTCTGGATCATTAATGGCATGTTCGTTTGAGGCTGAGACAGGAGGAAAGTGGTCAAAGCCATAGGGCTCCCCTGTGTAGGTTCCGCTGACTTGAAGCTCCTCCACAACCACCAATCCAGCTCTGTCCTCCTTGATGGACTGATATCCAAACTTCATGTTTGGGAAGCTCTTGTACAACTTTTGATCCTCTTCTGCCAAGATCAACGCATTAATGCTCTGGCCATCTTCCAGCTTGACCTTGACGTCCTTGGATGCAAAGAATTCCAATAACTCTTCCACAGATGCATGACGATCCAAAGCTTCCACATAGCCTGCCACAACCATTTCACTGGGAGTTCTGTGTTCTTGTACTTCTCGTGGAATGGACGAAGCTTTTTTGGTCTTGCTACCATTCCTCTTCGTCTTCTTGTTCTTCTTACTGCTGGACTCGGAGCAATCGCCACTGGTCACCGTTGCTGTGCAAGAGCTTTCCTTTTCATGGTGCTGCTCCTTGTTTTTCTTGGATACAAATAGGTTCATCAACTTCATCGTTGCGTTGTAGTAGGGTTGAATTAGACTGATAGAGTGCTTTGTATTGTTTGGTGATCTGGAAAAGTGAGCTATCTCAGATTGTTTGTTGGGAAAGAGTGTGGGGAAGAATCACCAATGCAGCACGAGCAGTGCTGCTTTCGCGCGGCAATAAGCGTGGTCGTGCTCCACCTCCATAGAGAATCATCCTGCTTCAGCGCATTATCTAGACTACAGGATTTAGGATTTGAAAGGACAGACCTAACTTTGTATAAATAAGCTGAAACTTTCTTCTTTTTGCATGTTTCATTGTTGAAGTAAGTTGTTCCGCCGAAGTTCTTTCAACAGTCATCTTCAACTGATTTCTTTGTTCTCCTCTTTTTCGGGACTCTTGACACGAGGTGCGAAGAGCTGTGCAAAGCGGAAAGGAAGTGACTACTTGACTACTTGGCGCCAGCGAAATAACAACCTATTGCAGCTCTATTGCTTCTTCAACAGAGCTTAGTGCGTACCGGTATGATGGCAAGCTCGGATCAAGTGCAAGAAGAGACCGCAACCAGCGCGGAACAAACTCCACGAACAGGGTTTCAACGTTTCAACAATATTCGAGGGAACAATTGGCGGCTTCATTCCGCTAGACATTCCTCCTTTCCCGTCTTGTCCGGTGCTGATACATGATACATCAGAGCAAAGCAACCCCAATGAAAAAGTCACCCAATCGTGCGATATCTTGACGTAGCGAGCGACATCGAGGCGGTGCCAGTGGTGGACGGTCGATTCGATTCGATTCGATTCGATTCCATCCTCCAGCGGTAGCCTTGCCCAAATGCTGCACCTTTCCTCTTCATATTCAGCTCTATCGCTAACAAAATTTTGGGGATTGTGATTTGTTAGAAGGGTAAAATTCACACTTGGTAGCTGACATGGTCTGAGGGTTCGACTCCCGAGCATGTTACTTTTCAACATGGTAACATTATCCGGATGACCCTGGAGACGTCATGTGCAGCTGCTGCTGAGGAGTGTGATGAGTGGTCAACAGGCAGAGTGTGGTCCAGCTCTGATGAGACAGATAAGAGAACATGGGAGGGTCCACTAGTGAAGTGTAGCTCCATGGTATGAGTGCATAGGATAACAGCCGCTCCCAAGCTGAGAATTCTGGGAGGGTGTTAGAAGGGTAAAATTCACACTTGGTAGCTGACATGGTCTGAGGGTTCGACTCCCGAGCATGTTACTTTTCAACAGTGATTGCAACGATCGATGCATGACGAGGGTATCTCACTTTTGCTTGAATTGGATGGCTAGCTATCGCAGCGAGACAGAAAGTGGTTCAGGAGGGTCGGCATGCATGACGGTCCTTCTTTCTTTCTCATGACGATCAGTTTGGATGTTGCCAACTGGCTGGTGATCAACTGCCTTATTGGAGTTTTTACCGCTACTGGTCCTACCGGTAGCCAGTGCGACAATATCATTGTGCATTGACTAGTCTAAGGATCTAAGAGATGTAAAGTTTGTATTTCCAAATAAGTGAGCAGTTATTGATTATTTTCTAGAATAAGCCTGCTAATTGTAAAGCTGTAAAGCTGAATTGTAAGCTGTATCCCGTCGCACTCCCTTACAGCTGAAATGAAGCTGGAGCAAGAAACGATAGGAGAGAGTCCCAGCAAAGTGCTGAGGTAAATTACCATCCCATGAGGAGCTTCCGAATGACAGCAAAATGTGGAGCCGGAAGACCCTTAGTGAAAATGCGGCCCGTTGTTCCAGAGTCGGAATATACTTGGCCACGATGCCCTTCGACTCCCCGATAATGGACCTGAAGAAGTGGTACTTCAATGCCAAATACTTGTTGCGCGCAGACATTTGGGAACATTCACAAGAGACAAGCCACCTTGGTTGTCTTCGAAACTGTAGAGGCACGAGACTGTCAGTAATTACCGGCATATTCAGTTTGCTACAATTTCTTTGAGCAAAGCTCGCATAGGAAGCAGCTCCCTCATTGACATGCTGAAGGCAACATACTCAGCAGCAGTGGAGCTCAAAGTAATGTCAGTCTGTAGCTTGCTGGACCAGATGATAGGGCACCCAAACAAAGTCAAGACAAAACCAGTGCGAGACTTGACGGACACAGGATCCTGATCATCCTCATATCCATACAATCCGGCGAAGTCAGCATCGACCCAACAATCAAGTCCCTGATCAAGTTTAGGGCTAAAACAAATGCCTTTGTCACTTGTGCCAATCAGATCCGAATGATACGTTTGATGCTTGAGCATGGGAATGCCTGGGGTTGTGACTGAATCGTGCCACCTGGTGCACACTAAATGTGATGTCTGGCGAGTGTTCGACGCATATAAAGCAGCATCCCAAACTGCAGCTGGGTAGCTCCACTCTTCTTCAAATGGGGCCCCCAGTTTGTCAGCTCCGAGAGAGATCGGTGCGGCAGGAGAAAGCTTCTTGCTAGCGTCAGACATACCAGTATATTCGATGACCTTGTTGATGAGCCCTTTTGAGTAAGCTCAACATTGTCTCCCTGTCTTTCAAAATTAATGCCGAGGAATCCAAAGATGTCACCCTTTTCTTCCATGTGAGGTCATATCCAATTTCTGGAGCTGCCCAACATAGGACTCAATCAGATCATTGTCGGACTGAGCCAGATTTGGTCATCACAATAATTTAATACCATGAGTTGATGCTCCTTATGAATAAACAAACATGGGTCTGCTGCCGAGGTTTCGAAACCAAGTTGGACCATCCCACGACATAGATGCTCATAAAATAATTTGGGTGAATCGGTCTGCCCATAGATGGACTTGTCAAGTTTCAAAAACACAGTCCTGTCCTTCATAATCTTTGGGTCGATAGTACTGAGGCAATTCCATGTACAGTGGCTGGTCGACAGGCTGAGGGCTTTGACAGAAAGCAAGAAGTAAAATCAACTTGTCTCGATTCCCATCCATGTTGCAGCTGCAAGAAGAAGACCGGCTCTAACAGTGGGCCAACCAACAAGTGGAGAGTATGCGATGCCTTCATAGGACTGAAGGTCTCCTCTGCAGCACCATCTAGATTGAACTTATTTAATTGTCATCTGGTAACCTCTTAATCTCGTTGCACCCATGTTCCAGGAACTGCCTTGAGGTGTGAGGGCATAAGAACGTTTACGATGTTCCAAGTCCCTTTGCCTTCAAGGCTGGCAATTTCTTTTCCATTGCTGTGCCCAGAAGTGGTCTGCATGTGGTCCCATAGAGATTCCTTCAGAGACGGGAGATCAGGGTCTTGGAAATTTTGGCCTTGAGAGCCAGTGGGCTTTGAAGAATGCCAGGATGAAACGATTCCTGGGTGTTGGTCAAAGGTGAATATCCGGTTACTTGAGATTGTAGCATGTGCCCTGAAATTGGAGTGATTCCAAAAGTCATAGCTAAGCACAACAGAGCATGGATGAAGGCCGTGAGTAAGTCTTTAGTTTCGGGTTCATGTTCAGAGTCTCAGGCTTCTTGTTGTGAGCTGTCCTACTGGGATTCCGACGTGGGGCAGTGACAGGGATTGCCTCGATGGAACATCTTGTGGTGGAGTGCTGACGATGGGAGGTCCCTTGCCCAAGTCGAAGGCAGTTGCTGTGTCTGAAGCGACGGTAGGCGATCTTGAATCTCCCTGTGTGAGACTTGGGGCTGGCTGGAGACGGAGGTTGAAAATGAAGATCATCCCTTTTGTCTTTTGCTCTGTCATCCTGCATAATTTTCTCCATGTCGAAGCTTCTGAAGATGAGATCGGTGCTGGTTGATGGCCTTTTCCCTCTGGAGTAAGCCACTGTCTGCTAAGGGAGGTGGAGTGTCCTCATAAATAGGTCTCGAAGCGTTAGAAAGATGCACATGTTAGTCCACTCTATAGGTGGTTGATCTTCTGAAGAGTAAACTGTTTAAACCAATCATCATAGACCAGATGGTACTGAGGGAAAGGTATCCGGTTGTAAAGTTGCGGATCAAACCAATATTTTCTGAATGGACAGGTGGGTGCCAACATATTGTCCTCTCCTCGACCTGGGCTGCCATTTTGGAATTCTTTCCTCCTTCACTGGTAAGCGGGTTCCAAAACATATGCAGGGCATCCCCATGGATGGGCATTTCTGATGACTTGACCATCACTGACAGTCTGGAAAATATTCTCTTCTCCTTCACTTATTTGGAAATACAAACTTTACATCTCTTAGATCGTTAGATTAATCAATCCACAATGGTATTGTCGCAAGAGGGCATAACCCCTATGAACAGTTTACCCAAACACTGCTGCAATTTGTACCGTTATGCAAGTTAATTTATTTGGCCGGCCGAATCTTAAAAGTGAGAAACCTCATCGTTGATTTCCTCGTATGTCTTTGTTTCTCAACCACGCTGTTCACTACTCAGTATGCTTTACATCGGTCATGGCCATTTTGAACTGGAAAACCCCGACCATGACAGCATCACCGCCGTCAGGCGTATTCTGAAGCATCCTGCTGTCTTTGGCGCGGCGTATGCATTCCACGAGAACAACGGTAGAGGGTGCATGATAGGATTTCTCCTCATGAACAGGGATAGTAGCGATGAAGATCATGGTGATGTGTTTGATCGGTTGGGAGAGTACTGTGTCCTACGTAAACTCTACCTCTCCAGAGCTCTTCTTATTCTCAAAAATAAGAAGAGGCGTTTGATGAAGAAGATTGCGACAGCACCATGGTCGATTGACGATCGTCCGCTAAGGAACAGATCGTTAGCGGATCGAGTGAGCCGAAAAATGAGGTGTGGGTTAAATTTGCATCCGAGCCAGAAAACATAAGGACTATGACAAAATGCCGGAAAGAATTCGGTAGCAAGATCAACAGAATTTTAATGTCTCAGTTCCTACTTTAGGACCTATGTCATGCTAGGGAGTGGTGTTAGAAGAGAATTCCGAGCGAGCGGGCTAACGACCGGTTAAGATTCACAACTGTTTTTTGGGATTCTTATTTTGGCCCGAAGTGATAACACCTCTTGTGAAGATCTTTCCTTTTTAGAGACTGCCGTCTCCAATTATGGACAGCTGTCTCCAAATGTTTGGAGACAGTTACATAAATATATGTCAATTGAAATGGGGTAAAACTGAACATACTAGTCTAAGTAGTTTGTACACAATTTTGTTTCTAACTGGAGACAGGCAGTATTTAAAAGTGAGACTGTCTCCTTTTTGAGACAGCATTCTCCTTTGGTCTTCTGTGATCCTATGTCAAAACCGCTCAATTCAACTTTCATTTTTGCTTTTTTTGCTTCAAAGTAAGTCTTTTACCCGGTGGTCCAGCTGCCAGGATGCGTATTAATCGTGCACTCAGTAAGAACGGTAGACAACAACCACCTCGGAGGAATATTGGAATATTGCCTCCAAAAGGCCCAATACTAGTACAAATTAGTTAATTAATTGTCAATGTACAATGTCATGTACAGTGTACAGAGCTGAACAGCTGAACCTATAGAAAAGGACTCTGTGTCGCCAATACTATCGGAGCAGGCAGAAGGCAGGAATATCTTTGGTGTCCACGCGACTACGGTATGACATACGCGACAAGCCCATTCCGAAACTGAGGTGGCAATGTTTCGGTGTTTCGGTGGGGCTTGGAAGCCATCATCAGATTCTGTAACTGGCACATTCACAGCCACGAATAGTCAGCCACATCCAAACTGACTGACCCTCCTACACTGGCTGACCAGCGGATATGAGTGACTGGGCGGCTGGATCCTGTAGGTTGCTTTTTGGTTGGGAAGACTACTAGTCTAGTACTATGCAACGGGGTTGCAAGTTGCAAGACTTGGTTTGCTTCGATGAACGGCCACCGATTGCTCATTGTATGGTGCTTGTTTCCGTTCCGAAATCCCACGAAAACAAAGCACAAAGCAGTCGGGCCAGTGCAAGCGTTTACCGGTGGGCCAGCGGGGCTCCTAAATCGCCACTTGTAGTATCTTCTTGTTTAAAGTTTGTACCGGTGGTGGATCCTAATATCCTCGTCGATCTGGGATCGTTATCTTCTATCCATCTACATGACATTGTAGCTAGCTAGTGGCATGCTGTATGCATAGATCTGCTGGTTAGTTGGCCCGACTCCAGGCAAGGCAACGGTACCCTCGGGGATCGGTACTCCTTGAACGGTGGGCGGACTTGGACTCCACTTACTTGGTTTGGGTCTCTACTAGTAGCAGCATTGTTTTCTTGTCTTGTCTAGCCGGATGCTACTGCGTCTTTTCACCCAGGCAGCAACAAAGCCAAAGGATGCAAGCAGTTACCGGTTCAACCATTGCTTGCTTCGCAAGCAATTCAAGGAAGCAAGCTACTCCCCCAACCGGCCAGGCAACCATGTCACCGGTATCATGGCGGCTGCTCGTGTCTCTTCCAGGCCCAGTCTTGCAGCATCTTTCTCTTGTTGCTGGTCTCCCTTGCAAGTTTCAATGGAATCTAAAAGTACACGTAGAGTACCGATTAGTGTCTAATGGCTGGTACAGATTAGAGGGCGTGACGGCCTTGCATGAAACAGGATACATGTGGATTGAGGTTTTGCAGGCGGTTGACTTGGTGTAAACATTACGTTATTTGAAGCCATTTAAGCTGTATCGTACCCGGAGAAGATCCAAAAGATCGAATCAAATCAAATCAATCCCTTGACCGTTTGCCACCACCCTACCAACTTCATAGAAACACCCCAGATAGAAGATGAGAATGATCAGGGCCATGGGCTGCAATGCCATCATTCTGGCACCCACTGGTATTTGTAGTCTGCTACTTGTATTAGTACCAGTTTCAGTACTATCTGAAGAGGTGGAAGCCAGCATTGATTATGGCACAGATGTGGTATGAGAATATGAGAATGCTACCTTTGCTACCTGAACTATACTTAGCTTTGTTCTGATATATGTACTCTGGTCTGATGATCCATCTCTTCCTTTTTCTTCCCTTGTTTTGTCTTATCTCATCTTATCTCATCTTATGTTTTTGTTTTCTTTCAAAAAACCAGAGCTACCCAATGCACTACGGTGTCTTGACGGATCTTCCCACAGAACGAGATTTGCTAGGTACACGTACGGAAAAGCAGCAATTGTACCAGGAGAACTTGGAAGGTTGCTTTGAGTTCTATGGCCAAGAAGAGGGCAAAGCTAGCTGCATGTATTATGAACAAGCTCGACTTGACATGAATCTCCGACAACCTCAGTCCATGGTCAATTACACCAAGAATGGATTTGTCAAGATCAGGGCTCCTGAACAAGTCTGGAACATGGTCCAAGAATTTTGGCAGCAAAACCAACACAACTTGGAGTTGGAAGAAGAATGGCCAACGGGAAACATTTTTGTCAACCATTGGAAATCTCCCGTCAATTTTGTGGCCATTGATGATCCCACATTGCCAGGAGGAGGCAACATTATCAAAACTGCCATTTGGAATGCCGCCAGAGATACACTCGAACAATGGACCGGATACACCATGGCGGATTGCAGTCTATACGGCGTCCGAATCTACCATGAAAACGCCATTTTGGCTCCCCATGTCGATCGATTGCCACTGGTCGCCAGTGCCATTCTCAATGTCGCCCAAGATGTCGATGAACCCTGGCCTCTCGAAGTCATTGGGCATGATCAACGAGCGCACAATATTACCATGGTACCCGGCGATCTCATTCTGTACGAATCACATTCCATCATTCATGGGGTAAGTTAGTCATTATTGCCAACTCGTTGAGTTGAACTGAACTGAAAACGGTGTTACATCTGCAGCAAAGGAAAATTGCATCATCTGACCATTGTGACTGTCTCATTATTGCTATGAAAAACGAAACAAAACTCGACAATCTACACACACGCCTTGATACGAACAACGAAACAAACCTCGGCAATCTTCATTGTTTTTTTTGCTTGCTTGCTTTTACTATTTTGGGGCATCTACATAGCGCCCGTTCCCATTGAAAGGACGATTCATGGCCAACGTGTTTATCCATTTCGAACCGGTTGCACCACTCTCCGAACCAAATCCTGTCTTTACAGGGGATCTTCCGCCCTACCTAATTCCCAATTCACCAGAAGAACCTGTCTGGAGAAAAGCCAATCCCCATGGATGGCATGCCGTACAAACTGCACCTCCCGCTGATGGAACCACGGAAGCACATCATATGACAGTATTGCAAGATATACAAACCTTGAGAGCACTCTTGGATGTGCACCCTCACCTGGCCAACGCCAAAGATGCCAACGGATGGACACCCTTGCACGAAGCGGTACGGACCAAACGAGGAGATCTCGTAGAATTGCTGGTAGAACAAGGAGGGGCCGATATTCATGCCACTACCAATGGGGGTGAAACGGTCCTGGGATTGGCCTATCACTTTGTATCGACAGAGGATCCAAACTATCAAACACAACCAGAAACACACCCTGTCATTCAATACTTGGAAAATCTGGGAGCCACGCGGGGGAGCCCAGGAAAAAATAGTCAAGAGTTATAGGTACCGTAGTCTAGCTAGTACTGATTGTAGTAATATGGTGGAACCAAAATCACTTGATGCAACACAACGTTCGTTTGCCTTGCCCAAAAGTGCAGCATGTTTCTCGTGTCCATTCGAGAAGGAACGATGGTACGTTTCAGCCTGATCTGTCTTTCTCATTTGCCGTGATGGTGCTGGAGCCAACCATCGTGGGAAATCCAGTGCTGGGGCTAGCACATGCAGGCATGCATTGTACCGGTACCAGTGGCCAGTGCAGCCACTACCGGTAGCACTCTCACAGAACGGTATAATCCACTTGCTCTAAACCCCCCTTACCCTGTTGTCATTGCTTTTCTTTTCTAGACTCGACTCGACTCTGAAGGTCAAGCCTCGAGTGTCGGGAGTCATGGTAATGTCGAGTCCCTGTTATGACGTTGGGGAACGGTATTCTTTTGTCCAGCCGTTTCTTCACATCACCAGCGAATCTTTGTTTCAACCCAACAACAAGACCATGGCGACTTTGTCTTCGACAACCGCAGATTTCGCCTCTTTTGGGTTAGATGCATCATGCGACAAAACTGAGATAACCACAACTGACAGTCTTGATGAAGGGAAGGAAGTAAACAACGTGCATTGTGAAAGTGTTCATAATAAGGCAGTTGAGCTGTCCAATGATCCGCCCACCAATGACACGGACGAAGGCACCACCGGCGGTTGCGGTGATGCCGATGATTCAGGCAGCAGTGATACTGCTGCTGCTGCTGCTGCAAAGAAGCTAACGTTGTCGGATCTTCCGGAATGGTTATCTCTGGTGAAGGCTTACTGCGAGGAAATGCAAAAAGTTCAGGACGATCTCTGCCAGCGGATGCAACTGAACGAGCTTTTGTTTGAGAACGCGGAGACGGTCCGAAAGACCAATTTGTCCGGATGGGAGAAACTCGAAGAGTCGCGAGAGAGTCTCATCGAGACAATCACACAGGTAGAACAAGCTATCGCCCAAGCAAATGCCATCCAGGAGCAAGAGCATGACCACTTTGTAGATCCCCAGGACTTAACTCAGGCTTTGGCAATGCTGCGAATCGAAGAATCCAAGGTGGATCAAGAAATCCAAAAGTTTGTCAAGCAAAATGAAAAGGTCCTTCAAGACATGGTCAAGATCAGGGCCAACAATACCGAAATCGCACGCGTCTTGGAAACTTCATGGGCCAAGAGCGGCGCTTTGACCCGTAGCCTGAACAAACTCGAGCAGGATATGATCGAGAAGCATGCAAATAGCCTGGAAAGTGGTCAGGAGGCGTCGGAGATTACTGCCACAGGCTGCTCCGACAAGCAAAGGGACGAAAGCATGGATAGCCCAAACCTGGAGAATCCCGAGGTGCAAGAGCAATACCAACGAGCCATCCAGCAACTGCAGCAAATCCGAAGCAGCAATGCAAAGTCGTCTCGGAATTTGCAAGATCTATTTGACCGTGCCCGTGACGTACGCGAGGATGCACTTGCAAACCACGCGGAAATGGAGAGCCTTGCCCTGAACATCAACTTGCGCAGCAACGATCACGACGCAGAAGATGAAACTCCAGCGGAATGAAAAGAAAAGCCAACTATTCCGAAGTCTTGGCAGCGCATTATCCTGATTGCACCGGGTTCAGATGCAGGTATCAAGCCTATTTTAAAAGCTATGTATATATATATTTCACAACCAGGGTCCGGGACGGAGAGGAGTAATGGTTTCGAGAGGAGCTTCAAAATGTTTCTCTTCCGTAACTTTAGCCTCAATTATAGTTCACCGTTGCAGACTTGTTGTCTGTCTCACTGACGATCTTTCGTTCATTCTTTCAAACTTCTATTGCTTTCTAAAGAATGGCATGATATGCAGTAGTATCTCTTCAAGCAACCTCCAAACCGAAACCAACAATCCAGGTTTACGATGTTCATCGTACAACACAACAACCTTACTTCTTCTTCCAATGCATGACGATGACACCTTTGCCGGTTCTGCTTGCAGCTGCTTCGAGCCTTTGTTAGGAGAGTCAATGGGCTTCCCCTCTGTGTGGGGTCGACCTGTTCCTCTTCGCCGGCAATGGTGTTGTCTTGCGGTGGTTTCTCTCTGGTTTAGTTGGTTCGTACTCGTGTCGGCATCCACAACAAGGTCAGTTCACATTCTTCTGTACATTGTCTCGTTGGGTGCCATTTTCCGGTGCTGCTTGCCAGCTGCTTCGAGCCTTTGTTAGGAGAGTGAGTGGGCGGCCATTTCATGAGTCCGTTCCATTTGCTCTCTGCCGGAACCAGTCTTTCAGTTCTTCTTATGTTATTGCAACAAGCCTTCTAACCGTCCTTCGTTCCTCCTTTTGTCGAATGATCATGCGGTTGACAATGATGCTTTGGCCGTTCGTGACTCGGTCGTCTTGCGGTGGTTCCTTTCAAGGCAAGTCCATGTGTTCCTGTGTTTTGTGTCATTGCTTCACGGTCGTCGACCGTTGCCGCCTCATCTCCTTTAGTTTCCAACGTAGGCCTTGACAATGGTGGTTCGTCCTCGCCATGGTGCTTTGGGCCGTCGTCGCCGTTGTTGTCTCATCCACAAAAGGTCAGTTCACATTCGTCTTACCATCTCTCACCAATGATGCAATTCTCCGGTGCCTGCTTCGAGCCTAGAAGAAGAGTGAGTGGGCGGCCATTTCATGAGTCCGTTCAACCTCACTCTTCGCCGGAAGATGGTGCAAAACTTTCATTCGATTCCTCTATTATTCCGGAGACCAGTTTTACAAACCTTCCCCTCTTTCTACTTTTGATCATGAATGATGGACGTTGGTTTATCGGTACACGTGTACGCCCTTGGCTTTGCTCTGTTTTGTTCGGCGGAGTTTCGAAAGCAACGGTTGCTCGGACAAGTGTTCAAGTCACGAAAAGGTCGGTTACTAGTAACATGCGATCAAATTCTGGGCACAGTGCGTACCTTCGGGCTGCATCGTTTGGTTGCCATTGTCATTGTTTGTAGCCCTGTAATCCAAGATTGTGCCAAGCAAATTGAGATGGCAGAGCGACAGTCAACTTTACCATTCGCATCGTTCAAGATGCTTATCCAGCAGAAAACGGGGGCTCATCATTGAACATATGTAAACTTCCACGGATACACGTAGCTCTTCCAAGATTACGCTTCTCGGTCAAAAGGGCCCGTCGATGCTGAGAGCCGCGTAAAGAAAGCCAACGTCACCAACGGGAGGAATGGAACCTACAGCGCTAGTAATGGCGGAACTGGCTCTTTTGTGACTTAGCATTCTTGGCCGTAACTTTTTGTACATTGGCATGACAAGTAGATGGCATAGCCAGAGGACAGTCTAGCCCCCGTAATGGCCCTCACCTGATCCCACGGAACCTAGTAGTCCTGAATTTGGACTCTTCTTTCCCTGGCTTCAACCAGTAGATAATGAGAAGGTTTTTGTTTTGTTCGCGGCTCAGCTGGGTTCCAATTGAATCCAAGAATGAACTGGGTTACTTTCCCATTGCCCTCAACGGACTGAGGGTCTTTCACACTTTTATCGCTGTATGTGCAAGTTAGTCTGTACGTCGCTGTGTGTGCAAGTTAGTCTGTACGTCCGGCATAAGGGATGGGGTAAATAATAATTGTTAGTTGGTAAAATATACTCCGAGTACCAAACTATGTGTGTGTGCAAGTTAGTATGTACGTCCGCCATAAAGGATGGGGTAAATAATAATTGTTAGCAGGTAAAACATACTCCGAGTACCAGAGTATGTGTGCAAGTTAGTCTGTACGTCCGTCATAAAGGATGAGGTAAATATTAATTGTTAGCTGGTAAAACATACTCCGAGTACCAATGTGTGTGTTTTGGTTGGCTATCGATAGACTACAGTAGACTGTGTGTTCAGTTGAACACAGTGTTGGATTTGGCCAAAGAATCAAATCTCTTTTTTGACAGTTGAGGGCATCAGCCTTCGGCTGTCTGTTCTTACGGGTATCCAGGTCTGAACACCTTTTTGGCCAGCAGCTACCAGGTAACACAAATCTGCTTTGTAGAGACAAAACATGTCAAGCCATGACATTGCGACCCGACCCCCCGAGTGATCCTCCCGCTGTTTCTTTCACTGCACCGGTAGCTGAAGTTGACTCTTCTGAATCTGAAGACTACCAGTACGATCATCAGGAGGACGAAAAGGAAGAAGAAAAGGTAGAAGAAGAGGTTGCGAACACCGATGGCGCTGGGATTTCTCATACCAGTGGTACCGCGGGAGAAGATGAAGTGTGGGGAAGTGAGAGCGTCCATGAATGGCTCTCTCCTAGCATGGCTTACCTTAAGGGTCCCGCTGTGGGGCCTGAACCTACTCTGTTGGGAGAGGAGCCTTCAGTAACAAACCCCGGAGCAGAGTCGGTGGGTCCCGCACAAGAACCAACTCATGACTCAACACAACCTCCACTATCTCAAGGGAGCACCCAACCAACTTCTACAACTTTGACTGGCAGCTCCCAAGAAGGTCACCACCAGGGCCAGTCAATCACCTCCCACGGCCCCGGTCAGTCAACCAGCATTCCCCTGGTTGCAAATGTGGAACCTGTCCATGCCCAAGAAGATGGCCCTCTCTTGGAAGCTAGGTTGGTTACCTCCACCATTGTTTCCAAGCAAAGCTCTGAACAAGGTCAGGCATTCTTTTGTGCACGGTGCATTCCCAACTCTGCAGGTGCAAGGTGGCTATGTTTTGGCATCTCCTGTCTTCTAGCGATTGTGGCTGTGGTGGCTATTATTTGTAGTGGTGGCATTTGCAGTGCAAGTGATGAAGGAAACAGTTTGTCTTCGTCAGCACAAAGGCAAGAAAACCCGGATGCTCCTGTGGCCACCCCAACACAATTTGTGCCTAGCCAAAACCCCCAAGCCGAATTGATTCTCACCCCGCAAGCCAAAGCCGCAACCTCGCCATCGATGAATCCGTCCATTGAACCATCCCTTCTCCCTTCGCTGGAGCCATCGTTGCTCCCTTCACTCGGACCATCCTTGTTCCCTTCTCTCGAACCATCGTTGCTCCCTTCACTGGGACCATCATTGCTGCCTTCTTTCGAACCGTCCCTTGCCCCTTCAACCATACCTTCAACCATTCCCACTCCAGAGCCAACACTGGATCCAACAAGTTGGCCTTCCTCGGAACCTACCGTGGACCCGTCGAGAGAACCAAGCAGAGATCCTACTAGACTCCCAACCACTGGCTCACCCACCCCAATTCCTACGGCAACACCAACCAGACGTCCTAGTCCAATACCCACCTCTCGACCAACTTTGCAGCCTGTAACGCTAAGGCCAACATTTCGACCCACGCCGCAACCAACATTTCGACCCACGCCGCAACCAACGCCAAGGCCCAGCCGAAGGCCAACGCCAAGGCCGAGCCGAAGGCCAACAGCGCAACCAACGGTGGCTGCAGTGCCACCGACGTCATCTGGAAATCAAGATTGCCCTAGCATGATTGCTGTGGAAGGAAATGTCACAATTACGTTCTTCTTTGTAGACCGAGGTCCGACGGAGGAGGAACAAGTTGAAGCATACAACGCCACCATCGATTTCTTTGACGACACGTTTCGAGCTGCCTTCCCGGGGACCTTTCAATCTACGGTGCAAGCAGACATGATCAGCTCGACGTTTGATTTCGACGAGCGCGACCTGACGATTGAAATTGCCTCTCAGTATCTGTTCTCGCCATGTGCACCATCCCTAAATGAAGCCCAATCTGCTGTTGACAACGCCGACTATGACGCATTGTGGTCGGATTATGTTCGTCCTGAATCTACCGACGTGGCCAATCTACTTGTGTTTGTGGAAGGGGCTTTTTTCGAAGGAGGTCCTACAGATGTACCGGTATTGTCGGGTGGACTCGAGATCGTTATCACAATCGAGTATCGTGTTGGAGACGCCGCTCCTGCGAGTCCCACCGATGCGGAGATTGACAACTTACTTGATGCCAAAGCAGCTTTCTACGTGCAAACGTTTCAATCCGCATTTGGAGATTCATTCATTTCACTGAATGTGGTCGAATTCTCGGACATGGAAAGTCCATCAAGTGGAGGTTGGGTAACTGAATTTGTGGCGAATCTAAGTTTAGAAGATCCTTTGCCGGATACAGACACGGTGATCGCGGTAATTGAAGAAGCAGAATACACAACCTTTATCCTCGAAGAGGTCCTTCAACTTGGCCCTTACTTTGCCTTCGTGAATGGCCTCGACCTCGTTGCAGGTGCTCGGGTCGTCTGAACAAGTGCGTGTGGTTGTTGAAAGCAATGCAATGCATGCATTGCGAACAGTTACAGTAAGGGTCCAGTGCTTCCAGATTTGACTCGTGAAGGGAAGGGCAACCCACACCCATCCTCAATTGTAAAGTAGCTGGCTTTAATGAGATAGTCTTGCAGTATACAGGTAGCTAGCTATCTTGCTCAATCTAAGATCCCAAAGCTCGAGCTGCTCGTGTTGTCCTGAGTGTCACTCAAAGATTTAAGACCCTCTATCTTCGTTCATACGACTGCTTGTACCAGGTAGGGGATCGCGCGCTTCGAATTTTTTTATTCAATAAGACAGCAACGGCATTTGTTTCCGTGGAGGTCCACAATCTTAAGGATCGAGACTTGACCAAGAGGATCGACGATGAGAGAACGATTTGATCCTCCCGCTGACCCTCCAATGGGTTCAGAAGATGCCACTCGACTTGAACGAGAAGAAGAAAAAACAGAAGAAATCGCTCCACCGAGTAACACCGCTACGCAAGGACACGATCAAAATGGCCAAGGCGATGGTGGCAACGGAAATCGATATCCCGATTGGATGTCACCCTCTATGGCATACTTGAAAGGCCCTGCAATTGGTCCAGCGGATCCCACGTTGGTTGGACAGGCAACAACAGGGGCAACACCACCACCATCACCAAGCCCTGCAGCTGCAGCGATTCCAGGAGCTCAACCAATTGGTCCTGCTCGTGATTCAAACCCTAACCCTAATCAAGCTTTGCAACCCAGGAGGTCTCATGAACTTTCTCCTTCCATGGCCTACCTGAAAGGTCCTGCTGTAAACGATGTTGGTCCTGAGGCTAGACAGCAGCAAGCGCCACCAAGCCCTGCACAAGCTATTCCAGGAGCTCAGCCTGTTGCGGGGCCTCCTAGACATTCAAACTCCAACTCTGATGCTCGCCAGTCAAGGACCAGTGGACAGCCTTCGGCTACCTACACATCCACTGCATCCAGAGCTACCACTAGCACCCAATCCAACAATGCTCCTGTGGTTGCCTCGGATGATCCGCCTCTCTTGGAAGCTAGGTTGGTTACCTCCAGCATGCTTATAAAGGAAGAATCTCAAGCCACTGCCCCATCCGGCATGGCATGGTACATTCCCACTACAGCAGGATCCAAGTGGTTGTGTTTTGGATTTGCCTGTTTGATTGCTATTGTCACTGTTGTTGTCATTTTATGTGTGGGTGGAGTCTGCAGGGCTGGTGATGGTCCAACACCTGCCCCAGTCGCAACCACTACTAGCGGTACCAATGCTGGAACTTTCGGGGGTTCTACTCCCACGACGACTGGGGATCCCGCTGCACCAGGGACACCGGCAACCGCCATGCCGACAATGGCAGCCACACCTGCAGTCACCAGCGTGGCTCCGACGTCCGAATCGTCCACTACCGCTGAAATGCCTTCGATGGAGTCAACCAACCCACCAGTTTTGGTCATCGATGTGGCATCGTCGACACCTACTTCGGAACCCGTTGCTATTCTGACGACTCCACCGCCCAATACCCCACAACCGTCCAGTCAGCCGGCAGCATCAAACATCGTCTACAGGGCCAGGTACTTTGGTCGATTCCAGCATGTTCTCAGCCCTGGATGCCAGGCTCCGAATCCTACAGTAACGCTCTATTGCGGAGGACAAATCGAAAACGTCAGGACGACAAATCCTGACATTCGCTGCGCTGCTGCGAATAACTTCACGTTATCAGATGGTCGCAACGCAGTAGTGTGCGAGCCTCTCTGTGCGGGAGCTGCTTGCGAAAGTGTGTTTGTGTCCACGCGCACTCTTGGGGCGGAACCGATTGGTGGCATTTTCTTTGAATGCACGGGCAGGATTCCTCTGGATGTGTTTGGTGGATTAGGGATTACGGGGAATACACGGACTCCCGGATCTTGTAACGGTACGGACCCAAATTCTCACAATTTGAGGCTCGTGCAACTGGGATTGTCCTGTCCTGTGGAGGGTGCTGAGGCCGAATACGTTTTTGATAATCTGTATGTTGAGTGCGGTCCTGGTAATATGCCAATTCAGCTCTATGGCAATTACACATGCCACTACGGACGAACATGCGGTAGTTCGCCTTGTGAGGTATCCTTTGACCAACAATTGCTTATTAATGCCGACCCCAATCGATTTGAACACTGCATCATTGCCAGCGATGAAAGCCCTGTGCCAGAAATACCAGAACCAGAAATCCCTCCGCGTCCGGATGGAATATACACGGCACGATTCAATATGGTTTGGCATTTTCTCGCGGACATGTCAGTCTGCATTGGAAGTGAAGCAGAGATACGTGCAACCTGTACGAACGGGAATATCACGATTCTATCTCAGGAAGCCGACAAATGCGCGCAGGTGTCTAGCAGCGCTGTTGTGTGTAACGGAAATCCCGCGATGGTTGAAGGAATGGTGGAATACGTACGTTCCCTCTATTAGTGGCAATATGTTTCCTGGCACGTAACGGAGCTCTCAAAAAGCGCCTTTCCTTTTCCAATTTCTCACATGGGCAGCAATGTTCTTCCTTCAATGAGCTTCCCGATTCGACGGCGGAATTCGCGACAGGTATGTTATTCTTGAGTTCGGAATTTCTCTCCAGAAATTCTCTAACATCGGACGCTTGTACTTGTGAAGGCACAACAAATTGTTTTTCGTCATCAGTAGAACAGATCGTAGAACACATTCTTCAGCTCGGAATCTTCTGTGGAGATCAGTTTGTGTATGAGGATATTTTTCTGGAATGTGGAGCTGGAGACGACTTTGACATCATCGCTTCCGAAGGATTTTCTTGTTTGGAGTCTGTTACAATCCCACCTGAACCCGGCGCCGGTACATACACCATCCCAGCTGTGTTCATTGAGACCGACTACAGATGGCACCGTCTGGCATCAGATATCTGTTTCGATTTCGAACCAAACTGAGCTTGCTTCCCCAAAGCGCCAATGACATCCTGGAAAATGTTCTACTCTGCAGGTAGAGGCACATCGAAAACAGCAAGAGAATATTAGCACAGTTGGTTCTATAAAATTATAATGCAACGTGTCGGAGTAATAATGAAACACAGGGGTAACAGTTGCAACGACCCCACGGCCCGCATGTGACCTAGCCACTGGAGAGAATGGCTTGTGCGCGCGTCTCGGGAACTATCGCTGGCGACGTAGCAAACGTCACTTCATTCGATTCGCTGGCATACTCCTCGGGGTTGTAGACTGCCCTGCTTCGGCTGGGAGAGCCCCAATTGTTGAAGAGCGCAGCTGCTTCTTTGAGATGATTCTGGGCATCGCTTGTCAAGCCATGGCGGATGTACAAGGCGGCAAGACGTTCATGCGCCAGAGCTCGATCATGGGGGACGCTCTGTTGCTCTGAAAGGAGGATGGCTTCTTTGAATAGCTTGACCGCCTCAGGAAACGGGTTCTTATCGAGTGCTGCTTGCTCTGCTCTGACAAAGCAGAAATACCGGCAAATGTTTGGATTGCCATTCTTGGACCATGCCTTGATCTTTTTAGAATGAAAAGCGGCCATTTGCTTGTACTTGTTCTTCTTCGTTTCAGCATACAAGGCAAAGAATGCCACGGCGCAATTCATATGCAGTGAAGGCATCGCGTGAGCTCCGTGGAAGATCTTGTCAAACTCTCCCTTGTAAACGTTGTGCTTTTCGATCAGTTTGACCGTCTTTTGGTAGTCGCCAGCCCAGAATGTGCTGTGCAAATGCAATCGTTCAATGTGGCTCTTCGAGTTTCCGTCGGTATCGGCGCGTTCTGCAATTCTCAGGAGTGGAGCCCAATCCTCCGGACGGCCACGCATGGTCAGTATCATTTGCCACACTGCCCTTGTCGGCAAGGATATCTTGTCCTGCTTGAGATCCACCATTTGCTGGACGTATGCCAGGCAATCCTTCTCCAAGATCCCAAGTGGCACACCCATGTGGAATCCCGATTCGAGATAGCAAAAGATGGACCACAAGGCGTTAACTGCATCGCCACACGCCATACCCACTTTGTATCCCTCCAAGAAATACAAGCGGATATGGGATGGGGGGGTTCGCCAGTGCAGAGTAAAGCCGGCTGCGATGAAAAGTGTTCGAGACTTGGTTGATTGACTGATTTCGTCGCGGTCGTAAAGCGCCAACGCCGCTTTTCCAAATTTGCTGCACCCTTGCAGGTCGGAGAATACGGCTGCCATAAGCATCCCCGTCGTACACAACATCGGAGGCGTGTAGTCACAAATTCCATGCTTGATGGTGTATTGGAAACTTTTTAAGATGACAAGAGGGAACATGCTGGACTGGCATTGATAGCTGTATGTGCTGAGCATATCGAGCAACTGCATGGCCCATTTCCGGGATGGATCAGTCATGACTGGGAGTTCTAGAATGCGCTTTTCCAATGTCTGTACGGAGAGCTCGGTTTTGAGCATAGATGCCATGATATGCATGGTCCATCCATACTTTGGGAATTTCAGTCCTAGCTGTGCGAGGACTTCTATACACTTTTCCATGGCTTCTTCCGTGTGACCTTGGGCATTGATTGTTTCCATCCACACATTGTAGGCACGTTGCTTGTCCAGGATAGGCCGGCCAGGCATGGCCCAACACACATGTTCACAGCAGATGCGTGCCTTGTCCAAATCCCCGACGCAAAAGTGTGCTTGCGCGGCCGACGAGTAGAGTTCCAAGCTCAACTCGTAATGACAGTGCCATGGATCGTTGGTGGGTAGCAATCTCATGCCTCTGTCCAGATACATGACCGCACTGACATAGGCGGCTGACTTCATGGCCTTGACGCCAGCTTTCCAGTTGAGGTCCGCCAGTATGAGCCGATTATCTTCTCCCACAGGCAAATGGTCCGTATCACAATCCAAGAGCCCCGCCAGAATGAACACGTATCGATCCAAGTCTGCCTGTCCGTACTCGGCCATGAGAAAGCGCCCCAGCTGGAGCCTTCGGTCCACGAGTTCTCTCTCCTCCAATAGCGCATATGCCGCTTCCTGAATTTTGTCATGCTCCCATTTGATCTTGTCGTTTTGTTTGTACAGAATTCCTTCTGCCACGCATCGCTTCAAAAAGACGTCCGGTGGAACAGTACTATCGTCCGTGTTTTCGTTTTCGTCGGGAGTGGGCATTTCGGTGTTGGTTGTAACGTTGGAACGACTCCTATTTCTCCTACCGGTATTGTTACTGAGGAGCTGGTTAAAATGAGGTACGACTCGTTCGAGAATGGAGACTTCAAAGGATGCCCCGAGACAAGCCACGACGGGCAAGAGCCGCCGTATTCCATCGGGTAGATTCTGTAGCTTAGCTCCAATCATTTCGACTACATTTTCCGAGGCTCGTTCTCGGACCTCAATTTGTTCCAAGTCCCATTCCCATTGGAGTTTTTCCAAGTTGAATGTGAGAAGGGGCGTATCGGTCAGTTGCTTGCTGGCCAATGACTTGAGTAGCTGAATGACATACAGTGGGTTTCCTTCTGTCTTGCGATGAATGCAATCAGCCAGGGGCATGGTTTCTTGTTGTTGTGTTGATGAATTATTGGCCGAGAGGACATCCGCGAGTAGCTCGTTGACTTGATTTCGATCCAAGTTTTGGACTTGTAGTTGTTGTGTGATGATGGTGAAGGAGTTTGGATTCTTGCTATTTTTGCAGTGTTCTTGAATGACCATTAATGTTTGTTTGAGTGGATGTTCCTCTGTAACTTGTTCGGTGCGGTAGCTGACCAAGATCAAGACCCCGTTCTGAATATATTCATTGCCACAACCTGTACCTGCATGATTAGCCGTGTTGGTATTGGGTTCAGTGACAATGTTTTGAATGAGATCGAGTGAGGCCGCATCGGCCCAATGACAATCATCGAGGAACAAGCATACGCGTCCAAAGGATGCAATGATATGGAGTAGTTTTCGAATGGCAAAATTGAATCTATTTTTGGCCTCATTGTATCCCATGCTGACCGAGTAGGAATCGTTTTGGGTGGCTGTTGCTGTGGACATGACCGATCTCGTCGAATTATTAACATGGCTGTTGGACTCGTGGTGACTTGATGGATGGTCTTGTTTTGGTGCAGTAGTATCTGCGGGAAGATAGGAGCCCCCCACAATTTGAAGCAGATCCGGAAAGACGGTGGTCAGTACTTGCAAGGTTTCCGTATCCAGTTCTTGCTGGAGTTTAGCTTGGACATCTTGAAAGGAGAACTGCCACTTGTCTCCCTGGTGCATGGGATTCTCCTTATGAGCAAGTAGAGCATCGCAAAGCTCTCTGCAAGCCATGGTAAAGGCTGCATAAGGTTCTACTGCATTGCTGTTATAGCTATGGACCGTGCCACGGGAAGTGCCCGTAATGGATGTGCAGCATTGGTTCTGTTGCTCATACTTGCCACTAAGGAAGAATCCTCCCTTTTGCCGGACTAGCTTGCGTAACTGATAGGCTAGTGCTGATTTGCCCGAACCGGAAACTCCTGAAATCTCGACGAGCTGTCTACTACGTGTATTTCGTGTGTTTTGAAAGGCGTCTCGGAGCTTTTGAACCTGTGCGTCTCTTCCATAAAGTCTCTGATCAGCGTGTAAGTCCAACTTGAGTTTGTTCAGTCTCATGCAACTTGTACCTGATGTACTAGTAGTAGACCGTCGTTGACTGACACTCTGCGAAAGCTCCATCGATCTACGAAAGTTTTCCGAGCGGGGCTCAATGACATCAGTGGGGTTTTCCCGCGGCTTTTCCCACGAGGAATCCACGCCTAAACTAAAGCCAGAAGAATCGCGGCCCTTGGTGAAGCCACTGCTCAGGGCACTTACGCCATCGTCTCCTCCACCATACATAGCGTGGGGGAGATAAGCATGTCCGTGGCTGCTTAAGATACTCCCATTGCCGTTGTCGTGGACGGCAAAGCTCCCGGGACCAAAAGGACCTGATCCTCCTGAGTTGCGTGCAGTTACCACGTGTACATAGTCCAAGCAAGTATCCGAGTTGCGCAGACTAGTGCTCGTTACACTGTGGCGGCGACTCGTCTGATCCATAGAGGAGCGCCTCTTCTTCTTATTGCCGACCAGTGGGAGCTTCATCTCATTTTTTATAAAACAAACAAAAACACAACCAATGATGATCCCAAAGTTTGCTTCAAGTTGCTGTTTGTGTTAGTTTCACGTGTGCCATGCAGGGGTACAGTACTACCAGTAGTACTGTACTTCCGGATGCAACGATGAACCACCCGATGCCCACGACCATGTGGTGTCATACACGCACAGTTTTGGGGTTGTTGGTACACGTACGCGGTGGTGTGGCGTGATTGAAAACATACAAAGCAATAAGAGTTACGGACGGGTAGACAGACGACAAAGAGAAAAGTATAGATGCATAGTTGGAGTCCAAAGGTAGGTGCGATTGACTGCGGTCTGGATGGCTTGTCTCGTACCGGTACATCTATCTACGAGTACTAGTTTCACCTCAAATGTAAGATATCAATATTTTTTCAAAAGCAAGCAGTATCCTTCGATAAAGGAGATTGCAATCTTAATGAAGGGGAAAGAAAAACAACAATCAAGGATTTATGACCAGACAAGGCCAGAAACCATTAAATCCCGACGACAGAGAATCTAACTGTTCTCATTTGCATGGCAGAATCAGATTCTGTTTGGTCATTACATGTACCATACGAACAGTCTCATTCAACACAACGATCACAAGCTGACTGAGCAGTTGAGGCGTCCAGGCCGTGCATAGGCTGCGAGTATCATTGGATGTAAGCAAGTCTCAGCCCTACCGTACCCCAACCTGTGGCTCTTTGACCTGCCCAATCCATCGTAGTACAACACTTTACAGTTGCCTCATGTTGTCTTTCTTGGCAGCAAAAATGATTCGATTCGATTCATCAAAAGAGGTACGGAATTGCCGAAATGAGCAACCAACCGTAACCTGTATCTTGAACTGCCACCGTACTAGCAAGCGACATTGCTGCAGGAGAGGCAAGCAAATCTACCAAGGTGGACTCTTCCCAGCCTTGTCTGCCCTGTTGCGAGCGTCCTCGATTGAAGCGACTTTCCATAGCTCTTCCCATCCAGCATCGAAAGCTGGCATGAAAGCTGGCAAGAAACTCACTTAGCACCTCCCCCCACTTCCAGTCCTCGAACGACTAAAATTGCTAAACAAAGTTGTTCAGGCGGTTATGAAATTTTGGGGGTACGTCAGTCCACTTATTGGCAGCATAAATTTAGTGATACTCGGTCCCCCAAGCCCCAAGTCGGCGCTGGTCCCCGATTCTTCGCATCCATCAAGAGAACGAGAGTCGAGTCATGGGAAGCCCATACCAGGGTGAGCACCGGTGAGCACTGACAACTGATGGTGACGAGTGGGTATTGGCAGAACAATTATACTTCTCAGTCCATTCATACTGTTGCTTCTGATCGCCAGCCACCATGGTATCTCTGCCGTCTGATCTCCCCTATCTAGCTACGCTTTCTTGGTCGGAACTCTATGAGTTGTACTGGGAAGAAGTGCACGAGACCGCTTGTCGGGGATTTGTGGACGGAGTCTGGTTGATGGTGTACATAATCATCCCAACGTTGTTGCTAGAGATGTGGTCCTTTGAAACTGCTGCAGCCTTGTACAAGAAAAACGCTCGCTTGTACAAAACTGCTTTTGCGCTCAATTTTTTCAACCATTTCGGGTTGGGTGCTATCTGCTACGCTTTTACCATTACATTCTTTGCCAAGAATGTGCCTCACCCCGTACTAGCTAGTACTGATTCTACTGACAGCACCATGCTGCTCTTGGCTAGTTACTATCTAACCATTGCTGGACAGGTATTGACTCTGATGATTGTTCATTCTCTGTGTTTTTATACCGTGCACAGAATCTTTCATACCTATCCCAAACTCTACAAATGGCACAAATTCCACCACTTGTTCAACACTCACGTCCCACCCATTACTGCCAACGCCGTGTCCCCGGTAGAATATCTCATTGGATACCTGATACCCTTTCTCATCAGCATGACACTGTTCCAGCACTGCGAACTGGCTCTTTGGATTGCCATTCAAGTCGTGAGTATCTTCAACATTGCCATGCACACCCCCAAGCTGGAACGTTACTATGACAAGATACTGCCCTCATGGATGGTTGGGACGGGAGATCATTTGGAGCATCACAAGAGACTGAACTGTCACTACGCAGCCCCCACCCTTGACCTGGACTATCTGGTGGAAGTGATTGGTGAAGAAGTGCACGGACTTTTGCACGGAACCAGTGTTTCGGATTTCAAAAAGAAGCAAGACGATGAAGTTTCAAGATAGATATAAGCGAAACGCTGTGCGTGCCCCTGGAGGAATGGGTCAACAAGGGTGCTGGGTCGATCGATTGCCTCTGGCTGCATTATTGGCGTGTCTTGGGCTTTTAGTTACAAAAAAAAGATATCAGATGAGCAAGACGCCCGAGCGAGAGAAGCAGAGCTACGAGCGCTTGTCTCATTTGACGAGGTATGCAATCGGGAAACAGCAGACGAAAGAAGATCTGTGCAAGTTAGTTAGTACTTGTAACTCTACTCTAGCAACGGCTGAGTTTGCAATGGGATGATTGGCTATGCTATGCGTGCAATCAAGTTCTATTAGTTCTTCAGCCAGTTAGCCAGCCAATGAAGCATGCCAGGACAGACCATGAATGTGGATCAGGCAGGGAGGTCGCTTCATTTCGAACTTGCTTGGCTGCCTCTCCATGCAGCGTGGGATGCAGGGAATGCTTCTAAGTGGCCCCTTCTGTGACTTCTTGATGATGCCAAGCAGAGGGACGTGCGCGAGTAGCACGTCACAGCCTAAGAGAGTCCGTGCTTTCATTCTGCACCCAACCAAGCAAAGGGAAACAAATGAAGCTTCGCAATGCTGTTGCTAGCTGCTGCACCCCATGCCAAGATAACAACCGCACGGCCTGGATGGCTGCTCTTTATAGGCGCTGTTGTGGTCTTTTCGGTTGTGAAGGATCCTGGCATCAAGCAGCCCCCCCAACAGGATGTATGTGGGGACTTGCGAGGATTCACTCCTCGCCAATACGTTCGTACTATCAGGGCCATCCTGATACCCTTCTTCGCAAGGAGGATAGTCACTAGTAAGTTTGTCCCTCAAGATCCCTGAAGGAAAAGCTACTGTGCGGTAAACTAAGCAAGGTAGATAGATGTACATGAAAGGTTTATCTTTAGTTCAGTTTAATGATTGATTGTTCCGTCAAGTCTTTGAATAGTTTAGTTTAGTCAGTTCATCTTATTTTATTAAGCTTTGTACAGTGATGGTATGTTCAGTTTTTTATTCTTTATTCAAGGTTTAGGTTTATGCTGCTCGTGCTCTTGGCACAGAGTTGCTAGTACATGCAGTAGATGAAGAGTGGTTTGAGGAGTGCTTTGCCAAGATAGCTGCAGATGTCATGGAGGACGCTGTGGCTGCCTGCTGTGCCTTGCTGACACAGAAGGAAGGCGTTCGACTGGGACGGCAAGGACGGGCATCTTTTCCTTTTCGGCTTGTTTGGCAGTTGCTGTTCTTGTTGGCACCTCGAATGGGGCGGCTGGGGGGATCAGTGCTTCGTCGTCTTTGGCAAGAGGATTGCTCTTCCCAGCGGCAGCAAGACAAATCGCATCGGACTGAATCGGATGATTGCTCTTGTGCTGCTTGCAAGTGGCTGCTTTGACTGTGGCTCAGGCAGCTGACATCTTGCATAACGGTACTCTGCTCTGAAACCACAACAGTTCCAGTAGACTGGTAGCAAGGGATGAAGATGTATTCTGGGATGGTCATGGTGGCTGATGGCTGATAGAATATAGAATAGATAGGTAAGCTAAGGTGCTTGGTTGCTAGCTTGGATCTTGGATCGCTTTTTGAAATTGTGAGGAGTGAGCTTACTACTAGCTAGAGCCAAAGCGGTTGCTGCGGTCGAGTGAATGCTATGAACCGAACTACCAAATCAGCAAATCGGAGGCCCAAACTCTGAGTCTTTTATAAGAAAGATAGCCCATGCAGTTCTCTAACGATGGTCAAAAACACAGCCATTGACTCAGCTAATACATGTACATAATGCCAATAAAAACCAACCAGACAAGGTTTGGATGTTTGGATGGGACTCTCAGACGAAAGCATCCGTTCCAGTGACTACCTTCCTAGAGCCTACCACAAGCCTACAGTATTTCTATAGTCAACGAAACACGCTCAGAACCTTTCGAACGTCGTTATTCAGACGCAGGTAGCTGTTATGACACTTCATTTTTCCAGACCTGTCTCATACTACCAGGTTTCCTACATACGTCCCAATCCCAGCAACCACTGACCCCCTTTAACAGGCACATGAACCCCTGTCAAGGCCACATAATGCTCGTACTCAAGCTTACGGAGCCTCAGAACTGTCACTAATAGGAACGATACTTACCCTTACACGTAAGTTAGTTAGCTGACTTTGCCCTAAAGCGGCCGAAAAGGTGCTATTGAGGACATTTCATTTAGCATTACTATGAAGAAAACAGTGCCTATATTTGGAGCACCCAAAACACCAAAAGCGCCAGAAACTCTTCCATTAGCAGCGGAATCGACAAAGATTGTCCTGGAGAGGTTTTGAGGGGTATATCAGAATTAACCGATTAGAGTCCCGTTGACCACTAGGCCCGCCAGATCCCAGAAGGTGATATTCACTTTGAACAAAACAGTGGACGAGGAGTTGTTTGAAACGCAGCTGAACTCTCAATTTCTGCAGCTGTTTCTACTATTGGCAACGAGACCAATTCAGGTGAACGATAAAGCGCCTAATCAGTCCCGGTAATGGACACATTCCTGAGGCTTCCCTGTAAAAAACCAAAAAAGCGATACAACCTACTAGTACCTTGTCTACTGTAGTACTCACCTTTTTGTACTAGTCTACGTATCGTACTGTCAACACAAGGCTGAAGGACCCCATCAAAGCAGCTGTTAGCACGAAGCATGACTGATAAAACGTCTTCCCTGCGCTGGTGAGTCATGGTGTGAAGTCTTCCCTTGGCTGGTGACAAAACTTCTTTTTTCTGAATCAGCGGCTGCCACCTACCTTTGATCCAGCGGAACACAACCCTCCACAGAAATAGACGGTTGTTCTCCCAGTTCCCATGCTTTAGATGGGCACTGAAGATCTGTCCAGTTCACAGCAATGTCAATGTATATCTTTAGGTGATCATCACAAGAAGCGTGAACTATTCACTTTCTGATGCGAATGCCTGCTTTGACACTTGTTGGTGTCTATTAGGAAGAGGACCCCGGTATCAGCCACTGGCCGCTGGCGTCAGGGGAACACTCAGGGAAGGGTAGGGTCATCAATTTTGGTTGTTTTATGTCTGCGGTCCACCTGGTTTCGCAAAAGGAGATTTCAAAAGATCTTTTTACATTCTTGCCGACACTCGAAAGCCCAGCAAAAAGACCAGCAAAAAAGGTGAACTTTGCCGGTTTTTTTTGTTTGTACCAAGATCTACCTATTTCTATTTAGGTTGGACAAAGCAGCTACAAAGCAATCTGTCCCAGCACTAATACCCCTCCTTTCTAAGAGAATTCGGGGTTATTAATAGTTCGCAAAGGTGGTTTTGAACTTCTTCCTTTCTCATTTTGAAATCTACCAGAGATACAGGAAACTAATGTGGGAGAGACCATCTTCAGGTTCTAGCAGCAATCAATTATTCCAGCTGTACCGGTACAAGTGATCTTACGGCTTTTGTACTATTGATAAGAAGCAGAACCCTCGTCAGTTTTGTTGGGGTCTTTGCCTGCCTTAGGTCTGCCTTCGAGGTCTTACGGTACAGGTTTGGAACGGCTTTTACGCTACTAGCTAGCGGATCTCTGGCGGTCTTTGGAGGTCTTTGCGGTCTTTCAAAAAACTGCACACGCTAATGGACGCTATGCGGTAAGACTTGGGTTCAGCTGGGCCATTCCAGTTGATTTCACCTGCTAACGTGGCAGGTTGGGTGACGCTCTCTTGGACTTTGGAGCTCTTTGACAAGATTCAGAGTGTATTTTGTCGGATGTAGGACAGTTCCTTGCTGTAGTAGTACAAATTGACACTGTAAAGAGCGACAAAGTCGGTTGTCGTCTGAATCATATTGTACTAAAACGTGGCAGTAGGCATTCTCTGTAGCTGGCAGGAAGGCTAAGTCTGTCTCCCCGGTTTTTGGTGCAAATTTGTCAGTTCTACCTGATGTGTCTGTAGAAATCATCGTGAATGGGTACAAGGGTGAAAGGTCACGCCTCGCGATGGCGTCTAAAATCCTACTGTACCACACAAGATTTCTACGTGAGGCACGCACCTCCCAGGATTCTGTTAGATCGATCTACCGCGTACTAGCTACTAGCTAGTTAGCTAGTAGATGTATGTACATGTATGTATGCAGTTTAGGGCGTTGGATCTTTTGGAAGGTTGTCCGATGAACTTTGGAAGCTTTTGAGGAGAGAGGATCCAGACAGTCTCACAATTTCCAAAAGCTGAAAAGCAAAAGCAACCCACTACTAACACCCATCAATCAAACCAACCCAACCCCCACAAACTCTCAATTTGATCATCCTCAGAACCTCTTCAACTCCTTTCAAGCCTTCACATACCTTCAAATACCTTAAGTTAAGTAAAGCCAAGCTAAGTATAAACCAAGCCAAGATGAGTACCTCCTTCAGTGTCAGCGCCTACAGCCACATGAGCTCCGCCTTTGACAACGTGTCTCCCATGAGCGTGATCATTGGAAGAGGCCGCAAGATCCGTGAGCATCCTGGCAACCAGCGCTTCTACGCCCTTGTTCGTTCCTGCCTGGAAGCTTACGCCACTGCTCCTACCAAGACCAAGAAGAGTCTGATCATCCTCAAGATCCTCAATGACGTTCGCTCTGCTTGCAACAACGAAGCCAACTTTGTCAAGCTGGACACCAACACGGGAGAGTACTACCCAGTCGAAGAGTCCGCCGCTCGAATCACCATTGCTCAGGCGCTCAGGGATTCTCTCAATGAACACTACAAGAGCTCCAAGCAGCACAAACAGCGTCGTCGTCTCATTCAGAAGAGAGCTACTGCTTTCTCTGCTGCTGCTGCCAAGAACACCTGGAACTCATCAAGCAACTCCAGCATCAGCAGTGCCAGCAGCACCACTTCCTCCTGCACTCATACTGGCAATACCAACATGATGGATGCCATGAGCATGAACTTGAACTTGAACCTGAACTCTGTTCTCCAAGACATTCAGCCTTTGGCCATGGCAAGACCCACCCTCGCTCTCACCCGTCAAGTCTCCAATGGAAGTTCCAACAGTGCTGCTTCTTCCAACAACTCTGCCAAGATGAGCAGTCTGCGCAGCATTCTCGATCAAGCGGTGGGAATCTCCAAGAACCACCATGTTGCTGTTACCGGTACTACACAAGAACAAGAAGAAACCGTCATGGATGACGTTTTCAGCTCGCTCTTCAAGGCTTTCGGACCTTCTTCCAATGCCAATGTCAACCCATTCGAGCCTACTCCCATTGCTGAACAACAGCAGACAGCATTGTTCAGTGACAATGCTTCTTATGGAAGCATCGAACAAGACTGGGAACCATTTCCTATCCGCTTGTAAACAGCCCTTCCACTTCCTTCAGACTCCTCTTGTTCACAACTATTTTACTTCTTTTGTACAATCACTGCTTTCTTCCAGCTTCCTGCTCCTCCTGAACATGTAACTGTACAAACAAACGCAGAAAGGCAGCAACACGAACAAACACATCGCTGCAAAACCAAAACATACAATGATATTCACATAAACTACTCAAACTATAGACTCTTATCACTATTACTGTTACTACATCATTGTCTGGCATGGCCTGTATGTCTAGCTAGCCACCGTACTAGAAACAGCAACGACCTGAACACGAAACCCAACCAAACCTCAGATCCAAAGGGACAGATCCACACTGCAGTCAAAAACAACATCCCAAGCTCTCATGTTCTTCTTGCTTCCGCTGATGTCAGGTAGACATTGGCACCCAAACAACTTTAGTATTGGTTTCTTCTGCTTACTTCCTTTAGAAAACTAGACTGGCCTACCGGTACAAAGGACTTCGTGGCATGTCCTTTATTGGTAGCCACTTACCAAAATCCAAAGTATCATAATATTCCCAATGCTCCTACATTCAAGTCCAAGTAAGATAAGCCTTGGCCTATTGGCGGCCTGGATGTATCCATCCAACAACAGCCTTCTTACTAACCCAAGAGCTGTCGCCCACTACTACAGTCACAATATCTACTACAGCATGACAACATGACATCGCAGCTAGCTAGCTGACTAGAGAACCATGACTGCATTACGAATCTCTTGCTAGCTAGCTACACTAGTGTACTGTACTACCGTACTGAGTGGTAGCTACTGTGGCTAGCCAGCAACACAACCAGCAAGCACGCGATGGTGACTTCCTTGTTGCCAGAAACCTTCGTACACTCGGCCAAGTTGTGCCGTCTGAAAAAATCGGTACACCAAGGTACCGTTATTAGCTAGCTAGCCAATAGATAGGACAGCCTACAAATAGAGTTTTGAGCAGCAGAGATCTTTTTCGCACTGGGGTAGCTGGAACCTTTTACGGGACTGGCGGCAGTAGTTGATCTCCACAGTAAAGACAAAAACCGGGAGTGGGTATGGAAAGCCTACTAAAGATTGTACTCTTACATCTTATAGTTGTCGAGAGTCCTTACATCCTTTTCACTCCCAGAACACCATTGCATGTCCGAACGGAGAAGTGTAGCCCGTTCATGGTTGCTCCAAAAGCCAGCGAAAGGCGAATCATTCCGGTGAAGTTTGGTGGAACTTCGTAAGAAGGGCTCCGGGTACCGGTACCGTACCAGGAGGAGGGGGTGGGTGTGGTCTGTCTCAGCAGGTGAAAACTACACCTCGCCGGGATTGATAAGCTGGCAACAACCAGAAACCAAGGGGCATCAATTTGCTATGGTCGGTTGCCAATTCCACCAATAATATATTATAGCTAGGGGACGGGAATTTTCAGCGGCACCATACTACTCCAGATACCGGCAGCAAGCAACGTGGGCTCGTCGGTGCTTCAGAGCTTTTGATTTGTCCAACAAACAGGGAAGCTCCTCGTTCAGGAGGTCTTGACTGTCTCAACCAGAGTGAGGCAGTGGCACCACGCACAACAGACATCCTCACATTCACCCCTTGTGGGTCCATGTCCTGGACCCTCACTCCTGCCGAAACCGTATTGCCTGACCATCACTTTGTTTCAGGTATCAGGTCAGGCGACAAAATCGTCTACTCAGTATTGAGAAGGCCCAGCTTGACAGAACCGGATCTTGTAACAAGATATTAGTTTTATAAGTCTAGACCCCTTGGCCATCCGGGCCATCAACTCGTCAACAGTCAAGATCAGAAACAACAAAAGTCAACAGTCGAGCCATGCATCATGCCGGGACAAGTCGCTCACTTTTGACTTGTTCTCGATTGATGAAGCAGTCAAGCAAACATCCAAGCAGGCTTTCCCCCAGCTTTCAGCAACCGAAGGGCTTCAATGCCAAGCTGGATTGCATAGCTCCGACTTCTCACCTTGCCCGCGGCAGCAGCGAGTTGCTTCTGCCTGACAACTTCTTGAAAGGAAGAAATCTCCTGCCTCCGGGCTCGATGGATCCCTTAGCTACTGTTGCACCCTGGCAACAAGGCGAGAACCTGCGGACGAAATATCCGGGCCACCACTCGCTCAGCTCTCTGCAACTCCTCGCATCCGGATCTACGGTTATGCGGTCTCCGTCGCCGTTTTTGCTAGTCTTGGTTGCCGCCATCTGAGGATAGCTGGTCGTGATGACCACGACGAATTCGCCCTCGAGCTTGTCTTGGCACGAGGTCTTTTGGTTGGCTTTCGCTGCCTGCTCGGGTTGATCCATAAGACGTACGTTGATATGGGAATCCTGGCTGCCCCTTGCCCTGGTCAGTTGCTTGCTTGTGCGTCGCTCCTGGCTCCTGGGAGTTCCGCCAAGTGTCGTCCGATGGGCTCTCGGGGCTGCTGATGTATTCGCTCCCCAGTCTGTATGACATGGCTATTGGCCGGAGTTGCCTCCATCCCTCGTGTCAGACCATTTGCAGTCGTAATACATGGAGGGCTTGCCCAGGTGCCGCCATGACGAGGAGGACGGTTCGAAACCCTTGATACCCGAGCAACTCTCAGCTCTTTGTCGTCCTCCTCGTCAGACTTGTTGCTGGTTGGATCATCCATGGTGCCCCTTCGATCTCGTCAAGCTCCCATCGAGAAGTCTTTGTCATGGTCAGCAGGAACCTACGTACTGGTACGGTAGCGCAGCACCATGAACACCCGACCTATATTAGATCTGGAACTACAATCGTGGTCCTGCATTTCAACCCGAAGCCATGACACCTGGCCTACTCCCGGACCCGCTGCAGTATCTACCGTTACGTAGCCCAAGTCCAGGAACCATGTCTAGTCCCATTGCCGGCTGTTGGTTCTCTATGGGGTGCCCGCTTACAACTTCGCGCATGCCGAATAAGACAAATGGATAAGACATCAAATCCTTTATCTAATTTGATCGCTCTCTAAATCCGTCCTAGTTAGAGTCGTACAATAGGAAAGTCCGCGAGTAAGGATAGTAACGCCTTTAACCTTCTTCAAGTTTTGTATTTAGATAAATCCGGCCGTCCCATCGCCTTCCACTCTTCTAATCGAATCGAATCCACTCCGGAAGCACAGCCGATTGGAACCAACCGGATTGCTTTCGATCGATACCAGCACGGCGCCGAATGAGTGCAGCCACAGTCGATCAGCATTGCTTGTGTTATCGACACTGTTGTCTGTTGCTTGGGCGTGTTGTCTCTTCATCTGCTTGTGTGGGTTGCCCAAGGGTTGTTAGTAGAACAGACTCATGACAATGCGCACTCTGAATTTTGGAAAACCGGTGTTCCTACCCTCGAAAATCCAACAGATCCGTTGCTGCTGGTTTGAATTGTTGACGATGATGATGCTTTGTCCTTCCAAGCCAATCCTCTTCTCTGCACTGTCTGATCGACCATGTCGAACTCCTTGCTTTATCTTCGTCAGCCTCCGATGGCTCCGATGGCTCCCATGGCTCCCATGGCTCCCAGGCCTCCAGGAGTGCCAATTGTTCCTCCGCGGCAGCAGGAAACAACAACAAGAAAACGTGCATCTTCCAAAAAGACAAAGCGAACAAGCCAAGAGTGGCGACAGGAATTGTTGGCAATCTATGCAGATATTCTCCGTGTTCGATCCACGGGCGAAAAGCTATCTCTTCGAGCATTTTGCATGAAGCAACCAAATGAAAATGATTCGAATCGATACAAACGGATTGCTGCCATTTGGAGTGAGCTCCATTTGGAGGATTTCCTTTCCAAGAAAACACCAGCAACTGATCCACTTCTACTTGAAACAGTCAACAAACGTTTTCCAATTGTCATCGAGGAGTCTGCAGTGGCAGTTGTGACGAAACGAAAGAACGAGATGCGGTCGCCGGAAGAATGGCGTACCTTGCTTTTGAACGTCTACATTTTCCTTTTGAGTGCCAAGGCGTCAAACAGGAAGGAGAGTATTCGATCCTACTGTGTGAATGTTCTGAAAGAAGAGCAAGGGTATAGGAGAATTGCAGAAATTTGGAAGGAGCTGCAATTGGATTCGCTCCTAGCAAGTGATGTGACATCTATGGACGAACGTCTCACAAGCATTCTCATCCAACGATTCCCACTGCATGACAGCTCCACAACCGGGGTTGCCAAGCGAGATTTACGTCCCCAGTCCAATTCATATTTTGACGCAGGCGAAGAAGCAACGCTCTGTGAGATTGTTGCTGGCTGTGCGAGGGCAGGATTTCCGCTCGAAAAGGCCGATCTGAAAACTCTCGCTGAACAATATCTCATTGCTGATGGAATCAGAGGAGGAATCAATAGCACAGGAAGGATGAGTATGGACACAGTGGAACGCCTTTACAAGGAGGGACAACTGCTGGCCAAATCGAATGTCAATCCAATCGACCCAAAGAGAGCAGCACAGGCTGACAAGCAAGTTCTGAATGCATTCTATCACCAAGTTGATGCGTTTGTGAAGATTGCACATGAGTTGAATCCCACTGTTTGGCCAGACGAAAAGTATGCAAATATCCCACCTACTAGGATTTACAACACTGACGAACAAGGACCCAATCCAACACATCTACGCAATCCTGTGCTTATTCCAAAGGATATGTTGGAGCGCTCTCGTCTCTTTCAAAACACGAGGGAAGGTGATGGAAAGATGGCATTTCATTACAGCGTGGCCAACATTGTGAGAGCTGATGGAGTCCAGTGTCATCCACACGAGTCGATAGAAGGAGCACCAGCACCATACGTCCTCATCTCAGATGCCTCAGGTAGCAACGACCTTGACAACATGGATAAGGCCGATCGTGACAAGATCCTTGCAAACCAAAGTGAATCTGATGAAATTACGCTCAATCCAAGCGTTCTAGATGGCTGGTTTGATGATTATCAAGTCGGAAGAAATGACAAGGAAGTTAACAAATATGGCTTTCAAGTGCGGACAACACCAACTGGAAGCATGCTGAAGCGAACGTTCTTTGACTTCATGCTACATTTCATTCGGCACCTTCCACACGACCAAGGTCCAAACGGTGTTGGCGTGGTCCTTTTTCTTGACTGGCATTGCTCTCGTGAGTGCCCTCAGTCGCTGTTGACAGCTTTTTTTGTATACAATGTGATGCTCTTTGTGTTGCCGTCCAAGACTTCCATCTGGGCCCAACCATGCGATAATGGAAAGAACGAGCTCACGGCAAAGGATATTGCAACGGCTGCTCACAGTCTTGGCCTGTTCACTGGCTCAACTCTTGATCATCTTGAAGCAAACAAGATCTTTCGCCAAGGTCTGGAAAAGAATTGCCTTGATCAAAACGATGAGTTGCGTCGGACGGGAAGCAATGCAGTTGTTAGCTCATTCAAAAAGACTGGGTTGTATCCGATGGATTACGACAATGAAGGATGGAAATCAGCCATTCAAAACTTTGGAAAGCTGAATGAACTCTTGCGAGAGCAAAGAAGAGAAGCTGGAGAGCGACTGCCAGAGTTTTATTGGGTGGTTAAAGCAAAAGCTGTCGACCAGAGAGACCAGCTGAGCCAGCAAGAAGTAGATTCGATTAGAAGCTTCCTCCCAATCGACGACTTTCTTGTCAATTTTGGAGATGAAGATGATGGAGACGATGGATCCAATCCAGTGGAGTTGCCGCTCCTAATCCTTGCAGTTGCTATTGCTGAGCAGCTGCTTGGAAGCTGTACGCTGGATCCAACAAGAGACGTGAATGAAGCTCCAACTCCTCAAACTCGCTGCGAGACGGCAGCTTTGAAGCTTGTTGAGTTTATTGCCGTGACACCCGACAATCTTGTTGACACCGACTGCACTCTATCAAGCGCGGCAATTGCCAAAGACAAGCTCAGGACAAAGCTATCATTGGTCAAATTTGGTCACTCGGTTGTGCTCCGAAAGAGGGATGGCAATGGGTCCTCTACTGTCAATCTGACGAAGCAAAAACCAAACCAATTCATTATACTCGACAATGCAAAAAGAGAAAGTCGCAACTTCACAGTGATGAAAGTGTCTGATATTATGGAGCAATGCTATGATGCTAATGACGATGATGCCTATGTGCTTACAAAGAAAGACAAACGGAAAGGACAAAAAAAAGCAAGGGTAGCACGAAAGAAAACCAACAACAAGCTTTACGAAGCCGCAATCGAAGAGGCTGACAGTCGCCGACTAAAGAGGAATATTGAGAGCATCACCAACAAGCTCGTGGCGAAGAGGCCGCGATTTGCACGGCAGCTGGCGATCCTTATGGAACAAGAGGAGCTTGAAATGGACGACCTCTACGCTGAGTTTGAAGACGTGGCAATGGAACCTTACACGGACGTGATTTCGGTCTCTAGAGACGACATTACGAAGGATATCGCCGTTACCAGAGCTGGAACAGATGTCACTGCAGTGGGATACCGGGTTGAGCTTGCTTTCCACAAGCTCATGCTAGAGCTTAAAGCTAAAGGCGACAAGAAAAGGCGCACACGTAAAAGAAAACCTGGCCAAAAAACCAACATCGGCAAGTGTGGTGTTGTTTGTGGTATCCTCATTCAACGCCAACACAAAGAAGAAGAGCTCAAAGCACTTGAAAAGGAGGAAAAAGGAGCGGCCGATGAGCTGGAAAAGCTGAAGGCTTTGCATGAAAAAGCAACGGAGCTGACACAAACAGCTAACTTTTGGAAGTGGGATGTAGTCAAAGGGGCGAAGCGATCTACCCTTGCCAGACTTTGTGGCGTGTATCGGTCGTCCGCGAAGGCTAATGATCTAGAAGCAAGCATCAAGGCGCTAAGTTTGTCGGAGCAATCTGTAAGAGAGAAGATTGCAAGCTTAGCATCAAAGATTGAGGCGACAGAAGGATCAATTGCTCCGCTTGTAGCTAGGAGACGCGAAAGGGAAGACTTTCTAGATGACACGCAAGAATATGCACTGTCAACAACAGAATACAGAGACAATGATGCGGAGGGCGACAGTGACGATGAAGAATAAGACTGATTGTATTTGTTTGCTTTTATATGATAGCGTAACACAGTTATACCAGCCATGACGATAGTAGACCTCCCTCCATGCGCGCAGATACTCGTTTGTCTTCACCTCAGCAAATAGACTCACTCTTCAATAATAATAGCCATGACCAGCTCACTCGGACTCTTAGGCACTACTAACGTCGGTGCCAGCCTTCAGCATGGACGATCGCCCCAAAGAACAAACGCTGCTTTTCCTCGTCGTCATCAATGATGGGGAGGATGACCTCGACCGAATGCAATGGATTGGATGCCGTGACTTCGAAGGAAACCTTGATGACAAATGCTTTGTGTTTGCCGCTTCTCGAGGGCTTTGTCTTGGGCTGATGAAGAATCCATTTTCCTGGTGGCAGCAAAATATCTCTGGTACCAGTGGCATCACTTCCGCCTTCCTTGACCACCTCAACTCTCAACATGTAATCTAGAAAGCTCGATTCGTCGGGCAGTCCGGTTGTAACGTAAGTATACTTCCTCCTGCCATCATCATTGGAGAGCAAGCTAAGACTCCCCTGGAGCACAAACTCTTTTGGGCTGCCCTCTGGCCCCCAAAGCGCCTTTACACAGGCCTTTGCCTCCACGGCAGTCTTCTCAGCACACGTGCAAAGGACTTTGAAAGAAGACATCACGGGAAATGGAGTCTCGGAAAATGGCTACTCGGTTGACTGTTTGTTGACTGAGGTTCAAACCAAGCAAATTGTTGTCATTGGATTCCCCGGAAAGCCTCAATATCCCGCCAAAGCGACTCCACTGTGTCTCCTCTTTTGGTTTGCTCATTGACACTTTTTCATCTCCCCACTTTCAATCATGGCTGACAACAACAAAATCTTCGTATCTACTAGTGGATGGGTATCCCAGGCCATGGCCGCCAAGCTCCAAAAAGTGTGCGAGGAGATTGGAGCGAGTGTCAAGTGTAATAGTCAAATCATGATGATCGTGTTTCCTGCTGACGATGTTCAAGGTGTGGCTGCTTCCCTCGAAACACTCGCTGTTGGCGACGAAGCCGGAGACGAAGCCGGAGACAGTGACAGTAGTGGATCTACTACCACGCTTGGAGACTACAACCGCTTCGACGATACCCTCGACTCTTTGGACTCTGTTGAATCTTTGAAATCGACCGTGCCGGAGCTCTCATTCAAAGTCAAGACTAAGCCACCTGCGGATGACTTTTCGGACGACGACTTTGTTGAGTCTCAGGATGTGTACTTCTAGAGCTAGAGATCAAAGCAACAAGCCGCTGTATTGGCCATCTTTGAGTTGGTTGTTGGTTGGATATCGATGGCCATTTTGCGCTTCGATGGCCATTTTGTGCTTTGTTTCGCTGGAGGCTCCGCATCCATTAAGGATCGAGTTGTGTGACGGAAGATAAAAATCTTCGTGCTGAATATAAGATGAAGGAACATACTTTTTATACGTAGCGAATAAACCTATAAAATCTTATCGTTGAAAATGACTAGAGCTATTTAAAGGAAACTGTTGTGCTCCCGTAGGATCAATTAATAGGTTCATCCCAAAGATTTAACGAGAATGTCGTGTGCGATACACCGAATGTGCGAAGTATAAGCGGGCACCTCATAGTCTAGCTAGTCGAGGCAACCATTGACTTCGTCCAATATGGGTATATATGGGACACGATTTGATGGATGACTCGGGTCAAGTGCTCTCTTTTCGTTTTGGCTGGACTGCCTTGCATCGTCTACGCATTTGCTCGGTGTCTGGCTGGTGGATGAGTTTGGAGTCGACGACCTTTGTATGGTCGTTCGTCTACCGTACCAGGTACGTTCGTTTGATGGCGGCGTCCATGGAACGACCCGGGTGAAAGCATTGCTTCTCCTCAAGTTGCTCCAGCGATTGCTGGATACGCCTACGGTACTATGCTCCTCCTCCAGTCTTGAGAAATTTCTGTCACTGTTGCTCCAGCCTTTGTAGGAAACCCGTACTAAGTTATAGTTCATCAGGGATTTTGTCTTCCAACGTCCTACGAGCGAAGCCATCGCCCTCGCACCAGAGCCTGGCCCGTTTCGACGTCTTGGATCGTTAGTTGAATGCTCGATAGCGCAGCGCAGTACAAGCAACTCAGGGACGATCCGTGATCCAATGTCTTGGGTTGACGAAAGCGCAGAACCACTCAAGGGACGATCCGTGATCCACTGTCTGGGTTGCCAGCTACGCAACCGTACGAAGATGGCTATGAATTCGAACTTGCCAAGTTCACATCATGATAATTCTATAAAACACGAAAACAGCCAGCCAGAACAGTTCTAGCTGGCTTTTCGAGTTTGATTATGAACGTTCTCTGCTCTACGCTACGAGCGCTTCTCGATCGAAAGAAGCACGGGGGCACGAGAAGCCGCCACCGTTTCGCTGTCTGTCTTTGCTTGCGTCTCGTTTTCCATCACATCATTCCTTCGTTCGTCTCCCCGCGACAGCCGTCCCTTTCTCGAAAGTCTCTACAAGAAACTTCCGGAAAGGACCAACCGCGGAAAACAACGTCATCAATATTCCTCCGTTCCTTTCATTTCCTCTAGAAGTAATACTCCCAAATGTGTCTTCCGCCGAGCTGCCCATTTTTGCTGGTATTGGCATATGCGTTGCCGTTATTGTTGTTTTGCCCGTTATTATTATTGGGCCACCACGACGACAATGCCGGGAGGAGCAAACTTGGATTGGCCTGTATGAGAAAGAACAGTAGCTGCGTGTTGTCTTTGTATTTGACGACGAATTCCTTCCATTCCTGCCAATTGATGGTTTCGGAATGTGTGAATCGTTGTCTAGATTGATCGTGTCGATTGGTCATGAGGAAGAATGGGATCATGTACTTGTGTTTGTGTGGTTGTTCCAAACATCCCGGAACGACATCACTGCAACACGCCTTGCAGGGAGTAGATGCGCGATGAAAGACTGTTGATCCGTTGTTGTTGCTGTTGTTATTTTTGTGAGCATCACTAATGTGAATTCCAGCGTGTGCAATATCGAGGTTCTGCAAGGTAAAGTTGTGTTCGAGCGTTTCGACAAAGGCCGTGTCAATCATGTATGTGTTGGCCTTGCGTGTCTTTTTATCGACAGCGGATGAGATTCTCTTTTTGGTAATGAGTTTGAATCGTTGCAAGTGTTTGTTTGTTTGCAGGACGGTGGCCAACTCGAGTAGCTTTCGTGGATCATCACTTCCGTAGTTGTAATCGGTCATGGACAAGTTTTTGAGAATGGATGTTTGTGATCCCACGAGTTCACAGACACAACTGAGTGTCATGGATGACTTCCAGTGATGTGAGAATAGAATGCACTCTTCTAGACAAATGTTTTGTTTGAGTGCTTGCAAGAACTGGACCAGGAGTACCTGTTCGGCATGACGTTGCAGAACGGATTGTGCCGTTGTGGTATGGGGTGTAGTGGATACGTGTCGTTGTTCCAACCCCAGAGTCAGTCTCTTGAGAGTGTTTGAATGTGCCAATTCGGGAAGAGGCAAGTTGTGTGCTGATGACACGAGTAGAGTGAGGTCGTGTAGATGTTTCATCTGTGACAGAGTGGTGATGAGAGAGGACAAGATCTTGTCACATGCAGTGTCAGTGTTGTCATTGTTGGTGTTGACTTCGGTACACCATTTGAGTTCTAGCTTGGATAGATGCTTATGGTTGAGTAGAACCTCCTGTAGGACTTGCACGTTTCCCTTGAGAGAAACATCTTTGAGAAGTAGGGATTCTAGTTGCTCCGCGTTCTGCAAGATAGTAGCTAGCAGTTCACAGTCTAGAATGACTTCTGTCTGAGGCCCAAATTCAGATGAAAAGTCCAGTCTGACAAAGGAAAAAGGAGATACCAGGGTTAGTAAGAGGGATGTAAGATCAGGACGGTTGCTAGCTAGATAGCAAGCTAGCTTCCATCTACCAATGGAGTGGATAGCTAGCTAGCAATGCATACTAGTAGCTAGATAGCAAGCACTTGTATGCATACCGGTATGTATGTAACTTACTGTAGCGTTGTCATCTTTGTACAAGCTTGACTCATGGACGTGAGCATAATCTTTTGCTGCCGCTGCGACAGAGGCGCGCGCGACACAAGAGGAGAATCTGTGTACACACAGACAGTCTTTACACCGGAATGGGCGCGCAGGCTTTCCGTTAGGGCGCTCAAAGCCTCTTTGCTCTTCCGCGCCAAGACGTAATGAAGTCGTTCGTTGCAAGAGGTCGTCGTCACCGTGTTGTTGAGCACGCTGGCAATAGGTGTTGGTGGAGATGGTGTAGTGGTAGTGGTAGTAGAAGTGGCTTTCTTTCGTGCTGCCGCTGATGGAGTTTCAGTGGGAGTTCTCATTGTTGATGTTGCTGTTGTCAGGGACTTGCTGTTCTTCGCCTTTTTCTTGGTCGCCGAAGCGGCCGACAAGGCTCTGCGTCTTCTACCAAACGCCATGGGCTCTGTACTACTACTACTAGTACTAGTAGAATAAGAGGAAGGACTGAACAGACTGTTGATCGATCTCATCTTGATGAAGTCTAATCAAGTCAATGACTACGGAGCTGAGCGCTAGTAAGTGGACGCTGTGTTTTGCACAAGCCTCAAGAGGACGGTTACGAATGAGGTTAGTTATGAGGACTTGGAAGGCCAGTGGTTCTGTTGTTCGCTTTTGTAAGTTTGCGCTGTGGTGCTCAAGCAGGAATCGAGAAGAAGATCATGCTGACGAGGTGGATTTGCATTGGTAAATTATTTGATACACACATCTATCATGTACTAGTACAGCGTACGTAGCAAACGTACTGAAATGGGTTTCGCTTGCGGAACTCCATCGAAAGCCTTGTTTATAAAAGAATTAGAGGTCCTACCATACAAATTTGTCCTACCAAGATCTTTGCTGGGCAGACACTCAAGATTGACATAATGGAAAAACAACGCTTGGCAACTCACTTATTGCAAGGGAAGGGCAGACCGGCTTTATTAATACAATCGCCAACGCGCTGGAACACAATTGCCACTGCTGTTTCATTGGCTCAGGCGAGTATTTGACGGTCAAAGAAAGATGGAAAGGCTACCTGGTGGGCTTTATCATTTTAAGGCAGCAGTATCAACGGATTCATCGCAGTACAGCCCTTATACACCGAGTTTGGGGGTCCAATGACAGCTGTCTGACTGCGAAGGTTGCTAATTCGTTTCGTTGACAACCGTTGCACGATGCATCATTTTTTTATTTTGCGGGTTTCTCTCTAGCTAGCTAGCTAGCTAGCACTGGTATCATACTTGTTCTACTCCCTTGGTAGTAATACTAGCGAGCTAGCTCTAGTAGGGAGTAGGGAGTTCTAGCTTGTGCAGCTTGCTCGAGCTAGAGAGCCGCCAAAATAGCCACACGTAGTAGAGCTCGTAGTAGCTAGCTAGACAAGCTAGGGTACCGGTACGTGGTGTAGTACTAGTAGCTTCTCTGAGTCTGGGATACATATGATACGGTAGTCCAGCAGCCTCGCGAGAAGTGATACGGAATTGCTTACGGAATGGTCAAGATCCACCTGCAAGAAACAGTTGAAGACCGACACATCGCAAATCGCGGCATGTTAGCTAGCATGCTTTTGGTGGGAGCTTGCGGGACTGCTCCTTCTCCAGGATTTTCTGCTTGGTTTTCGTGCCTGTTCCGAGTGCACCAATGTGTCGCCACCGACCTCGGGTGGACCTCAGTGGATGGCCCTATTAATAATTGGCCCTTCTGGATACCATACGGTAAAGCTACGGTACTTCTAGTTAACTAGAATCTTTCTTTGGTGGCGAAGCAAACGGCGGCATCTTCGGTTTCGAATCGAATCACCCACTTGTACTTCTTCAAGCTTTGAAGCTTGTTTTCTCGTTCTGGAGATGATGACATTGTGGAATGTGGCTGGGTGGTGGTGGAGGATGATCAACTTTGGGCCGCATCTTATGTGTACTGGGTTGTGCCTGCCAAGGCACAACCCACACAGAGCGGGCAACCACTACAGTGATGCCTCAGCTTGGTGCAGGGTTGGAAAGAATGTTTTGAGACATTTTGCTGGCAGTGGGAACTACAAGCACGGTACCCTGAATAATGTATGCTCGTCGCAGGAAGCCAGTTTTAGCAAAACATGGAGCCAGTCTTTCCCCCGCTCTGCATGCCGACAAGCGAAACTTTGGAGCTGATCCTGGACCTGGACATCAGGACTGTGCGTAGACTGCGGCTAGACTAGAGTACGAGGTTGCTCTATCCACAGGCTGCGCTACTGGTACTGCAGCGCAGCGGTGAGGCGGTAGCCAGCTTGGTTGTTCACTACTAGTAGACTAGAGCTTGGTTGATCAATAATAACCCGTGGATAGTCGGGAATAATCGAGCTCGAGAGCTGTGTGCATGCCCGGTTGCACGTGCACCGGTTGACGTGGCAAACCCAACAGCGGAGATGGAAAGACACTCAGTGAAGGCATATCCCTAAATCTTACAGTACCGGTGATCTTGCCTGCTGTTTGCTGCGTGACTTGTTTGGGCCAATGAGAAAGCTTTATTTTGGACAAATGGGAGCCATGAATGAGCGACCACGGTTTCCGGGTTTCTCGCTGCTTCCAATAAACTTGTTGGCTTGAGCAGCAACAAGATGCACGATCGATCGGCAGGCAAAGAGAGACCAAGCAGCCAGAATCCATCCTGCTGCACTCCTAGCTGGTAGTTCTATCCAAGCGAAGGGAGACACCATGAAGATCACTACTCCGAGTTCCGCCTTATGGCTCTTGGTCTCTGCTGCTCTGCTCAGTTGTACTCGTAGCGCTGCTCTTTCTTCTAATTATGAGCCTCTGGTGTTCTCATCATCGGAATTGATCAAGGAGGAAAACTTACCACGGCTGGCAGAAGCCCTAACCACAACTGGGTTGGTTGCCATTACTACCACAGCAACAACAACAGCAACAACAACAAGCAGTAGCCCTGAATGGTTTGTGTGAGTGCCAAAACAAAATTAAAGATGAAAAGTCGTTTCATGAATTGAAAGGGGCAGACACTGTTCTATTGGGTGACGGACAGACCGTTCGCAGCACCCTGGCCACTGCCACAGTGGGGTTCAGCCCTTTGCCTCTTGATACCCCAGAACTAGCTGCGCAATGTGGGGAGGACACGGTCCAGGCCATGGAGACTCTCAGGGACCAGGTGGCACAAACAGCCACAGTGTTCCTCAGTGCGGTGGACAACCTACTCCTGCAGGCCAAGCGACAAGAACTATACACATCTTCCTACCAGAAACCTTTGATCAAGACTTCTTATGGAGTCACTTACAACTCAATTTCTTCCATTGTAAAGGCAGCCACCAATTTGGAACACTTCCATGTCTACTCCAAGAACAGCACCACGTCATCATCTGAAAATCACGGCCAACACGAACCTGCACTGCAAGTGCATAGTGATGCAGGGCTCTTTCTAGCCTTTGTTCCAGCTCATTCCTGTAACTCCGATATGGCCACAGGTGCAGATCAATCTTTCCTCATCAAGGATCCAGCCGATGGACAACTGAAACCAGTTGCATTCCCACCCAATTCGATTGCCATTATGCTGGGAGCAGGGGCAGAACAGTGGCTCGACACTCCAGACACTCTTCCTTTGAAAGCAACAAGACATGCTGTACACATGACAGCTGGACAAAGCCGCGCTTGGTATGGAATGAGTAAGTTGCTCCGTGACAAAAAATTCATCTGATCAGCAATGATTGATTCCTTTGTTCTAACTATTTCCCTCCTGCAGTGCATCTCGTGCCAGAATCTGCCATTGTGGAGCAAACAACGTCAGGCCAAGCCAGAACCTTTGGGGATATGAGACAAGCCATGGTACTCAAAGGGAAAACCAAGACCAGTCGCACCTTTGGAGATATTTCCAGCAACAGTGCTGACGATGTTTCTATTGGCTGTGGCTTTTCCAGGTTTGATGCTCCTGCTGGAAGCCACCAAGACTTCTTGAGTACTGCCACCACCATGACAACGCCAAGACGTCGTCTACAACATGTCGAAAATGCTGCGGCATGCAACAATGAAACCATGTTTTACTGTTGGATGAGCTGCTTGGATATACCCAATGTGGAGAATGCCAATGGGTATATCAGTGAGAAATACGGATTGTATTGCCTAGATCCTGCCGTGTTGGCTGCCACTGGACAAGTTAGCAAGGCGGTCGAAACCTGTACGGAGGGTGGAACGGTTGGCGGAGCCATGAACACAGCTTGTGTTGGCATGTGGCAGCCACAAGCACCCAATGTGCCCTCACAGGAGGTTGTTGTGGAGGCAAATTCGAATCAAACAGAATCAGATGAACCATGGTGCTACGGTGGAACCAGCATGTATATGGATGGATTCAATTGGGTTGGCTCTACCTGTGCCATCTACCTGTTTCCAAGCATTATCCTGGAGACCCCAGGCGCTCTTGTCTTTGCCTGTTTCTTTACCATCTTGTTTGGCATGTCACTCGAGTTTGTGATTCAACAACGGCGTGTCACTGTCAGAAAGTATGGACCTGGAATGTCTCGACTGGCTGTTTCGGCCACCTTTTACGGCTTGCAACTGACCATGGGGTATGCGATTATGCTGGTTGTGATGATTTATTCGATTCCTCTGTTCCTTTCTGTGGTTGTGGGGATTGTTGGTGGCCATGTTGTCTTCAGTGCACCGGATGCACTGATCCAACAGGTGAATGCAAAAAAGGGGTCTGGCCAAGTCACCGAAAGGACGCGGGACAGTGGCGAAGGCAGTAACGCGGAATGCTTGAGCCCAGAAGGTGGTAAAGTGTACAATACCATGCCAGTGCCAGAGCAGCCGGTTACGGACGGAAGTTGCACCTTCCACAGTGCCAATGACCATGAAGACCTCGAGATACCAGAAGGAAGTACTCCTTGTTGTCAAAATCAACTTTGATAGCATCGGCTGGGTGTACCGGTACCGGTACTTTGTTCGCGTAATGGGGTTGGTCGGTATTAGTATTTGTACGAACGAGTACTAGATACCTGTAGGCATGAACGCCGTCAATAAAAAGATGTATGTTTCCATTTGCGTAGTCTACCAACGTGGGTGATTTAGCCGGAATCGAATTGTTACCAAACTTCCATTGCTTACTTCTTCTGGCATCTGTGGCTGTAGCCTGTAGGTGTTCCGTTGGTATCGCAAGATCCCAAAATACTTGCCTCAATTGCCAGAAAGCAAACCGTTAGCTGTCGAAGTGAGCTTGAATTTAGCCACTTTACTTTGTTTGAAGTGGCCAAACTACAGGGTGGACGGTTGGAACGGACTGTACTAGCTAGCAAGTAATTGAAAAAGTGTATTGTGTATTTTGGTTTGAATGAAGTCTATAACTGTGTGAAGTCTAATGTTCTAGTAGTCTACGGTAGCAAGGTGGAGGGAATGGTTCTTTTTAGCGAGACCACCGATCCACCAAGTCCCTTCGTGAGCATCTTCTCAGTGGCTGCTTGGGTGCTGAGGCGGGAGAGACATTGGCGGAGGTGTTTCGTCGCCTTCGGTTGTCTCTGCGTGGGTTTCCAGCGCTTGTCATACTAACAGTAGCGGGTTTGGTACCAGTAGCTTCAAACAACTGCTGTTCCGTGGACTCTTGGCTGCTGTCATCATCGTCATCGTCCAACAAGCTGCACGAGCATCGTTTGACGGGGATATCACCAAGCATGGTAACATTGGAACCTCGTCTTTGAGGAGGTTGTGGGCACTTCTTGCAAGTGTCACTTTGTTTCTTAGGAGCAGATCCTTCTGATGACCATCGTTCCAAGGCAGGCAGAGGACAAGCATTAGCTAGCATTGCATCCAAGTCTTGCTGCTCTGGAGATGAAGCACAGCGGACTGTGGAGATCTCCAAGCTCGTCTCCACGGGACAGTTGGGCACGAAAATCACGCTGGGAATGCGGTTCATGGTGAAGTTAGCTAGTTGTAGTGGTGGTGGCTTGTTTTGGGTTTTGGAATTTCCAAATTGTGAGCCGTCTCAAAGAATTGGCCATCCACTCGACATCAGGCTTCGTTTTGCCACTGCCAGAACTTTACGTTTACCCTTGCTAGACTGCATGTAGTACCGAGTACCGGTACAAAATAGTGCAAGCAACCAACTTGCGAACACTGCCAGGTAGAGAAGGTTCATTTATTGGTTTCTTCAAGCAGTAAGCGCCGACTGCTCAGGTTCGTAAAACCAGCATTGTGTTCTTCTCCTTCAGTAGATCCTGTTCGTTTTGAGTTCATACAGTCGAATTACTTAAAACATCCTTACCTCGGAATATTTTTCACTGGAACAAGAGGGTCCTAGGCTATTATTAGACAACACCTTAGAACAGGATGATGACGTCCAACGAACGGTTCACTTTTGAAGCTTGTTCGCCACTTGTTCTGCGATTGCCTACCAGGTACCACCTACCACAACTAACTAATAGAGTAAGAGGTAAGAGAGTACCTTAGGTCTTAGGTCACCTTTTACCAACTGGAGCTCCACTGGTTCATTGTTCACTTCTCGTTCGACACTGAATTTTGGTCGTAGGTCGTAGTAAAGGAGACGTCGTTTTCACCAGTCAAGCCGGAGCCAAGTAAGTGTTGCGAGCTTAGGCTCGACATAGCAGTGCTTGCTGATGAGGCTCATGGAACCTGGAACCTCGCGATGATCTGGAAGTCCTGCTATGCACGACACCATGGGCGACGGAGAGAAGGAACATGGACAATCCAAGGAAATGGCTGGCTTCTCAACCACCTGCCTTCTTTGTTTACAGTTGCGAGGGTTGGCCAGTTAGTAGCCTTAAAAACAACTCCTTAAAACGATGGTGCTGACTGGATGGACGTTTGTTGCTGGTTGAAAACAGGCATAGCTGGGACTTGGGAGGCTAGCCCAATACGAAGAATGCCACCAGATTGGAGATCCCCTCAATAATATAGAAGCTATAAAGAAAGGACTGCTCCTCTTCACCAGGATGTACTAGTAGGCTATTCGGCTATTTACCGTCTCCAAAACCACTGAGAGCTGTCCTCCTTTGAGGGGCTATATCAGTGGTAAGGTGGACATACAGGTTGGATCTGCCCTGCCACATGCTGGCTGAAAGAACGATTTTACGAACAGCACCAAGTAATCCGGTGTTGCCCAGTCCGGTTATGAGAACACTGTTTTGTTAAGAGAGTTATAGCTGGAGTTTCAGTTGCCAAGTGGCCCCAACAATAAGCAAGCAAGATACGAAGAGAGAGGTTGAAAAGAGCCAGGGAAACCCAACAGAAGAATAGGACTTCATCACTCACCCGGGAGACTGCTCTGTCTCAAACGGTACTGTGGCGAAGAAAGCGTTGGCTCGATCCTTTTGGTGGTACGAGTACATGTATTGCATGGCTTCGTTTTTCCAAAGTTCAGGAGCTTCGGCACTGTTCAGGAGCAGTCTCCACCGAGAAAAATCGCAGGGTTCTTCCCGGTGTATCGTACTGGTTCATCGCAGGTCTCTTCAGTAATCGTGCCGTTCAGAATGATGAAATTACCAAGAATGCAACCAATGACAGTGCATTCCAATTAGCCCACCAGCCAGGTGGTCCTCCCACGCTGCCTTCTCGTCCTCTCCTCTGGAGAATCTTTTGTTCCAGGCAGACCGATACAGCAGACAGACAGGTTGTAAACATGCAATGCAAATGCTGCGTTGGTCCCAGCCAGCCAAACCCGGGAGGCATATGCCGGTGTTGTTCCCGCTGTGCTATGGAATTCTTGGCTCACCGGAAAAAGACCAAATCTAAGCAATGCCGCATGCCGCATGCCGCAGGAGCAGGAAGGGCGATTTTCTTCTCCTGCAGCAGTGGACTCTACCGGTAGCAAGCGGAGTTCTCACATTTTGCAAGAAGAAACCAATCCACCAATGCAGTCTGAATTAAGCTTGGTCCTTCGCTAAAGAGCCATCTCTCTCCGTCAGAGCTGCGTCTTAGGCTAGAAGCAATTAATGAAGTGTAATGGCTTCTACAGTAGGGCACGTCCAGAACGAGCCTTCCTAGAGAGCTAAAAGTAGACACCGTAGACGGACAGTTCAGTACCAGGGGTTAGGCTTCCGGTGCGATAAATGACATTGTCACTGGTGGCAAGCAACACGAGAGAAACTATAGGTTGCTGTAACATAGCTAAAGATCGTAGTCTGCAATCTACGACTGTACTTGCTTTTACTACTACTGCTGTAGACACGTTTTCTTCACAAGCAAACACTTATTGCGAGAAAGAGGCGCGAATTGGATCGCGGCCTCTTCGAAGACCAGCCAAAAGCAAGCCTTCACGGGTAAGGCTCGTGTGAGACGTCTTAGCACCTGAAACACTGGATTGATGCCGCAGGCTTACCAGTTTCGCAAACACCAGTACCTGAGCCTTGGTCATCTTTTCTTTCTTTGCTCTCTCGTGTGGCCTCTTTTGGCTGCATCCCTTCACGAGCGGAGTTTTACGAATATCGTGCCGACCGAGAAGGTCGTCGTGGAGGCAAATTGGGTGCCAACTGCAGGATTCGAAACATCCTACTTTCCCGCGATCGCTGGCACCATCCCCTCTCAGCCCAACCCTGGGCGTCGGCAATCATTTCCGAATAACTGCAGTTGTCGCAGAACCCATCTTGCCGCCAGAGAATAGCTGTCGATGACATGAAGCTACCATTCGCGAATTCGCCGTGCGTTCGAAGTACTATTTAGTTGCTGCCATCTTCCGCTGAGATACCGGTACATGTATGGTAGTGTCTTCAGGCAGATGAAATCAATATATGTATAAACATAGACAGAAACACAACATCTCAACTATCTCTGATCTTGCCTCCGCAGCCTCGACTCAGTCAAGCAACTTTGCCTGCTCTGGTCACTGGTGCCACCGATGTCACGTCCACTCCTTCTTCTGCTACATGTACAAATGAATGATTCAATCCACCTTGAGAAGCAATCGCGTCCAGGTTCGTCGATGCCACTTGCAGCGACGCAGGATACAGGATCGGGCTTTCGTACCAGGTGGATCTTTCCACCAACTCTGTTGCCTCGTCAGCCATCCTCAATCAAGACTTTGCAGCCCGCATTCCGAGCTACGAAATAAGGCGGTTGTCGTTCCTAGCTGGACTTGCATTGACAGTACATTTTGCTTCTTCCGCCGTGGAGCGATCGAGCCTTGACACGGGCAGCCAACGCCGAGTGACTCGGTCAACGTGTACCGGTATGTACGAATTGGGTAATAGTGCAAATGATGATGCTGGAAGCTTTGATGATTCAGTAACGGCGAGCAACTCCCTTTGAGGTGTTGACAAATTCGTACTCAGTTCCACTTTATAAACGTGCTCCCATGTGGATCAGGCCACTACAAAGACAACCTGCAGCAACACACATGCCAGTGAAGCCTGTAGAGGCGCGCAGATGCTTCCACTTTGCCCTTCTCGTCCGCATACACACCCACAGTTCTGACATGGAACAAGTTTCCTTTTAACACCTCTTTAGTTTGCAATTGTGAGCACAAAGCCTCTTATCTACCGTATTTGACGCAGCCACCAGATTGAATCATCCTCTCGCCGCGGTGCTTACCTCAGCTTGTTTTCTGCTGAAGCCTCGGTATAAGCACCCTTATTGGGAAGGGAGATGTGCACATAACTTTGAGCTGGGCGTTTGCTGGCCAGCTCTAGCAATGGCTCTAGATGCCGAGAAGATTCCAGGAAAAGAAAGGATGGAAAAGATGTAGCTAATATATATGATACGATTCTTTCTGTGCAGCAAGCAGTTGTTTACATGGTATTTATGGTATGTAGTTTGTAGAGTAGAGGGCCCAGATACTACTACGGTACCAGTAGCTAGTACCGGTATGTGGTTTAGCGTTCTCTTTGAGGAGCAACGCCCACCACCGCATTGTGATTTCTCTGTGAATCATTGGTTCTTTGTGGGAGTCTTGGTGCGGCGCTGATTTTACTAGTATCGGTAGCTCTCTTGGTCTTTGGCTTTCTTGTGGCTGCACTTGTGCTCTTGCTTTTACGTTTACTCTCTCTTGACGTTGCCTCCTCTACTGCAGATGGTCGTCTGGGAAGTGCAGGTGGCGCAGAGCATCGAGAGCTAGAGGATCTTGTGCTTCCACTGGGAAGACCTTCTGACATCCAACGTTCCAAAGGGAGCATTGGCACTGCCACTGAAGCCAGGCTTGTCTCTTCTTGATCTTCCATTGAAAAAGCAATGCTGGGGATGCTTATGTATTCAGGGATTCCTGTCATCTTGACTTGGTTTGCTTGTATGCTGGATGCTGAAGTAAGTATTGGTAGGTACTATGATTGAGAAAAGAATGCTGAAGGATTGTCAGGTTGCAAATTGTGAGAGCATTCAGACGAGTTAATTCAGAATTGCGAACTACTCGCCACGACTTAGTAGCTACTGCTAGCTAGCTCTAAAAACCAGAAGCAGAATGCCAAGGCACATGCAGGCGAACAGATTGTATTTGCATCACTACTCTTCATACTTGAAGTGGAACTGGCTTCGGAAAGTGTCCTCTATCAACGCACAATTCCGGGATTGCTACCCAAACTGAACGAAATAATAGAGCCTCTTCCCCTTGAAAACCTTCGGATTTACAAGTCCTTTCCATCGAGAAGACCACTATTAAAATACTCAGAGAAGTACCAGGTAAGTACTTAAAATAATACATGTATATTTCAAACGATTGAAACTTCTTGTTTTTGGAGTGGTCCTCCAGACTCACTCCAGCCAGAAGTTCAGGTAGTTGCGGTAAGTTGCAGTTGTTATACAAATTATAATATGTAGAGTAAAACGTAACTTTATCCCTATATTTACCGCCACTACCCTTCTAAACCTGTGTTCCAGAAGCTGTTCCAGAGCTTCCTAAAGTCTGCCCGAGCTCCTACCGGTACCTCGATACCGGTACGATGTACTATGCTCAGTATGCTGGTATGCTGGAGTACCAGCTAACTTTCTGCTGACTCGTTGGCACAGAAACACACGAAATCCTACAAGTTCTTCTTAGGTCTAGTTTACGAACTAGTGACTGATCTAATCGATGAATTCATGGAACAGTTTTACTGAGCAAGGGATTAGAGCGTTCTTTTCGCAAAAGAAGCATGCGAGATGCTATTCAAGGATGACCTAATTAAACACAACACCGAGCAACAATTTCTGAGACTTTTACAGACATTCCAGAAGGCATCCAAGAAAGAGTTCTTGTAAATCAAGAATCAAGGCTTCTTCTTTTGTCTTTGAAAGAGAAGTGGGACGCCAGTGTCTTTTATTTCCACTGAGACAGTCATTAATTCATCCTTTACTCTTCGGATATGAAAAACAGAAAGCAGAATCTTCTGGAGAAAAAGATAAATTTCAAGTTGCTAGGTTGTTGCTGCAGAAGGCAGAAGTTCCTTGGTGAACCGGTACCGGTACCGTACAGTACATACATGTCCATGTACCCGGAATGCCTGTCTAGCACTCCGGACACTACATGTACGGCAGTTAGCCTAGCTAGTAGCCCTAGCTACCGGTATGCATAGCAGCATCATCTCTAATGAGCTACATGTACGGTACTACATGTATCTAAAGATAGCGAAGGATGAAAGTACTGAGTAGCGGTGGCGTGGTGGCAGTGCCTTTGTAAAAGGAAACGGCAGTGAGTGGCTAGCTAGTAAAGAAACCAAGAAAATCTAGACATCAGCTTATTTAAAGTCTCAAAGAAGCAGCTACCTTATTAGGGAACGTGGAAAAGCGACCGGGGGTTGTCGGTACTGCATCAAGCCACTGCTAAGTCCGGGGATGAGGATAATGAGGACCAAAACCAAGAAGCCACAGAATGTCGTTTGAAAATGTCCTATCCCAGCACCACAAGCTCCAGATAGATCCTAAGCAACTGGCAGCAGCTCTGGCACCTATGAAGAACTCAAGAACTCAAGTCTGAACGCTTGACCAGATTGAACGCTTGAACCACCCACCGTTTTTGTGTGGCTGGCCTGACTAAACAGCCACTACAAATGTTTTGTGTGGAGTCAAACTGACTACATCAGCTATCCAGCTAGTAGCTCCACATGATGAACTCCAAGTACCAATACCCACACTGCTCTGGCTTCATTGTCTCCTTTTAGCCCGTCTCGACAGGACCTGCAATGCAACCATGCAAGCAAGTTCTGAGTACTACATGTATGATAGTACATTGGTCCGCCTCGCGAAGGAGATGGCACCAAATTTTAGAGGTTTAGAAGGCCCTTTCCCAAGTATTAAAGGTCATCACTTTCCGCGAGTGCCTTCCTAGGATCGAGTATCGAGTTAGTACATGTAAAGCCCTTGGATCTAAGCCCTCGCCTTCACTATCTTGCTTCAAGGAGTTCTTCTCTGCATGACATTCTCGGTTCCTCTGAGTAAATCTCTGGAGACTAGTAGAGTACAGATCATGTATGTGGTAGCTATCTCCACATGATAGCCTATGATAGCCATGTTTGACTATCGTACCAAAGAGAGCCCGTTGCAAGTTTGGCTCACTCGTCTTCTCCTGTCGTTGCTCGACGATAGAGGAGGTGCCTTGCATACCGGTATCACAACCCACACAACCATCAAAGCAACTGAATCGAATCTTACAAACTTGCTAGCTAATACCGATAGCCACCTACTGAAAGGTCAGCAAAATGAACCAAGCTTCAGGACGACAAGCCGCTTGCGCTACGGACACGACGGGGGTACCTGTATGCCGAGAGAGCAAGGACGATCTATGGAGACAATGGGCTCACGGAGCCCGAAAACGCTCTGTAAAGAGTTTGCTAGAAGACGAGGACCCCGATGAAGAGCGCGTACAATCAGTCGAGCAGCACATGTATCTGCCAGCAGTGGCGACCAGCACACCTCAGGCTGAAGATGATCGTGATGACTTTCTGCCCGCCTTGTTGTCATTTGAGGCACCGTTCCGCGCAGCCCCCGGTGCTGGTGCTGGAAGTGGGGGCACTCCCCACGGTGCCGCTCAGGAGATGCAATTATCCCTAGCTAGCAACTTTGGGAACTGGCCTGCCATGGTTGCTACACGAGACTTCACCAAAGGAGCAAAGCAAAGGAAGAACAACGGAACAGCGATCGAGCTGGGACACCCACCACGATGCACTAAAATAACTGTAATACATAGAAGCTGAGTTTGCTGCAACCCATCCAAGAGAGCTAGCTAGGTGCCTGCAGTCTGACATGGTGCCCCCGCGGAAACTACAAGGCAAGGGAGCGCTTCGTGCAACAGGCCGCCAAGCTACCGATATCCATACAATATACATGTATGTTTCTAGTATTACCAGGGTGTATGTAGATTCATTGAAACTCTTCCAGCTCGTTGACCAGTTGTCGTAGATCCTTGTATTTCGACTGGAAGGATGCAGGCAGACAGGTTCCCCTCATTTCATTGATCTTGCTTACAATGTCAACTGCCTGGGGCGCGTCCGTCAAGCAGAGCAGATCGCCTTTGAATGCATGAAGCCGCTCCCAGATTTCGGACCAGCGCCTTTCCAAGTGGGAATCATCAGTGGTGGAAGCAATCCAGTAGTCCACCGATCGAATATTGTGGACCAGAGCGCTGTCGTCAAGTGGGGCGGAATATCCTCCGTCGGATGACAGAGTGTCGTCGTCGTCATCATCGTCGTCGTCATCCGAAGCGGCTGTCGCTGCGTGCGTTGTTATGGTCAATGATTCGGCCGCAGAACAAGACACCGGTACCCCGTCCTTGCCGATTGTGGCCGACTCGATCACCGAGAATCGATCCATCCAGAGTTTCGCCAACGTCTCTCGAACACGTTCCTTGTTCACTGGAAGCTTCGGGATGAAACCATGTGCTCGAGAATTGTAAACGGCGATATCGTGCTTGGAGTCGTTGGCGCTGCGAATCAAAGCTAACATTTGACACTCTTGTTCAGGTAGGAGCTGATGCCGCATACTCTGCACCAGCAAAGAACCAGAAAAGGTGGCGTGCTTCAGGGAAACATCCTCCATGGGAACATCGAGATTCTCGTCAACAACCAGCAAAAAGTAGTCGTCTGGATGATTCGAGACGAAGTCAACCATGAAATCATCAAAGTTGGAGATATCCGTCGCTGTTTCGCCTAGAATCAGGGTGTGACTTTCTTTTATGCCGGCCAAATGAAAGAAGCGTTTCATCAGTTTGCGCTGAATCTTGGAATCGTCGAGAGCAATACCCCAGGTGTCCTTGGGGAACCGAAATGCGGATCCTGTGATGTCTGTTCCTTGGTCGTCTTGGATCATCGGCTCGTACACTGTGGCGGGCCACCAGCAAGAAAAGACGGTGGAGTCCTCCAAGAATTCAATCGAGCATTCTCCCTGTACACAGTTGCAGCATTGTTGCATAATCCAAGCCCCATCACCAGCACTGTGTCTTGCCATGCCAGATGTCTCACTACCTAGTGCCGAGTGGAGACGTTTTCCCTTTTGAAACACCTTCATGGCTCCATCACTGCCGAGAGCCTTTAGTTTGGGGTGATGGTCACCCGGGAAATTCCGGACGGACATGCGAAACACTTTGGATTCGTGATCGTAGGACACCTGTGTGGTAATTGGCTTCTTTTTAGCCCCATATTTGGCTGCGTTGGACAAGGCGTTGCGATGTACGCATTTAAATAGACGTGGATCCAACATGAGAAAGCGGGGGAAAGTGCCAGCCGTCGTGATGGGAAATCGTTCTGCACTACCCTCTCGCTGATTGACAAGCCCCCGAAGCATCTTCACAACGCCCACCGGTTCGAGCTGAGGTTGATATACTCCATGAATGCAGTCGCGGGCCATGGCCTCTGTTAACACAGTTTCCAAAGTTTCATGGAGCGTCGAGTTCATTTCTTTGACAACCCTCATGAGATTCTCTTGAGTGGATGCCAACGTTCGAATGTCTTCGGCACATTCCGCAAGGCTGGTGGCGGCACCAGCAGCATCGCCCAAAGCAGCGCCACTGCAGGCAGCAGAAGCTCTTGTAAGCCGTTCCAGTGCTGCCGTGGTCTTGCTTTGTTTGTTGCTTAGATCGGTCAATCCCTCACAGAGACCCAATGATGCCAGCAATCCATTCTTGACTTCGTGTCTTGTAAAACGATTTGCTTCGGAATCTCTCATTCTGGCAGTCATTTCGGAGAACGCCAACTTTTCTGCCTCGAAGCGTCGGTGTCGTTCAGTGATATCTCGTACCACCACAAAGAGTGCCGAGTCATCGAGCCGGGTAACGAGTGCTTCACAGGGAATCGATTCGACTTCTTTGACCTGTCTTTGCGTTTTGATTCCATGTCGTTCCTCCTGATGCAGGCGAGGAGAAAATGGATTCTTGCCATTATTGACAATGGTGTGGGTTCCTTCGCTCTGATCCTTGTGGTTGTTTTCGTCGTTGCCGTCGTTATTGCTTTTATTGTCGACCTTTCGCAAGACCAACTCCTGCGAGAGGATGGTGTCCCTACTTCCGCATTGCCAGGAACGCGCCATGAGCGTGGCCAGTGCTTGCATCTCCTGTGGCCCAATCACTGTTTCGGGTAGCAAGTTTTGCGGATCGGTCCTGGCGACGGGTGGTTGTCGAATGAACGACGGCAACGATGCCGTGGAGGTGGATCCTGCCGTGTAGGCATCGGCAAAATCGTACTGTGCTGGTTTGAGATGGACATTCGGGGAAAGAGATGACGCGGATTGTGGTACGGCTGCGTGCCATAGCAATTCTCGAATGTTGTCGGGTGTCATTTCAAAGCTCATGCCAGTGGTTCTATCTTGTTCCTTTTCGTCTCGGGTTCTTTGCCGTTCCTGCTCCTGCAGTTGTTGACCGTATTGCAGGGTCGACTGATCCATTGCGTCCAACTGATCTTGATACTCGTACTGGTACTGTATGGCGGTTCTTCCTTCTCGTAGCATTCGAAAGAGGGTGGGACTGACGGTGGTGGTGACGACTCCCGAAAGCGACCGTACCGACAGAGCGAGAATATCGGATGAGTTTGCCCAAATGGACTGTCTTAGTTCTTCCAAGCGTCGCTTGGATCTTGCTTCTTCGTCGAATACATGTTCGTGTATGGAAATGACGTAAAAGTTGTAGAAACTCTTGAGTACCACATCTAAGAAGCATTCGACAATCATGGGAGTGGCGGGATGAGCTATGATGGAAGAACCATCGTTGTTGTCCGTCTTGGCGGCCCATATGGGCGCCCACCATGAGAATATGAGGTAACAAGCGACGAGACTGGACCATCCACAGGCACACGTGACGAGTAGTTGGAGTGCAATTTTGGCTCGGTGATAGATTTCGAGTTCATCGAGCCTGGATCCCTTTTGTAGTAGTTTGAACCGTTGGTATTTTGCCCTTAATCGTTTGAACATCATGACAAAGTAGATGACACAGGCAATGATCAAGATGATGGCCCACTGGGTAGTGTTCTGAGCAAAGGGCAAAAGCAACCCCATCAAGGTTGCTGCGGCTTGTAGCGCGCCATGTGTGTATGCCCACTGTAGTATTTGTGAGGCATTTTGTGTGGCATGATCGGGTACATCGCATGCTTCTACGAGGAACATCATGGTTCCGGCCATGACGGTCCATTCTACCCATCGTAGTATGTGTACTCGACTGTGTGTGATTGGATCAATGAGAATGGGATTGTATTGGTCTGGTGCAAACGCCATGACGGCATTGGAGGTGGCAGCCGTGGAAACGACGGCCAATCCGGTGAAAACGACTCCACTTATTTTTCGGAATCCTGTTCTTGCAGCGGCGGGGTACACAAACAGTGGCAGGTAAAAGATGAGGATTGTGAATACTAGTACGAGGAATGCCACTAGAGCAGCAGCTCGTTCAATGGGCAGGGCAGAGATGCAATCCTCCTCTTGTGAGGGTTTTGCTCCACCTGCTTGATTTCGGTACCATGGCATGGCCACAGAGTAAACAGTAGAGAGGAGAATGGCATAGTTGATCCAGGTAGCAAACCCCACAAAGTAGAAGTGTGTGTCCACTTGTTGTACCATTCCATTGTAGTTGGGAAAAGATAGAGTGGACATTTGGTTGCAACTTGTGTTTGTAGTGCTTGTGTTTGTGTTTGTGTTTGTGTTTGCACTTGGAGAAAGAGCTGGCAAGCCTGAAGAATTGCTGGTTGCACCAGTACAAGTACTTTCTGATGCAGTTTTCTCAGCCATCTTCCCAGGTAAGGTAAGGTTGGCTGATTCAGATCCAGTTTTTTCATCAGTGGAATCTGATGGTAATGGTAAACTTGATTGAGGCTCTCTAGATGGTGCTCTAGCAGCTTGAGCATCTTTAGCTATACATGTGTTGGCAATAGCAGTGGCTACTTCATCTTCAAGGTTGCAGTCACAGCTAGTGCTGGAAGAGGCAGTAGTGCTCGTGCTTTCCTGATCAGCAGTCCCTGAGCCTCCTAAGCCTGAGCCCCTGCCTGACCCTGATAAACCTTCCTTAGCTCTCTCAGTAGCTCTTTCAGTAGCAGCACTAGCTGTAGCATCAGTGGCCTTAGCAGCCTTAGCAGTACCAGCACCAGTAGCTACTGTACTTGGATCACTTGTGACCAACTTGAAATTGACTTCTTGGGGAATACTCCCTGCTGCTTTAGCTTGACTCATCTTTCTGATGCTCAGCTAAGTCCAATTTTTCTTGTAGGTTCAGTTTTGCTCGACTGTTTGTACAATGGCTGCACCTCTCCTGCCAATGTTTGCCTTGCGTGTCCTTTTAGCGTCCAAGCCCAGACCTCGTTTTTCGATACTCCAATTGATTCGTTGCAAGTGATTGTTGGTCAAACAAACACAACCTGACTTACTAGCAAGCTATTATGCAGTAGAGCAATCAAGGTGCCAGTTGCTAGTTGCTAGCTAGCTAGAGTGCTGATTGTGATGAATGAGGGAGGACTGCACCAAGGTCTTCAAGAGGCTGGCAAAACGATTGTGGCATGGTCGTGGTGCTGCGTTTGCCGTTTCATTTTGACCAGTGGCTCGGTCGCACAACAATGACGTGTTCCAAAAACGGACTATCTTCCAACGCGAAAACGCTCCAAGTTGATGACTCAGTGGAGGTATACTTAGAAGAGAGGCCCCTAGGAGCAGTTCGAGCTGTGGTTGTGATCAAAGCAACTGCCCTTTCTTGATTGACGTAACAGCCCTTTCCAAACTTGTACAGTAAATTGGTATAGTGTGTTCTGACAGGGAGTTCATTGCTGACATAATTGCTACCCACAATTATCACCAAAACAGCTCATATATAAATACGCGCGTACTTATCCTCAAGCACCGACTACTCAGAGTACTGAGTATATACCGGTAGTACATGTACCGAGAGCCCCTCAAACGCACGCGATGTAATACATGTAATACGTACAATGCGTATTCTACGTATTCCCGTATAATACGTATAACACGTATTACACGGTCGCCAGCCAGCCACCGTGACCGTTCGAGTGACCGTTCGTTTCGCAAAATGCTTCAACACCAATCTCCACCAATCTCCACCAATCTCCACAACACCACCATGAGATAAACCTCTCTCCTCTTGTTGCTTTGAAGGATACAGAGGTTTCTGTTGTTATTTGAAATAGTACCATCATGTGGGTAAGTAGGCAATGGGTATGGCTTTGTTGAAGCCAAGAAGACTGTTTCTGTGGAAAGATAGAAGGATTTCTCTCCATTCAACTCTTTCTTCATTCTCCTGCCCCACTCTCTTTATCAGGCTTTGTCAAGCTCACAGGACCATTCTCTTTGCATTCATATACTTCTGAAGGCTCACTGACGAAGCCTGTGGAAGATCTGGCCTTGATTTTCACCATCGTCAACAACTTCCTGTAGGGACCAGTACTGAACCCATGTAAGTACCCAAGCGCGCAACACGTGTTATGCATGATATACGTGTTATATGTGTTACCCGTGTTACCCGTGTTATACATATTAACTGTGTTGTACGTATTAATGTGTTATACGTATAACACGTATTACCTGTGTTATATGTATTACCTGTGTTATACGTATTACCGTGTTATACGTATTACCTGTGTTGGTCGTATTGTGCATGTTACCCGTGTTTGTTGTCTCACATATTTTCGTTTTCTTCATTAGTATTTTCGTTAGGCATCATGTCGGGTTCTGACGATGAAGATGGTGCGCAAGACGCTGGAGAAGACTTGCTCGAGAAGAGGAGAAGGATGACGAATCTGAGGAGGAGATTCCCTTTGCCCTGACAATCCTGGTCCTTTTTTCCCCGAACAAATCACTCCCCGCAACTTTGTTACATGTATTCAAGAAGCCATTCCGATGACCGCGAAGCGCCGAAACGAAGATGGATCCATCACACGCATCCTATCTACCATCCTGGACTGTCAGCATTTTGTCACCAATGCTTTGAGCCTGGTGTTGCACAGAGTAGTGCCAAAAGTGCTAACTCCTTCAAAGTCCGAAAGGTTGGTCCTAGCATGTACAATCATTCTAGACCTCCAAACGAGTGTCACATGGGAACAATGCCCATGTGTGGCTGAAAGACTGCCCATCGGCAGCTATCCCAGACTCTATGTGCAATTCCTCTTTTCGGAGTTTGTTTTGTAGGTGATATCACCAGACTTGAACTCGGGATACATTTGGAACAATCTCTGGGAACTTTCACCCGTCCAGGCAAGTGCAAGCAAATCATTCCAGAACCTGTGATGGATAGAGCGTCTCTTACTTTGTTCGCAAAGGATTCAGCACTGCCGATTCATCTGTTAGTGATTCAGGATCAATGTTCTGAGGTGTGGCTCCCCTATGTGATTTGTCTGATTCGAAGAAGGCCGGAGTCATATGAGGCAAATAGGACAACGAACGATTTTGTTGGGTCGATTGCAATCGGGCAAGTAGCCTGTCTGCAGCTGTCGCCTCCTGATGCGGTACTTGAGAGATGGTACCGTCTGGCTTACCAAAGACAAGACAACTCTTGATGCAAACTCTTCCTTAGAGATTCGATTTGTTTCGAGTTAGAGATGAGCCTGTCCGTTCATAAAGTAAAGTCTTAACAACACTTGGCGAGAGGTGGTTCTTTAGGCATTGTTCCGCTAGTGTAACGGCTTCTGTGCCAAGATGAGTACTTAACACTTTCACTTGTGCCTTCTTCTAGTTGTACATGGCCACGATGAAGCTTGTTGCCTGTCTGGAACTTGGGTAGATACCATCGTCTGTGTTCCTGGCTATATAGAACATTGAAAGAGAATGGACATTTGACACCCTCCCCCTCAACAGGAAGCTGAGTCTGGTGGTTTTGTTGCTGTCCTTTTGGGACCTTTGTTTTGTAAAAACGACTCCTTGGACAACATATGGTAATGTGATTCCGCTCTTATCAAATCCCTTGTTTTTGATGCGGAATCCAGCAGTCTTGCAAGAAGTACAAAGTATGGCATCAAAACTTCTTTAATATGCGCCGGATCACAAGAATGATACATCGAAGGTAGCCAATACACCGTCGATTTCTCCATTCGATAATTATCAACCCCAAGTATCCATAATGTTTATCTCCTTTGGCGTATCATCAGCTAGTGAGGTTGCTACATTCACAATGATGGAAGCAGGAGTCCATTCTTCATCATTGATATTGTATCTAGCAACATGAGAGAGTTCAGATAGGTAAGAGTCCATTTTACTTGATAAGCTGTCAGGTATTATGGCTGCAACAGTGCATTTCCTCTCTGCCTCCCAAAACCTGGCAAAACACCTGGCAAAAAACTTGGCAAAAATTCGTCACTATGTATTATACGTAAAACACGTACAACACATAATACATGTAATACGTATAATATTGTTCCACTTGTGTTATCTGTGTTGTACGTATGACTTGTCTAATACATATTAAAAATGTTATATGTGTAATACGTATGATCTGTAGAATACATAGTAAAAATGTTATACGTATAATACAACCGCGTGCGTTTCAGGGGCTCTCGATAGATGATCATCCGGAGCTCTAGCTAGCAAGAGGCAGTGGCAAGCCAGTGGTAGCTACTCTAGGAACGCACCAGGTTTACCAGCAAATTCCGGATCTTCGAAAGTCGTTCGAAAGTCGTGAAAGTCGTTCTAAAGTCGCGCACCGCGACTTTATCGCGACTTTTTACCGCGACTTTCATGACTTTCACGACTTTAGAACGACTTTAGAACGCCTTTTCAGTGTCAAAGCTAGTAAATTATCGCGACTTTACCGCGACTTTACCGCGACTATTTCGTTCCTACTGATAGTCGCGCACGACTTTACAGCGACTTTTACCGCGACTTTAGCGCGACTTGTTTGGCGAAGGAGGCAAAACGGCTAAAACCTGGCGCCTTCCTAGTATGTCAGAAATCGGAACATGGCCAACAGATCAGCAGACAGAGGCTTTTGTCGCCGCCCTCATAACGAGACGCTCCCTATGTCTGGTTGGCTATCTAGTAGAGAGAGGCCATGTATATATATAGATCGTAAGAGGATACTATTCCCTCAGTTCACAGTTCATAATAATAATAATAGCCACGGAAAGAGGAGAGAAGTGAGGACATCTTGAGACTAGCAAGACTATGTCATATGTGGGGGTTGTTCGCCCCTGCAGGAGGACCAGCCAATACTGGTACCACGCGACAATCGTTACATTTTTGCCAAAGATCTGTCCACTGGTACCGGTACCCATAGCCACAAGCAGCCAGAAACGGATGCTGATGGTGCCAACGTAAGCAGGTGAAATCGTGCACCTTGCTTCTTCGGTGTTGTCACTCGGGCCAGGTTTCGGTTTGGAGTAAGCCGCTCGCATGATCTGAGACAGGTGCAAGACCAGACGAGACAAAAACCCCAACATTTGCGTGGATGGGCACCACCTGTTCGCATGTAGTGTTTGTCCAATTACTCCGTGGGCAGCTATGAGGATGCTCGGACGATTGGTTGTGAAACTAACTACTTCGGTTTAGTTTCTCTATTTCTTAATTAATTAATGATTCTATCTCTATCTTTTTCCTAGTTTTTGTTGTTGATTGGCTGCACACTCATGCAGCTTCCACTTCACACAGTTGATGTAAGCATGACAAAGCAATCCTGTGCCAGGTTCTACCTTGCTGCCACACACAGACACCTTAGAGCACCATGGCTGCTCCAGCCATGGCAGCCATGGTAGCATAAGTGGTCAAGCTTCCAGCAGAGGAGTCAGCCAAGTGATGCTTCTCAACTGCAAAGGGCTGGGGCTGGACGTCAACCGTTTCGGTAACCTCGTTCTGAAGCTTACGGTGGCCATCCACAATCTGGATATTCTTGCGCAAACGACGACCAGCAGGTGCTGTAGCAGTTCCTCCAAGTTCCAAAAGGATGCTTCCCTCACCAGTCAATGTCAAGGCTTCAAAATCATAAAAGTCAGCAAACAGCAAGAAAGACACCAAACAGACATTGTTGTCATTTCCTTCATCAACACACTTCTTGGTGGAGAAGATGGTAGAGGCAGGAGCAGATTCCGTGATGATGAGCTGAGAGGGCTCTGCAGCTTCAGCATTCCTGACAGTGAACTCCATGATATCCTTGACTTGGAACTGTCCTTCTTCAACCCTGAAGCAAACATTGAGAGTGCTTCCTTGAGTGGTGACAGCATCAGAACCATCGTTGGTGAGAATCTGGTAGCTGTCAGGGTCACAGAAATAGGCCAAGAGACTTCCATCAAAGCTGAGAGTGGTGTCCTCAGCATCAGTAAAGGCCTCAGCTTGGGTGACAGTGTAGCCAGTCAAGGTAGGAACTTGGGTCACCAAATCAATCAGGTATGTCAGCTTGACCTCAGCAAAGTCAATCAGCATAATGTCAGAGTAAAGTCCAAGCACAACACAGAAGTTGACGGCTGCATTGAGACCATCATCAGCTTCAGAGTAGATGAGGGCATTTTCATTGACTCCTTCAACAAAGGAGAAGGAGAAGCCATTGATGCCCATACCTGGGTTATTGACAATTCCGGAGGTGTCCACAGCAATGCCAGAAACATCTGGGTTGGGATAGAAGTGGCCAACATTGGTGCGCTCTGCAGCCACAGCTTCCTGACGGCACTTGTTTTCAACAGAAATCTTGACATTGACATTTTCACCTGCACCGGGTCCAGTCTCATAGGTAAAGTCCTGTCCATCAATGGTTTTGAAGTTGACACTCCAATCACCAATCTCAAGGGCACGAGCACGTTGCTCATCCTCATTGGCAGTGGCCAAGAGAGGGGCGGCAATGAGCAAAAGGGTGGAGAAGAACTTCATGGTGATAAGGTGCTTTTTTGTTGTAGGTGATGGTTGTTGGTCTTTGTATGTTGTTGATTGCCTTTTTGTTTTGTGCAATTTGATTTTGTGAGAGAGCTGTGAGAGGCAGATCTCGGATCCACAAGCTGATCATCATCGCAAAGTCCTACCGTAGTACATTGTAAGTGTCACAGTGTCACTCACTGGGTGAACGAACCCCAGTGAATGGAATGACCGTCCTCGTGTATTACGGCGTTCGCTTCCAATGTTGTTTAAGCCTTTTTGATTTAATTGAGAGAACATTCCTTCCCAAAGGTCATGATATTAAGTCTCCACTCCCCGTGCTCCATCTACAGGCATATATATGCCCACATTTTGGTTGCCTCAGGCAACTACGGTGACGAGGTTTCGATTTGGTGATCTTCATCAAGCTTGCTTCTAGACATCTATCTGGTGGCTGGATCGAGAAGAGGATGCTACTTGCTTTGGTTCATCCAGTGATGACTTACTTACTTTGGCAAGGCTCTATGTTTTGATTTGTTTCCAACAGGTGACTGACTCGTTTCTCCGCCTGGTCCACCCTCGAGGTTGCCTTGAAATTGCAGTTGTCCTTGTCCAGCATGGGGACATAGTCGTTCTTTACTCGTAGCTTGCCTTCTTATAGCTACAGCGGGTAATACCTGGTTGGGTACTACGGTAATAGTTGACGCTAAGAACGAAGCTCCAGCAATCAACGCACTTGACGTAGCCCGCCCAAGTTGGACGACCCTTAACCAGTGTGTTTCCCAATTGGCGCATGTTGGCGACGCACCTGGAAACTTATTTGGCAAGGAATGCAATCTTCTTGCTGCCAAGGCGGACGAACAAGTTCGAGATGCCTCCAGAACATGTGTTCGAATCAAGTCAGGTAGCTACATGCCATCTAGGACAGACCAGCTAGGCTGCTAAACAGATATTGGAACATGACGCCTATTATAGTCAAGTTATTCTATTGTTTGATTCTGTAGATACTGCTGCTTGTCGCAGCTCCCAAGGAATTGATCCTATGATGGTTTCGCGAATGGACCCACTGTGGCTGCTTGATGAATGAATGAATATTGCTGCCTCGTGGTTTTCAATTTTGTCCCCTGTTGTGCGTTTCCCCGGTGCACTCTCTAGAAAGTAGCGTAAGACGACCATCGCTCTTGCGCTTACAATTGCACCGATTCTTCCTGTGCCAATTGGAACGTGATTTCGTGCTCGTGGTGAAAGACACCCGAAAATTGAACGAGTGGCGGCGCGATATTGCCATCCTCGCCGTAGATCTCGCCACCGTGTTCATCAAGCTGATAGATTTTGACATTTCCGTAGCCATTGGCGCAGCAAATACCATTTCCGCCGGCATCTCGCAGCGTGAGTTTGTAAGAACCGTCTAGCCGAATGTTTTCCCCATGAAAGCGAAAGCCATAGGTAGCATCAGGATCTTGAAGAGTTCCAGGTGCCATTTCTTCCACAATACTGGTGGACGTGACGATGAGGGTCCCTCCCATGACCGCGGGTCCCATTGTGCTGTGTGTCTGGTGTACGAGTTCAAAGCTGAGCTCCCATGGAGCGCCGTCAGTATGGATATCAATGCGGATTCCCCCCGTGGGTAATACCGGAGCTTGAGTGGGTTCGGATGTAGGGAAGAAATCTACCGAAGCCGTGTTTCCAATTCCCTGCGCCTGTGCCGCTGCCGCTGCCTGGTTCGCTTGAGCAATGCCGAATTCTTGATGGGTTGTTGGAACATTGGTGGTCTGCTGTTGAGTAGGAGCATCTGTCTGATGTTGAGTCGGAACATGAGTCTGCTGCTGAGTAGGAGCATCTGTCTGGTGTTGAGTGGGAACATCTGTCTGCTGCTGTGCGGTAGGAGGACTGGTTGGTGTCGCTGTCGTGGGAGCCATGGTCGGTTGTTCCGTCGTTTCGGCAATGGTTGGTGCCGATGTGGTTGCCAATGAAGAAGGAGCCAATGAAGGAGCCGTGGATGGCATTGCCGAAGGAGCTGCTGAGGGTTCTTCTGTTGCGGTATCGGTGTTTGTTGGGGCAGCTGTTGGCGAGACTGTAGGCTGTTGGGTAGATGTTGCCGAATTGGTTGGAGCCACTGTAGTTGGAGCTTGAGTAGGCTGTTGCGTAGAAGTTTCCACGTTGGTGGGATTTGTTGTCGTGGTGGCCGGAACGGTGGGTGCATTGGTAGTGGTTTGGGGCTGGGTAGGTGCTGCCGTTGGTACATCAGTGGGCGCATTGGTTGTGGTTTGTGGTGACGTTGGCGAGTCTGTTGTGGTTTGAGGATTGGTAGGAGCCGCGGTGGGTGTATTTGTTGTTTGAGTTGCAGTAGGACTCTCGGTAGATGGATTAGTGGGAACGATGGAAGGAGCAATGGAAGGAGCAATGGAAGGAGCGACGGAAGGCGATGTGGATGTAGATGGCGATGAAGAGGGAGACGATGTGGTTGGTCTGGGCGTTTGTGGAGGTAGAGTGAAACTGACAAATGCCTGTGTCCGGTCTGTGGGCTGTGGAGTCGGAAGAGCTGTGGGCGAATCTGTTGGTGACTCTGTTGGTGACTCGGTGGGAGTAAATGTAGGAGGATCAGTACTAGCGCTGCCACTGCCACTTCCACACCAGCTTGGAGGAAAGTCTGAAAAGTCACAGACAGTGTCCTCGATAAAGTCAATGGCTGCACTGACTCTAGCGTAGACCCCTGGTGCATTGGATCGACCGCACCCATCTCCCCAGGAAGTGATTCCAACTTGCACAAATCCCCCCGAGTTGTCTTCGTAAAAGAGCGGTCCTCCACTGTCTCCAAAGCATGCATCGAATCCCCCCGTGGGGACACCGGCACATAAATGTGGTTGCCCGCTACCTGCTTGCATAAAAGGGTAGGTTGCGTATGCGTAATCGGTGGATTTGCAGTCTTCGATGTAGTTTACGGTGACTTCCTGTAGTATTTTCTGATCATCGTATCCTCCAAACTCCGAAATGGCTCCATTTCCAATGGCCGTGAGAGGCTGGTTTTCAATGGGTACGTTTGACCGGTGATTGAGTTGAATGGGATCCAGGTCGAAGATGGGTTCTTCTAGCTTCATGACCATGACGTCGTACAGGTTTCCCTGGCCACGATCAAAGTCTGGATGGACCCAGTATTCTTGGGCAAAGAGGACATGTGGGGCATTGTGATCATTTTTGTGGTTGGATCCAAAGCTGAACGGGTATTTGTCTAGTTCAGTCGTCTCGCAATGAGCTGCACTAAGGACCACTGTGATTAAAAAATAAAAATAAAATTATAAAAAATGGGTGAGAGACAGGAGATGGTAATTCGACAGGGTGTAAAACATAACATAAGCCAGCAAAAGCTGCCAATGCCGAATTGGTAAATAATTTTTGCACCATGGCGACTAACTAACTTACTGTCAGGCGCAATAAGAGATCCACCGCAGCCATGCCACCAGGAGGCAAAGAAGGGATAGCGAGATCCAGAGCTGACATCGCTTCCTCCAACAATGCGAGTTCCAAACGACAGCGATCGTTCGCCACGAAGATTCCGCCGTTGTTCCTGAACTGGCCGTTGTTGATGTTCCAAAGATCCCGTTGGAATTGCGCGAGTGCCGTTGGCATTGGTGTGGATTGTCCAACGGCTGAGGAGCAGAAAACCCAGGAGAAAGCGAGAAGAGCGCCGCGATGTCATTGTCATTGTCTTCTGTCTTACTGTTCTACTGTATGATAGCTGAATGTGGCTGCGGAGTAATGAGGCTGCAGCTATGATCGGCTGTACTTGTGTGTACTGGTGGTACTCGTGGAATGAAATTGTGAGCAACCGGCTTTTCGCTTTGTTTCGGCAAAACTGCGATCTGCAGGGTCAGGTACACTTTTTTATATAGTAAACATCAATCTACTAGCTATCTAGTGAGAACAATGACGGGCAACGGTCAAGCAAACAACGGCGTGTCCAAGTGATCTTTCGGTCATTCCCAGTTGCCTGTGATACTTAACCACCACGCCACCCACTGGTCATCACCAGAACATGTTCCCGAATCTACTTGTTAGAAAGATGAGGTAAAACATTGTAATTTATTCTCATCTATTACTTCATCTTCTACCCAACTGCCGGTCTTGCACCATCGAAGCAACAAAGTCTTGTGCCAATCAACCATGTTCCCACCAGTAAATCTTCGCTCACAGGAGTCGCCGCAGTTAATTGATCTACAGACGCTCAGGATGTGCTATGTGCTTCCTTGAACATGGTTCCCCCTACTCTTTGGCAAACTCGTTACCACTGGTCCCTCGATCCCGCTCGACCATTCAAGCAAGGCACAACACCCCAAAGCTTTATCCTATCCTCCCCACAACTAACTCTGATCGAGTGCAATCGTGCAAATCTGGATGTCCGAGGGGCCTTTCGCTAAAGCCTCCCATTCATGGTTGCTCGCGTGTTCCGAAAACTTACTTTTGGGATCTCGCGCTCCTATCCCGGGGACGGCCTTGGGAATGGTGCAAGTTGCGAGCCACCGTACATGTAGCTACCTAACTAATAACTAAGTAGAGCTTGGCAAGGTTTGTTCTTCATGTAGCTATGTATGCAGCTGCCTACATTCTGCCTGAGTTGCTTGCTTGCTGCAGCCAGCCCAAGGATCCTCCTGATACACACCCGAAGCTGCTTCTACAGCACAGCCAGAAACTGTTGTCCGTATCGCACGCTACCGTATAGTCTAGATCTCAGCCAATCACTTCGTACCGTAGGTACTAGCTTGTAACTTGGAGGGTTGCTCAATGGCCGCCTCGCTCTTTCTTGCTTGCCCAAGTTACTACTCGTCTTGCTTGCTTCTCTCAATGTGCAGCCACCATTTCATGTTGCATAGCTCTGGAACGGGCCAGCAGCCAAGTTGCCCCGCACGGTAGCCAGCACCACAGTGAGAGAGCGAGGTGTGCCCCCTCTCCTTCTTGCTTGGAAGCAACATGCGAGCTACTGGTACCGGTAGCTAGTACTCGAAAATTCCCAGGCTCCGTCGTCCCCCGCGGTATCTGTGCACCTTGATCTCGCATGTTCCGATTTTCTCCTGTGCTTCTCCATGCTGGCACTGATCCACTTGCTTGTACAGACTGTAGCTGTACTAGCTACACTCTGCAAAACCCCAACACAAGAAATGGCTGGCTGAGCGACACATATATGAACATTCTGGCTGGATCTGGAGTGAGCAAGCGAAGTCAGCCAGCTAACTGCATCACTGGACATGTTGCTACAGCCACTGCCGATACGGATGATAGTAAGTTCGTTCTCAACTAAATTTGAATGAGAAGCACGAAACGACGAAAAGAGAAAACCAACGAAAGCCGCTGCCAACCAGTCCTTAGCTACCGGTAGCTAGGTGCAAGTAGAAGAAACCCAAATGCAATGAGAGCGCTGCCTGTACATCTCTCACCGTACCACCTGACGTTACCAGAGTCGGGTCACTCCAGGCTGGATGGAAACGAAAAGTCAGCTGTTCTTTCTGCTAGCACACTTTATTGTACCCAGCGCTGGGGGCAGCAGCTGTGGGTTGCGTGATTGCCTCTTCGGCTCTTCTGGCTAACATAACTTTCACTGGGGTACCATCATGCAGGGTTCTCACACAAGTGTCCAGTGAAATGGCTGGAAATCGAAAAGACTAGATGTGCTGTTATCAAGCGAACGCAACGGGCAACAAAAGAGTCATTATTCCAAGAGGAGGAGGGGAATTCGCTGAAGAAGGAACAGAAGGATTATGTCAAAGTCCGTCGCTGTTGATCGTACCGGTCATTGGATGAACGCATGCCCAGTGACACTTGCATGGCTCGGTCTTCACCGTTGTTGGATTCTCGTGCTTGCGAAGAGCTGAGCCTGGTCAGCCAAGAGGAATGGAATGAATCCAAAATCAAGTTCAGTCTCTGCTCACAAATCCAAGCCTGGAGAAACCAAAACAATAATAACATACAAAGCAAAACAAATCATTTCCATCGCACCTTATCAACATGAAGTTCTTCTCCACCCTTTTGCTCCTTGCTGCCCCTCTCTTGGCCACTGCCAATGAGGAAGAACAACGTGCTCGTGCCCTTGAGATTGGTGACTGGAGTGTCAACTTCAAAACCATTGATGGACAGGACTTTACCTATGAGACTGGACCTGGTGCAGGTGAAAATGTCAATGTCAAGATTTCTGTTGAAAACAAATGCCGTCAGGAAGCAGTGGCTGCAGAGCGCACCAATGTTGGCCACTTCTATCCCAACCCAGATGTTTCTGGCATTGCTGTGGACACCTCGGGAATTGTCAATGACCCTGGTATGGGCATCAATGGCTTCTCCTTCTCCTTTGTTGAAGGAGTCAATGAAAATGCCCTCATCTACTCTGAAGCTGATGATGGTCTCAATGCTGCCGTCAACTTCTGTGTTGTGCTTGGACTTTACTCTGACATTATGTTGATTGACTTTGCTGAGGTCAAGTTGACATACCTGATTGATTTGGTGACCCAAGTTCCTACCTTGACTGGTTACACTGTCACCCAAGCTGAGGCCTTTACTGATGCTGAGGACACCACTCTCAGCTTTGATGGATCTCTCTTGGCCTATTTCTGTGACCCTGACAGCTACCAGATTCTCACCAACGATGGATCTGATGCTGTCACCACTCAAGGAAGCACTCTCAATGTTTGCTTCAGGGTTGAAGAAGGACAGTTCCAAGTCAAGGATATCATGGAGTTCACTGTCAGGAATGCTGAAGCTGCAGAGCCCTCTCAGCTCATCATCACGGAATCTGCTCCTGCCTCTACCATCTTCTCCACCAAGAAGTGTGTTGATGAAGGAAATGACAACAATGTCTGTTTGGTGTCTTTCTTGCTGTTTGCTGACTTTTATGATTTTGAAGCCTTGACATTGACTGGAGAGGGAAGCATCCTTTTGGAACTTGGAGGAACTGCTACAGCACCTGCTGGTCGTCGTTTGCGCAAGAATATCCAGATTGTGGATGGCCACCGTAAGCTTCAGAACGAGGTTACTGAAACAGTTGATGTCCAGCCCCAGCCCTTTGCAGTTGAGAAGCATCGCTTGGCTGACTCCTCTGCTGGAAGCTTGACCACTTATGCTACCATGGCTGCCATGGCTGGAGCAGCCATGGTGCTCTAAAAGCAAGGTGTCTGTGTGTGGCAGCAAGGTAGAGCCTGGCACAGGATTGCTTTGTCATGCTTACACCAACTGCGTGAAGTGGAAGCTGCATGATGTGGGTGTGTCCTGATGGACAGCAAACCCACGTGTTGCTCCTTAGGAAAAAGAAATAGATAGATAGAATCAAATAAGTATAGAGAAATGTTCGGTTAATCATCTTGTTTCTGTTTAGCTAGCTAGGTGAATGCATGCGCAACGATGCGCTTGCTTGTAATGACGGGGACTGCGAACGTTCAAGGACCTCCCACTCCTCTATTAGATCTCTAGTAGACTCTAGACTTTAGACTCTAGACTTACTAGCTATAGTCGCCCCGGCGGCCACCGATTCAATAGATTAGATTCTTTTGGTCGAGAGGAAGTAGGGCAGCTCGTAAGTGCGCTCTCGATGCGTACCCAGCTGGTGGCTGGCTCCCACCGACCTCTAGGTTCCACTTGTCTAGATCACAGGCAGCAAGTTCGAATTCTCTGAGTGCATACGCAGCCAAGTGTCACTGCCGTCGCATCCATCGAATCTCTAGTTCCGACAATGTAAGGAGCCTTTGAATCTTCGTACCAATATCGGGGGAAGTTTGGTCTCGAAAGGGCCGAGCTCTCCCTCCACGGGTCGCCTGACTCTATTTCGATGTCTCCCAGCCATTGATCTTTGGTTGGGTAGAAAAGAAGGGAAAAAACGAGCCAAAAAAATGAAGGGACGGGAGTGTGACGCATACCGGAACACGTGTAAGCACTTTTCTAGCACAAATAAATTGGACGGCTCGATGGCGCCGGTGACGCAGACGACAGGGATATCTTCGCATCAAGAAGTGCTCACAATTTATTTTCACAGAACAAACGCTAGCTAGATACCAAAGAAATTATTATAAGAAAATGAAGTTTTCTGCATCCTTTGTTGGTCTTTTGATGGTGGCTGGAACTGCCCATGCCTTCACCAGTCCTGCCGTTTCCAGCAAGATGGGCGGCTTGAAAATGTCGGAAGCCCCTGTTGCCGAAGCCGAGGTAGAAGAGCAAGTGCAAGCTCCGGATGCTCCCCCCGCTGCTCTTTCTGGACTTCGAATGCACGAGGTTCGACGTGCTGTGCACAGTCTGAACAAGGAAAACTTTGAAACTACTTTGGCTGATTTGGAACCCTACTTCCTGAACGAAGCTGGATCTTCTCTGTACGCCAAGTCAATGCGACGAATTTCTGCACGGGCCGATGCGTTGGGGGTTGAAGTGCCTGCTGGATACGCCAAGGAAGCCAAGGTCACACAGAAGCGAAGGGAAAAACAAAATGCTTTCATCCAAACGAAGGAAGAGGAACGAATGGCCGCTGAAGCCGAAGCTGAAGCTGAAGCCGCAGATGCCACTGAGGAGGAAGCCGCCCCTGTGGAGGAGTAAACCAAGCAATAAAACAATGGCTGACAATTAAGCAATAGTGTAAGGTAGTACCGTAGTTCCCAATAAATAAATGTCTAGGAAAGAATAACAATGTTGCCACAACGTTCCATCTGGCTCGGGAAGAAAAGGAAATGAAGGAAATGAGAGCCTCGACTTTGCTAGCTAGAATGCAGAAAGTCAACAACACCAACATGGACAGACAGACTTACCGGTACGTCCAGCTTCTTGCTGCTGGATCAAACCCTTTACCCTGCATGGTACATCCCTTTCACGGTAGATTCACTATTTCCACTGCCTTCACAATCAGTATCAGCGAATGCTGCGAAGAGGGCTTCGATGGAACGCAGAGCTAGGAATCTGAAGCCAAGAACTATATCAACGTTGCCCGTTCCACATACACGGATTGACTGACCCCCATCCACCACGGGTCATCCCCATTCAGCTCTGTCGGTTAAGCAAGCGCGATCAAAAGAATGACGCAAAGCTCCCACACAAAACAAAAAGCACTGCTGTCCATGGATGCAGTCCAATTGTAACAATAGAAGCATGAAAGCAGAGGGAGAAGAACCAGAACAAGATACTAGTAGTAGTACAAGTACAATGGCAATGACACTGTCCCCCCAAGTCCAGACCTATGTGTACATGGTAGTGTTTTTCTTGGCCATGATTGGTCATGAAGTGGCACTGGAAGCAGCCTCAGACTCTTTTTCTCAGTTGGATGCATTGGCCAGTGCAGTTACTTGCTTTCAGATGAGTTTTTGTGTTTTCTTGCCATTGATCCTCTCCAAGGGGGAAGATTTGGAACATTTTCCAAAAACAAAACCAGAAATTTTGCCCTATGTTCGGTTGTCCCTCTTTGTCTTTGGGGCCACGGGTCTTTCCACACAGGCGGTGCGTTACGTGACTTATCCCACCAAAGTGGTCTTCAAAAGTGCCAAACTCATTCCCACCATGGCAGTGGCTACTGTCTGGCAAGGGCACAAATATTCCAAGCTGGAATATCTGGCTGCATTCTTGCTTTGTGCTGGGGCTGCTGGCTATTCCTATGGCAGTGGAAACAACCACAATGACAATGACAATGACACTGCATTCTCTGCGGGAGCTGCATGGGGCATTGCCTTGTTGATATCAAGCATTATCTGTGATGCTGTTGTCCCCAATTACCAAAAGTTGATTTTGAACCAGGGAGTAGCAGCAACACAGCTCATGATCAATACCAATGCAGTGGGCACACTGGCCGTTTTGGCATACATGTTGCTCACAGGCCAACTCTTTGCCATTATTGCTACTTGCAATGCCCACCCAAAACTTATCCTATATTTGACAGGTGTGGGGATTGGACTCTCTACTGCCGTTTGGGCATACACCAAGCTCATCCAGGCAACATCCTCGGTGGTGGCAGTAGCTGTTTCTACGCTCCGCAAGGTTGCGACCATATTCTTGTCCTATATCATCTTCCCCAAGCCGCTTCTCACTATTCACATTTATGCGGGGTGTTTGGTCCTACTTGGGATGGTTCTCAGCAGTGTGGCCAAAGAAAGAGCCACTGCGGCCAAGCATCCACACGGCAATATTATTAATGCACAACACAATGATAAACCAGAGACCACAAACGGAGAAAAACACGAAGCCTAATTCACATCATGCCATATTGGTACCATACAGTATACCAACCGATGCATCCATGGCAAAAAAGAATGAAATGTTTGACTCAATGCATGGATGTTGGTCGCCACCGTACACGAATCGGCCCTCGCCAACGCAAGGGGGCGATGTGACGGAGGACGCGGCTAACAAGACGTTTCCAAACGGACCAAAGTCTAATTTGGAAACTTTTGTTCGACCTATAGTGGGCCAATTTTAATGCTATAGCTACCGTAACATACTTTTAGAAAACTCAACTAGGAAAAATGAATGATACCGGTAGTCGGTCTAAACTACATTTTCGGCTGCCCAAGGGATTCTTTAGCCCACTGCCAACCCATTCATTTTTCAATGCAGGTTGCTATCCCCACTTGATGTACTTGTCCAAGAAAGCAATCGTCTTCTCGGGGTGCACGCTGCTGCAGTAGTTGTACCCATCGAAGCGACGGTTCGTACAGCACCTGCGATAAAGAAGAGCTCCTTTTCTCTGCAACTGATCAGGTAGTTACACTCGTTCAACCTCAGGTTGCTTCACCAGACGCAGGTCGCCCTTGACCTGGGACATAAAGTGCCGGGGCGAATGCCTGGCTGGGGTCTCATCTCGGCATTGGTAAAGCTGCCCAACTTGATCTGTTCTGCTCAATCTGCTCAAAATCCATGAGATCCATATACCCAGCCACTCCAAGCAAATCGGCAAAGCAACCATCAAGCTATGATAGTCATGGACACTCTCAACCAAGGGACCAAAGAAGCATTCAAGAATGCTTTCGAACAACTCCGGGTGGCAGTGCATGACATTGTACGGAGCATTGCCTCCAGTGCAGCGACTGTACATGTAGAGACCGACCTTTTCTTGTGCAGCTTGCGATGGGAGTCCACGTACTTGGCACCGACACAATCAGTCCATCCGTAGCGTCTAATGTCGCAAAATCGTCCATTGGTACCATTACGGCACCGGTACGGCGGAACCATAACATCGGTGACACGACAATGGTGCGATGGGCGAGATGCCAATGTTTCATGTGAGCCATTCCCAAAGCTCGATCCAAGGTATCCACCTTAGAAAAGGGTTCACCCACGTCAGTCCGGACGTCGACATGGGCACGGGGTGATTGATGATGATCAACTTTCTTGTTCGATTCGCCGCCGGCTGCAGGGATGTACCGGTGCCAAACTTCCATGCTTACGCCGTACAACGAGGGAAAGAAAACATTCTCCCACGCACGTATCCATGCTATGATCCGCTGGTGTCTTGTGGACATGAGTGCGGAAAGGGGGCGGACTGCAACGACTCAAGTGTAGATAGATCTTTCGGGAGTCGAAGTCTAACTCACCAATGATGATTTCGTTTCGGCAGCCAAGACATACACTCGAGTAGATTGCTTGCATTGATTGTCCACCGCTGCCTGAACGTTGAGATCACTTCAGATGATCGTGTTGTTTGTTTGGATCTGGTTCGGCTTCCAATCGGCTGGTGTACGTCTACGCCTCAAGCTATGGCAGCTACCAGACAAAGGAGTGGATATTGATTGGATCACAAGCACTCTGCGTCGTCATGGCGGCCGTTTCCTCATACCATACGGTACAGGTACGGTGGAACCATGGCGTACCGGTACAGGTGCAGTACCGGTACGGTGCGGCTGAGGGGTGAAAATACACCAGACGGTACCGGTATGGTGCATGTCTCTCCCCTACATAATAAACACAGGCTTTGTTCAACTTTAGGTCCGGGAATTGGACTGACTGGGTGTTGGTTCAGGTGTGTACCGGTACATGCCCAGGCTGTGTCCAAGCCATGGTTTCTTCTACCATCTCCTTTGTCTTTTCTATTCTATGCTCGGATCAATACTGGCGCCACTCTAGCTAGGAACGCATCCGTCTCCTAAACGAAACTTAGTTTGACTCGTTCGTCTGTACAGGGGACCGTACCGGTACCGGTACCGGTACCAGGTACCATCATCGTTTGCGTGTTCATGTCCTGCCACGGATTCACGGAACATGCGACGGCGTACGGAGCGGAACCCAAGCGCGAGCAAAGCAACTATGGGATTGAATATGCGAACCCCTGTTCTCACTCCCAAGCTCTCCATCAAAACGAGCTCGTCTGATCTTATTGATGTCGTGCTAGAGATAGTATCTAAAATGCGAACCGACGCTTCGAGCAATCACCAGAGACAATCCCAAAAGATCACAAAATCAAAAATACGAAAGAAACAAACTCTAGCAAGCTAGCTAGAGCTAAAGAGAGAAAAAGCTAGCTACCAGCAAGAACTAGTACACCTGTAGTACGAGACAAAGAAGAAAAAAAGAAAACTGAAGTTAAACTATTGGCCAAGTCAAGATGGCGACAGCAGATGGCAAAGCTAGCAGCAAGCCAGCTGGCTCCTCGGTGGCGCTGGTTTTTGGCGCCAGCGGCGAACAAGGTCGCGCAGTTATGGAAGGTCTTGTGGATCACGGGTTTTCCAAGGTGTACGGCTTTACTCGGCTTCAAGAGAATCGTGAAGATGTGCGTTACTTGCAAGACGCGTTGGGCTGTTTGCTGATTCAAGGCGACATTGCCAACATTGAAGAAGTCGAGAAGGCTTTGAAGGAAACCAGAGCCGACTGTATTTTCTTGGTCACTACTACGGAGTTGCCCACCGAGATTGGTCAAACCACGGGATGCTGGAACGCCATGGAAGCCGAATTCGAAGTGATCCAGCAGTTCTTCGATGTGCTTCTCAAAGTTCACAAACAGGATGGATTGCCACGTCACGTCGTCTTTAGTACCAAAGACAATGTACACCAGCTTTACCATTCAAACAATGAAAACTCAAACATGGACTGGAAAGATCTTTCTCCAATGGATGATGGCAGCATTGTGCCTCATTACTCTGCCAAGGGAAAAGGAGCGGGCTATGCCAAGCAGCTACTCCAAGACACTCCTGGTGCTAGTGGCCTCGCCTTGACACTTGTCACCCTACCTTTTGTCTATTCCAACTTTCTTGGATTCTTCACACCATTGCCTGTGTCCTCAGAGCAAGACAAACACAATGCCAATCAATGGTCCATCAGTGCAAGTTTGGGAGATGGAAGCAAACCATTGGATATGATGTCAGTCTCAGATCTAAGCAATATCATTCGTAAGTGCAAAAAGTGCAAAAACTCAACTCAGTATACGCTCGTGCAAGAAACATCAGACCAATACTGATGCATTCTCAATTTTTCTCTCTCTGCCCTTTGCAACCTCATTTTTTTATTAAATTGTGCCAGCCCGCATCTTTGAACAACCGGAACGATACCGCAACCAGAATATTCGTCTCAGTGCCTGTCGCATCTCCATGGATGAAATTGCCGCACACTTTAGTGATCTATTTGGAAAGGACGTCATTTACAACCCACTCTTGCCACAAGAGGTGGCGGCATTGCCATTTCCTTCTGCACCGGCCATGGCCCAAATGTGCCAGTACCTACAGCAATGTGCACCCCCGCACGACATGGGCACCACACAAACCATACTCGAAGCTTCTCATCGAAAACCACAGTCCTTTCAAGATTGGCTACTCACGCATAGCGACAGCAGTGCCTTTGAACGGGTGGGACTCGATCTAGATGCACCCGAAATTAGTTCTGTCGTAGTCTTTGGGGCCACCAGTCCCCAGGGACGAAGTGTCATTCGAGGACTACTCAATGACACTCGCAAACAGTACACCGTGCGAGCGGCCTGTCTCGATGTCGCCAGTGATGCTGCCAAGGCACTGGAATCATTGGACACGGAGAGAGTCACACTAGTAGCTACGAATCTAGACGACGTTGCTAGTTGTCAAGCGGCTGCCGAGGGAGTCGATGGAGCTTTTCTTGTCACGGACTTTTATCAAGACAGCGCACAAGCCAACGTCGAAGTGGAACAGCAGCATGCCAAAAATGTCATTGATGCTTGTGAGGCCGCATCGTCCATCAAACATTTGGTGTTTTCAACCATGGACAACGTCGAGGGCATGATGAAGGGACACGACAACAACGGCAATAAGGACAATAACAGCAGCATTGTGGATGCCAAGGCCAAGGCAGCTGCCTATGCCCGGACCAAGAAGCTCAGTGTCACCTATGTTATCCTACCATGCTATTCGGAACTCTTCTTGGATATGATCCAGCGTCTTCCCGTACCAACACCCAAATCGAGCAACACGAGCAACGACGCCGACACGGCAAAATTGGTACTGACCATTCCGCTCAAGAATGATGAAAAGGTCATGTGCATGAGTGTCGATGACTTGGGACCAGCCGTCAGCAACATCTTTGATAGCTATCAAGTCTACGCGGGCCATGAAATTGGACTTGTCACCGACTTTGTTTCCGTGTCCGAAATTCGGGATATGCTCAATGTGGTCATTCAGGGCGACGACTCGACAGACAACGCGCTCGAAACCAAAACGGTCCCACACGATGATTGGGTCGCCAGCATGACGGCCTCGACCAGCGTCAGTCACAGCTACATGAAGGATCTGGGACAGATCTTTGCCTACTTGTCGCATACGGATGCAGTCAAGAAGCGTCATTCCATTGCCAAGACCATGAAGTTGGTCCCGTCCGCTCGCCCTCTCAAGTTGTGGGTCGAACAAAACAAAGACAACCCGTCGTTTCGGGAAAAGCTGGGATTGCGGTAGGGCATGACTTCGTTACGTGTACTGCATTCATGGCTGACTGCTCGTGTACCACAAGCAGACTGTAGCCAGTTGCACAGGACTAACAGCGAGCCACCGAGTTGTTTGAGTTGCTACTTGGTTGAAACGCTGAGTGCTTCAATATTTTCACGAAAGACTTGTTTACAATCAACATCAGAGGGCGGATTACATTTTCATAGTAGTTTTCTAGTTGAAGAGAGCCAACAAGCAAACGCATTCTTGTTGGCTAGATTAGATTCATCATGGCATAGATTTGCAGGCATGGCGTACCGGCCCCTTTCGTACGACAGCACCTGGTTGACAGGCACAATTTCAACCAGGCAGATTTCAGTTTTGGGCGGGTGCCTTCCACGGTGCGTTGCCGCTTGACACGTTTTCGTCTTGCGGACCCAAGCATCTACCGCCCTGGGCGCGGAGCTGAAGAGTGGGATCCGAAATTCGCTCGGCTGTCTTTTGTACCATAGAGGAGGCAACTTGGACAAAACAGTGCCCGTGTGGACTGAACGCTTGATGTCTGGCGGATCAACAAGCCATCACCAGTCAGCCACCTGCACCCGCAGCCCTCACTGCAGGAAAGCATTCTTCCCTCCTGATCCTTCGACGCTTCGAGGCAGGTATACCTTTTCTCTCGTAGTGAAGGCTCAGGTGATCACCAGCTGTTCTACGAATGGTAAATTGCCACAACTATAGGTTGCCCCCACCAGCTTAAGCTTCCACAAACTCAATTACGTTGGTGCCTATGTGCCTCTCTAGTAGATAACCAGCCATGCAGTCAGCTGGGTGTTGCAGCAGGCAGCAAAGCGTAGGACGCGAGGAGCAGGTTAGCCTCGTTGCTCCAAGCCACGTTCCCTCCAGCAGTGCAAGCAATACAAGGCTCGCTCTTGAAACTAGAGTACTTACTGATGGGAAACAAGGGTAATGGGTGGACAAAGTTACGCCAAAGGCATCTGCGGGGAGCGGTTTGAGAAGCAAAACAGGCAATTGGATGGGGAAACTTGTTCAACTTTGCAGCACCAAAAGCCCACCCATGCATCTTGACTCGGATTTGATCGAAAACTCCATTTACTGCCGCCTGAGAACTTTTACTTGCACTGGTTGTCGTAGTTTGAAGCTACCTGGTACGGTGAGTGGCTACCCACCGGTATTGTGTCGTATGCGGAACCTGGTTTCTGGTCTACTAGCTAGTAGTAGGCTAGAGGAGCTAGAAAGCTACCTTTGTGGTACTTCGATTGAAGCAATCATCGACCAAACCAACTAAGTCCATCTTCATTGCAGTGTACCACCGGCAACTGACTGGCCGCACCATGGAACATGGTTTACGTTGATGCCGCTCAAACCTTGAGCGAGGTGGTGGTGGTCTCGCACTGGAACATGCCTTCCCAGTTGATAAGATGAGACGCTATTATAACATGAGACACGGTAAGATAGCTACCGGTGCAGGCCACAGGCCACAGGCCACAGGCTAGAGCTAGCTCTACCGTTACATGTACCGGTACCGTAGTCGAGGTACCGGTAGCTATGCTATCATGAGTCCAGCCCAAGGAGTGAAGCTGTGAACCTACAGACATACGAGTAGATAGCTCATACATTGTCATGTATGTGTGCAAGTAAAGTGAACCAGCTACATGTAGTGAACCTGTCAAATCGATACTGTATTGTGGAGCTCTATTGTCTATTGTGGTTTGGAGGTTGTGAGGAGGGAAAGTGGCTTTTAACAAACACCGTAGGGAGAAGTATGAGGACAAATTTTGAACACGTGGATCAAAGCAGCTGTTCAATTCTTATCACACGTTCCCCAAAGCATTTTAACACAGAGGCACGTTCCTCGTACGGCAAAGGGAGCTACTGGAGCTGCTCGTGACTGACAGCTGACTGAAGCTCACATACATATAAGCTTATATGCATACGTACTTACTTGTTGTCAAGCCATTGTACAGTAGTAGTATCCCAGGCAACCGAATTGTTTAACAACAAGACTGACGTATAGGGTAGCTTTCCTTTCTTTCGCCTGTGCATTTAACATTGTTAGTCCAGTAGGATTGAAAAGAATCCTGAACAATTCTTATTTCTGGGCAAGGTGATACGGTGGTATCCAACAATTATCGACCACGCAGGTTCGCGATTAGAATCTGATTATCAACCAAATAATGATGAAGACCACTCAAATTCTTCTTTTACAATATTTAATAGACGTTTCCACTTGAGTGGCATGTTCCAATGTTCCAATTTGCGTTTATGGCCCAATGAATAACAACCCTTGCCCTTTCCAGGTGAATATCTAATCAGATTTAAAGACACTGTTTCTTGAAAGAAATGTTTCAAGAAAGTGGGAAGATAACGGAGTTACCTCCCACCTCCGCAACAGAATCTTTAAAGTTGGTTCCCAAAATTTTTGCGAACGAAACTTCCAGAACTTGGCGGTAGAACTTGGTGGTTTGAAAAGAGATGCTGTGCGTGCCTTCAACCCAACCAGTCTTGAGAATTCTTTACTCAGTAGTCTACTAGGTACACTGTAGGATCCCCGACAGCCCCGCTCAAACAGGCACCAACTACGGTATCTGGATCTGGGTGACCACAGCTGCAGCTGTAGCTCACAATCTCACAATCCCAAAATCTTGGCGAATAAAAACACTGACTAACTTTACCCACCGTTGCCTTTAGCTAAAAATCAGTTCACCATGATGGATAAGATCCCGACTTTTATTTACATCCCCACCATTCCCTCACCTGCAGCCTCACCTTCAGCGTCAGCTTCAGAGTCTTTCACGTTTCCCTCAGCAAGTGAAGCTGCTACCACGCCAACGCCAACGCCACTGCCAATGCCTGGCCTGAGAAGATGGGCCACCACAGATTCCGCATCTCGATCCTCTTGTACTCCGCCCAGCATGCCTCAGCGATCTCCTGATGGAAGGCGGAAGGAAACCTTCTCCAGAAGATACACTGTGGATGCTGCTACCCTTGCATGCCTGATGCCTCCAAGACTCCCAATGCGAGGAGCCATGGACAGCTCCTGAGCTGCCGCACCTGTAACCTATACCTGTACTTTTACCCTGAGCCGAGCTTAATAAAAGACACACTACTGCTACTGACTCTACTCTTGAAGATGCAGCCACAAGGCAAGAAGCGAACTGCCAAAGCTAACCAGCTAGCTAGCAAGCACACTGTCAGAAAGACAAGACCGTACAGCAGACCGTACAGCAGCAGGTACCCTCTGGTACAACAGGCACCACATGCAGGGAAGCATCCCAGCCAGCCTCAAGTATGTCAAGTACTACAAGTGTACTGTATGCTCACTAAAAGAGAGCTTCTTTAACTCATCTAATAAATTGAAAGGATTGTTGCTAAACATACAAACTCAGTTGACTTCTTGGCCACAGCATACTGTAGTACCGTACCTTGCTTTAGCTTGCTGTCACAGTATTACTTGCTTGCTTGCTTGCTTCAGTAAAGAAATCAAGCAAGAAGCCAGGCCAACGTAGCTTGGCTTGTCCAATTCCAGACTCCAGCCACAAGTCCAGGCAAACCGCGCACAGCAGCGGTGATAGAGGATGCACTGCCTACTAGAACAAGAATTGAACAATTCACTACTAGTAGTACCCCATGGTTGGCTGCCTTTTGCGGAAGGTTCACTTCCAATTTCCCTTCTTTAGGTCCCAGCTGAGCTATAATAAGGCACACCGCATGCAAGCAGCAAGGCTGGCTGACGGATCCTGCCTCACTCGCTGGATGCTGTTTTCAGGATCAGTTGCCAATTCCCAATACCTTAGCAAAAAAGTCAATACCTCAGCAAAAAGCCAAAACTACATGCATGATGTAATGGATTAAAGGATCCCATTACAGGAATACGGCAGATAGATGTGATGACCGCATAGGTTTCGACTGCCCCTCAAACAGCTTCTAACTCAGTCTCTTGAACAAGGAATGACATCAAGGCAGCTATGCCAGAGGAACAACATAGAATAGATCTCAAGACATGCTATACGCACAATGTGAAAGGGCTGGCTCGTTGAGGGAAGCGATCTTTTCGGAGGGAGCTACTGCCAACAAAAACTAACGAAGTTCTCAAGCCCTGTTCGGACGCTGCTAGCTAGCTAGCTGTGGAGGGAAGCCTCCAAGTTTAGCTTACTAACTACGGTAGTCTACCAGCTACTGTGACGAAAAAGTTGAGAATTTTGAAAAAGGTGATAACTCCTCAGAATCAGCAGAAGGATTTTTGATGGTTTGGGTTAGGGTGATTGTAGAATTCTCAACTTGATCTTCAGATTTGTGTTGGAGCCAGTAGGTTTGAGAATTCTCAACTTTTTCGCCAGAGTAGCCAGGTAGTCTAGCTAGTAGTGCTACAAGTCCCCTCCTTGCTCATGGATTGCCCCATCATAATAATCAATCAAATCTGAAGAAGTCTGGTCAGCTATAATATTCCTTTTGAGACGCAAGCCCTCTTCCAAACTAAACATAGAACTTGGAGTTTGGAGTGGTCTTGTTGTTGGTCTTCCCCAAAGACAACGGAGTTTTGGTATTGGGACATTGGGACGTCTTCGAGCTTTGGCTGCTTCTCCGAACAATAAAAAAGCGCACAGAAGGTGACCCGAACCTTCGTGCACCGTGAAGCTTTCTGAAACATGCTTGCAAGATCTCAATGGACCCCCCAGCAAGCAAGCATGACTGCAACACGGCCAAACTAGTCTCACCGTGGGAGCTTTTTTCGTTTTCTATAAACAATGACACAAAACAAAACAACCTACTAGCAAGCTCATAGAAACAAGCAAACATTGACAAAGACACAAAAGCCAGACCATGAGAATGAGGATCACACCCACATTGATATCCGGCGGCAAGAAAGAGGTGCCCAAGAATATTGAGACTGACAAGCAAGCACTAGACGAAGCTGCAGCGTTGCAAGCCAAGAGCAAAGAAGCGGCCAAACGGATGCAACAAAAGCTCCACGAGACAGAAGAAATGGGAGCCATGACACTGGAGGATCTGTATGAGCGTCGAAGACAGTTGGAATCAATTGAGCAAGAAGGAAATCGTCTGGATGAGACACTGGAGGAAACCCAAGAACTGCACAAAAAGCTGGGAGGACTCTTTTCTGTGTTCCAACGAGCTCTGCCCAATGTGGGAGGCAAAGGCGCCGCTTCTCTACCCGATGAACCCAACACCATCTTTAAAAAGGGCAAAGATACTACTAGTGCCAATGCTGAGGGCAGCAAGAAACGATGGAAACTCCGTGTCACCAAGAAGAAGAACAAAGACAAAAATCAAAAGCTACAGTCTAGCATTATGCCTGATGACCCCGCTTTGATCCCCTCGGAACATGCGGATCAAATGAGGACTCTGGAAAAGGGTGACAACGAGCTTGACGATGAACTGGACGAGATTGGGATGCAACTGGACAACATGATGCGCATGGCCCAGGAAATTGGCGCGGAATCTCACGATCAAGGAAAACAGATCCGCAAGGTCCGACACCAACTGGCGGGGACAGAGATACGACAACAGGCAGTCAATGAAAAGGCTCGCAGGATGCTGCAAGAAGGACCAGCAGATAAGGGAGACAGTGGAGGCAAAATGTTTAGCTTTACTCCCTGGTAGCCTGCCTTCTATTAATACAAGCAAATAAAACATTCCCATAGTAGGGACGCCAGCCAATAATGTAACAACACTAGTACTAGTATTGTGAAAGCCAAATGAAAGGAAGCAGCGGAAACTGTCAGCATTTGTTTGCGGTCATCCCGTTGTTTCTGTTTCATGCATGCCGACCGAAGCAAGCAAGAGGATCCAAGAAGGAGTGGCTGTAATTCTGAGAATCAGGAAGCATCCAGCCAGCCTAGCACCATCCCGGGCAAGTCTTGGCTGGCCAATAATTGGAGATGCTTCGCACCTCTAGAGCTAGCTACTAGTACTGCCAGCAGCAAATTTTTTTGACTTATGGTTGGCCAATAATCAATAATTGGGCTCCTTGCTTTCCTACAAAAAGCAAAAGCATGGAGCCTCTCGACAACTGCAAGAAACGAACTGGAGTGCCGTGGTGGATGAATGAACCTATGCATACATGTAGGAGCCCAAACTACTATTTTATAATACTAGCTAGTAGAAGTAGCTAGCTTGCAGCTATCTGACTTGAACTGTGAGCTAGCTACCGGTAGCAACACATACTAGCTAGTACTGTGGCAAAACTACTAGCTAGTAGTCTAATACATGTATTGCCTGCATCTTTTGGTGGTTTCAGCAATCATTGCACCAAAACAGCTGAGGAGCTGTACCTGTAAGAGGCGACTTCGCCGAAAGTGATCTCATCTTGAAGTTCCGGCAGTAGATGGCAGTAAGCCATTCTCGAAACTTCCCGGAAGGCCAGTGTTCGTCAGTTAATTAAAGTGTCTTGAAGGCAAGATTTGTTATTGCTGGACAGATAAAGTTCGGAAAGTGAAAGACTTTCTAGAGTCTTTGGAGACTATGTGGGGTGTTTCCGCGTTAAGGGCGGTAGCATGTTGCAGTGAACAGTGGGTTAAAACGCTTACTAGTAAAACTCGGGGTTCACCTCTACCGGTACACGACGCTGCTATTCAAAATAAAAATAATGCGTACCAGTACTACATGTAGTACTAGTAGTATCTTTCGAGTGGGTGCGGGACTACTAGCTAGCTACTGGTAGTGCTTTACGGTAGTACTTGGCCGCGGTCAGTGGAACGGGCTTTCACGTTCATGTACCTGACCAGACATGATATTATGATCAGGACAGCTTCCTATTGGTTGCCAAGGTAGAAGAAACCCAAACGCAAAGCAAAGCAAAGCACAAACCCCATTATTGGCCAAACCAAGCCAAGCAAATCTGACACAAAAACAAATTGCAGCAAGCTAAGAATCGCTAAGCTAAGATAAGCTAAGCTAAGATAAGCTAAGATGAACCGCACCATGCAACTGATTCCAGAGTTTATCTTTGTGCCTCATGAGGGTAGTCATACTAGTAACAGTCAGCTCTCTCTTCGGCGGTTTCACACTCACGAAGGCACCACTGGTGCTGGTAGTGGTACTAGTAGTAGAAGGACCCACCGAAGACTGCTTGCTCATGACGAGAAACTCCGCCGATGGAAGAGTATCTGTGGCAGTGACAAGAATGGTAAAGGCAGTGGAAACAAGGACTCTGCCTCCTCATCTCCACCTTGTTTGCCCAAGAGAAAGGGATCTTCCTCCAAGCTGTTTCCTATTTGCAAGAATGATACTGCTACTGGTACTGATGCTAACAAACTGCCAAAGGACCTTCTACCACTGCCTAATGAAGATTCACACAACTTGAAGCTCACTAGAAGAAGCACTCTGCCTCCAACGTTACCCTCAAGATTCAAGTAAGAAGCACAGAAGCACCATTAGCATTGCATTGTACAGTTGAGAGTTGAGAGTTGATGGGGGGTACAGAGAGATAAAGCAAGTCAAAGCAACCAAGCTAGCAAGTACCAGTATACTCATCCATGCAGGACGAAGATTCCTGCTCAAGCAGCGCTACTTTGCTTAAAACATGTATTCAACTTAACGATAAACATATTCATATCTACTACATTAAAAATCCATTCACCAACCGATCCACAAACCCCAAGTATTTTGCTGGGTGTAGTAGCTACTACGTTAGTTAATATTAACAGTATCCTCAGATTATTGTAGACACAGCACAACTAGCTAGGAAGCAAAGGACAGGACGACCCAAGCTTCCAAGCTTCCAACCAAACCTTCCAAGCTTCCAACCAAACCTTGAAGCTTCAAACCCACACAGCAAACTCAGTGGCTACCTGGTACCAGCCGCTCTAGCAGCTACTGAGTACTGGCTGGCTAGCTAGAGCCATAGCAACCGCAGCAAAGGCTACTCGGAGAAACGGAGATGTACGGCGGCTTATTTTTGACTTAACCGCGAACGCAATACTATACTTAAAAAGCACTTTCCGATATGACTCTTCGAGATTTAAATGGAGGTGAAATAGGGGCAGTATTTGGGGCAGTACACGTCACCTTTCTAAATCTTGAAGTGGTACCATCACAGAACGCCTTAGAGGCTCGTGCTCCCCGCCACTCAGGTCTACAAGCAGGAATTAAAATTAGATTGCCTTACTCTGGCTAATCCACACTAACTTCTACAACGTAGGAGTACTCTAGAGTACCATACCACGATGACGAAGCCATGACGATATCGTATGACAGATGACAGTATCATCGAGCTGCCCGTTTCGTCATCAGGAGGAGGTCACCCCACAACCTCCCCACACCACTCCACGCGCCACCCCCAAAGATCACAGGGTCTCCTTCAAGCCAAGTAAAGCAACAGAGCTGTTAGCCACTAAAAGCCGTTTGGTGCTTGTTTCTGCCCGTCACATTACTTCTCTGTGACCGACAAAGTTTGCAATCCTTTCAAGGTTGTCGTTGGCATTTCTGGAGCTGTTCATTGCAGTGTGTGATAATGTAACTCTCCAGAAGTGGTTTAACATATGCAGTGAACCAGGTCAAGAACCATGATCTCTAACTGCACGTCACTTCACCAATCAAACGAAGCAACAAGCAATCCCCTTGAACGAGGAGAAACCGCGATCTCGCCTTGTCAAACGTCCAGTGTTCAGACAAGAGGGTTATCGGTCACGCCTCTGCTCGTGGAACGTGGAACTGGTGTCAATGATGAGGGTCCTGACTCGCTGACCGCGACGGCAGTGCATGTAGGTACCATAGATCTAAAGCAGAGGATCAATCTGATAAGGGACTCTTGGCAATTCTCGCGGGAAGTCGAGTCGTCAAAAAGCGAGACACTGGAACAAACCAAGCAGTGACAACACGTGCCTTTCCCATGGCTGCCTGCTTCCTAAATCATTTCTCTTTGGGTGTTAGAGCCAACCCGAATATGGCACACTAGTAATAGAGTTCAGTAGGCCACAGCCCAAGGAAATGCACAACCACCAAAAATTGTGGATCTTCCAAAAGATTTCACCACAAAATTTACGTGGGCCATTCGCTTGCCAGCCACTCAGGTCAAAAGTCAAAAGGCAGGTTCCAGCCTCACAAACACATGACCACTCTACGCACCGATACAATATCGTCCGTGCGCATGCTCCATGCTCCACAGCGCCCCAGCTAAATCATTGCATTATAATCTGATGTTCCAATGGGCTTTGGCCTTTTTTGAAAACACTCCTCCATTGAGAATTGTGTGGCAATAAATCATTTATTTCGTTGTTAAAGCAAAACATACTCGTGCTTGTTGCTAGCTACACGTACCGGTAGCTACGGTACATGTAGCCACCAAATGAATTCTACAGTTATCAATGTTGGCAGACAAAAGATAGTGCTCCTCTAGCTAGCTAGTCTAGCTAGCCAGTGCTGCTCTGTTTGCATTTGTGTTCTTGCCCAATTTTTGGCCTGCTCGAGTGAGTCCATCAGATTGATCTCTGATCTCTGATTGAGATAATGTGTTAGAGCATTCTTGTGATCGTATCGTACCAGAAGCGAGAAACAGGATGCTGATACTAGTAAGCCTCTGGTCTTTAAAAGTCGGTTAGGTATTAGAGGCTCTTTCGTTCGGGGTTACTCGGAGTAGTATCATGTCTGTTTTGTCCAGTTACTTAAGGTGTGAGGTTATAATTACGGAAGGTTCCAGGGAGGGTTATTATTAATCACACATAATTAATAAAGTGCAGTTCCCAAGATTTCTGTCGAGTTGGTTCTTTAACTAATCTGGTGACGTCGGACATGAAGTGCTCTTTCTGATGCCGTTGCTGAGCAGGGAAGAACTTGTCAGACGCCAATAGATGAGCGTTTCTTCCACCGACTGAGACCTTCTACTGAAACCATCGCGTCGTAAAAGGCACGTCCCAGATCGTCCCATGACTACATAAAGCCTCGTATGACCAGCTGGACTGCTGCAAAAGCAGCCTGTTGCGCAGCCCCACTTTTTGTTTGTGGGTACTAGTACTAGTAGGTTAAAGCTTCGTGCTCGGTCTTGCTCATTATTTTTGTTGTTGGTCTCGGTTAGCCAATCAGCCAACCAAGCACTACCGGTACCGGTACCTAGCTAGCTAGCCAGCCAAACTACTAGTAAGGCAAGCCAAACAATCACAACACTTAGCTAGCCAGCCAGCCAAGATGAAGAGGTCTCCATCTGAAGTTGAGGGCAAAGGAATCCCCAGTTGTATCTTTGTGCCTGCATGTGAGTTTCCAGATCTTTCCCACAGAAGAAACAGTGAGCCTGTGCTGGGCAGCAAGAGCAGCGAGCACAGTCACAAGAGCTGCAGCCGCACTAACGCTACAGTTCCTGGCACTACTGAGATTCCTGATGAGAGCTTTAGCAGCTACACTAGCAGCAGCAACTGCAACTTGCACGAAAGTGGTTTGATGGTGCAGAGAGTCCCACGCAAGACCCGAAGGTTCAGTCAGCCTGTACCACCCACACCGGTACCAGCATGCTTGGATCGAGCCGAAGCTAGATTTCGACGATGGGCTACTACAGGTACAGGTACAGGTTCCAACTGTCGCAGTGTCAGCGTTTGCACAGCACCTCCTTCCTTGCCACAACGATCTCCTGAAGTCTTGCGCAAACAAAGGGATCCGAGACGAGGATTGCCGGCACTCTCTGCGGATCTCGCTAGCATGGCGCAGAGTATCCAACAGCAAAGGCGGAGGAGTAATAGCATGTCGGGACCGCCCAAGTGTCCCTTGAGAGATAGTCAAACCACGCAAGGCACTGCTGCCACCGCGAATAGTACCAGATGCTCCTCAGTCTAACTCAAGATCGATTCAAGCTATTTTTCTTGCCTGCTTGCTTGGAACGGAGACATGCACAACAGTTTTTACCTTTTCAACTACAAAACCATAAGACTAAGGTCGTTTTTGATTCCTTCGCAAGCCAAGCAGCTGATCTTCGTACCAGCCAGCCACTCGCTCTCTACGATTTTTAATAATGCTACCGTAGTGAGCAACCACGCCACGGCCTCCTGCAACGAGCCCATCTTGGCCCGGCAAGCTGTAGCTTGCCGCTCATCGTCGGTACGGGCAGGGCAGGGCAGGGCAGGGCAAGGATCAAACCAAAAAGACAGGAGCAGCATTCGTGGCTTTTAGCGTGGTAGCATTGATGGAAGATCCGTATCTACCGGTACTGTTGGCATCGATTGACAAAAGGCTTTCCTTGGTACGGTACTGTAAGAGATTCAACAGTGTCTTTCAGTCGATAATAGAAGAGCTGTACTGTACCAGGAAACTAGATCTAAGTCTTAGAAAAAGGAAAGAACACAAGAATCTGATGTTCTCATTTTCCTTGAGGCAAAGACCGGTACTTAGCCATTCTTGAATACAATGAACGCACTCTGGCAAGAGTGTCTCACAAGGTCATTTTGTGTTTCACAGAAGATTTAAAGGTTATTGAACCCAACCAAGTTGGCGGGATAACTAACTACAGTCAACAGTAGCTTCAACAGTAAAGCACGACTTGGTCAGACAGATCCAGTTCTGTAGTGGCAGTTAGTGAGAAGTTTTGATAGGGTTCTTTTTCCTCCAGCTACCAGTATCTAGCTAGATAGCTACCGGTAGAAATTAGCTCGTGAGCGGGTAGTACCGGTACAACCGAAAGGGCTAGCTAGACAACAACCACCCAAGCAGTCCAGAGCCACCCCACCTAAACTGAGCAACAGACCAGCTTTGTCACAGCCATAGGCTCAGCAATACCTGCCAATAGAAGAGTAGTGGATCTCCTGGCAGTTCAGTACTGCATCCCTTTGTTCATCTGAAAAAGCGAGACCATACTGGTATACCGTTTGGCAATTTGGCAATTTACTTGCCAGTGGTACATGTATGTGATGCATTGCTGATTGCTGAGTGACCTAATCTTGATGTATGTGCCCACACTTCAAACGAAGCAAAGCGCCAAGATTCTATATCCTGCTTGTCGATCGGGGTTCTTGATTGTGCATGATGTTTCTTCAATGTGGTTTTAGACGGTATAAAAAGTAGGAAACTGCAGTTGTTGTTGGCTGGGTAGTTGCTTTTTCGATAATCCGACAAGGGTTGCAACGAGGAGCTTTTTACAACCAGCCGTAGAGCTAATCCTACAATGCAATGCTACAGGCCCAACCAAGATTCAGTACGGTGGCTGCCAACGGGCATTGGAAAGCAGCCAACCGGCCCGAGGCTTGAAATGCCTGGCTATACTGCTTCAAGTTACTTGAGAGTCCCTTGCAGCCCTAGTTTCTACATGTGGTTTGGTTATGGCTAGCAGTGGTTTATTGTTGATTGTAACGGAAAACTGCCTCTGAAACATCTTAAAATGTCCCGAGGACTGATATGGTGTTCATGCTGCATGCTGGGACATAATTCAGACAATGCATGAATTCACAACACTCGTGGGCTTGGCTATTAATACTATGGTAGGCTTCGAGACGCGCAAATGCCTCGCTCGTCAGTTTATCCTCTGTTGGCCGGGTGCTTGAAATCGCTGCATTGCTGAATACTGTACACCAACATCGAAGAAGAATTGGCAAAGCTACGTACTTCGAGTGGCAGCCGACGTTCGTTGTCGTGAACTGCCCTTGCGTTGTACTTGCCTCGCTTGCTTTTGCACCTTGCTCCCTGTTCGAAGGCCGGGGCAAGCTTCAGTCTTCGTAGGAACATCAAGCTGCGTCCCAAGATATAAGTCTAGCTTTGAGGGACTCCGGCTGGGCACGGCGAGATGCAAAGTGGATCATTTCCCTGTTCAGCCGGATTCTTTCGGTGTATTGGTCATGATCATGAAGAAAAAATGAAGCGATGAGCTAGTAAGGAAACAGCAACAGAATTCCAAGCGGTCGGGATTGACGACTGCGTGCTTTGCCCCGCAATCGACACGACTCCCGCGCCAAGCGATGAAACCACAACAGCCAGTGAACGGGCCACACACAACAAGATGGGACAATGTTGGCGTTGATGTAGCATCCATACCAGACTAAAGTCTACAGGCTATACTGAGCCTTATCACAGACTCTGCGTCTAGCTATTAGATTCATAGACAGACACACAGCTCCTGCGTTGATTGTTTGGCTCCGTTGTGGAACAATCAACCCGAAGCTACCGTACGTCTAGAGTTCATTTTGGCAACAAGGAGTGCTTCCTTCTGGTACCTCGTCATCAAAGCAGCTGACATCGCTGCTGGGCCCCGGAGAGCTATTGGTTGGTTGGGTGCAAGGAGACGACCTCACAGTGGATGTATACTCGAACTCTTTGTGGTCAACGGCACTGTGGAAGGTGCAACTTCCGTCCCCAGTAGGCTCTGCCATGGTATTGCACGCTCTTTGACTTGCTTCGCTCATGTACATTCTTGTGCTTGCTTCTTTCCGTTCACTCCTTTTGTAATCAACATGCATCCTTTCGGTACGGTGACCAGACCCCTTTTTTGTGCTTGTTTGGATCAGTGCATCCGGTGCACTGAAGACAACATGACCACCAACAATCCCCACAACCACAGAAAGGAACAGAGGAATCGAATAAATCATCACAACCAGCATAATCGCATACCCCATGGTCAGTTGCAAGCCATAGAAGGTGGCCGAAACGGCCAGTCGAGACATTCCAGGTCCATATTTTCTGACCGTGACACGCCGTTGTTGAATCACAAACTCGAGTGACATGCCAAACAATATAGTAAAGAAACAGGCCAAGACAAGAGCGCCTGGGGTCTCCAGAATAATGCTTGGAAACAGGTAGATGGCACAGGTAGAGCCAACCCAATTGAATCCATCCATATACATGCTGGTACCACCGTAGCACCACGGTTCATCTGATTCTGTTTGATTCGAATTTGCCTCCACAACAACCTCCTGTGAGGGCACATTGGGTGCTTGTGGCTGCCACATGCCAACACAAGCTGTGTTCATGGCTCCGCCAACCGTTCCACCCTCCGTACAGGTTTCGACCGCCTTGCTAACCTGTCCTGTGGCAGCCAACACGGCAGGATCCAGGCAGTATAATCCGTATTTCTCACTGATATACCCATTGGCATTGTCGGCATTGGGTATATCCAAGCAGCTCATCCAACAGTAAAACTCGGTTTTGTTGTTGCACGCGGCTGCATTTTCGACATGCTGTAAACGACGTCTTGGGGTTGTTGTGGTAGTGGTGGCAGTACTCAAGAAGTCTTGGTGAGTTCCAGCAGGAGTATCATCGCTCGAAAAGCCACAGCCAATAGAAACATCGCCAGCACTGTTGCTGGAAATATCTCCAAAGGTGCGACTGGTCTTGGTTTGCCCTTTGAGTACCATGGCTTGTCTCATATCCCCAAAGGTTCTGGCTTGGCCTGATGCTGTTTGCTCCACAATGGCAGATTCTGGCACCAGGTGCACTGCAGGAGGGAAATAGTTAGAACAAAGGAATCAATCATTGCTGATCAGATGAATTGTTTGTCACGGAGCAACTTACTCATTCCATACCAAGCGCGGCTTTGTCCAGCTTGCATGTGTACAGCATGTCTTGTTGCTTTCAAAGGAAGAGTGTCTGGAGTGTTGAGCCACTGTTCTGCCCCTGCTCCCAGCATAATGGCAATCGAATTGGGTGGGAATGCAACTGGTTTCAGTTGTCCATCGGCTGGATCCTTGATGAGGAAAGATTGATCTGCACCTGTGGCCATATCGGAGTTACAGGAATGAGCTGGAACAAAGGCTAGAAAGAGCCCTGCATCACTATGCACTTGCAGTGCAGGTTCGTGTTGGCTATGATTCTCAGATAATAATGAGGAGCTGTTCTTGGAGTAGACATGGAAGTGTTCCAAATTGGTGGCTGCCTTTACAATGGAAGAAATTGAGTTGTAAGTGACTCCATAAGAAGTCTTGATCAAAGGTTTCTGGTAGGAAGATGTGTATAGTTCTTGTCGCTTGGCCTGCAGGAGTAGGTTGTCCACCGCACTGAGGAACACTGTGGCTGTTTGTGCCACCTGGTCCCTGAGAGTCTCCATGGCCTGGACCGTGTCCTCCCCACATTGCGCAGCTAGTTCTGGGGTATCAAGAGGCAAAGGGCTGAACCCCACTGTGGCAGTGGCCAGGGTGCTGCGAACGGTCTGTCCGTCACCCAATAGAACAGTGTCTGCCCCTTTCAATTCATGAAACGACTTTTCATCTTTAATTTTGTTTTGGCACCCACACAAACCATTCAGGGCTACTTGCTTTGTTGTTGTTGCTGTTGTTGTTGCTGTGGTAGTAATGGCAACCAACCCAGTTGTGGTTAGGGCTTCTGCCAGCCGTGGTAAGTTTTCCTCCTTGATCAATTCCGATGATGAGAACACCAGAGGCTCATAATTAGAAGAAAGAGCAGCGCTACGAGTACAACTGAGCAGAGCAGCAGAGACCAAGAGCCATAAGGCGGAACTCGGAGTAGTGATCTTCATGGTGTCTCTCTTCGCTTGCTACCGTGGTGGCGTGGAGAAGAGTGTGATTTTTTGTGAAGACACCCCTCACACCAGAAGCGTCCGAAGCAGCAGCAGCAGCAGCCCAAGCGGACCACGTTGCTCAAGCGAACGCAAAACTCTCCAACGCCCCTTCCAAGGCTTATGTATTTATTGTCGAATAAATCCCGAGTCATGTTAATTAATTAAGAGCCGTATACCGTAGTGTCGTAGCGTGATCGATGCTTAAGGGGACTCGAATCACGTTTTTCTAGAGTTCTTGGGTCGGATGTCACCGCGAGTGGGAAACGGACCCTTTTCCAATGACAAAGATCTGCCAGAGAGTGTGAGAAACTCAGGATGTAAGCTTACTAGTAGAAGTTACTGAATGGTTACACATTATTTATTTGGAAAGATTGAGTTGGTAAGATTGATCACAGGATAGGTGGGCAGATAGACAAGCGGCTAGCTGCTGCCGAGTTGGAAGCTACGTCAACTTTGTACCGGTACTTAAAAATGGTGCCTTTCAACGCTCCGTCATGGAACGGCGAATATCCCCCAGCCGGCTCGTTTTGAGAACCGGAAGGGCTGCATCCCGACAAGACGTTGCCCCGCTGAGCACGATACCAGTAGGGTACCGGTAGGTAGAGGATGTATGCCCTAACCCATACACACCCGAGACAAAGGCAGCCAGCAACTTAGCTCCATCTAAGCAGTACTCGTCCCACATCGATATCCTCAAAGAGTCTCGGTTATCTTTGTCTTTCAAGCACCTACATGTGTGCGAGAAACCTGGCCCGTCACGAGACAGCAAACTGTATGTTCACGATGTTCCTATTACCAGAATGTGTGGTTCTTCGATTCAGGCGGTACCGTACCAGTAGTTTCTAATACCAAGCTAGTTGAACTCAGGCTGACCGAATGAAACAATCCGTGAAGCCGTGCCTACAGTTTGGTAGATGCTCGAATACCGGCCCGTCATTGGTGTGTTGGATTTGGAAGCAGCCACAGATTTGTCGCGCAACAGACACTCCACGTTGAAGGAAGCTACGTTATGCGGTAGGACGTAAGCAGTCCTTGAATCCAGCGCTTCACACTGCAAGGAAGCCAGCAGACTGCCGTAGCACTCACGGATTCCTATTCTTATTTTTCAGTCTCCCAGCGGCTCTCTTTGGGGATGGGCCCTCCAACCGACCAGTGTACATGAGCTATTCGAATTTCGATATCGTTGGTAACTTGCAAGACACTTGAAAGAACCGTGCGATCACTTTGGGGTTGTCCCTTGAAGGAAAACTTGAGGTCGGCCGTGTACGTGACTGACGCCACCATCCCGCCCGCCATTAATGTGATGTTGTCGATACTGACAAGAATGGCATGATCGATATCAATGTCATCACAGAGCATTCCCGCCAAATCCTTTCGTCCGATGGGATTTCCACTGCTTCGAATCCATAGGATATCCTTGGTGTAGTACTGATCAAAGAATGCTTCAAAGCACGTTTTCTTGACTTGTTTGCTAGATCCGTTTTGGAATATAGAATCAAAGTCTGCGTAGTAGTCAGTCATGAAGGATCGGATTCGTTGCTTGGTGAGGAGCGTAGTTTTGTTCGACTTGCCGGTAGCCTCTGCGATACCGGTACTTCGGTTGCTATCCCCTCGTTTGGCACGAGGATTGGACGACGGTGCGTGTTGCCGTGGCTGTCGAATTGCAATCTCTCCAGGTTTTTTTACTTTCTTCTTTTTGCTGGATGCCCTGACGTTGTCTCTGGAGGAACTGGTGTGCCTACTTGGCTGCTTCGGTCCAAGTTCCCTGGAGCGTTGTGCGCTGCTGCTGTGGTTACTCCTGGATTGTCCCCATCCGCCATGGTCTTCCGTGTCTGTCGGGCATGGTTCCAAGGAAGGGGCCACAGATTCCTTGTCTGTGTTACCTGTACCTGTACCTGTACTGGTAGTGATGGACACGGTTGTACAAGTAGCTGTGGAGGCAGCGGCTGTGGACTGTTGACGCTTTCGTTCGGGTTTAACTAACTCCCGCGATCCAGCCTCTTCATAGGTGTTAGCGATAGGGATACTGTGTTTGATTGGATCAAACTCGGTGTCATTGTCGGAACAGGAACCGCAACAGCCCTTGTGGTTGTTGTTGCTGCTGTTGCTTGCAGTACTGGTACCGATAGTGCTGCTGGTGTTGCTTCTGAAGCTCTGATAAATTTCTTGTGGTTCCTGCGCACTGATATTGATACTAGTACCGGTAAGGCTGGTTAGGTCTTCTACTGAAGGTTTTCGCGTGGGAAGTTTCATGGCTGATCCCGCGGAAAAAGTCGTCGAGTTGCTGTGATTGCTGCTCCTCGATATACTCTGACTCTGACGCTGAGGTCCAGAAGCACCATCGCTTGGCTTTGAGTTGAGACTGACCGAGTTTGCGCTAATCCTGTTCATCATGGTTGTCTCTTCAAATTTTGTGCTTCCGCTTGCTGCTACTGCTACCAGGTACAGCCACAGCTTGCTTCCGCGACTTCGAGTGGGTGTGTGAGCTCAAGTAAGTACGAGTAATACTAGTCAGTCTAGCTAGTAGTACGCTGTAACTCTGAACTGGTGTGTGGGTTCCTTTCGAAAAAGTGAGAAACCGAGAAACTGTTTGACCATTTCACTCCACCAGTCCACCAGTAAACTTGTAAACTTTTTAGTACTCTAAAAGTCCTTTTTCAACAAGGGGAAGTCACGCAGATCATGAGGTTGTCAAAACGCATTAGAGAAGAAGAACTCAGTGTCATCTCAGACATGGTTTCTGTATTGTCTTTTAATTCTTCACTGGTCAAAAGTGGCTTTCATAATGCCCCACTAGATCTAGCCTTTGCTTAACTTGAACCGTGACCGTTTGGTAATCGGAATGGTCATCAAGACCCAATCCATGATGCCCAGTGCTGGCAGCTTTTTACCGAAAGATGAAGAATGAGTCTGATGGACTCACCTGGGAGGTCAACCTCACTGTCCAACCAAGCTGATTTCCTAGACCCCACCAATACTCTTAATCAGGGTCACATCTCAACAACCCTCTTCGAAAAGGACCTCAATCTACATCTATCTGACATCCCACCCAACTCAGCCCACCCACCTGGGCTCCTACCTGGGGTAGCCTATGGCACAATGTTTCGAATCCACACTCTCTGCTAAGACGAGTCTGACCCGACAATTCTTCAACAGACAGATTTTCCGATGCTACCAGTCTTGCCACCTGAAACCTGTCTTCGATCAGGCTATTCGAAAGGCTGCAGCCTACGCTGGTCGAGTGGCAGTAACCAATGCCAACAGGAACCCCAACTTTGTCCTACTGCATGTCCATTACCACCCACAGCACCCACCCTCCTACAAAATCCAACAGGCCTGGAGGGGGAAAGTGGCCGAGCCACCCAACCAGGTGCCCCTAGCCATCATGAGGAACCCTGTCACCCAGAAACAACCCAACAACCAGTGATTGATTGTTGCCTACAGCAGGCCACCCAACCTCGGAAATCTACTCTCCCACCGCAAACTATATGACCAAACTGGGGCCCCAGCCTCCTCCTCCTACCAGCCTGAGTAGAGCATTTGGGGCCCCGGTTGGAGCCGGGAGCAACCCAAAGGTTGCAACCTAGAACCTTGAAATTCCAGTGCCTAGCCTTTTTGGTCCCTAATAGTCAGGGACTCCCCTGCTGCTTGCCACTGATGAAGCACCTCGCGACAACTCACACTTTGATCCTTCCTGAGTTTGCATCTCAAGCAGCACTGCTTTCAGTAGAGACTAATCAGTAGTCCCCAAGACTATTAATTCTTGTAGACCTACTAGTGTGGAGTGAATGGTGTTCGCGGCTTCGCCCCTCACACTGTGTGTACCGGTACCCCACGGATTGCCTGGAAGCAGCAATGAAACCAGCTTCTGGACCAGACAGGTTTTGTTAGAATGGTGAGTATCTAGCATGGGGACTCATTCCCAAGCTCTCTCAATGGACTCCTCTAAGATCGTAGATTTGTCTCAGATATCTAGCTAGCTAGGGAATTGACACTGAGGCTAAATAGCGAGGGCTGTGGTTGTCTTATTTGTTCCCTCTCGGCAATCTGGATGTCACTGATACCCTGACTCTGCCATCCCGGTATGGTGGATGAGGCAGCCTCCAGCCTTTTGTAACTTTTTGGTTGTAGCATGACTTTTTCGTCTCCAATGTCGGTACCAGCCAGCTAGCCAACAGGCACCACCCAAATGACAATAATTGAGAGCCCAAGCAATTGGACTGACTACATTGCTTTGAAAGTATTGAGAGTGACAGGCTACGCGATCTTGTAGTCTAGCCAGGGTTGCCGTACCAGTAAAGCCTACTGGTACTCCATGGCTGTGTTTTGAAAGCACTTCTGGCGGGTTCCGGTACCGGTACTGGTACCTGTGGCTTGGGTTGCTTCATATATCATTGTGGCTGGTCGATGTTGGTGCCCATGATCCTGGAGCCGCAGCCGAGCCAGCCATTCAGCATGCCTCGTTTCTTCCTGAAGACTGTGGTACAACGTTTCAACCCGCGGCTGCATCTCCAAACCTACGACGTATGAGGGGATTTATGTATTATTTTCGCATTCGTCATGATTCATAGTCCCATGTGGCTGGCTGATTGCCAACCTATCCCATGATTACTCGGTGCTTGACATTACATTTTCTTTATAGATGTGAGCAGACGAGTTCGCGAAAACCAACCAATGGTTGAAAGCTTGAAAGCAACACCGACCTCTTGGTCCGAGCTCATTGGATCAATGACCTCCCACGTTGTACCAATTACCAATAGATCAACATACCCCAGGCCAACTACGAGGACGTTGGCATATAAGTACGGCAGTAGCAACGCCTCAAATTCCATGGAGGGTCGCCACACTTCATTTTAGGCAATGGATCAGAGGTGACATGTACAGGCGGCTTTATCAATCTCACACTTCCCAGTCAAGCAAAACGAGAGTCTGGGTACTAGTACCGTACCCCACACAAGGCCGAGTGATCAAGTCATCCTTGAGCTTAGAGGCACCCAAACTATAGTTACCGCATTTACGTTACAGCCACATGCTAGGACTCGTCACTCCTACCGTATCACTGCGTCCTTCAGTCAAATCATGAACGAGCTAGCGGTAATAGAAATGATTGATTACAGAAGCGCCCGATGCTACAGTACACACCATACATGATGAAGAAGATAATCTTTGCGCAGTTATATTCATAATTAAAAAGTATTGTACATCTTATGTAGTTTCAAAGGGTAATATGTAATGCATCCTGAGGTTGTTGGGTTGTGCTGTTGTGGTCATCGTAGTAGACTGTCGCAGTGGACCGAATGACCAGGATATTTGAAGGATGGGCAGCGCTGAGGCCGGGTGGGAGGCGTCGATCCAGAGGAACCTTCGCTTGTCCATCGCTCCAATACGGGCATTGGCAATGGCATTGGCAGTGGGCTGATCTCATCATGGTCGTCATTGCGATCTTGCCGTTGTTCTTGCCTCGGTGTGGCGGTGGTTGTGGTCAACACCGAAGCACATGAGAAGCTAGAGGGGATGTAGATGATGGTGGGAATGTTCGACATGGTTGTTTGGATGCTAGCTAGCTAGTTCGTCTAGTGTATGGGAACGACTTAAGCAGTTCAGGTAGCCTAATGAATGCAAGGAGATGAGAGGGGTCAAGAGAGTGTTCAAGAAAATTGTGAGTTACTTTCAGATTTCAGATGTGCTTCCAGTAGTCCACATACAGCTCGCCAGGTGTGGATGTGTGGATACCGTACACCTAACAGACCCAAAGATCCCCCAACCGCATGATAGCCATGCGCCATTGAGTTTTGAGGACTGTAATGGATCAGATCCTCTACATTATTGGAATAGTGAGTCCTCCTCATTGAATTAGGAGCATTCAAAATCTTATTTTGGTAGCTCTCTCTTTAATTCGTTAGGATGCACAAACCCGCAAAAAAGAAGCCGATTGTTGTGAGAAAGCAGTCAGGAGAAGAAGGCATATGTCAACTCGCAAGATGTTAAATCAAAGAGGGCCAGAATTCAGAAGCATTATCCTCCACTGACTCTTTAATAAAAAGCGGGGCTTATTAAGATTCTCTTTGGCGTCTGTGAATCTGTAAATCTATGAGTCGAAAGTTGCTGGTACTTTGATGCTGTGACCATTGTTTGGTGTGTTGTCTTGCTAGCTCTTGCCAGCTCTCTTGCTGTACTCTTGCCAACAGAAGATAGTCTAGATAGTTTGTTTCCCCTAACCAGCGGATTTGCTTCATGAAGGATGAACGGATGAACAGCTAGCTGATGAACCGATGAACTCATGACCAAGCCACCAAGAACCAAGAAGCTACATGTACATGTACTATGTATTGCACTATTGCACTCTAAGTGGGCGTAGAGCTCGCAGTTGGGACAGTCTGTAAAAGGAACAAGTAAAGCAAGCATTTGGAACGATTGATTACACTGATCACTGCCTGATTCAATCCATAAGTAGTACTCGAGCAGGCGCCACTACTATGAACCTATGGCCTACTGCTTGGATCTTGGGTCACCAATTAATTATTCAAATTTTGGTTGCCAGGAAAACCTGCTCAGCTCAATCGTTTTTGCCGTGCGTGGGATCATTGAACCAGCATACCAGCATGGCCCGAAGAGCTGCCTGCCTGCACAAAGAGTGACAGTCAAAGTGAGTTTTGATACTACATGTATTACTCTATGTTGGTAGTAGTATGTAGTACGGGTACCGGTACCGGTTGCAGCTGATCCACTTGCTGGCTCCCTCTTTGCTTTGCTGAAAGGCAATATGCTCTGCTTCCTGGTTGCCACCTTGCTCTTTGCTCGCAGACAAACCCACCTGGAACTGGTTGGGCATTGGGCACAAGCAAGAGGCTATCCTCAAAGCACTACTACCAGTTGAGCCACATCTCCTGTGGCCATTGCCACCGGGCGGTATGGCTACTGGTACACTGTGCTGGACCAAGATGGTATAATCCGGGCCTGGATGTATTGATGGGCACTGCAGGCGATATCATGAAGAGAGGCCTTGATGACAAGTCTTTACTGGTACAAGTTGCGAACAAGTGCAGGTAGTTGATAGTTGAGGCAGCCTCCTTAGTTCAATGGAATAAAAAGCATGCTCTCCTTTGCTTACTATTCGAGCGAAAGCAAGTAGCCATTGCTAGCGAGTACCAGTATTCAAGAAGGCTTCACAAAAGCCAAAGTACAGCAAACCCAACTTGGCTCCTAAACGAGCGCGAATCCTTCCGCCGTCTCAGCAAGCGAGCTCATTCACCTCGAAAAAAGGATGACACACCACCCAAAAGTAGGACCAAAGGACAAGGAATGGCAAAGCGAAGCAGACATTGTCATTGACCACCAGCCACATGATCAAGGGCATGGTCTAGCGAGCCAAGAACCATTTGCACGGGCCCCATCGCCAGCATTTAGTGGCTCTGGAGCCGGATATTGCGTTGCTGCCTCCGACCAGACGTTCCTTCTTCCTCGCACTTTTCTTCTTTGACTAGCTAGCTAGATCTAGCGTACCTGTCTGTACGAGGGTGCTTCATTCTTCCCAGCATCAAAAGACATCTACCGGCCACACGCCTGTGCGTCCGCTTCAATTTTGAAGACCCGCACAATGAAATTATTTGCTCACCGCATTCTTGCATCAAATCCAAGTCAACACTTCCGTCTTGTGCGGCGATACCTCGACAGTTCGTGATGCTTAAGCCGTATCTCTGGCTTATACATTTAAGTGATTTGATTGAATCGAATCGAATCATTCGACTCGTTTTTGATACATGGATATTTGCTTAAGTCATCCTTCTTGTCAAGCAAGTCATCATGACCGGTACTGATACCGTAGGGTTCGCAGCCACCTCCATCCAGTCCCGAGAAGTTGCCAGCTTAGCGAAACCGGAATGGGACTGCAAGCGAGGCCATCCACCCACCAAAACTAACTGGCAGATCTGCCCACAAATAAATTATTCCAGGCTAAAGATTGCCGCTTGCTGCTTGGGAGACAAAACCCTCCCCACTCTCTTTGATTGAAACTTTGCTGCTGGCTTTGTCTGACCTGCCATATCCAGATAATAATCCTAGCTAACTAGGGTAGCAGCCCAGCATACTTTGCATCCAAGTTCCCAGTGCTCATCAAGTTCAAACAGTGCAGTATATTAAGCAGCCAAGAAGCAATAAATTCAAACTAGCTAAATAGTACTCCCAGTAGCCGGCTAAGACTACTTGTAATGCTAGCACTTTGTCTTTCTAGCTTGCTGGTGGTTGATTCCAGCAGGAAAGTGCAATAGTACCTTCCTTTAGAATGACGATCCTTGGAAGAAAAACGCTAACGAAGGAATCAACCAACAAGTGAGCCAAGCATACTTTGGCTAATGCATACGGTACCGGTAGCCGAGGAATGAAGCAATATTGTGTTTCTGGGCCAATAGAAAGTTGGATATCTCTCTCGCTGCAACGATCCAACACCGGTACCGTGCATATTTGAACATTGTATAAAGTACCGTACCGCTAGTTCCAGCTGTGCCGCTCTTTTCTACTACACACAGAAGTCCATGGTTGTTTGTTTTTAGTACTTTGTGTTGTACAGGTTTTACATGTTTGGTTATCGGCTAGTTTATGTGTTGCTTTGTTCGCACTACCGGTACAGTATTGACAGACGGAATGATTCAATTCAATTGTATGCGTCTAGTAACCGAATAATGTTTTGTTTGTTTGTTTGGGAAGTGGCTGGTGCTGTGATGCTATGTACATGCCAGTGTGCAGTTGCTTGCTTGCATGTCATGATATTGTATTTAGAGGAGACATGAAAGCAACTCATCATCCTCCAAGAAAGAGGCCAGCATGCTTTCTGGCGCTGGAAGCTCTTGTTGGTGTTGTTGCTTGATGGGAGTGGGTTCCAACAAACTGTGGTCAAATCCCAAGGGAGTAGGAGCAAAGTTGTCATGAGCATCAGAAGCGGTGCTGGTAGGTGCAGTAGATTCTCCAAAGGCCGCAAAGAGGATGGAGAAAGTGTCACTTGAGCAAGTTGAGTCAGAATCAGAATGTGAAGTAGAAGTTGAATGTGAAGCAGGAAGACTGCAGAAAGAGACTTCATCGTCTGAGGAAGCACTAGAAGGACGAGAGACAGAACAAGCCATGTGGAATTCCAGGAGAGAAGAGGAGAGAGTGATATTTTGTGCTTGTTCTTGTTTTTGCTGTTTTTGCTGTTTCTTTTGCTGCTGCTTGATTTGCTCGAGACGGCGCTTTTGCTTGAATTGCTTGGAAGAACGGTAGTTGGTACTGAGGAGGTTGCGGAGTGCCTGAGCCGTAGTAGTGCGCGCCAAGGACTCGTCCACACGAAGCCAACGGCCAGAGGAAGGATCCTTCTTGACAAATCCATCCAGCTCGGTGTGAAGTCTCTCAATCAGCTTGCTTAAGATGCTTCCCTTTTGGCCTTTGCACGCAGCAGCGCTGTACTCAGCGGCAATGCCTGCCACCATAGAGTCAAACTGCTGGTTGGCGGGATGTTGCTTCACCACGCGACCGCGGCCAATAATGATGGTGCGGGGAGTGGGCGTAAAGTCTTCAGGAAGAATGAACATGGTGATTGTATTTTATTCACAAGAGTACTGGTAGTGCTGTAGTAGCTGTACCAGTATGTGCTGCTTTTGTTTGCTTTTGTTCTTTTCGAGTTGAAAATTGTGAGAGAAGCAAAGCCAAATCCAAATCCAAAATACTTCTACTAGACTCTAGCTGGATCCACCAGCAACAACCAGCGAAGGGAGAATGCTGTAAAACTGCACAGAAGTCTGTGTTGTTCCTTTCTGCCAGCGAAGGCCTTCTGTGAACATGACTGCGGTCTTCTTTCCCAATACCGGCCATTTCCAGAACTCTGGGGCACTGGATCATTCACTACCAGGTATACATAACTCTACAGAAAAAACTAAAAGTCCCAGAGTGTCCGAGACTACTTGGGGGTCTCAGACACGAAATAACGTTATCCATAGAGCCATGCTCTTTATGTCAAAATGGCTCAACATTCAAAGACGTATTCTCTGTCATGTCCTAGACCAGACATTGTTGAGCCTAGTATTCACTTTTATCCTACTAAATCACTGTAAGAGATGTGAGGGTGACCAATGAATGCATCGTTCAGACATTCGGACGCAGTTCGCAAACTACAGATACTCGAATGGACACCAAGAATGATCCGCCAAACGTCCAAGCAGCCATTTCGCATTCGCTCAAAGGGTTTCAAGTTGGGAAGGATGAAGGATGACTTCACGCTCTGGGGAATGACAGTCTTTTTCGAACGCTGAACTCTCAACCATGTATCAACAGCTGTATCAATGAAGTGGACCTGTGGAGGGATATGAGCTGGCACAAAAGACGACGGCCAAGAGTACTAAACTTTCACACAACTCCAGCAACAAAACAAAGTCTGACGCAAGGAATTCTCTCATCAACGAATTACACTCAGAACAGCATCTGTTCGGCACATGCTCTGTGCGGGAGTTCTGCTGGTTTGAACAATTCCTTGCAAAACCTAAAACCTCCGTAGCACTACGTAGTACCAGTACAAACTCACCAGCACAAAAACGGTTCTGACAGCCTTTCTGACACAGACAAATCTACGGGATTGCCAAAAGCAGTCTTTCGCACGATGAACAGGGATTTATGAAGAAGACACATAGTTCTACCATCACGTGCTCCAACAACGCACACAACAAGATTGGAACCTCTTTTCACCTTTCTGGGAGCTCAGTGGAGTCTTTCCACTGGATCAAATTGGACATCCAACACTGGTTTCCACCAACAAAACAACCTAACAACCGACAACGAGAGTCGAGTCGAGTCGAGTGACAGTCTACACAGCTTCCGTTTACTCGAGTGGCCAGTTAGTTCTGCCACGGTAGCTATGGTACTGGCTAGCCTGCGCAGAGTAGGCACAAGCAAAATACTGTACGCTGAGCTGGTTGTTTGGAGCTTTGTTTTGCGACTGCTTCACTCTTCACTGCTGACTTTACAGAAACCGAAAATTTTGTGCGTTGGCCTTGACGGAAAGCTGGAGTCCGAGTCATGCCGCCACACACAACACAGTGTCTTGCTGGGACGATAGAGGCTGGCAAGGATCAGCCACGGGCTTCCGGGGTCCATGCGAGATGGAGAAACAACTCCAACGGATCAACCAACTTTACATGTACTAGTACTACTGTAGACTACTCTAGCTGGCCGGCTAGTGCGAAATTAGCCAGTAGCACACCCATGCAAGCATTAGCATGTAAAACGGAATAACTTGGCTTTCTTGCTAGCTACGGTACACGGTACCTGTATGTGTATCGAGACCTATGCTGGACGCCCCGCCACGAACGTCCTGCCCCATGAGGAGACCATCCGTGCCGTGCGGTCAAAGAGTAGCCCAAACTATCCCAGTGCTTCTTCTGAGTGGCACGCAAAGTTTGGCGATAGAATAATAAAGTACCGACACAGCACAAATAAAGCATGAACACGCAGCAGAGAGGGAGGCAGAGAAGGCGTGTGCTGGCCTCCGTTCGCATCATCGAGCAAGTTTGCATCCACTAGCTAGCTAGTCAGCCACTTCTATGCATAGTAGATAGATACCGGTAGTTGCAGTTTAGTTACGTTACAATGTCATCGCGGTTCTTGCAGGAATGCACATCTCTCCAGGAGTCGTCCTTGTCTGGGCTGACGGGGCCTACCCACCCACGTTCACCAAGAACTCAACATGGGTTTCAAATACTGGTGGGTCCACATCTACTGCGGGATTGTAATCTTGTAAAATGGTTTCAGTACTGCCGTCGACAACAATAGCACGCCCACTGAAATGACAAGATGAAAATGGGTTAGAATGCGCCCATTCCTGTAATTAGCACTGGTTCAAAGCAAAGCTTGATACTCACTGGCCATGTTCACAGCAAAAACCGTCCTGTTCGACAGAGTTTTCTTCCAGTCTCAACTTGTAATCACCAGCAGCTAGGTTGGGAACACTTGTGTTCACCCAGGTCAATGCATCTGGTTGCCAGTATTGATCAAAGCGTGTCTCGGCTACAATTTCACCTCCTGGCTCCTGTGACAAAATCCACCGGGTTTCATAAGGATATTCGTCGTAAAAGATCTTGACAATAAGAATCTCATCACCACGAGAAATAGGGTCACCTGCACAAATGGCAACACAAAGTTAGAAATAGATTCGAGAAGGACTTGAACAAGTGTTCTTCATAGCAAGTGTTCACCCACTTTTTGTTGGGCTGACTGATGGAAGATCTGTTGGACTATCTGATGGTGTGACCGAAGGCAATCCCGATGGACTGACAGATGGAGTTACTGAAGGTCTGTCAGACGGACTGATTGACGGAGAGTTGGATGGGTTAGAGCTAGGTGATACTGTTGGCTTGTTTGTTGGCGATGAGCTTGGAGATGTACTTGGCTCAGAGCTCGGTTCAACTGAAGGGGATCTCGATGGCAACGAGCTGGGAGATACAGTTGGTGCCTTGGATGGTGCCTCACTTGGTATTGAACTGGGTGCAGAACTTGGCTCGCTCGATGGAACATTGGATGGTTGCTCAGAGATGGATGGCTGATCGCTCGGGGTGCTACTTGGAGCTGTGCTGGGAATGGAGCTAGGCACAAAGCTGGGTTGTGAACTGGGAATGGAGCTTGGCACAAAGCTGGGTTGTGAACTGGGTTCAGAACTTGGTATGCCACTGGGACTGTTGCTGGGCACAATACTGGGCCTAGCGCTAGGCAAAGCACTGGGGTTCCCACTGGGCCTAGTGGAAGGGCTGGAACTTGGGGACTCGCTGGGATGTTGAGATAGCGACGGAGATGCTGAGGGCTCATCTGAGGGGCTGGCAGAAGGACTAACTGTGGGTCCCTTGCTGGGGTTGACTGATGGATGGAAACTTGGAGACACACTTGGCAATGCGCTGGGGGGGGTACTTGGAAACGCACTGGGGATAACGACTGGACTTGAGGATGGGGACTCAGAAGGGTTGCTGGAGGGGGTAAACGATGGATTAGAAGATGGCCCCATAGATGGGGATAATGAAGGAGCACTTGACACAGATGGAACTGCAGAGGCTAGACTGGGGCTTGTGCTAGGATGGAAGCTTGCTGTTGGGGCAGAACTTGGCTGTCTGGTAGGTGAGCTGCTTGCTGTCGGTGCTGCAGTAGGAGCTGGACATGCGTCCGAAGACACACTTTCGCCATTCATAGCCCCTGTGATCCAATTCAAAAAAATTGCTTGGGCATTGCCGCCACTAGAGAAGTCAGGCTGAGCATTTCCTCCACTATTCCCGCCATTCCAATATCCAACAGACCCAGCACTGCCTGGAAGATCATTGAATGTAATCTTGGCAGTGGACGCCTTTGTACCGGTACCTGGAGTGGTTGCTAGTTGCATAGTGCCCTGGGTAAAATCTGGAACAGCCAAGTCATCGTCATAGCCAATCCCAGTAAAAGTCACTCCTCGAAAATCGCCATAGGGCCCATTTGTAATGAATGTGTCACAGTTGCCAACCTATCACAAAGAAGACTAAGTTGAGTGGTTTATCAATCCCAAACTTCCAGAAATTGTCTGTTTTCCTTACCTCCCAAACCGCATTCCGTGTAATTAAGTCCCCTGAATTGGAAATCCTTAGTAAGGATTCAAGGGGAGTGTTTGGTCTTAGCGAGTCATACCCAGTCACCAAAAGATGTCCACCCTGTTGAACAAATGCATCAAGACTATCCACAACATTTGACCACAAGGAGGCATGACCACGGGCCCTACACAAGGCAAATGGTGAGATAGTGGTACAAACACATTATGGATTGAAAAACCACAAAACTTACGAATAAACAATAACCTTGTACCAGTTCAAATAGGTAGTATCGAGCAAGACTTGATACCCTCGGTTGGTCTCTTCAGTCACAACATCAGTGCAGAACCCAGCACCACTGAGGACAGACTCAGTATTCCCAAAACCTTCTCGGTTGTCGACAAGCAGAACCATCCCAGATGGACAACTTGGGCTTGAGCTAGGTGACTCGCTGGGTGGCTCATTAGGGGCCCCGGTAGGAGACGAACTTGGAGACCTTGATGGTCTCACACTTGGAGCCACTGATGGTATCTCGCTTGGACTGGCACTAGGAGATCGGCTTGGTATTTCACTTGGGCTTGTTGAAGGGATCCTACTTGGAGTTGAACTGGGTGATTTGGATGGGATTGCAGATGGAGACCAAGAAGGATTAATGGATGGCAATGAAGATAGTAAATCAGATGGAGAGTCACTTGGGCGAATACTTGGGGCTTGGCTGGGTCTTTCACTTGGGAGAACACTTGGGGCTTGGCTGGGTCTTTTACTTGGCTCTAAGGATGGGGATTCAGACGGTTCAAAGGATGGAATGGCAGATGGACTCACACTGGGATTGGAAGATGGACTACCACTGGGATAGGCAGAAGGAATTTCACTTGGGTTCTTACTCACTGATGGCAGAGAAGAGGGGGCGGTGGAAGGAGCCGAAGAAGGACTCTTTGATGGCATAATAGATGGTGAATCTGAGGACTGGGAAGGTCTTATGCTTGGATTGGAACTGGGTCCGAAACTGGGTAAGGAACTTGGCACAGAACTTGGGACAGAACTGGTGCTTGGGCTTGCACTGGGATATGAACTTGGGTGTGAACCTACGGCGACAGCATCAGTTTAGCATCAATTTATCCTGTAGGAAGGGCAATGCAAGATTTGTTCACTTACTGACACTAGGTGTCTCACTGGGCATTGCGCTGGGCGTAGAGCTTGGCATACTGCTAGGCTCAAGCGTGCGTGCTGCAAATCATAGATAGAAGCACAAAAAAGTTTGTCAGAAGGAGAACATGTAAGCAACAATTCAGACACAGTTACTCTTGAACTCACTTGGATTGGAGCTGGGACTGATACTTGGAGTTCTTGATGGTTGTCCACTTGGTGAAGAGCTTGGTTGACTGCTGGGTGGCTCAGATGGAGTCAAAGAAGGCGCAGAGCTAGGCTGTCGACTTGGGCTTGAGGAAGGTGACTTGCTGGGTGATGAGGTTGGCTGGCCAGTTGGTGATCTGGAAGGGTCGCTTGAGGGTGCTGAGCTTGGTGAACTACTTGGGGACATTGTTGGTGTCTCTGTGGGGACACCTGACGGACTGGAGCTTGGGGCTGCTGTATTCAATAATAGCTGCTCAGAAAACCCAGCTCCAAAAGCACCGTTGTTGGAGTATTGAAGGACACCAGCATTCCAAAGTTCAACAGATGGCTCTTCCAGTGAATTTCCTCCGTACTGACAACAAATCCCATCAGATCGCAGGTCCTGAATAGAGAACGTATAAAGTCTGCACATTGGAATGAAAGTTAGCAAATGCTGAGCCAGCCGGAGGTTTTGAGCACGCAAGTGGGCCACTCACCCAGATGCTAAGACAGCATAGCTAAACTCAGCCCTGCCTGAATCCCAAACTGAGTTGTAGGGCCGCGAATCAATAACATGTCCACTCTGGTTTGTCAAGGTCCACTGAGTCTCATATGGATAGTTGTCATAGCTTTCACCGGCCAACACGAACAAGTTCGAGATGAGATGACTTTCGTCCAAAAATCGCCACTGGAACCAGCAATGAAACTTACTAAATCACAATGCTCAAATCAACATTTCCAGGTGGAGCCTTGGGTGTATGCTTGACAGGAGCATCAGTGGGAACATCACTTGGTCTGCTACTGGGCGCATCACTTGGGATGCTGCTTGGAAAATCTGAAGGACTGATGCTAGGAGTCATGGAGGGACTTAAGGAGGGACTGGTGCTTGGGAAATCTGAGGGTGTGATTGATGGAATTCCCGAAGGCTTCTCACTCGGATTTCCTGAAGGTTGAGAACTGGGTGATGCACTGGGAGTCGCACTTGGTCCAGTGCTGGGGGCATGGCTAGGCATGGAGCTGGGTTTTGCACTGGGAGTCAAACTTGGTCCAGTGCTAGGGGCGTGGCTAGGGATGGAACTTGGCGGCATAGATGGTAGATCACTGGGGGCCATTGACGGCACGGCGCTGGGAAGATTTGAAGGTGGCATGCTGGGTGTGCTGCTTGGATACAAGCTTGGGTCAATAGACGGTACATTACTGGGGGCCGTTGAGGCACTTCACTGGGAAGATTTGAAGGTGCCACGCTAGGAGTGCTGCTTGGATCCAGGCTTGGGTTGCTAGATGCTGCACTGGGCAGATTCGAAGGTGGCGCGCTGGGTGTGCTGCTTGGATACAAGCTTGGGTTGCTAGATGGTACATCACTGGGGGACTTTGAAGGCACTACACTGGGGAGATTCGAAGGTGCCACGCTGGGTGTGCTGCTGGATGCAGGCTTGGGTTGCTAGATGCTGCACTGGGCAGATTCGAAGGTGTCACGCTGGGTGTGGTGCTGGATACAGGCTGGGTTGCTAGATGGTACTTCACTTGGGGCTGTTGATGGCACTGCACTGGGAAGATTCGAAGGTGCCACGCTGGGTGTGGTGCTTGGATACAGGCTTGGGTTGCTAGAGGTACTTCACTGGGGGTTATTGACGGCACTGCACTGGGCAGATTTGAAGGTGCCACGCTGGGTGCGGTGCTTGGATACTGGCTTGGGTTGCTAGATGGTAGATCACTGGGAGCTGTTGACGGCACTGCACTGGGAAGATTCGAAGGTGCCACGCTGGGTGTGGTGCTTGGATGCAGGCTTGGGTTGCTAGATGGTAGATCACTGGGGGCAGTTGATGGCACTGCACTGGGCAGATTTGAAGGTGCCACGCTGGGTGTGGTGCTTGGATACAGGCTTGGGTTGCTAGATGGTACTTCACTGGGGGTATTGACGGCACTGCACTGGGAGATCGAAGGTGCCACCTGGTGTGGTGCTTGGATACTGGCTTGGGTTGCTTAGATGGTATCACTGGGAGCTTGAGGCACTGCACTGGGAAGATTCGAAGGTGCCACGCTGGGTGTGCTGCTTGGAAAGGCTTGGGTTGCTGATGGTAGATCACTGGGGGCCGTTGATGGCACTGCACTGGGCAGATTTGATGGTGCCACGCTGGGTGTGCTGCTTGGAACAGGCTTGGGTTGCTAGAGGGTACTCACTGGGGGTTATTGAGGCACTGCACTGGGCAGATTTGAAGGTGCCACACTGGGTGGGTGCTTGGATAGGCTTGGGTTGCTAGATGGTAGATCACTGGAGCTGTTGAGGCACTGCACTGGGAAGATTTGAAGGTGCCACGCTGGGTGTGTGCTTGGATGCAGGCTTGGGTTGCTGATGGTAGATCACTGGGGGCCGTTGACGGGACTGCACTGGGCAGATTTGAAGGTGCCACACTGGGTGAGGTACTTGGATACTGGCTTGGGTTGCTAGATGGTAGATCACTGGGGCCGTTGAGGCACTGCACTGGGAAGATTCGAAGGCGTCACGCTGGGTGTGGTGCTGGATACAGGCTTGGGTTGCTAGATGGTACTTCACTTGGTGCTGTTGATGGCACTGCACTGGGCAGATTTGATGGTGCCACGCTGGGTGTGCTGCTTGGAAGCAGGCTTGGGTTGCTAAGGTATTCACTGGGGGTTATTGACGGCACTGCACTGGGCAGATTTGAAGGTGTCACGCTGGGTGTGGTGCTGGGATACAGGCTTGGGTTGCTAGATGGTACTTCACTTGGGGCTGTTGATGGCACTGCACTGGAAGATTTGAAGGTGCCACGCTGGGTGTGGGCTGGGATACAGGCTTGGGTGCTAGAGGTACTTCACTGGGGGTTATTGACGGCACTGCACTGGGAGATGAAGGTGCCACCGGGTGCGGTGCTTGGATACTGGCTTGGGTTGCTAGATGGTAGATCTGGGGCTGTTGACGGCACTGCACTGGGCAGATTCGAAGGTGCCACGCTGGGTGTGGTGCTTGGGTAAGGCTTGGGTTGCTAAGGTATTCACTGGGGGTATTGACGGCACTGCACTGGGCAGATTTGAAGGTGCCACACTGGGTGCGGTGCTTGGATACTGGCTTGGGTTGCTAGATGGTAGATCACTGGGAGCTGTTGACGGCACTGCACTGGGAAGATTCGAAGGTGCCACGCTGGGTGTGCTGCTTGGGTAAAGGCTTGGGTTGCTAGATGGCATTACTGATGGCAAGCCTGATGGTGCAGTGGACGGTTGGAAGGACAGGGATGGTGATAGGGATGGGGTCGACGAGGGACTGGCGGATGGAGGTGGACATGCTCTGCAATAGGGGCCATCGATACGCGGCATTGGGTCATTCCTGTTTGAACAACTTGACAAAGCGAACATGTCAACCACAACTGGTTTAGGGTCAATCGATAGATTCATTTTGTAACGCCAAGCACAAAGATCTTGGTTGAAAACGCTTTGATAGAACATCTGGACATGGCAGCAGCAGGGTTAGCAACTAATGCTCAGGGAACACCTGACACGAAATCAAGACACCCCGCCAGTAGAACTCACCCCTCGAAAGTTAGTACCACTGGAGATATCCCATTGGCTGATATCTATGTTGAAGGCCTGAGACTTGTAGAACCTGCAAACCAAACATAACGTCATGAGATTTAGAGCAGATCCTTCCCTGTCAGCGAAATTGCCAAGCTTACATTCGGTAGAAGAGAGTCACCTTCTGCGTATCCCAACCGGAAATATCGTGATTAAACTGGGTTGTCACGCGAAACATCCTATCCATGTTGGTTGCTGATGATGTGGCCCAGGTTGAAATATCCTGATCAAAAAGTGTCCCCTCAAACCTGCAGTGGGAAGATGGAGTATGGTTTCAGTTGCAGCAATCTGAAATTCACAGCTATGAGTCCTATTGGCAGTTGCACTTACATCAGCGCAAACGTAGTGACCTTTGAAACATCCCAATTTCCCAGTGGCTAAAATGGCAAAAGAGTACTAAATGTCAGTAATGGCATGTTGCTCCGGATCTTCTACACCATTCTGGACGTACTTGATCAAATGCAGTTGCCAAACCAAAGGTGGCTTCCATGTTTGATACTTTTGAAGTGACCCAATTGTTCAAGTTTTGGTTAAAAGAGGTGGCTCCTGCAGAAATGGAAAGGTTAGAAAGGCCAGGATCAGTTTACTCCACAAGTATGAATCTCTAGAGAAGACTGAACGACTGACCTTGAAAAGTCCAGAACATGGAAGTTACACTGGAAACGTCCCAACCGCTGATGTCTTCATTAAAACCTGTGTTGCCTTTAAACAACTCATAAAAGCTATCAATAAGAGTCACATTCCAAGTTTGGATGGGGCCATATGTTGCCGAAGCGTAATTCAATGATGCGATTTCTGCCTTGAGATCAGACAAGGTTTGAAAGGCTTGGAAAGGTGTGCTGGGAGACATGCTTGGTTGCCAACTCGGCAAGTCACTTGGAGTCATGGAAGGGCTCATACTCGGAATATCACTGGGATGAACACTTGGCAAGGCTGATGGAAAACTGCTTGGACTTGTACTAGGCAGTTCACTTGGCATCATACTTGGTCCATCGCTAGGTGGCATACTTGGAAGAATGCTGGGAATAGCACTGGGTAAACCAGATGGATGATCACTCGGAGAAATTGATGGCATCGTACTTGTGGCACTGGGTGTGCTGCTGGGATACATGCTTGGGTTGCTAGATGGTACTTCACTGGGGGCAGTTGATGGCACTGCACTGGGGAGGCTCGAAGGTTCCATGCTGGGTGTGGTGCTTGGATACAGGCTTGGGTTGCTTGATGGTACTTCACTGGGGGTCGTTGAGGGCACTGAGAGGGTACTTCACTGGGGTTTATTGACGGCACTGCACTGGGAGATTGAAGGTGCCACACTGGGTGGGTGCTTGGATACTGGCTTGGGTGCTAGTAGTGATCACTGGGGCTGTTGATGGCACTGCACTGGGAGATTCGAAGGTGCCACGTGGGTGTGCTGCTTGGATGAAGGCTTGGGTTGCTGATGGTAGATCACTGGGGCCGTTGATGGCACTGCACTGGCAGATTTGAGGTGCCACGCTGGTGTGGTGCTTGGATACAGGCTTGGGTTGCTAGAGGTACTTCACTGGGGGTTATGAGGCACTGCACTGGGAGATTTGAAGGTGCCACCTGGGTGGGTGCTTGGATACAGGCTTGGGTTGCTAGATGGTAGATCACTGGGGCTGTTGAGGCACTGCACTGGGAAGATTTGAAGGTGCACGCTGGGTGTGTGCTTGGAAGGCTTGGGTTGCTAATGTAGATCACTGGGGCGTTGAGGACTGCACTGGGAGATTTGAAGGTGCCACACTGGGTGGGTGCTTGGATCGGCTTGGGTTGCTAGATGGTATTCACTGGGGGCCGTTGAGGGCACTGCACTGGGAAGATTCGAAGGCTCACGCTGGGTGTGGTGCTGGACAGGCTTGGGTTGCTAGATGGTACTTCACTGGGGCTGTTGATGGCACTGCACTGGGAGATTGAGGTGCCACGCTGGGTGTGGTGCTTGGATAAGGCTTGGGTTGCTAGAGGGATCACTGGGGGCTTTGAGGCACTGCACTGGGAAGATTGAAGGTGCCACGCTGGGGTGGTGCTTGGATACAGGCTTGGGTTGCTAGATGGTACTTCACTGGGGCCGTTGATGGCACTGCACTGGGAGATTTGAAGGTGCCACGCTGGGTGTGGTGCTGGATAGGCTTGGGTTGCTAGAGGGTCTTCACTGGGGTTATGGGCACTGCCTGGGAGATTTGAAGGTGCCACCTGGGTGGGTGCTTGGATACTGGCTTGGTTGCTAGATGGTAGATCACTGGGGCTGTTGAGGCACTGCACTGGGAGATTCGAAGGTGCCACGCTGGGTGTGTGCTTGGATACAGGCTTGGGTTGCTAGAGGTATTCACTGGGGTTGAGGCACTGGACTGGGAAGATTTGAAGGTGCCACGCTGGGTGGGTGCTTGGATACAGGCTGGGTTGCTAGATGGTAGATCACTGGGGCTGTTGATGGCACTGCACTGGGGAGATTTGAAGGTGCCACGCTGGGTGTGGTGCTTGGATACAGGCTTGGGTTGCTAGATGGTAGATCACTGGGGGCCGTTGAGGGCACTGCACTGGGAAGATTCGAAGGTGCCACGCTGGGTGTGGTGCTGGGATACAGGCTTGGGTTGCTAGATGGTACTTCACTGGGGGCCATTGATGGCAGTGTTACAGTGGGGCCCAAAGTTGAGGGAGCAAGGGATGGACTGCCAGGGGTTGCTGTGGGGGTTCCTGAGGTTGGGCTATTCGTGGGAGACCCAGGTGTCACTGTAGGTACCCCTGTAGTTGGAGTCGCAGTCGGGCTTCCAGCCGTTGCGGTGGGGGTTCCTGTGGCAGGACTCGCTGTCGGAGAGACGGATGGGCTTCCCGGTGTCACGGTTGGGGTTCCTGTGCTTGGACTCACACTGGGAGATCCAGCTGTCACAGTTGGGCCCAAAGTGGTTGGATTTGCAGAAGGGCTCCCCTGTTTTACAGTGGGGCCCAAAGTTGAAGGAGCAGGGATGGACTGCCAGGTGTGACTGTGGGGGTTCCTGAGGTTGGGCTATCGTGGGAGACCCAGGTGTCACTGTAGTACCGCTGTAGTTGGAGTCACAGTCGGGCTTCCAGCCGTTGCGGTGGGGTTCCTGTGGCAGGACTCGCTGTCGGAGAGACGGATGGGCTTCCCGGCGTCACGGTTGGGGTTCCTGTGCTTGGACTTACACTGGGAGATCAGCTGTCACAGTTGGGCCCAAAGTGGTTGGATTTGCAGAAGGGCTCCCCTGTTTTACAGTGGGGCCCAAAGTTGAAGGAGCAAGGGATGGACTGCCAGGTGTGACTGTGGGGGTTCCTGAGGTTGGGCTATTCGTGGGAGACCCAGGTGTCACTGTAGGTACCGCTGTAGTTGGAGTCACAGTCGGGCTTCCAGCCGTTGCGGTGGGGGTTCCTGTGGCAGACTCGCTGTCGGAGAGACGGATGGGCTTCCCGGTGTCACGGTTGGGGTTCCTGTGCTTGGACTAAACTGGGAGATCCAGCTGTCACAGTTGGGCCCAAAGTGGTTGGATTTGCAGAAGGGCTCCCCTGTTTTACAGTGGGGCCCAAAGTTGAGGAGCAAGGGATGGACTCCCAGGTGTGACTGTGGGGGTTCCTGGGTTGGGCTATTCGTGGGAGACCAGGTGTCACTGTAGGTACCGCTGTAGTTGGAGTCACAGTCGGGCTTCCAGCGTTGCGGTGGGGGTTCCTGTGGCAGGACTCGCTGTCGGAGAGACGGTGGGCTTCCCGGTGTCACGGTTGGGGTTCCTGTGCTTGGACTCAAACTGGGAGATCCAGCTGTCACAGTTGGGCCCAAAGTGGTTGGATTTGCAGAAGGGCTCCCCTGTTTTACAGTGGGGCCCAAAGTTGAAGGAGCAAGGGATGGACTGCCAGGTGTGACTGTGGGGGTTCCTGAGGTTGGGCTATTCGTGGGAGACCCAGGTGTCACTGTAGATACCGCTGTAGTTGGAGTCACAGTCGGGCTTCCAGCCGTTGCGGTGGGGGGTTCCTGTGGCAGGACTCGCTGTCGGAGAGACGGATGGGCTTCCCGGCGTCACGGTTGGGGTTCCTGTGCTTGGACTCTACACTGGGAGATCCAGCTGTCACAGTTGGGCCCAAAGTGGTTGGATTTGCAGAAGGGCTCCCCTGTTTTACAGTGGGGCCCAAAGTTGAAGGAGCAAGGGATGGACTGCCAGGTGTGACTGTGGGGGTTCCTGAGGTTGGGCTATTCGTGGGAGACCCAGGTGTCACTGTAGATACCGCTGTAGTTGGAGTCACAGTCGGGCTTCCAGCCGTTGCGGTGGGGGTTCCTGTGGCAGGACTCGCTGTCGGAGAGACGGATGGGCTTCCCGGTGTCACGGTTGGGGTTCCTGTGCTTGGACTCAAACTGGGAGATCAGCTGTCACAGTTGGGCCCAAAGTGGTTGGATTTGCAGAAGGGCTCCCCTGTTTTACAGTGGGGCGCAAAGTTGAAGGAGCAAGGGATGGACTGCCAGGTGTGACTGTGGGGGTTCCTGAGGTTGGGCTATTCGTGGGAGACCCAGGTGTCACTGTAGGTACCGCTGTAGTTGGAGTCACAGTCGGGCTTCCAGCCGTTGCGGTGGGGGTTCCTGTGGCAGGACTCGCTGTCGGAGAGACGGATGGGCTTCCCGGTGTCACGGTTGGGGTTCCTGTGCTTGGACTCAAACTGGGAGATCCAGCTGTCACAGTTGGGCCCAAAGTGGTTGGATTTGCAGAAGGGCTCCCCTGTTTTACAGTGGGGCCCAAAGTTGAAGGAGCAAGGGATGGACTGCCAGGTGTGACTGTGGGGGTTCCTGAGGTTGGGCTATTCGTGGGAGACCAGGTGTCACTGTAGGTACCGCTGTAGTTGGAGTCACAGTCGGGCTTCGCCGTTGCGGTGGGGGTTCTGTGGCAGGACTCGCTGTCGGAGAGACGGATGGGCTTCCCGGTGTCACGGTTGGGGTTCCTGTGCTTGGACTCAAACTGGGAGATCCAGCTGTCACAGTTGGGCCCAAAGTGGTTGGATTTGCAGAAGGGCTCCCCTGTTTTACAGTGGGGCCCAAAGTTGAAGGAGCAAGGGATGGACTGCCAGATGTGACTGTGGGGGTTCCTGAGGTTGGGCTACTCGTGGGAGACCCAGGTGTCACTGTAGGTACCGCTGTAGTTGGAGTCACAGTCGGGCTTCCAGCCGTTGCGGTGGGGGTTCGTGCAGGAACTCGCTGTCGGAGAGACGGATGGGCTTCCCGGTGTCACGGTTGGGGTTCCTGTGCTTGGACTTACACTGGGAGATCCAGCTGTCACAGTTGGGCGCGTTGTTGAAGGAGTCACTGTAGGACTTCCCTGGGCTACAGTTGGAACCAAGGTGGTTGGAGCAACAGATGGACTTCCTGGGATTACAGTGGGAATTCCAGTTGCTGGACTGATGCTAGGAGACCCAGCTGCAACTGTAGGATTCCCAGTAGTTGGGTTCAGGCTTGTAGGTGATTCTGACGGGCTACCAGGAGGCACTGTAGGTGTAGACGTGGTTGGATTTGCAGGGGTTGTGAAATCAACAGCCTGGATTGTTGATGGCCTTAGTGATTGCAGGGCCAAGTTGAAATTGGAAACAAAAGCTGTTTTCTCTGATTCAGCAGACAAAATTGGACTTTCATTTGTCTGGTTAGCAGTTACAAAGAACTCAACTTGTGTAGACGTAACCTGTAGATTCCTTCTCCCTGCACTTCGGCTGGAAACCAGGGTGCTGACCAATTCTGCAGAACAAGCTGGCATGTCCATCAGGTCATAGGCTTGTTCAAATGCAGATGTCAACTCTGTGTCATCGTATACTCCACTAGTTTCGCCATCAAACCCTACGATGTATGTGCTTGTGTATTGAGAGTAGGCACAAGAGGGTGGTGAAGTTGGGTCAACATTGGTGGGGTTTTCAGTGATGGAATCTGCTGAAGGATTTTCGGTCAAAGCACCTGCTTTTGTAGGCTCCTGATTTGGTGGTGGTGTTTGATCGTTTGTTGCTCCTGCCGTATCTTCGCTTGATGGTGCTGAAGACGCTTCTAATGTCGGACCAAGAGTAGAACCATCAGGCGCTGAGGTAGTAGCCCGCACAGAGGGGCTTCCTGTTGTGGAGTCTACTGAAGGAGTTTCTGTCAAAGCGCCTGGTACTGTAGGCTCCAATGTTGGTGCTGGGGTTTGATCATTCGTTGTTTCCGTTGTGACTGTGATGGATGGCACAGGGGTGCCCTTTATTGTTGGAGTGCCTGTCACAGAAACTACAAGTGTTGGCTCCAAGGTCGGCTCCAAGGTCGGCTCCAAGGTTGGCTCCAAGGTTGGCTCAAAGGTTGGCTCAAAGGTCGGCTCCAAGGTCGGCTCCAAGGTTGGATCAGATGTTGTCTCCTGAGTATCTGAAATCGCAGGTGCTGGTGTTGCTTGGTCAGGCGTGAACTGGGAGGTTGAAGGCGCACCAGCTCCCAGTCCAGTGGGAGTACCACCAGCAACTGAAGAGGGGGTTCCAGGCTGGGCAGGCCCTGCTGGAGAGTCAGATTGACCAGCTGTTGTCACTGGTGGGTTTTCAGTGGATGCAATAGGAGCTGCTGGAGTGCCCTGTGCAGCTGGAATACTTCCCACTACAGGAGGTGCATCTGTGACAGCAACGGGGGAGCCACCTGTATTCCCTCCAGTCAAACTTGTCGGGGTTCCGGGTTGGCCCAACCCTGTGGGACTGCCTGCTCCGTCGGGTGAAGAAGGAGGGCCCGGCTGGCCCAACCCTACTGGAGCACCAGCTTCTCCACTTGAAGAAGGAGAACCTGCTAAACCAGGCGCACTTGCTGGTGTGGGCGTAGCTTCAACGGCACCAGGATTTGTTGGAGAGCCGTCTCCTGCCGCAGTGGTCGTCCCGATCACAGTTGGAGATCCCGGGGTGGCTGGCACAGTAGGCGCGGTTTGACCAACTGAAGTTGAAGGACTTGTCTGATCTGGCTCAGAGGGCAGACTCGGTGCACTCGGATTGTCTCCAGAAACTGTTGGAGATCCATTTGTTCCCGAAACACCAGATGTTGAGGGAGGGTTGTTGGTGGGTGTGCCGGGATTGCCTAGCGTTGTGGGAGATCCATCGGCTGTACCAGCTGTGGCGTCTGTTGTTGGTGATCCAAGAGCACTGGGAGATCCATCCAAAGCAGCAGAACCAGGAGACCCACTATCCCCTAATGGTGAAGGTCCAGGTTCTGGGGAATCGGAAGCTGGAGAACCTTGATCATTGGGCGGCCCAGTTGAGTCTGTAATACCTATCCCACCTGTAGGCGAAAATGCAGATCCAGTAGACGGAGCTGTGGGTGCTCCTTGTGTTGAGTCTAAGCTTCCATCGGATGCATCAACTGTGCCCACATCGTTACCACTGATTGGACTTGGGGTTGTCTGTTGTGGTGTAGCAATAGGACTTGATGTTGTTGGTGTCAATAAAGGTGCTTCGGAAGGTTGGGCTGTGGGCTTCTTGGTAGGAGGCTTAGTTGGAGGACTCGTGGCAACGTTGGGATCGCCTTCATCCTGGGCATCGGCCAGGGCATCCAAAAGTTCCGGCATAATTTCCTGACAATTATTGGCGAAAGGGTTGGCCAAGCAAAAAGTCACTGTCTCTTTATCAATATCTTCATTGTCATTGTTCAACACTGCCTGGCAAAATGTCGAGTTGGAAATTTCTCCAGTATCCTCATCTTCACACTGATTGACTGAGGCTTCAAAGTTCAAAAGATCGTTGTCGACAAAGGGTGCACGAATCGTTCCATTGTTCTCCTTTACGGCTATTTCCTTCTCTTCAATCTCTTCTCGTCCAATGGACATGATCGTCAAGGGCGACCCGTCGGTGTTGTTGGCAGGACCATCGGGTGTAGACAACAGCGTCGTTGCAAACACGATTTTTACATTGTCCCCTGATTCGTCATCAATTGGTGCTCGGAGGACTAGGTTGCCGTTTGCATCTCTCTCTATTTCCCCATTGAGTGCGGGTTCAATGTTGTATCCAAAAGCTGCAGCAAAGAGAGCAAAGAATTCATCCAGATCAAATGAGAGCAACTGAAGCCGACGAACGAACCGTTCTTGAAATTCTCTGTCACGCATTTTGTGGATTTCACAAAGACGTTCCTGGTTGACCGATCTGAGGTGACGGCGAGTGCCAGCTTGATCCTGCTCCCCTGGCTGGAAAAGCGGTTCATTGTCGGGGCAACCTTCGCACGCGACCTGTGCAATCCACATGGTCGTTGTGACTGAGTCTTTGACAACCTGCCTTTTTTCTTCAGGAGTGGACGTATTGGATTCGAAGATGATGTAATCGGTTTCGTTGGCCCATTGGACATTCCATGTGTCGATAGTGGCACTGTGCAATACACGAGCAAATGGATCCAAACACATTCCCTGTAGGTTAACGAGGAACCACGGAGACACTGAATGAGGATGGCGTTCCAAGTCGAGTCGAAGTTTGTACAGGCAATGGAAGTTGATAACCATTATTATGTGGCAAGTGCATAACGTACCGTGATGTCGTTGTAGATATCTCGAAAGAGTACTTCCAGATCCTGCTTTCGATCGGGCAAAGCACTGGGTGGCAACCCTCCAATTTTCAACTCGACGTATCCTTCCTTGAGCAATGAAGCAGCTGAGCATACGGGTGGCACAAAGTTGTCCTCGAATGGTAGTCGGGCAACCGTTGCGTTGACTGGTTCGATGGTTCCAACTTGAGATGAAACTGCTGCTGCCGCAACCGCTGCTGCAGCAACCGCTACTCCAGCTTGTGCAGCTGCTCCGGCACCTGCAACAGCTCCTTTTGAGGAAAATTGAGATAGCCCAATGCATGCTGTGAGTAATTTGTTTTGACGACATGACGACATGACGACGACGATTGACTATAAATGACATATGCACCCTTCATTCAAGGCTCGTGTAATAACGTCACTCCTCAAGCTCTCCAAAATGTCTCGGCAACTCCAAGCACATACTAAGCACATACTAAGCAACATGTCTTACCTGCCATCCCTGCAGCAGCGGCTCCAGCGGCTCCAGCCCCTGCAGCTCCGCCCTAGATAGTGCAAGTACAGTGCAGAAAGAAAAAGAAAACGGTAAGGTAGGTCCTCTTGCCATGGCGTTGTTTCAAATTGTGCGCTGTTTGTTTTCATGATCTTACTGCCGCTCCAGCTGACGCCGCACTTTGTGATGCAGCTGCAGCCATTTCTGCAACACCTGGGGGAGGCCCTGGTGCCACTCCTCCACCAGCTCCTCCTCCACCGGCGCCTCCTCCTCCTCCGCCGCCGCCGCCTGTACCTCCTCCCCCCGGGCCACCAAATCCTCCGTATGATGACTGCGTCATGTTCATGACTCCTGGGTCAGCGGCTTCCACGAGTTCTTCGGCGAGATCTTCCATTCCGAGCCCGTCGCCGTCTTCATCTTGTCCTCCTTTTCCAATTTTCTTCATGAGGAAGCTCCAAGCCATGCCAAGCCACCCCATGAGCTTTTGAAATAGATCGTTTTGAATGTACCCTGTCAAGAATCCAATGAATCCGTCTCGAATGGCGGCTTCTCGTGCTTCCTCGCTGTCCATGGAAGAGAAGGCTTCCGAGTGCTCGCTGGCCGAGTTCTCCTCAAGATCTAGTTCTTCATCAGTTTCTTGCTTGTCGTCCTTTTCTTCGTCTTCGTCTCTTGCTTCCTCTTCATCCTCCCCGTCTTGGTCCGTAGATTTGTCCTGGTCCTGGTCCTGGTCCTGGTCTTCATCGGACTCCTTGTCTAGATCCATCTCCGATCCAGTTCCATCCTGGTTTATCCCCTCGTCCAGTCGTAGCATGCTACTGAGACTCAAGCCAATGCCTTGGTCGTCAGTTCCTCCCATGTTGGATGATGAACTTGCATTGGGATCGTCAATGTCAATGCCAATGCCAATGCCAACGCTGGTCATTTGACGAGGCGCTACATCCTCCAGGTCCGGTCCCAGGCTATCCATGCATTCAAGTCTTCCAGCGTCGTCTCCTCCATGGTCTTTAGTCTCATTGCTCTTGCGATTGTTCTTCTTGTCGTCCTCCAGTTGGCTCTGAGCGTCTTCCTCCTTCTTTTTGGGACTCCACCAATCTCGGAATCGGCTGGTCCTACTCGTGACTGGTGGGTCCTCTTGTGTATCCTTAACCCTATCCTTATCCCTAGACTTATCCCTAGACTCAGTTGTCCTTTGTGTCTCGTCGAGAAGCCATTGGTCGTGCGCTTTCTGCTTCTTGGGCGTCATGTACTGATTGCGAAACATTCCACGGCGTGACTGTTGCTGTGTGAACATGATAGACGAGTCTCCCATGGCGTTGCCACGGTGCAGCGGATTCTCATCTTTCTCCTCCTCTTCCTCCTCCGACCTTTTCTTCCTTGCGGGATCAGATTTCTTGTTCCGGTCCATCGTCTCTATTAATATGATAGCTCTTTGTCTATCTTCTTCTACTTTACTACGGTAGGATCGTTGCTTCTATCGTCGCTTTGGTTTGGTTGCTCTCCTCTTTCGTCTATTGTAAGGTGCTTCTGTCAAGTAAGTGTTGCCTTGATCGTAGAGTTCGTAAAGTAACTGTTGTGCCACTCGGCACCAGAACTCCAGCCTGAAGGCTTGTCTCTGTCAATCCCAGTAAATTATATTTAGAATACTCACTTTTTGCTGCAATTGATAAATAAAAAGGCATTGTGGCCACTTACTTGGTGTTGCGGGTGTTGCTGACCGTGCGCTCAAGATTGGAGCTTGAGAAGCCCACCACTGATTATTTTGGGTCATTTCAAATTTTTGTCAACAGAGAAGTGACCTTCGAAAACAGCTAAACGCAGAAACTGGCAAATAATGGTCACGCGGTAATACAAGCTACAGTAATTCTATGGTATAATGAGATCACTTCAAGTGATTTATGAGAAATGCCCTCGAAGTATTACTCATTAACTAAAATAGTCGCATAGAACTGTAGCTTTCTTCTTCTACAGTCGTACACTATTCAGCTTGCATAGTCTACCTACCTACTACCGTCCTCCTGGAACTTTGCACATGCAGGACAACGTAGGGTACCAGTTGGGGATTGGTTTCAACAACGTACAGTACGGTAATACCAGCAACCAGGGCTCAACCAGCATATGGCAGGCCTTTTGACTTTTGACTATCATAGACGTCTGAGACTGGTATGTTCTGAATACTGGTAGCCGAAGATTAACTCTTTGAATCGAATCGAAATCGAGAAATACATTAGACTATAAAAAAATACTGTACTGGTAAATATTTTCACTCCGAAAAGAAGCAAGGCGCCATGTCAGAAAAGGTGGTTGTGTGAGAATTGTAACCATAATAACTTCATACATGTAGCGTTGCCAACCTGACAGCCTTGTGGTTGCTGGGCATCTGATACAAAAGCGGCATTACGTGACATCAGCTCACTCAATGACTGTCGAACAACTGCTGTCGACCGGTACCGGGACTGGTATGCCCTCAAGCATCGTCTCGTGACGTCGATCGGGTGCTGAACCCACGAGGGTAGGTGCAAACATGGAAGAGCGGTCCACCGGTACCGGTACACGTACAAGTAGTACGTTTCTCTAGCTACTAGTATGCTACCGGTATGTAGCAACTTGCCTATTGAAATGGAACTGGATATTGCTGTGGGCCAAAGCCTGGCCCTGTATTCAACAGATTGCCACCTTCGCGATGAACACCGGCAGACAGCATTGTGCGGTTGAAAATGTCGCCATAGGTGCCAACTGAGAGAACACAGTCACGAAGGCTCTGCTTGAGCTGCTCTCCATACAGATTTACAACTTTCATCTCATCAATGCTCCTGGCTTCAATGCCCTGCTCCTCCGCGGAAATTAGGCTCATGACTATCCAGAACACAAAGTCAGACCACTCTGTATCGTTGTCGCCTGTCATCAGAGCAATGGCACTTTTAATACCAGATGCATCGTCGTAGAAGTAGGCAGGTGAAAACGAGCAACCCTGGTAGTCCAGTTGGATCGTCATTCGCACTCCAGCCACTATATCCACAGAGGCTCCGTCGTCGTCACTTGTACCGGTACCGGTTGTAGAAGTGCATTGCTCGGATGACACAACACCTTCAAGCTCGACAATCTCAACCGCGTCCGTATCACCAACGAAAAGAGCCGCGGAAAGGGCTCGGCAAAACTCAATGTTGAGGTCCCGCAGACTCGGAAAGACGTCCTCGATCAAGGAGGGGGCCACCCCGCAGCGCAAAAAACCACGGCTCAGAATCCGTTGCAGCGTTGGTCCTTGCAGATACCCCTTCGTATCGACTTTTCCTAAAGGAAACGAAAAGAGCAATCCGTTGGCAGAAGAAAGGGGGGAAAGAGTTTCATGTTCATCATGATGGTGATAGAGAAGATTCAGGCCTCGTCGAGGAATGATGTGTTCCACATGACGATGGTACACATCTGCGTAGTTCCCGATTTCCGCCACAACCGATTCCATCATGGATGCCAGCTCCTTGTCGGCGGCAGTGGGATTGACAGGAAGCAGCAACTGGTACAATTCCGCCGCATTGGAGTGGGTAATGCCATGGGACTCGGCCAAGTACATGACATTGACTATCGTATTGACCAAGTTGGACCATTCCGCGTCGTGTTTTCGAGTGACCAACGTAAGAGGCTCTCGTGAGAACATTTTGTGGCCGTGAGTAAAGGGCCCATCGTAACCTGATTCTTGTATCCTGGAAAAGGGAAGGTTGGGAGGCTCAGAAGCCATGACATGGCACTCTCCGGCCGCAAACTTGTCAATCATATCTCCGAGGGACCCTGCAGCAATGACAATGCCCCCTGGGACCAAATCTTGTAGAATGGCTTCATGAGTGGTTCCAGTAATGACACAGATTTGGAGGCTCCGACAGATTCCAAAAACACTATCGAGATTGTCGGCACATTCGACAAACTCGTGCAGTCCAGCAAAGATGAGCCCGCTGTAAAAGAACGGCGCCGAGAACGTGTGTCCTGTCTGGGAAGTGGCCTCAAAAACATCTCTTGCCATGGTGTGAGTTGTGGTTATGGTAAGCACATCCACGGTTCCATTGGCAAGCTTGACGAATCTGTCTTTGGGTTTCATGCGTTCGAGCTCAATATTGTCGGGTGTTCCAAAGACAGCCATGGACATGGCGCGGCAGTGGTCCACATTCAAGCCTTGCATGATCCCCGTGTCCGGGTTGGGGTGGCTAAAGCCCGGAATATCGCCCGAGATTCCGCATCGTACCGCCCCCCGTTCCCGAATGATTTCAAGAGTGGATCGGTTGGGATTGAATGCCAATGCATTTTTATCTCTGACTTGATTCTGACCATTGTCATTTTTATTCTTTTGCATGGATGCGACGACTGCGATGAGAATGGCAATGGCCAGGGCAACGATAAGAGCAAGCAGAGCCAAGCACCACTTGGAAGAAGCCGCCATTGTGTTATTGTTTGACTTCTTGCTGTCATCCGACGCTGCTTGGCCCTCCAGGTGTGTTTTATCGTCTTGCACTAAAGTAACGACATCAGCTTCGACAGCTTCACTGAGAATTCTGTTTCTAATTTCGTCCTCGAGGTCGGCTTCGTTGATTTGAAATGCCGTGGCCGTTGCCAGTTGATTGGAACTGCTGGATGCTTGTAGAGAGTCATCAGTGGTGGTGATGACACCAGCCGTTGTCGTCGAAGAGGATGCTTGAGAGTCTCGAGGATGGGATAAGGATGAATGACGACAATTGTCTGTGGTAGTGGCTTGTCCTTCCGGGGCAGGACCATTTGGAGGAGGATCATATTGAGCCTGGAGAGCACATGATGTATCAGTTTGAGATGCAAGCTCAGGTGATGTAGAGTCTCCTTGACTATGTATACCCGTATGTATACGTGTATTGGCGTTGGTCGTAGCGGTACTGGTATGGGTAGGCGTGGTAGCAACAGCATAGGCTCCTGGCAGAGTCATGTCAGTACCAGTATCGGATTCTGTGTCTGTTTGTGTGTGCTTTTGCATATCTCTGGCAGCTTCCAAGCGTAGAGTGGCTTCTTGTATGGGCACAATCTTACCCTGCGAAATGGCCGCTTCTTCCTTCTTGCCACAGTTTGACTCATGGACTTTTCGAAGTTGTCCTGCTTTTGTGCCCTGTTCAGTTACAGTGTTGGTGCTCGTGCCGGTACCGGTACATGTAGTATAACTATTACCTGCATGTACTTGGGAACTGCCTTCGACAGCACCAGCGTGGTCTCCGTCATTGCTCGAGCCCAATCGACATGCAACAATCTTTTCTAGCATCAAAGGAGGAATTGGAACTTCAGGGTTGTCATTGCCATTGCTATTGCTACTGCCATTGCTATCATGAGTTGTGGCTGCTTGGGCCTGACTTGACCTGGTTTGGTCCAGAGTTGGATCATGTCTGATCTCAATAGTTTCCGGTACACCTCCTTCAAGTTTAGGATCATCTTGTTCCTCCTGATCTTGAGCTTCCTCCCCATGGCTGCTGCTGCTGCTACTACTGCTACCGTTAGTGTTACCACCAAAAGTATGGTTTCCAGTATCTTCATGTTCCTGTTCCTGCTCTTGCTCCTGCTCTTGCTTCTGCTCGTGATCCGATTTCCCGGAACTATGGTTAGAGGTAGCATCCGAGTGAGAGCCAGCTGAAGGCAACTTGAATGGATCGGTTTCTTCCATGATGACAACTGAAAAACTACACTGTGTAACTAGTAGCACTAGCTAGCTAGCTTGCAAGCTACTGATTAGTAAGAGCAATTGCAAACTTGGCTGGGTGCCGGTGGGTTAGATGTTGGATGAAAGTATGAAAAGCGCAAAGGCGAACAATGACAGCGGGAATCTTACCACTTTCTATGAGGCTTGGGTGAAAGTATGCGTAGATCTGAGACCGTCCACCTTCCACTCTATCATGATGGCTTCCCTCGGCTACCGGTACCGCGTTCCGGTTGCTGCGGAACTGACCTTGTGAACTAGAATTAATTCTGGGAGCAAGCCACTGCTTCCAGATTGTTCTATTTCCTTCTGTGCTGTCCTTCGCTCGTGGTTGCCAACTTTCCACTTTTCAGGAGCTTTCGGGATATCAAAGAATCTTCAGTTCTTGCGACAACCCAATCAAATTGTGTTTATGCTTACCGCTCAACGAGTTGCAAACCGGTACCTTTCCCAGGAGGTCCTGATGCATTCTTATCGCACTTTCTTGCCTGGGTGAAGCCTTTAATTCATTTTCGTTAATGAGAGAGGCCTAATAATTATCGACTGAAAGACAGAAACAGCTCTGAATCGTGATGCAATAACGCTTCACATGTAAGCCCCAGCAACTCTTGCTGGTTCATGTACACTGGAACATTGCCCCTTCTCTCCATCTCTAACTAATACAATGTCGTGCAGAAGCAGGCAGTTACCTGGAAGGCAGCCGATTTTAGAGAGCGTTGGCATTGTCAATCGCCAAAAACTGAGCCTCCCGCAAGTCACCATTTGAAAGTTGTTCGCGATTCGCGCTAAGTCGCGCTGCGCGACTTGGAAAGTCGTTCGCGACTCGCGCGAAGTCGCGCTGCGCGACTTGGAAATACTAGAATTTATCGTAAGAAAGCCGATAGAAGTCGCGCGAAGTCGCGGTAAAGTCGCGATATTGTTCAAGTCGCGCTGCGCGAATCGCGGGAAACTCGCGCAGCGCGAATAGGAACGACTTTCAGCGATCCAAGTTGAAGTAGGGTTTGGCTAGGGTTAAGGCCTAATCGGCTGCCTTCTGGAGAAGTGCGTGTTGAATTTGCCATCAGCCAATAGAGCGGATTAGATCCATGCGTCGGTCACTGAAAGGAATCTTTGGCTAAGTTTTAAAAGAGCGCCCGGACATGTGGAGTGTGGAGGTACCTGGTACATGAACTAGTCTACTAGACTACTGGCTATTGATGGCTTTTTGTGCAGTTGTGGGTTAGCAGACTGGGGAAAGTGGTTGACTGACTGGATGTGGCAAACTAGCCTGGAACACACCAGCACGCAAGTTTTGATAGAATGACCTGCCTGAATGGCTGGTCTGATCTGTGCTAGCTATTAATAGCAGCCTTCGCTCCCAGGCCACCTGGTGCCAGTGCGGTACTGTACTCTGGAGTATGGCTACGTTTTCGTGGGTGCCCCCACCAAAAGTGCAGTAAGCATTTTTGGTTTGATCATCCTAAAGACGCGAAGCACGGTCTGGATGGATTCGCAGGCAGGCAAGAGGACCAACATACCGTACTAGACTGGCAAACTGGATCTTGGTTGGTATGGCGACGGTCCGGTAGCAACCTGAGGATTGAACAATGAAGCAAGTAAATAATAACCAAACTACAAATCAAAAGTACTGCCAAGCAGATCCAGCTTTCCAAGTTCGGTTCCGCACAGCACAGCATGCACGACAACGTGTTGGGAAATAATTCTGTGCATGGCGCGATTGATGCTTTTGGTGGCGGGGAAGTCAAGGACGGAATAAAACCAAGAACGAAAACCAAAACAAAATAAAAAAGCAATGAATTGTTTCTTTCGTTCCTTATTACGAGTTTGTCCTCCATTCAAAATCTTTCAGTTGTGTGTTCCTTCTCGATTCCATCGTTCCTTTCATTTCATTTTATCATTTTGTGTACTTTTGTGTGTCTGTGTGTGCTTTTATTTTGTGGTGTCTACTGTATGACATCTCGTTTACTCCTTGTAGGAGAGCTTGAGATAGATTTTGGCACTCTGAGTGAAAACGTTTCTGTCCACAACCTTGTCAACCGCCATGGGTGTTTCGGAAAGTCCCAATTTTTCCAAATTGAATTTGCACCATCCCAATTTTTCATGGCTGGATCCAGTATCATCATCCTTGATTTTGCAGGTCAAGACCTAATAAGACACAAAATAAATAAATAGAAGAGGATGAAGCAGTTAGTCCAAGTTGAAACTCATCTTTCCTCTTTCTTTACATATAGTTTTGTTTGCTTACCATGTTGTCTAAAAACCAAAAAAAGGATCAACAGCAAATGAAAGTGAGAGACCATGTTCCTTCCATTCTGATTGATCTGTCTGATGACTAAATTTTCTTATATCTTACCAAGAGTAGGAATGTTGAAAGTGAAAGTTTCTCCATAGACAGGATTGAGATCATCATTCTTGGAGCTGCTCTTTTGGACTCCATAGTCAACATCCTTTACCTACAAGAAAAAAAAGATATGATTAGGATGAATGAATATCATTGACTTGTCCATATTGATAGATAAGGATGATCAGACTTACCCAGTTGTCCTGCTCCAATTCCAAGAGGACATAAGGATCAGAGGCAGAGAAGAAATCAGCATTGCCAAGGTTTTCAGCTTTGTCAAGGAAGATAGTAAGGACGCCCATGGTGGATTACAGTGTAGTTCAATTGATTGCTATTGAATAGTAGATTGGTGGAGTAGAAGTAAATCTTCTTGGATGTAGTGTTTTTATGAGCTTTGGCTGTTGATGGGGCTTCGCTCTTTTTTCTTTGGGAAAAGATTCGGAAGCCCGGACTAGCTAGCTAGCGGAAGATCTTTGGGAGTGTCTTGCTCGCTGTTGGATCTTGTGTCGTTCCGTTTGGCCGTTGAGTCATGCTTAAATTCGATTCACTATTGCTTACTAAGTCTTTCAGTCTGGAAAAAGAATTAACCTAATACCGTTACTCATTCTCAATCCACAAACCATCGTCAGCAGCAATGACGAAGAGGGTCAATGCCAAAGGAAGCGCGATCAAGAAATTCATTCCACTCTCTCCTCACACAACAAAAGCAACTCAACTCATACTTCTAAAGAAAAGCTAGAAAGCTCACAACTCAGACTTCCATCTTACTAGTATTGTAAGAGTCTCAGCCCTGTCATTTTAGTATAAGAAGTATGAAGATCCCAGTGTTTAGAGTTCTAGTTGGTGTAGTTTCTGTGTTGTCAGTGGGATGGCACATTAGGATGTATGGCTATGGCAAGAGATTGGTTCCAGCTACATCTACCACAAGTACTACATCTACCACAAGCACTACTACTACAAGTAGTACATCTACTACACATCAAAACAAGACCATCAGCAAATCCAATTTGCCACAAACAAAAGCACTGCTATCCCTTTCAACACAAGAACAAAATGAACAAAAAGAACAAGCAAATGAACAAAAAGAACAAGCAAATGATAAAAAAGAAGAAAATACTGGTGAAAATGCTGGTGAAAATGGAAATGGGCCAAATTTGAAGCAAAATTGGAGACCCAGCCAGGAGTGGGTTGAAAGTTGCATCAGCAATGTGACGGAGGATGAATCCATCATGGTGCCCTTCAAATCTCTCACCAAACGATATGTACTGGGAGATTGTGTCAAAATGTGCTCTCGTTGTCACTTGAGTACCAGAGGAAAGGCGGCCAAACATCAACCACGCAAAATTGGAAATCTATACGAAGACAAGGCTTGTCCACAGGAAAACAAACACTACAGAACAGGAGGAAATATTGACATTTTACTACAGGTTATTCAAGAATTCCAACAAAACACACAAGGACTGAAAAAACCAGATCCAAATGCGGTCGTCATTCATCTACGATTGGGAGATGTCATTGAAGCGGCTGCTGATTCGGTGCAAAAAATGCTTTTTGAAGGCGGAGATCCCTCGCACCCGGGACCTTTCAAAAACTCGATCAAACCAATACAAGAATATCTTGACAATTTTCAGGAAGCTTCAGCCTCGGACGAAAACAAAATACAACAAGTCATTATCGTGGGAGGAGGCTTTGGAGAAAAACACGAGTACAAAAAATCAAGGCAGTACTCGGCATGTCTACAGCGAGGATTCCAACAAGCCGGATACCCAGTGCAAATGAAGGTAGACTCTCCCAATGTCGATGCCGACTTTTACTATATGATTCACGCACACAGATTCATTCCAACCGTTGGAGGATTCTCACAGTTGATTGGCAAACTCGTCGACCGGTTGGGAGGAAAGGTCGTCGGACGAACCTTTGAAAGTCTCGCCGATGTTGCCGCGTGGGAAAGCAAATACGAACGAGGACACAAAATGACCATCAATAGAGCCATTGCCACACCAGAGGAGATCGCCAAGGCCGTAAGCTTGGAGTCGGGGAAATAATCAATCCAAAAGAACAAGACACAAAAGTGCGGACAGTGCAGTGCACACAGTTCTCAGATGCTTTTATCATGGGTGGTGTAGCCACCACTTCCCAATCAATCCACGCGCTCATCGCGACTCGACATCAAACAGTCTCTTGCTCAAACCCCACAGTAGAAACGCGCGTCATCCGAGAACCAAAGTATTCGAATTGCAATCATGGCTGCATGGTGTGGATCAAAAGACGACACGTAGTCTAGGTAGTGGATAAAAGGAATCGCGTGATTTGGGAGTTTTCGTTGTCAGGCAGAACAGCACAAGTCGCGAAGTCGCGAAGTCAAAAATTCGGTTCGTAGAGATAAGGCAAGGCGAGGTTGCATTGGTTCCAGTACATTGGTACCGATACATGCCACGGACGCCTGCGATGGCGGCACAAATGCGGACGGTCGTCGCCACCGACTGAGTCACTCGTGTTTACGGCACTGAACCAGTAGGTACTAGTGCCTGGTACCATGCGCAAAGACGGAGTCACTCAGCGCATCGGTTGGTAGCTACATTTTGCTGCTGAGAGGAGCCGATTCTATTGGGCCTGAGCCAGCCATCTACAATTGCAGTACGCAAAGATAGAGTCGAGCCACTCTGCCGATTCGGTTCTGATTGGACGAAGGAGGAATGTCTCTTACCGTAGCGCACAGAGAGCGAGGTAGCTCGGGATGATTTGAGTGGCAAACGAGTCCTTGCTCGTTGCTTGCCGCTCCACTACCAGTGCAAAAGACGAGGAAAGACCAGGCCGAATTGGTTTCAGTATACCGGTACCGATACATGGTTGTCACGGACTCCTGCGATGGGGCGTCACAAAAGCGGGGATCGTGTTCGCGGTGGCTGCACTGATACCGAACGTAAAGGTAGAATCGAGTGACCGTTACTCTGCCGATTCGATTCATCATGCATTCCACCTGGCATCATGGAGCTGACTACCGTAGCTACAATTGCAGTACAGTACTGGACGAAGGAAGGCTTGGTTGTTTAGTGCCTACTAGCTAGGCACAGGCAGGCAGCCAGAGTGCCAGGGATGGAGGGCGGCCCTGGATGATCTGAGTTGGCTGCAAACGAGTCAAGTCCTTGGGCGGCTGCTTGTCGCTCCGATACTGTCCTAGCAAACCTCTCTTCTGCTTGTCGCTTCACTGCCGGGGCGGTGTCGCTGTACTTGTTCCTCTAGCTAGACTACGTTATCATTGGCGAGCTACAATGGCACTAGCTAGTAGTACATGTAGACACGAGAGAAGAGCGGCTGCTCATCGAGAGACCAGATCATCTATAGCCGGTTCGTTTGGGTTGGTCGGGCTTCCTTTCGGTTGTACGAGTTTTCTCGGAAATGCAGTTCGCGCTACAGCTGGTTTGGCCTCGGTTTGGGAAAATAAGCTTGTCGCCTGGTTCATGTACCGCGCCACCTTCTATCTCTGTGAGGCAGTTGTTAGCCCACACTACTAGACTACTAGGTAGATCTACACGGTGGTGCTTATCGGAACGAGTGGGTTCGATGCTATTGCGGTACCAGTACCGCTCTTAACGTAACAAAGTAACACGCAAAAGGTGGTAATAAAGTTGCTAACATATGTATTGTGTCTGTGAGTTTAGTTGGGTGTGAGGGGACTTCCAGTAAGCCAAAAGCATTGCTGTTTCGTACAACACAGCAGTAAGTACCTGTATCTAATGGAACCAGACGTCCAATCGGAAGACCTTGTTACCAACACCCGTGGAAGCATCAACGGCTCCGTCCCAGGCATCCAAGAACTGAACATTGTTGGAATTCTGCTCGCTGACTTGGTAGAATTCGATGGTTCCAGCAGGGAGCCCTTGACCATTGGCACTGGTGACGATGCAATCGTAGTATCCCAAAGCAGGCTGTTCGTGGTACTGAATCTCTTGACTTCCAGTATCTGCAGTGGCGTCGCCTCCAAAGTGTCCTTGAGCCCATTCTCCAACAGTTCTCCATTCCGCATCGTGGTTGGGTCGTTTGTATCGGAGAATCATTGAAATTTGGCCTAGATTGGCATCGTCCTTGATTTTAATGAAAAAGTTACCACGGGCAATCTTGTGCCTGGAAGGCATTGGAGTAGGAGCAGGACTGACAGTGGGTGATTCGGTGGGAGTACCAGTGGGTGATTCGGTAGGAGTGTCAGTAGGTGTTCCAGTTGGAGTTCCGGTCGGAGTTTCCGTGGGCGTTCCAGTGGGATTGTCTGTAGTGGGTGCAGGTCCCCCCTGTGCTGCTGCCCCACCATATCCATCACACATGGGACCAACGGGTTCCCCATTAGTTTCATGGCAGGCAATGCTCTTGATCCAATGATAGGCAGTGGAAACACGAGAGTATACCCCAGGAGCTCTAGCTCTGGCACATCCATCTCCCCAGGAAACAATTCCAACTTGTGTGAATTCTCCAGGAGCGGTTTCCTTGAAAAGTGGACCTCCCGAGTCTCCGAAACAGGCATCCTGTTGACCAGTCATGTATCCAGCACACATCATTTCTTCAAAAGGTCCTGGATGTAGGTAAGTGTATGTGGCATATGCTGAATTACCTGCTTTACAGTCTTCAATGTAGTCGACGTCAACTTTTTGTACAGTGGGAGAGGAGGATCCAGCAGTTTCCGAGAGCCATCCAGATCCCATGACAGTGAGAGATTCTCCTGGTGATGGGAAGTTAGGGTCGTCATTGAGAAGTGCATATTCCGGATTGTTGACGACGGATGTGAGCCTCATGACCATGTAATCAAAGGACTCTCCAAAGGTGGGATCATAGAGGGGGTGTACCCAGTAGTCGTCCACATAGTAGGGTGTGGCCATTGGGTCATCGGCAATGTTGGTTCGGAACCGAATGGGATCACCTCTGCTGGAATCTTCGCAGTGAGCCGCGGTAAGGACCACTGTGGTGATAATAATAATATTATCATTATTGATGGAGGTGGTAAAAATAATGAAAATAGAAACAATAAAAATAAAGAAATTAGACGTGGCTTGGTCATGGTCGGTGTATGATACATGTAGGGGAAGATGAGGTAACTTACTGTTTGGTCCAATAAGAGAAGTTCCACAGCCCCATTCCCAATCTCCGTAGAAAGGGAACTCGTCCATACCAACTTGAGTTCCACCAACAATTCTCGTGTCGCCTACTTGCGCTGCCGCAGTAGGAAGTCTACTGGAGAAGCACAGCAGCGCCAGCAGCAGCACCGTCATGTTGCTCATGGTCCTGCTCTTTCTACTACTAGTAGTACTGTCTGATCTACTAGTAGTAACAGTACTAGTACTGATTCTACGCTCTTCTTGTTGTTCTGGCTGAAACAGAAACTTTTGAAAACTTTCAAATTGACTCATCTAGCTAGTGGATAGCTAGCTTAGCTTGTAGTAGTGGTGAGAGTAGTAAGAGTAAGAGTAGCGAGAGAAAGCTTTGTGGCTTCTGTTGTTGCTCTTATGCTCTTATGCTCTTGTGTTGTTGGTGTTGGTGTTGGCAAGCAAGTGTGCAACAAAATGACAAAGATGCTCTTGAATGCTTCATACTAGCTAGTACTCGACAAGTTGCGGTCAGGTGTGAATGAATTCAATTCGAAGGCTCACCAGCACACTCACTCACTTTACTACAAGTATTGCTTCCATGCTTTCCTGCTCTCTCGCTCGGGAATCCCATTTCGGATGCATGCCTTTTCATCCACCAAAATTCAAATCCTTTTGGGGGCAAAAAACCAACGTTCAAAACAACTAAGTAAACAGATTGAGCCCCATTTTACAAAGAACAAAAGGGGGAATGATTTACTCAAACATCCATACTAAAAGTAATCCATACTAAATCAGTACATAACCTTGCAGGAAAGTAACACGTCCATTCGTAAACCAGTGGCCTTTGTCCCATGAGGCTTAAATCATCCTCGGTTACGCGCATTCACAGACTTATTTTAAAATGAGATTCATTTGTTAGGGGGGATTCACGAGTGTGACAGTTTCATCTTGGGCATTCCCGAGTACCTCTTCAGAACCGGATTAACCCTTCAAACACTCACCGGTAAGCTCCAGTGTGTCCCGGCGGTACAGTACCCTACATTGTACAGTAGACTAGCTGGTAGACTACTTGCATTGAACCCAAACGTAAGCTTTTTTTGACAATGTCTTTGAACTCTGAACTCTGAGTGTCGTCATGACTTTCGTCACTCATCTTTTGTAGGGTTAGAGCTAGTTTTGATTGCATGACTTGCACCCCAACCCAAAGATTTAACCAGTTCCGCATCTAATGAACTTTGGAACGCATGAAGAACAGCCCTATGGAAAAATGAGACGGAGTTGATCATCTCTCGCAACTCGCAGCTATTGGTCTACACACATGTAGGAGTGCTAGTACGTGTAGTCCACAATGTATTTGCACGATTGGTGCCTGCTTTCCAGCCTCCAACGCGGTTGCATATGTGGGCCACGCCACAGAAGCCTCTACATCATGGACTCGTGAACGGCGTTGCACATGAAACAGATACCTTCATGTATGTAATAGTAATGTAGATACAGAGATAGGTGTTGCTCTATCCTGAAACGTCAGCTAGACATGTAGACTAGACTATACTAGACTAGATCTACATGACATTGTACTCGTAGAGTGCACCTGTACGGTAGCAATGCAGAGCCACTGGTATGGTTGGATTCAGATTTCAATGAAAGCGATGATCAGAATCTGATTGAATTGAATTGAATTGAATCGAGTCGAGTCATTCACGGAGATGGTGGTGAGGTGATGCCTTTGAATTCCAACCGTTGGGTTGACTGGAACAGCTAGCGCGATAGAACCTGCCGGAACAACCATCCGATGCCACCGGTATCTCGTCATTGCTATTGTGTCAATCTACATGTACTTGTTGGCTTGTTGGATGATTGGATGATGCTTCCAGAAGCTCCCACCTAGTCGATGGGGCTAAAACATTCAGCTACTGGCTAGCTAGTTCATGTACCAGGCCTAACAAAATTTATTATGGTTGCATAATACATCATGTACCGCGTACCGGTATCCGGTTGTATCCGGTGCTTGTGCTACGGACCCATCAGTACCACCGTATGGTATGGTGCCCCAACATGTACTATGATAGTAGCGGTTGGCTACAACAGCCAGAGACGTTTCTGTAGCTAATTTTGTGAGGGCTTTTTAAAAAATTTGGGTAATCCGGTCGCCTTTTGGAAGTGGGGCGATGCGTTGGGGCACATGTGCCATGGTCGCCACTTGGTATTTTATTCACGAGCTTTGCACCAGTGATGCCATTTCGAAGAACCTCTAATAAATCTATGAAAGAAAGTTTCATATGAGCTTAAATCAAGGCTTCTGAATAAATGACTGAGTTAGTACACTTCATTTAATAGTGGATCAGTTGAGATGACTTCGTGGCGGGAAAGTAAATCCGCGATTCGCTGGCAGCTCACATTTTCATTTCTATTTATTTATTTACTAGATTTCCGTCGATCCTTTTGCATTGGACGTCATTTCCCACCAAGCAGCAACAACAACAGATTTCTCGAGTATCACACTGTGCTTGTTGTGTTGTTGCGTTGCTGTTGAGTAGACAATGCTATGGACTGAGTGACTGTTTTATATCCATCTATCTATCTACAGTTCTACCTCTAGCTAGAAAGGCGGTATACCCCTTGAAAGCTACCCATATCCACATCCATTATCTTGAGAACCATGAAGTCTCCAAGCTATTCAAGCTACATGTCTGCAAGTTCTTATCTAGGAGCTTTGCTGTGTTTTCTGCATGTCCTTTGCTTACCAGTGGAAGTCTCAGGTACTGGACTGGGAGCTTATGGTGGCTCTGCTGTGACCAGTGCTCCCAGTGCTGAAGTTATTACTGTTGGCAGTGATACTACTAGTGATACTAGTGGTAGTGAAGCCAGACTGGACGAAGACGTCTCTTCGAATCGAATTGTCGGAGGCACTGAAGTCGAAGACGGGGTAAACTTTGAGTACCCATGGTTCGTTTTCCTTCAAAATGGTTGTGGTGGGACCTTAGTCTACCCAGATATCGTACTGACGGCGGCGCATTGCGACGTTGTCATTGGCGTGGAAGCTCTAATGGGATCCGCCAACTACCTGGAATCTCCCACGCGAATTCCAGTTGCTCAGAGAATCATGCATCCACTCTACGACGACAACTCTTTGGGAAAGTTCTACGACGTGCAATTGCTCAGGCTAGAGTACCCGGCTCCCTATGTTCCCGTAGAAATAAACGACGAACCGTCCATTCCCACCAATGGAGAGTCTCTCAAAGTACTAGGACATGGATGGATCACGGAAGATGGAACCAATGGAACCTCCACGCATCTCAGGGAAGTTGACATCAACTACATTCAAAATTGTCTCTCCCCTCCCTACATTTACGGAATGTCCGCCTTTGATTACAACAGTCACGTACACATGTGTGCAGGAGTGCCGGGGGGAGGCAGGGATTCCTGTAAAGGAGACTCGGGAGGACCTTTGTTAGATAGAGATACCGGGGAACTCGTTGGAGTCGTTAGTTGGGGATATGGTAAGCTATTGTATCATGTCATTGCTTGTATCTATCCATCATGTCATTGTATCTATCACCAACTAAGCATCCATCTTTCTATCTTTCTATCCATCAATCTTAGGCTGCGCCAGATCCGAGGCACCTGGAGTCTACGCAAGGTCTTCCACCATGTACCCATGGATTTGGAGATCCGTCTGTGACAATAGTCAAAACGTGGCCAATGGAGATTGTACTCCGGGATTCTTGAACAATCTCGCTGATGCACCCACTGTGGCACCCTTACCCACGTCTGCGCCAACCAAGTTTCCCACACAAACACCCACAACACTATCTCCAACCACATTATCACCCACCACCACTGCAAGTACCATGGGAGCTCTTCGCATTGAACTATTGCCAGATTCGCATGGACATCAAATCGCATTCACGCTATATCGGGTCGAAGCCGGTGGCAACAGAATACTGTTACAAGAACTCACTGCCGGGACCATCCCGTCCACCACGGATGGGGTCATGCGACGGTACATGTACATATCGCAAGACTTGCCATTTGACAACGAGTTCGAATTCAAACTCAACGACAAGGAAGGAGATGGCATCTGTTGTGACGAGGGACCCGGAGAAGTGCAAATATACGAAATCAATAACGACACGGGAGAAACCATGAGTCAAATTCTATCCACCACGGGAGAAAACTTTGGAGAGGAGTACGAGGCTAACTTTCTACTTCCCAGCGCCCTCGGTAGGTAGTATTGCGTTGTATTGTATTGTATCCAGCCAAACCAACAGGCAAGCAAGCAAGCAAAGAACGGTTGCTGGGGCTGCAAAGAGAGAAAACCACGATGCTTGTACGGTACAGATACCTATGCACCGCTAACAAATGGCAGGTAATGTCGTGTATCGTCAACAGCAAACAAACAAACAAAACCGCCCTGTTTCGAAGAATCCCTTCCCTCAAAGTCACAAGGAAGGGGGGCGGAGTGCACGAACTCTTTTACATGTTCTTGTTACATTAGATTTTAGAACACCTATAACTCAAATATCTTCGTCATACATGTACGTGTCATAGCCTAGCTAGCTAGCTAGCTTGGTTAGTCATTGTCGGGATTGGGCTAGGCTCGACGTGGCATACTACTCGTACCACAGGTACTGAGAAAGGAACAAACCGGCAGTCCCTTGATGAACTCCACGAAGTGAAAGTTTGTTGGATGATGCACGCCGTTGCTCGAGTCCTTGGCATGGACTACGGTACCAGGTACACGACAGCTGCAAGCCACTTGGCGCGTTCAAGAAACGGTACACACGGTACCTCCATGGTTCGTTCACAACTTTCGGGTTGGTTTCTCCAAGAAAGTACGATCATAGAAGTGGGAAATGGATTCTATCAAGGATCAATGAATTTGAAGACCAAAGAAACACAACGTGAGCCGAAAAGACCAAAGAACGAAGTAGCCCGCGCAGCTCGGAAAATGGCAGAACCTCCCGCAGACAATCAATTTGGCTGTTGCCATCATTCGTTCAAATGGTCGTTGAATGAATCCAATCCAATCGCGATGCACCCGCCCATCAATGGCAGACAATTAACCCACCTAGAAAACGTAAATAGATAGAGACTGTGTGTAATCAGTGCCTCAATGCAACACGGTATGATATGCCAGCACAACATAAAAAAAGGCATCGGTGTTTTTGTACCGGTGTCGCCAGGAGCGAAGCAGAGACGTACATGCAGATGATTGCTAAGGGAAATGTAGGCACTGCTGGAAAGACAAAACCCAGAGTGCACATGATCCATGTCAGCGACCCACGGTAAGATTTTAGCGTTGAATTGGAGCGACTAGCTGAATTGCTGTCAACGAGACTTGAGTTCAGTAGCATCCCGAGACCATCACTGTATTCGGTTCAAATGCGGGTAGCGGGGCCCTTCGTGTAGATGACGGCCAGGGACCATGAATATGTCAGGGTACAATCTCCTGCTGTCTCGATAGAGTGATGTAAGCTCCTCGTGCTTGTACCGCACCGTCTGCCTGCTGCCTGGCAGCACATGTATCCATAAGGGGGCTTCGAGACCAAAATGGTGGTTCACTGCTACACGGTCGTTGGTTACTGCATGGATTCATCATTTCTTTGCGTGTAGTGTCTTGTCGGTTGTAATCTTTCCTGTCTGCTAGTACCGCACCTTCCCTACCGCCCGCTTGTTCTTTTTGAATTTTGAACGAGGACCTCTGGATGCAACAATATCGTCGCCGAGCTTTAGCAAACGGGTCCCTAACACACATCAAAGAAGCCACCCCACAACATGTACGATCTATAATCTATTCTCGCGCTACTGGGATCTAGCTATATACTAGTGCAGCTGCCCCAACTTCAGTGCATTATCGCTGGTGATCTCGTGGCAACCGGTACTCTCGTTTCTCGTGCAAGCCACCGCACTAGTAAAGCCGCGACAGCGCCACCGGTAGCTAGCTAGCTAGTACAGTCGTACTGTACGGTAGATCTCTGGCTCTAGAGTGGTACGTACCGGTACCTTTGTCGAGCAACCAAGATCCTAGATGTGTGAGTTGTCATGGGACCAAATGCTGGGTCTTGCTTCCATTATCACCAAGATGACGCTTAAAGCCTGCGTTTCCCTGTACGCACATCCACTCTAATTAAGGCAAGAAAGAACTTAGATGAGAACCCGCATGAGCCAGTAATGGACTCGAACGAAGACGGTCGCCTAAATCTTTCGGAGTGGACAGGAGTGGGGGAGAGACGCAAGCGAAGCTGTCTTGCCTCCATTATCAAACATCACGCCATTTAGCCACATGTAGCTAGATCAACCGGTACCACAGTACTGGTAGCAGGTCAGTAGTAGTACATGTACAGCTATCTCTTCATCCACCGGAACTACAGCTCACAATTTGGTTTTGCAAGTCAACACCAAGCTAACCAATCACCAGCTTTTCGAGCATACCCGTATCACCAACGAGAATATGAATCATTCCTACTGCTCGTTCTTCGACCAAGAGATCTCCCTCGGAAACGAGCCTCAGTTGTCGGTTGCCTTGGATCAAGAGCCCATGAGTCTGAAGACTTTGTTTGCAAACTCTGTACGTAGAGGACGCAAGCATGAGGATCCAACCGTTCCAACCAAGATTCTTGAGGCCCCCTTGCAGAAAGTTGTGGTGGCAAGTGTGCCTTCTGAAGATGCTGACGAGGAAGTAAACGAAACTACTACTAGTACTGGTACTGTTGGAGCACCGCAGGGTGTTTCATCGAAGCGTCGCAAGCCCCGAACTCAGAGTGGTGAATCCGCCAAGCGCTTCCACATTCAATCACCCAGAGAGAACTTTATGCTTCAGAGAACCGAAAGTGACCGGAGGATAGAAGAGAAGGCCACTGGTATGAAGTGCAAGGGTTTGCAGAAAGACCATTTGTAGAGGAATGCTGTTTGTCGGATTCAATCATGCCATAAGAGAGAGCACGGGACAGCTCAAAAAGTGGCCGAATATTGCGTCTCAACAGGTTTGGTGGGAACAAAGTGGAAAAGTGCTACCGGTATGTACTGAGTAGAGATAAACAACCAGCTAGAAAGCAATTTCAGCCAATGCCAGCATATTCTACTGGGGACCCATATCAAGTCCTTGGCCACAGACTACTGAATACCTACCGAACACCTCCACAGCTCCAGTAGCGGTAGATCCACTATACTTGCCAGCCACTACAAGTATCATACTTGACTGCGGGAAATACACGAGCCTGACCAGGCTCGTGGGTTGTCCTCAAGCGCAGCTTGTCTGATCCGTTTCTAAAAAATAGACTTTTATTTATTTTTGCCAGGACCCCATCACAGCGCAGTGCTTGACCGGCTTTGACGCTTTGACTAGCCAATCTCAGTGCAACCGTAACCCTAACAACATCATCAAAGCGAATCGAATCATATGGTACGATCAAAGCGACATGACGTCCTCTGAAACAAGAAGCCCCAACAGACACCAACTGACCTCGAGCCCTAAAAGTGTTGATCTTCTGTATCAGCTGGTTCTTCCAGCTTGTTCCGACGCACGTAAAAGAACATTTCCGGGCGCCACGCAAGGTTTGCGCAGCTGTCTCCAGTCCCGATGAAGGCCAAATTAGCGGTATGGGTGTCGCTGATGAGGCTTGGTTTGTACTCCTTCCCGGTACAGTACTGAAGAGCCTGTATAAAGTGATTGGGGCTGTGGCTGCTGCCAAGGAAAATCAAGAAGAGGCCTTTTTGATGACTTCCGGAAAGAAAAAGAAAGCTTGCTCAATCTCCATTGGTTTAAAAAAATCGATTGAAGTTGACGTGGAGCGGCAAGACTTCAAGTCTCTAGGATTTTTTAGCAAATTGTTCTGAAGAACATCAACCTCAACTGCAAAAGTCGAACCTTGAGGCCTGCAGGCTCGTTCACAGAGCCCGGACGCAGATTTTGTACCAAGGGGAACGTTGAATTGACGTATTGCCCCTTCATAAACAGAAAGAAAAGGTGGGCTTGACATCAATTTGATAGTGAAAGTGACTACCGTGTGAGTCAGTCGCCGCAGTACTAGTATCGTGCCGTACGGTAGTACACGTACATGGTAGACAATGATAGACAAAAGTTGTAGCTGGCAGCTGAGCCCAACCAAAGCAGACCGATTTTTTGCTTCTCGTCGCACCGCAGCGAAAGCAGACCAACTCTCACCTCGCACAAAACCAGACCAAGTCTCACCTCGCACAAAACCAGACCGAACGCTCCATTTTCTCTCTTTTTCCCTCTCGAACAACATACTGACCACCGACGACGGGACGGACGACAAGACTGTGCGACAAAACTGGACACAAGCCTGAGAAGCATCATCATTGGAGCTTTGGTACCAGTACCTGGTACCATTGATAGCTGCAGCCGACCTAAGCTCCAAGCTCCAACTTGTAAGTCTTCTACTTGGCTCTTGTATACCGGTACTCTTACTTGTACCGTAGTCTACTTGTAAGCTGCTGGCTGGAGCCGGGCTCCTTGTTGTTCTTGTTTTTGTGGTCGTGGCATTGGCATTGGCCTGAACCAAAGAGTCTTAAGATGGAAGATGGAGCTCTCAGTATCTATCTATCAACTATACGGTATACGGTATATGGTATGGCTGAACTTATCTAACTTTCTGTTTTGCTTGTTCTCAACCCACAGACAAGAGGTTGACATAGAGTACAAGTAAACAAAGCTATACCGGTAGGCTCTCATTCATGATGATGAAACGACCCACCAGCCCCACTGAAGGTAAGACATACTCAGATTGGCTCTAGACAGCACCTGGCTACATATAGCTAGCTAGCTTAGAGCTCTTAGCTATGCCTGGCTGGTACTGACTTAGCTTAACTTAAACTGATCTCATCTCATCATCTCATCTTGTCCACCTTATTGTTTGCTGCTACCTTTCCTGCTTCTTGGTCTTGGTCTTGGTCTTCACTCTACTTCCTACCGGCAACACCAGTGGGAACAAGCTCCAACAGCAGTACCGGTTCCAACAGCTCTAGTAGCAGAGGACCCCTCAAGAAGAAAATCAAAAGAGAAATGGATGCCACTACTACTATTGCCCAAGCACCCAATGACAATCAAGACTTGAATGGACTTCAAGACAATCGATATGCACCCGGACCTTCACCTGGACCTTCACCTGGACCTTCACCTGAAGCTGCCACATCCTCAAAACAGTATTCATCTGCCACCGCCAGTACAACTGAACAAGAGTCAGCCGATGATGCTGATACAGGGTCCACCACGGGAGTCGGAGGCACCAGTGCGGAGGAAGACACACCCGCCGTGGCACCTCCTCCTCCTCCTCCCTCAGCTGCAGCGGCTGTCACTGCCGCCTCCTACGAGTACATGTACCGTGGCGGGGGCAGGATCCGATTGCCCGATAAGCTCATGGAATACCTGAACAAGCAAGTCCTGCCAGACATTCTCTGGTGGCATCCAGACGGTGAAGGATTCGCCTTTGACACGAAAAAGATACAGTCCACCTTCTTGGACAAACACTTTCGCGGGACAAAGCTGGCTTCATTCATTCGCAGTCTCAATCGATGGTAAGGCTTGTCGATACGATCCAATTCAGATGCTTCATGTTGGCCTTCATGACATGCCCTATCACACGCTCACATCAACGCTTGTCTCTCTCATCTCATTTCATATCATCCATACAGGGGCTTTCGCAGAGTATTCTACCATTCTTTGCCCAAGAATGCCCTCTCCTTCCACCACCCCTTGTTCCGCAAGGATCAACCACATCTTGTCAGGGACATGAAAATGGTATCATACACCAGCACCAGCGAAAGGAAGGCAGCCGCAAAGTCAAAGGAAGACGAAGCCAAGCAGCAGGATTCACCAGCAAGCAGTCGCAGCAACAGCCCACCAAGCATGGCGCCTGCCTCCGCTGGGGTTCAGGAACAGGTACAAGTCAGTGTACAACCGCAAGCACAAGTCAGTGTACAACCGCAAGCACAAGTACAGGCACAGGCACCGACAAGTCTACTGCCACAGGCGCAAGCAGTTCCACAACTCCAGCAGCAACAACAGCAGCAACAACAGCAAAACACGCAGCTCGCTCAAGCTCAGGCAATCCTACAGGCGTCTGGATTGCAAGTGTCCCTCGACGCATTGGTTCAAACCATCATGACCGGGGAGCAGCCAGCACCAGCGGCTCCCTCGCCTCAACCACCCATGGTCGATCAGGCACAGCTCATACAACAACTTGCGGCCATGCAACAGCAACCGCAGCCAGCACCCGCCCCGCAAGTGCTATCCATTGATCAGGCTCAACTCATCCAGCAAATTGCAGCCTTTCAACAGCTACAGCAGCCTGCGCCCTCCCCACAAGCGCCGTCCATCGATCAGACTGAGCTCATACAGCAGATTGCAGCATTTCAACAGCTACAGCAGCCAGCACTCTCCCCACCAGCGCCATCCATGGATCAGAATCAGCTCATACAGCAGATTGCAGCATTTCAACAGCTACAGCAGCCACAGCCAGCACCGGTGCCTCAACCGCTGTGCGTGGATCCATCACAGCTCATGCAGCAGATTGCCGCCATTCAGCAGTCACCATTGCAGCCGCATGTCAAACAAGCTCTTGTCCAAGAACTGGTGGCCGCCAGCCAGCAAGTGCAGCAACAAACCCTACATGCACCGCCCCCCGCACAGGACCAATCACAGCTTATCCTACAAGCTCTGCTTCCTCACTTGCAACAGCAGCAGCAAAACCAGGCAACCACATCCACAAATACCAATGCAGTCTCGCTGGCCTCGACTGGCGCAGTTGCACAACATAGCCCCTTCTTGACAGCAGTTGCGAATGCCTTGACCCAGGCATCCCCAGTGCAAATGCTCCAAGTGTTGCAGCAGCAGCAAGCTCCTGCACCGGCGCCCGTTGCTGCGCAAGGACCTTTCCGTTCTTCCTCCCCCCCAAACTCCATGCTGAGCGCGTTGCAGAACGCGGCCGCGGCCCAGCAGCAAGATGGTCAACAAGTGCAAGCGCAACTCCAAGAGCAGCAGCGTCAAACGATTCTCCAGTTGATGGAATCTCAGCAGCGTCTCGGTTCATTGCAAAGTGGTATGCAAGTGTTGACAGCTGCCCGGCAATCTCAAGAAGAGACGAATGTCAATGGAAACCAAATCGACGGCGAAAACAGCGGCAGACCCGGTGCGCTTGGCTGAGACGACATTTATTTCGATTGGGTCATACATTTACATTGTGCATTGAATTAGTTCAGTGCTCCTACATGGTTCTTATTCCTCCGTCTTCCCTGTCCCTGGTATACGTTGCTTCGAGCTTCTCAGCGGAAACTATATCTGCAGTTCATGACATTACACCAATATACATAGATGCTTCTACACTTTAAATTTTTCTTCTTGGATTTTATCTTTGATAGTCGTTACTTGATGGATGTTGACGGATTGCAACCGATAATGACGGCCGGGCAACCCTAGATGTTGTGTGCAGTCACGTGCTGGACGCTCTATCAAGGAGTGCCTCGATTCGAGTGTCCAACGCAAACCCCAAGCGCAGCTGGTCGGGCTCTTCAAGCTCAATTGGCACTTCTTCTCCCCGCTTCCGGGCCGCCGGGACTCAGGCTTTCTTCTTGCCTGTTTCTTGATGGTGGCTCTTGCCAGCCAGAGATCCGCCTTAGAGCTGGAGAAGCCAATCGATATCCAACGGTTGAGCACTTGTGTCGACTCTTGGCCTCTTTATCCACTTCAAGTTGCAGGGAGATGCAAGTGTTGCTATGTTTTGGTCTTCAAACTCGAACGGGCAAGCAAAGAAGCACGGTTCAAATCTAGTTGAGCCTTGATTCCGTACCGGTAGGCATTTGCTCTGTTTCGGGTGTTGGCTTGTACCGGTACCGGTAGGCATCGGGCAATTGATCTCCCGTTTAGAAAAGTTGACCGTAGCTGGTTGCGGGCAACTTTGGCGTCAGGCTGCGTCTCAGGGATATTCGGGATTGGCTTCGGGGGACTTGAGTCCGACTCGACTGACTCGACTGCCACTCTCCTGCTACTACTAGCTAGCTAATAGTACTCTGCTACTACCGTGGGACCGTACTGGAGAGCTAGACTGGCTAGCTCGAGACATACATGTAGATTGTCGCTCATTGGCAAATTCAGTCTCCGTATTGTTTCTGGCTGAACCAACCAGCTGCCTCCCAACCTATTAATAGCTACGGGGGTCAATGGTCAAAGACGCCGAGCCATTTATTAGATGCGGCTGCAGAGACACATTATTACATGGGGACCAGAGAATGATCCAATACTACAATTGCCAGATAGACTACTACCGTAGCACCAAGCTTGCACCTTACCCACCCAACTATGTAACTATGTATGTTTGCTACTTGCTACACCCATACCGGTAGCACCCACACTCTCAGTAGTCATTCAACATCCAACAGCACAGCAAACCAGAGCTGCAACCCAGTACCGGAACTACTGTACCATTCGACTTACATTCATCAGATAGATCTATCTTTCATCCATTGCAGATGCCAGTGTTTCAGTGTTGCCTGGTTTGCCTGGTTGGGGGTTTGGGGTTTGGGAGGTGACTGTAACCATTCGGGTCTGCCAGCTGGTTCATTATTAAATTTTTCTGTCCCAGCTGTTTCCAATGCGACGCGAGGATGGCAGAAGGCACTCGGAGTAAGACCAGTCTTTAAATACGTGAAAGAAAAGAATCCTTCTTTGGGGATCGCTCACAATGGCCTTTCTGATCCAACTAGTGACCACTTAATAAATTAATTAGAGTACGCTTAGAAATATAATTAATGTCCTGTTTTGAAGAGCAGCTGCAATGACTACAAGTTCAACTGAGGATAATAGGGATGAAGAAACCAGTTTCTCTCTACATGTACTCCCCTTCGGCTTCTCAAATTTCAGTCTTCGAATCTCAACATCCAACGTGTCGTATTAATTTTTTTAATTAATTTTCAGTAAGCGCGGTCTGCGGAAAGATCGCTTGAAGAAGAAACAACCGGTACTAGCTAGCTCTAGCCAATAGCCAAAAAAAGAAATCCGAATGCCTGGCATGCATACATGTACCGAATGGTTACGCTCCATCACTCCACAAGATCTAAAGTGTTTTGCTCTCATAATCTGAACTTGGTTGCACCAAGAACAGGAAAACAGTGAGCTGATAGCTAGTTGCTGCTGGGTAACCTGGTAGCTACCTCTCTAGCTAGCTAGCTGTAGTGAGCCATTCAAGGGTGCTCAGTTGACTCTCATAAAGCTATCTATCTTTAGCTATCTATCTAAAGCTATACTATATAGCCATATAGGCAGCTATCTATCTTATAGCTATCTAAAGAATGAAGAAGGAAAGATCCAATTCCTTGGTGAGCAGTGGTGGCAAGAGTGCCAAGAGTGCCAAGAGTTCCAAGACTACTACTAAAAGTTCCAAGATTGGTAAAAATGACAAGAGTGAAAAGAGTGTTACTACGAGAACCTATGATAGTGACAGCAGCCTGAGTGTGAATGCCCGTTGGAGTCGAGTAGAAGAAGGAGTGGAACTGTTTGACGAGTTTTTGAAGAGTAGCGGAAGCATTTGTTTGCCCGCTGATTTCCGTTGGGCCATTGCACTGGAGGCTCGTCATTGCTGGACTGGTTGTGCTGGATGCCAAGAACTCAACCAAGGCAAGACTTGTGAGAGAAATGGATCTGCTTATTCTCTCCTCAAGTCTGTCACGCACACTTCTTCTCCTGATCTACCTTACTCTGTCACTGATAGAGCTAGTTGGGAAAAGGTCAGGCTGCTGGTGCACACTGCCATCAACCATCAAGCTAGAGCTGAGCAGCATTGGTATCAGTCGACCATCAAGTCTCTCTCCCATACTTCCATCATTCCCAAGCACGTTTACAAAAGCAAAAACACTCCTGCAGCTTCAAGCAGTAATAGTGTTGCTAGTGACAGTGAGAACAGCACTGATGATCAGGACAGACACAAACTTCTCATTGCTACACTCTTTTCAGAGATATTGGCCACTGTCATGCTTTCTCATGTCATTCATGTGGTTTACAAGGCCAATGGCTTGCAAGCACCTGATCTCCCACCCTTTCAACTCATTGAACAAGAATTGGAAAACAAGGACACTCTCAAGTGCACCTACCAAGATGTTGCCACTGCTGGAATGATGCGCAAGGGAAAGACTGTACGATGGCCTACGAAAGACAACAAGGCTTCTCATGTTCCCATCATCATAAGCAAGGACATTGACGTGCACAGTCAGGCTTGGCAGGCTTTCCCCAAACAGACCCAAGAATATCTCATGGCAAACATGCTAGACATGCATCCAATGTCGGGACTCACACTTTGCCCCGCCTACATGGCTCTCTGTGGCACCATTATTGGAGCCAAGATTGGATTGCCCGAAACCATTGGAGCCACCCCCTGGAAAACACTTGAAAAGAAAAAATACTGTACCCAGGGAGGATTCACAAGAGCCGATTGGGAACTCGTACAAGCTGTCGTGGGCGAAGCCTACGAAACTGTTTTCTGACAGACATTTCATGCCTCCGTCCGGCTAGGGCTGGTCGGAGGTAAGGCGCCACAATCCAATCGAGAATTGCTCCTCGTACTATTGTGCCAAACGCTCACGGCAAAACCACTGCAGAGTACCATTCTACAAAATGTCGTCACTCGATTGCAGAACGAGTTGGGAGACGCCACGCTTCTCGAAGGCGCTTGTGCCTTGGCATATGCCGAAGCCTATGGAAAGGTTACTGATCTATCCGGTCTACAACCCATCCCAAAACCATTTCTTTACATCATGACAAAAGTCATCCCCGTGCTCAAGTACTTTTCAAAAGACTAACTTTCCAGGCAAAGCAACGCAACTCAATGCAATGCACAACGTTCGTCGATGGGAACAATGCAATCGCGTGGGGATCACGTCGTCGTCGGATGGATTGATGAAAGGATGGGTCGAGCAAACGGGGAACAGCGACCACTAACCAAACAAAAACTACACGGATTAAACAAGGACAAGGACGGGACTTTTGAGCATCGACGTTACAATGGACAGCGAGACGACACAATCAACGAGAACGCAGCCAATCGTCCATGCACCGTAGCACACACACCAAACATCTCGATACGCTTGTGAATGACGGGATCTTTGCTCCGACAGAGGAAGAATCTCTGAGAGACAAGCTTATACGATGTATGGTGTGGTTGAGGAGGCTGCGGTGTGTTTTTCCTGGGAAGAGAGTTGGTGAATGACGAGACGAACCTGATCTTTGGTCTTCTCTGAAAACAAACTCTACAGGCATCTGGGTGGTGGTGGTGGTGGTGGTGGTGGTGGTTCTGGTCCCATCGTGATGGAGCAGCTCATCTACAGGCTCGATAGTGAAACGATATTAGGTATTCTCTTACATTTTACAAGAACTTTTTTCAAGCTCTCTCCAAGCCTATCCCGTTCAACAAAATCGTTTTGCTGGCTGGGTGTATGCTTTTCCATGTCGCTCCCTCCTCACGATCGTTCCCATTCAGCTGGATTGCCTTTTCCATGCAAAGACAGTGGCGAACCCCAAACAACCTGTATCAATCGCGGCATGACATCCCGAAACCCTTCCCGTCATGCTGCGATCGTTGTTCGCTCTTCTGTCTTGTTTTGCGCCAGCCAGGTCCACAGGCATGTCCAACAAGCCACATCATTGCTTGTCCTGGATGATCTATCAAGGCAAACACGGTGAGAAACTCGATAGATCTTCTTGGGCTGACTCGAGGATGAAAAAAGGAACTGAACTGAATCGAATCTGCTTCACTCTCGTAAAATGGAAGCGGAAGATATCCTGGGCTTGGGTGAGAGACCACCGGCATTCTGTCGAGTGCGTTCGAGTTGCTTGATGATCAAGCATCACGTTGTGAAAGCTTGGCGAGTTTATAGAAAGTGGATGTCGGAAGGCGGAGTTTAATTACGAGGTGAGTTGCTTGTGACAAATGACGTGTGGATGATGAAGATGATGATACAGGAACGGAAAGAGGGGAGAAAGGGGAAGCAGTATACGACTGTATCAGACACAAGGAAACATTTATGCAGAGAGGGCACAGGAGGTGGTATTGCATTGATCAACTTGCTTGATTGACTAATTCATTCAATCAATCAAATCAAATCGATCGATCCCTTATGCCTGCCCCATTGATTTCAATACACTCTGCAGCTTTGCTGTGATTTCACCCGCCCGATAAGACAAAGATGTCGATACACCCGCTTGTGGTGCTGCTGCTGCAGCTGCTGCTGCTCTTGCATCTGTGGTGTGGTTCGTGTTGGTGAGCTTGGGTGGCGTGCCTTCTCCATACTTTCCAGGGCGGACCAAGGTGCTTGTACAGGACTGATTGCAACAGTGGGGTGGTGCGGCGATGGAGAGCAGCTTGACGGGATGTCTGAGGTTGTTTTGGGGAGATGATGGTCGCCTGCTGCTTTTGTTTGAATGTTTCTGGTTACCGTTGTCTCCAAAGCCAGGTGGTCCGTTGCCATCTTGCAACTGGAGCTGTTGCAGTTGTTCCTTCTTCCTCTCTTCGTTGTACCTGTGGTAGTTATTGATCCACCGTGCCTTTACCAATCCCTTGTTACGTCCGTTCTTCTGTCCACGTTGTTCCGTCTCGAGCTGTGGCGTTTCCCTTGCGGTGGGACTGACTTGCCTTTGAGTTGGTGAACGTGAAGGTGAACTTTTGCGTTTGGTTTGTTTGTGTTGCTTTTCATGACGGTCTTGTCCGTGTTCGTGTCGGCTGCTTTCCGGTTGTTTGTTCTTGCGTTCTTTGTGCTTTCCTTTATGTTTATGTTTTTGCTTGGGTTTGTCTTCTCTAGGACTTTCTTCTCTGGGGCTGTCCCGGTCTCTGCTGCCGCTGTAGTCCGACGGTGGTTGTTGCTGAACTTCTCGTACTACATGCACTGCTTCCTCGTCGTCTTCTGGTTCGCGTCCACTTTCGTAGAGACATTCATACGAAACTTTGCGTTCCTTGTGTCCCGGTCCTTGATTGCTTGTGGTGACGCAATCTTCCTTGAGGATCCTCACTTTAGATGTGGATTTCTCAGCTGGTGGTTGAGGTGTAGTGCTGTTCGTGGTGATGTTTGGGTTTGCCTCGCGGTTACCGGAACGGTTGCGCATGATTGGTTTAGTGGAAATGACGAGCTTGGGTGCCTTCTTACTGGTGCGGCAACGACCCATCCAGATTGCCTTTTGCCGCACTTCACTGACGTGCTCTCCATAGGACGGTTCTTCCTTTTGAAATAGTCCTTTCACGCTCTCCACGATCTCCTTGACCGCCGTCATCTCCTTGAGTGGCTGCGTGACGGAATGATGAACATGATACAACTCTTCGTTGCACTGCCACTCGAGCTGCCTGTAGGAATCGGTCACCATTGAAATGCAGTTGTTGGAGGAGCTTGTAACAATCGTGGGTCGACGGTTACGAGCACTGCTGGAAGAGGAATCAGTGCCAGCGCTGCTGCTCAGAGTCGTAATGTCGTCCATCTCGAACTCCGCATTTCCATCTCGGTCGACCCAATGAACGTCGCGCTCTTCCTTCTTTTTCTGAAAGACTCCCACGGGCCGAGTGCCCAGAGAAGCAAAGCGTTTCGGCTTCACAATCTGATTGTTGCTTTCCGCGGCCGTCATGGTCTTTTCTCTATATAGCTATCGCGTTCTCTAGCTAGCTGCTTTATAGCTAGTGGTGTTCACTTGGCTTAGCTTGTCCTTTGTCCTACTACTGGTAGTACGTGTATTATTAAGGTGGATTCCAGTTCCTCGATTCCTTCTTCTGAGTGAGTGCGCAGCAGCCATGCATGCATCGAGCCACCACTACAGTGTGCCAGTACTGCATTGAGTGCGGAGTGCCACGACCACAAACTGTCAACCCTGAACTCAAAACGTTTCCTTTGTCCCTCTTACTTTTGCTTTTGTCGCCCAGCGAAACGCACGCAACTTAAGCAACCTACTTCACCAGACCGGTCTTGAAGCACCGTTGGCTGTCTAAGAAGGACCCTATAACTTACGTTCGTTCGATTTCTTAGGTCGTTGGAAACGTGGTGGGGCTCCTCGAAGCTACCAGTATAACTCCCACGCCCCAAAATTATGTTGCCAAGATCGGACGTGCACCTCCGAGCGTTGGCTCGAGAGCTCAACCAAAAAGACAGCAAACAAATGACGATGGAAGGACCAACAATGCTTCAGCACAACTTGACATATGTATACCTGGTACTGATAGCATACTAACTAGCTGCTAACTAGCAGCTAGTCGTAGCTATAGGAAGCAGCCAGTGGACAATTTGATCAGCGGAGGAGTGAGGATAGCATGGCTTGCCTTTGTTCTAGTTTTATTAGCTTTAGGTTAGGTACACAGCTCTCTGTTCAGGGATACCGTAGCTAGCTAGCTACCCTGGTCAGCAGCGCCCCCAAGATACCGATACCAGGTGGAGCTCACTGCAGCTTGTTTTCGTTGGCTTTGCTCCGCTGTCAGCGGTACTGTCACAACCGGTGCTTCCGGAGCCGCACGACATTCGTGCCTTTGGTTTTACAAGGCGTTGTGTTGAGCCGGACCAGCCAGCTCCTTCACGCAAGCCAGGCAAGCTCAATTTTGCATTAGGGTTAGGGAACCTACAGCGACAGCCCATAAACGACACATTGTAAGCCTCATTGTTTTGTCTTGATCACCTCTTCTATCCGCGTACCGGTATACATCAAGGCAGCTCCTTGGTTGCTTCCAGCATTGCAAGTTCCTTGATACAAGACGTCTTCATATGCGTAGCTCTGTACTATCCGCAGCAATCCCACTAGATCAACCGTCGCTGTGTTTCTTCGCCTCGGCCCCTGGTTGTACCAGCCGCACATAGAAAACCAATGTCATTGGTTCTGACCAAGCCTGTTTCAGACTGCTGGACTGGGAAATTTGAGAGATACTTCTTTTTTCTCAAGCAGAATTCGTTGCAGGTAATACCCTTCAATTCCATTGCTCACTGCGATCATCCAGACAGACAGCCAGACAGCCAGACAGATACCCCACACTGTACCACCGTCTTATTCTGAACAGATCTGTTGGTCCTTCGTTCTTGGCTTTAAGCAGCTTTTAGGGCGGGAAGCAGAGGAAGGAAGCAAGCAACAATAGTGCAAGCCCCGGTATTGCTGGTGCAGCGGTCAGGCGAAGTCAAAGGTATCCTCCCATTATCATATCTTGGCGAAAATAGCTAATCACCGCAGCCACTACCACGTATTTGTACCCGCTTGCAATGATCAAGCATCGCAAGGTACCAGTGAAGACTCGAGAAGCAGCTGGGCAGCACGAGTACACTCAGAGCATTCCTATTGGAGGAGACCTACATGCACGATCTTCAGACCAACCGAAGCAACGTGGACTTTCCATTTTGCGTGTTTCAAGCCTCCGTAGCTCGGCTCCACAACATCCAATGGTTGGCTTTGCAGTCCTCGTTCTATTCAGCTGCGGGATTTGGATCATGTGCAAGGATACCTTCCAAATGACTGTCACTCTATCTTCTTTTCAAGGCATGCAAGGAACTCAAGCGGCTTTGTCAGTGGGAGAAAGACCACCTTTGCCGTGGGAGTCGCACCCACCGGATCCCATTGCACTCGTTCCTGCAGGTGCAAGTCATCCTGTGACTCAGAGACGACATCGCTGTATTGCAGCCATTCAAGAAGTTCAATTGTCAGCTCTACGGTCATTCCTACCTGAACCTCAACAACATGATACAAAGAAAACGTTGCTTCTGATCGATCCCGGATACCATGCGAATGTTGGAGACCACATGATCACCGTAGCGGAACAGGAAATTTTCAAGCGTCTGGGGTGGAAAGCAGAAGTAGAGGCATACAGCAGGACTATGCAGAAAACATGGCAAGGCAACACCGACCCACCAGCCAAAACGAGTTCGGAATCCCACTATCTGGAATGTCATTACATTCAAGCTGCAGAATTGGTGCCGCATTGTCAAGACGTAATTCAGGCAATAGCCCAACAATCCGCAACTCCGCAGCAGCAGCAGCAGCAGCAGCTACTAGCCGTTTGGCACGGGGGTGGGAATTGGGGAGATTTGTGGCCGAGTGTTCACAGGGCTCGTTTGGAGCAATCATTTCAAGCTCTGTTGCGAGCCAACTTTTCTGTGTATGGTATGCCACAGAGCCTCTATTATCGCGAAAAGGTAGTGCAAGACTATGACGCTCGTCTTTTGAAACATCAGATACAAAAGGGGCTGCTAGGGCGGGAGAAGCCCTCACCAGTGATGCTCACCTGGCGAGAGCATGAAAGCTTTGACCAGGCCCAACAACTGTATCCCTATGTTCAGCATTCGGTGCTTCCTGACATTGCTTTTCAGCTGGGTCCATACAACTGGCGGGACTTTGTCCAACCAGCAGAGACACGGGCACAAGTTGACTTTCTGTTCTTGCTGAGGAGAGACCACGAGTCCATGATCTTGCCTCCCCAAAAGGAGGCAAATGATGACAATGATGAGGGTGAACAAGAACATGGCGGGGCATTAAATGCAACGGCCATGGCCGAGCACATACGAAATGCTGTGAATTTGGCCATGGAAAAGAGCGGTAGCCGCGACTCCTTCCAGTCATCTTTTCGAGTTGTGGACTGGCCCGATCGATTGCACTTGTTCCAAAGCAAGGATCCTTTCTTTACAAAGACGGCTATTCAGCTTCTTGCAATGGGTCGCGTCTTGATATGCGATAGGCTGCATGCCGCCATACTGGCATTTTTGACAGATCATATTCCCTTTGTCTACTTGGATCAATCGACGGGGAAGATTTCGAAGTGCCTACGACTGGCATTGGATTCAGCAGGGAACGGATGCAACAGCGGCAACTCAGCGCCTGATGCGCTTGGGTTTTCTAGAGCTGACAACTTGACTGATGCAATCCAGAAAGCAGGTCAACTGCTCAAGCTGTCATGAACTCTCGAGACCGCTACAGCAAGTAGACAACTACAACAACCTACATCGCCGGCTCACAGGAATTTAAACTGTCATGTGTCATCTACATTGGTCAGTTCTTTCTGCCCAGAGAAGACGAAGAGGGTCAACAGATCTCATCGTTGCGAGTTCGGGGGTCCCACATCGATGCTGATGTCCGCTGGATATATCCAAATACTACACTGAATTGCAATCGATATGTTGACTCGAGGTGCATTCTCATTGATCGCATCCCGAACCGAGCGTTCCTAACCTCGTGAATCGAAACCAATCGAATCAAGCTTGGACGCATTGTGAAGCCAAGAGCCTCTTCTCTTTCAATGTTTACCTTATTGTTGGACCCATCGGCTGAACAATAGATTAACGCATTCCACTCATAACAAAACGCAGCAAAACAAGTGCATCTCGTATCCAAGTTGATCGGTTCGAAGGTGTTGCGTCGCGGCGGGACGCTGCAGTACGGCACGAGCAAGCTATATCATCTCTACTAGCTAGCTGGAGGGCACGATTAAACACCAGACAAGGCTTGGTACACCGACTCGACTCGACTCGGAGCGACTGTCACTAGCTAGCCTATAGCTACGGTAGGGCCGAGCAATAACGTCGACCAGAGACGAATGGAGCCATACTGTATTAGTGCTTTTGCCTTCCACACGAAAGTGGCAAATCTGGCTGCCCCCCGCCCCCCTGGAATCAATCAAATCGAATTCAATAACATGGTCCTGGTAGATTTGACAATTCCGTTGGCTGATGCGGTGTGAAAAACGTACGGCAGGCCTTCAAGGATACGAACGGTACGGTAGCAAAGTGCGCCAATGATAAAAGCACCTCTATACTGTACCGGTACTGGTAGTGACATTTTGAAACGGGATGGTCCAACCCAATAAACGGAGCCACGGATACCATAAGGAACAGGCGGGCCCTTGTCATGGATCAATATTGGATTTTTTTCAATCGACGGCGGATCAATCGACGTAAAGGGTAGAACGCGGGGTTGTCATTGTCATGGTCCACTCGTCCATCGTACATGTACGTAACGTAATGTAACGTAACGCAACGTGAGACGCGATATATAATGCTTTGTGAATGGGGGCCACTTGGCAGGGATTGATGTGGCCGGGCATGAGCTTTTTGATTCGATGCGAATTGGATTTCGTTGTCATGGTTGTCGTGGTGTTGCCTGCCTGCCTGATCATGAATTGTTTCGGTGTTGATTTTGATTTTCGTTTTCGTTTTGATTCTGATTCTGGTTGTTTTCCTGTCCTGGTACTGGTACCGGTCCATGTACCGGTGCGAAAACAGGTACAACTCTGACGGGTGGTAGTAGGTGAAGGGCTCCCATCTGTTGTATGATGACAATTCGTTGCCACATTTCAATAGCGGGTGTGTCTGGCAATCTGAATGCGAGTTCATTACTATACCTGACATTGAGTAGCTGTTGAACTTGCAGAATCATGTTTGTTCTCGCTGTTTGTTCATTTGGTACCTTGAAAAGTTCATCAATGCGATTTCCTTCAAAGCCATCAATTTTGAATCCCAAATGAATTGTTTTTTTCATGTTGTCTGTACATAATATTATATATATATATATGATTGATAGCAAGGGAAGGTGATTGTGAGAGGCATGCTTCCGCAATAAAAACAATGATCAGTGTGACGGTGTGTCACTCAAATATTTAATTTTAATTACAATTGAACCTGAACCTGAACCTGAGCCTGAAGCTGCACGTACCTGTCATCCATTGCTTGAGTAAACCGAGGGCAACATTGACAACGGTGGGGCTATAAAACAATTCCACATCATTGAGAGGGGGCACTCATGACAAGGCAAAGATTGTGGATGCACATGTAGCAACAACTTACCTGTTGAACATGTATAGTTCCTTGTGCCGTTTTGGGTAGCTCGTGTAGAGTTCATGAACGAGTTTTGAGTGAAAGTTGAAGTCAAAGTTTTGAAAGGACGATCCTTGACACTCGAATAGGTTTGACATTCCAAGCCTGATGGCATGAAAGTGAGGACTCATGGCTTGGAATCTGTAGTAGGATCCCTTGACAAAAGCACTCCACTTTTGCGGTGTATCAACTTTAGCTGGAAAAAAGGAGGAGAAATCATTAATGGCCAGAATGTTTCCAGGATTGGGTAAGTACAGGAGGGACACAAAGAGCCCTGGCTGGAGTTGCGTGAGTTCCAGCATGGACTGAACGCCCTCTAGCACGGTTTCCTGGATTTTGTATTCTCGTCTGAAAGCCTGCATTCGAGCAATGTGTTCCAGCACAGCGGGCATGGGATCTCTGGTAGCAATGACATGGGGTTGCTGCACTCCAGTGGTTGGATGCGTAAGAGCGTACTGCACGTACGCAAAGTCAGACAAGTTTTCCAACTCATCCGAACGCTCCACTGCTTCTTTGATCGCCAAAGCTCGATGAATCTCCAGCAGAGTCAACTGCATGCTTTGCCCATCGTTCAGCTCCACATTCACATCTGAGCCAGAACCTTCATTTGCGGGACCACCTGGACCTGCTGGACCTTGGTCTTGAGCTTGGTCTTGAGCTTGGTCTTGAGCCTGAGCCTGAGCTTGACCCAAGAGATTGTCCATGGTATAGATAGATGGTAGATAGATGAGACAACCTGAGCTAAGGCGAGCTTCTATTACTACTATACCGGTACGGTAGCTATAGCTAGATAGGTAGGGATGGTTGTTGCGACCAACAGTTCGAGGTCAGAAATACCAGTATGCGTTACGCGGGAACCAAAAATGAAATAAAAATAAATGAGCAAGATCGAGCGGATCGACACAAGAGACAATGGATCAACACGGTGCACAATAGTGACCAAACGGTTATTCTTGATTTTATTGATTCTTGATTGCATTTCATTCAGGTGACGGTGGCAGACACTAGCTCTTTTATTAAGATACACCACTCAAGGATTTATTACATTGGAATGGCGAACATTGCCGAAACTGCAAAGGCTTCCTCAATTTGTCTGGTTGTTCCTCACACGGAATACATGCAGATGATAGAACACCGCCACGCCTGTCAACCCGACGCAAACAATAACATGGGAAGGTTTATTTCAAGCCTGCTGCGCTGCTCCCACACCTCCGATCTTCCGCTCTTCACAAAACGCAGCATTTTGAATCATTTTTTCTATTTGTATCTACATTCCACTTGTATCCATCATCTGTCTTGTTGTCATTTAGTTGTCAACACTATCAACATCAACATCAATCATTGATCAGATGTAGGATGTCTCAATTCAAACGAGTAAATGACATCACCCTGGCTGGTCACTGCACTCAGTTTGAGTGGCTGATGTCCCAGAGCCTTCTTGATATCGTAATCACCGTACATGGGCACTCGAATCTTTCCAGAGCCATAATCCACTGCCTCATCATAAGAATGAAAAGTGTAGACATGATCTGTGTCATACTCGTACTGTTCCGCCTGGGCAGGAGATGACAGTTGCTTCTTGCGTTTATTAATACTCAAAGAGGCAAACTTGGAGCCCAAGTAGCCGGCCACATTTTCACGGATTTCGGTACCCATCATATCGGGTTCAGTGCCGGGTGTATCGATGCTCACAGACTGGGCTGTGCCGGCATAAAGAGCTACAACGCGGGGTTGGTCCGATACCAGGTCCATGATAATTCCAGGGGCCATGCGTTTCATTGCCTTGTCCATCAGCTTGGCCACAAAAGCGGGCGGTTTCTGAGCCAGAGGACGGTTGAACACGGAGCCAACAAAAACGTCACTCATTTTAGCCTTTTGCTTGAACCGCCCTTGGACCACTGATACATGGTGATGCATAAAATAAATATGAAAGGAACATAGATGTGAGATGCCTACTGTCCTGATGATGGACCTACTTGCCTACATGCACAGGGCGCAAATACGTTACTTTACTTACCAGTCTGCATCAACCGCTTCTTGTGTTGACCAAAATAAGCGTCTTGACTCTCGGAATCACCATTCCCTCGGAATCTTAGCAGGATCTTTCCTTTGAAGAAGGGGGTTTCAAATTCAAAAGGGACCCCCAGTGGCAACGGCTTGGACATGTCGTGCCCTAAAACTTGAGTACCATCTGCTGCGTGGACCATGACACCCTCAGTAGCCCGAGCATTCGATTGCACTTGCTCAGTTTCCACTGAGGGTGGAGGTGGAAGGACGGCCGTGGATGTGACTTGCAAGGGCGCTGCGATGGGGGCAGCAATGGTGGAAGCTCCCGTCAGTGGTGTGCCAGCCATCAGCAGAGAAAAGACAGTGGCAAGGGCACAAAGGGTGGCTTGGTTGTATTTATTGTAGATCTTCATTGTGTTTGCTTTGAGGATTTTTGGTTCTTGACAGTTGTTGGCGTTTTTGAATTGTGAGGAGAAGCCCAGCAGGAAGTTCCATTGTTGGCATTGTCAGCAGCCTGGACGATTCTTGACATGTTTGGCATGCCCCTCTTTGCATCTCGCTTGTGCGTGATGCATTTCCTGAATACGGTAGAATATGCCAAGCAGTTTTTACGGGCCAGCCGTGCATAAGGACGACCTAGACTATAGAAAATCGCGTTCTGAGCTTGCTGTCAAGCTGTTGATGTTCCTGTACCAAACAGGTCCCTCGCTCTTCCCTCTTGGTCATCAGCTCGGCTACATCGACTTGACTAAGTCTTGGTCTACTCTCGGTCTTGGCCTGTTCTTATTCTTGGTTTCGCGCAGACCGGTTGTCCGCTGGTACCACTTGAGCTTAGCTAAGTAATGTACAGTGTACCGGAACCGTAACCATTACTGGATCATCCCCGCGCAATTTTGGTTCTTACGGTTCTTGTTCTTACCACTCTCTGCGATGCGAACCTGCGTAAAATTTAGACTTACTATTTTATTAATAGTACCGGTATGTTCTGGCTGCATTGTGAATTAGACGGCTATTGCAGCTCTGCTATGGTACGGAAGTAGGCTTTAAAGCCTTGCGTTCTCTACTTCATGTACCGGCGGAAACAAGGAGTAAAAACTGTGTAATCATCCTGCACCCGAGCAGTGCATCCATACAATGTCATGTTCAACCGAGGTGTTCGACTCGACTGTCGCTCTTGGCTCACAGTTGGCAACATAGATAGAAGTACGGTTGGCACAGCATTCTTGTGTCGGAACGAACCAGTCTGCAGCTCCCACGACCGATGCATGCAACCCACAGAGTTGTAGGGTCGTGGCTAGCATCGCTTGCGGCCAAGTAAAATGACTCTCCATTGATGAGGGAGTGACTCAGCCATCCAGGTACATGTTGTACAGTGTAGTATTGGGGTGTCTGGGCTGATGAGCGATGGTTATGACACCATGGCTCTGAACGGTTTTGGTGTTTTGTTCTTGGTGGCTTCCTGGCTGCTGGGATAGCTACTAGCTGGAGGAGGCTCAGGAACCTTTTTTTTGGCGGGCTATCGTACCATAGCATCATGCAACCTTCCTTTTGGGATGTATGATCATGCCAAGAATACCCAATGAGAAGCGGAAGCTGTCTATGATCAAAGAAGGAAGAAACTATAGGCTTTAGTTTGGTTTCGGTTGTTTAGTTTAGTGAATAAGAATTGATGTACATAACATGTTCCCTTGTTGGTTCGCCTTTCTGTCTTCTTGGCTGCTGTTTTTGCTGTTTTTGCTGCTCTGGCTGTTGACTGTTGACTGCTTACTGTTTTTGAGGTTCCTCCTGCAGTTGGTTGCTCTGCTTGTCCAAGATGCTTCCATTGACGGTCTCTTCGTGCCAGATGCGGAAGGAATATAGAGTTTCTCCCGCAGAGGTGACGGCCGTCAAAGACAGTGGCTGTGATCCAATGGCAGGCTTGATGTCGTAGTCGCCATACATAGGGATGCGCATGGTCCCTTGTCCGTAGTTCATAGCATCGTCGAACTGGTGCAGTGTGTATATTTTATCGGTTTCAAAGGAGAATTTTGCTGCCTTTTTTGGGTTAGCGAGGTACTTGCGCCGCTTGGCAGCGGTGTTTACCTTTTCTGGCTTGAATGTTCCTTGAAGGGATGCTTGAGGATTCAAGTTGGTTGCAAAGTGTTCAGGAATGTCAGCCCCAGTAATATCAGGCTCCTGCCCAGGGACATCAATTCTCATAGTCTGTGCAGTTCCAGCATAGAGAGCAATGACCTTTGGTTGTTTGGAAGCGAGATCCAACTGTACGCCAGGAGCGACACGTCGAATGACAGCGTCCATGACCTTTGTAAAGTAAGGAGGAGGAGCTTGCGCCAATGGCTGATGAAAGATACTGCCGGCCCATAGGTCGCTCATTTTGATGCCAGTCTTCTTGAACTTTCCCTGAACCACGGTCTGCATCAGCCTCTTCCTCCCATTAAAATAATTTTCGTGTCCCGCCACATCATCTGATTTGGCCGTTCGGAACCTCAGCAGCATTTTGCCCTTGAATAGGGGGGATTCAAACTCAAAGGGAACACCCAAAGGCAGAGGCTGCCCCTCCTTTAGACCAAACACGTGAGTGCCTTCGCCTGCTTGAACCATGACAGGACGGTGTGGCCAATCCATCACGTCTCCAAGGTCAATCTCTGTTTCTTCAGGAACTTTCAAGCCTTGCAAACTGCCTTGCAAACTGCCTTGCAAACTGCCTGCAGGTGGCATTGGAGAAACAGCGGTAGAAGCAGAAACTGTCATGGTGCTGGAACTAGAAATTGAAACCGTAGTGAGAGTAAAAATAATGGTGCTTGCGAACTTTGTCAAGTTGGATAATGAGATCTTCATTGTGCGTGAGCTGCAGAGCAGAGAGGAGCAATCTTGGGCTTTCGTGTTTTGGGCGAAAGAAAAACTTGTGAGAATGATTGCATCCATTCTATTCAGGCGTGCTGCCAACCAGTTCAGGAGTAAATGACTCACTCGACTCAAAACACGTTCCAGCGACCACAATACTGGTACTACCGTACCAGTTCTTCTACGCTACATGTATGTGTATCAATCCATCCATCAATCACACGAAAACGTGCCAAAATTGGCAACTCCCACCATAAACCGTACCGGTACTCTCACCGCACCGTAACCAGTTCCGCTTGTGAGCTGGGATTCTCATTCATTCCTCGATTGGTGGTGCGGCATCCGGATTCAATCTGTTCTCAGTTCTAAACAGCAATAATCCAAGCGGTAGATCACGGGAACTGTATATTAGCCAATGCACTGTTTGGCTCGTGGCTCCACTCTTGCAAAGGTGGCGTCCGGCGCTGGGAGCTGAAGTTGTGATGCAAGGAATTTGCAAATTCAGTTGAGGAAAAGGAAGCAGTTGAAGAGAAGCCCACGAAGTTGGTTGCCCGCTGGATGCAAATTTCAAAGTCCGACACACTCACGCACTCTCTGCTTCCGAAACTTGTTTATGGTACCTCTGTTGTCCCGATGCCATTCTTCACCTCACCAAATGCCTGGTTGTTCACAAGCCATGCATGGCAGTCGCAGTGGCAGTGGAGAGATACCGGTAGCTGGATATAGCTAACGTAGCTACCGGTACTAGTTACAGTACTACATGTATGTAGGCAGTACAAGAAATTAGCTAGTAAAGGTTGCTTTGTGGTTGTTGTGTAGAAAATACAAAGCAAACTCTAAGAAACTGTAAGGAGAAATGGATTTGACAAGTTTTGCAATTCCCCCTGAGAGTTAACAAGAAGCTCGATGTAGCCACGGCGCCAGGTATCGGTATACCGGTACATGTAGCAGGAAGATTCAGACGATCCACGTCGTGGAAACAAGCGTGGAACCGAGACAAGAGGAGCGCCCATGGACGAGCACGGGCTCGCATGGTGGTACCGGTAGATGTCGTTCAGAGAAAAGACAAGAGCGAGCTAGCTATTTTAAAAGTGGCTACAAAGTTCCAACAAAATATATAACCAGACTTCCTAAGGCATTAAACAGCGCTAGCTAAGTTCCTCCATTCAACCGAGGCAGCCTGCAGCGCGATGTCGTGGTCAATCGTTTCTTGTTCTTGTGTATACTTCGTGGTTTCCTGGTGTGTGTGTTGTGTATGTACTCCTTGAATAGAGTGTATGTATGTCATAGTTTCTTTCTCTGTGTCCATCCGATATCATGACTCCATTGATCTGATTGCTTAGGCACGGCAACAAACAGCGTTGCCCGTGATCTTGCTGGAGTCTTCGCGATCGTTGCCGCCTGTTCCAACCGAGGTCAAACGGATTCCGAACGTTCCAGTCTCTTGCTGGGTGTCGTCAATGTCGTCGGTAGTGATTCCACTCACGACAAAGTAGGTCAAATCAATGTCATCCTGGCGGAGCCCACGAGTTCCAATCTCCACTCCCACGTTGTAAGATTGTGGCTGAGTGTTGCCGCCTCCCGTCATTCGCACGTCATTGCTAACCTTGGTCACTCCGTTGGCATCAATCTGCATGTCTCCAACATGAGGTCCCGAGATTCCAGTGATCTTGCTCACATCATACACCTTGAAGAACACACCGCGGAGATCTCCTACCAAGTTATCATCTTCCACGTCGATCGTAATGTTCACTCCACCCGCGATGTTGACAATCGACACCATCACATTGATTCCAAGACCCGAAAATGCGTCCGAAATTGGGAACTCGCAAATATCCACAATACTGATCGTCTGCGTTTGCTCCACCGAGTTGCCGCAAGAGTCGATAGCCGAATAGGTACGGGTGTATTCCACGCCTGGGGGATCTAGTGTGTCAGTCTTGGGCGAGTCGGATTTGGTCACAGTGATGGCACCTTCGCACTGATCGGCCGCAGTTGGTGGGGCACCAGCACATTCCGCAGTTTCAACAACATAACCATCGACGACACAGTCACTGTTGCAGGGGAAACTAGCCTCAGAAGCAGGGCCGTTTTCCAATTCTGGGGCAAGCGTATCGATAGTCTTGATCTCTTGGGTTAGGGTGCGGGTCAGGCCGCAAGTGTCTGAAGGGAGAAAGACGAAAGGAAGAAGCAGTGTGTGAGGATTTGACTTCACGTGCTGCTGTAGAGATGAGATTCCGATGGGGGCATGAGCATAACACTTACCTGTGCTCGACCAGTCTCTGTCGATTGAAGAAATCACTTTGTCAGCATCACACGAAGACGGGCTGGTATCCCTATCATAGGACGTAGCAGCCAGATCACCCCAACAGGCATCCCAGGCGGTTGCGGTGCCGGTGTAGCTTGGGTCGGTACTGGCATTGGGATCATTGCATTCAATCACAACATTGCCAGGCATAGTGAGGGCCGGTGGAGTGGTATCCTTTGTCGTAATGACTTGGTCCTTGGATTCAGCATTACCACAGGCATCGGTGGCAGTAAATGTGATGGTCTCGATCTTGGTGACATTATCAACACAAGTTCCGTCATCGCGAGCAATGTTGGAATCGCTGGTAACCGTCGGGACGGTGCATGTATCCGTCGCACTCGCACTGCCAGTAGGCACAAAACGTCCGCCACATTCCTGTTGGACATCACCCGGCACAGTGAGTTCGGGAGCCACCTTGTCCACAACAGTAATGGTTTGAACTGCCGAGATCGAATTGGAGCAATCGTCCGTCACGGTCCAAGTCTTTACAGTCGTGTTGATGATCTTATCCACACCGCACGTTCCAAATGTGTCAGCGAAATCTTCAGACACGGTAACATCAACATTGACATCACAGTCATCTGAGCCTGTTGCCGCTCCAACAGGCTGGAGGGGGGCACCGCACTGCTGTTCGACATTGGGTGCGCTCGTCATATCAATAGTTGGGTTAACCGTATCGACCTCAAGGATGATTTGGTCTTTCTTGACGGAGTTGCCACACTCGTCAACTGCTGTCCAAGTGCGAGTGGTTGTCTTCAAAACTCCATCAGTGCAAGCTTGGGGTTGTACCGTATCACTAGAGGAAATACTACCGGCAGGAATGGGCCCATCACAGTCGTCTTGTGCTGTTGCAGTACCAAAATCAACCGCTGGTGCTCCACACTGCTGCTCGCCATCAGCAGGAACGCTCATTTTGGGAGCATCGGAATCCGAAACAGTAATGATTTGATTCACTGCTGTGGAGGTCCTTTCGCACTCGTCTGTGCTCGCCCAAGAGCGTTGAATGGTGTAGTTTCCGTCGCAGCTGCCTGAAATTGTGGTGTCAACGGGGGTAATGGTAAGGGCATCCACGGCAGAGCAGGCATCCCAGGCTGTGGCCACACCGGTTCCACTGTCGGTTGGAGATGTGTCAAGGTTGGTGGCATGGCACTTCAAGGAAACGTCGGCTGGGGCAGATACTGTCGGTGGCTGAGTATCCTCAATGGTAATCGTCTGAGTTACAGCATCCTGATTGACATTGCCGCAACCATCATCAGCACTCCAGGTTCGAGTGAAAGAATACTGGCATTTGGGATCATCATAGGCTCCTGCGCTTTCTGTGAATGAATAAGTGATGCTTTCGGCATTGCAATTATCGGAAGCAGAGGCTGAACCAGTGGTAGTAGTAGGAAAAGCACTTGAATCCGCCGGAAGTCCATTGCCCGAGCTGCACTCAGCAGTGTAATCTGCTACAGTCACATCGGTTGGGGCTTCAGTGTCTCGCACTCTGATAGTTTGAGTCTTAGTCTCGGTTTGACCACAAGCATCCGTCACAGTGTAGGTGCGTAGTGTAGTGGAATCGCACGAGTCAGAGCCATCTTGAGTTTGCACAGAAAGAATGGGAGTAAGGTCAGCACCGCACGAGTCCGAGGCAGTTGGAGAGCCAAAGTCGTTGTCGGAGCAGGAAGCATCGTAGTCACTTGGCATGTTCAACGTGGGCAAGCCTGGGTAGGACAACTCATAGGTGACTGATGAGGATGGGGAGTCCTCCATGGTACAGTCCGGGCCTGGAGTCCAAGTCAGCATGTATTGTCCACAAACATCGCCATTTGGTGGGGTTGTCAATGTGCCCTCAAGATTGGATGTGGCTCCCTTGCAATCTGATGATGTCCTAGTAGTGTCCGTGATGACAGCGTCGAAGGAGCATCCCGAAATGGCAACAGGCTGCGAAGGATCAGAGGCAGGTCCAGGAGCCGGACTAAGGATAGGGTCCTCACAGGTAGTGGGGCAGGTGTCGCCACCACAAAGCGTTGAGTAGGTGCCATCATCGACACATAAATTTCCGCAGCAAGTGTAGGTGGAGCCATCATCGGCAATGCATGAGTCACCATCAGCCTTGTCCGTAGCCTTTACGCAATTGCCGGCACTGCACTGGTACACTCCACATGCTTCAACAGTGCCAGGGGGGTTAAGTGCAAGTGTGGGGTCACAGTCTTGTCCATCCATCGTTGGGTCGGCCACATGGTTGCCGTCACAATCGTTTCTCATGCAGACTGGAGGAACAGGGTCAGAGGGAGGGGTGCAATCCGGGCATTCACCACAGATCTTCTGAGGTTTTCCAGGAGGTGAACCGGTTGCTTTGCCCGTGGAAATGGTGTTGGTGTTCCCGTTTTCATTTACACGATTAAAGTGGACTTTTGAAAGCACAAGGAGGAAGGAGGATTTTTAGAGGCGGCTTCATTCCATGGCACTCATCCCAACAGACGGACTGTCACTTACTTTCAGTTGCCCAGTCTCCTGATTCGATAAACTCCAAGGGGCCAAGCTTATTAGGGTTATCGGATGGTTCCAACTTTAAGAAGAAGAGGAAGGAGGTATATTAGAGGGTGATTCGATTCAATTTGGTCAGTTCAACTCATTGCAATAGACAATTTGAGCTTTCTTACGGTCCAACAAGCCTCCCAACCAATGGTATCAACGCCGTCCATGAGGTATGTGACACCAAAGAGCTTGACATTTCCACTTCCAAAGGAAATCCAAGAGTCTGAATCGCTTTGAATAACATAGTCGGGACCGTTAGCATTACCACTTCCATCATCACAAGCGGCATTGCCGTCAAGGTAGCATTGTGTCAAGTAGGCAGAAACACAGAGCTTTTTGGCTGCGCAGTCATAGGCCAACTTTGCCTCAGCGACTTGGGGGGTGGTGCCGTCATTGTTCTTTCCACCATTGAACATGGGGATAGTCTGAATGTGCAAGAACGAAATTCAAGCAAGATTGCTGTGAGATCATGCAATACCAGCCAGTAAGGTACGGTAGGTGCAGTACGTACAATGAAGCCAGTAAACTCGCTGGGGTCCAGGATTTGATCAATGGTGAGTCGAGTGGACAAATCAGTGAATCCTGCACCGTCGACCAGGGTCGCGTAGTTGTACGTGTCGGTATCCGGGTTGGCACAACTTCCAAAGGTGGAGAGGTGACGGTGGTTTTGCTCCTGCCACGAAAGATGGGGGGCGTAGAAAGGATACAAGTGAGTTGCAATGCTCAAAGCGCAGAGCATTGCTGCTTGCTTGCTTTCTGTCCAAGAGGGTACAAGAGGGTACTTACGAGCTTGAGCGTGAAGGCAGAAGACGACGGAGTGGCGGCGGACTTCTTGGTGGCTTGAATGGAGGCACTTGGTCCTCCCAGGCGGCCGGCCGAAACGAGTCCGGCAGAGACCACGGCGAAGGCGGCGGCGAAAGTCAACTTCATGGTTGCAAAAGGCGGTTTCGATGAGTTTGCTTTGGTTTGCTTTGGTTTGCTGAAAGCTAGATTGGTTTCTAGCTTGCAGGATTTGCAATTTGTGAGCTTTCGAAGGGAGGATGCAAAACTAAACTTTTTCGAAACCAATGCTGACAGGAACACGAACAGACCGGTTAGCACCAAATGAAAGATACTGCCTGGATCGCTCTTCCGGATCTTTCACGCCCATCCCACCTGGACAGCCTCGAGAACATAGCCCCTGCTACTCGCACTCGTAATGTAGGCCTCAACTGATGATGTAGACTTTGTACTAAAGTAGCGATCAAAGTACCTAAACCCGCCTTCATGCTGAGAGCTGAGAGACAGGTTGAGACCAACACATACATGTACCGGTACAGTAGCTCCCCTACGGTACCAATGCCGCCCACGGTCAAACCCAAGCAAAAAGTGGGCGCCGCAAGGCCAAAGTACATCGCATTTTGTCCCGTAGGAACTCTACGGCAATTCCTGTAAACCGGCAGGGCATATTTCGACAACTTAAGTCCACCTTCTAATCATTCGTGATTGCTCATTATTAAGTATTCGTAATCTCCGTGGTACATCTCTTTAAGCAAATTGGACGCATTGGTTAATAATTTGACTACGATCCAGAGCTCCTAAATCCAAGAAAGATTTAATAAAAATGGACGTTGGGAGTTCCTCTTGCGATGCGAACTTCGAAGCAAGCAGTCCTCCGCCTGCGTACTGATCGTGGTTGTTACTACTGCAAGGAGCTCTTACGGGAGAAGTCTCTTTTTAACGATACCGCATTGTACAGAACTGCATACATTGATACAATTCCTACCAAGCGAACCAGTAGCGAGCTACCAGCAGTGCCATTATTAAAATTGTTCTACATGATGTAATACACGTAGCGCCAAAGACTGGCAATTATGTACCGGTACAGTAGCCCATGTAGCGAGCTACCAGCAGTGCCATTATTAAAATTGTTCTATTAGCGCCAAAGACTGGTTCCGCTTGAAGCTGCGCAGTCAATCACGAGTATCGTTTCTGTGAACCTACAGGATTTAGAATTCCCTCTTTCATACGGGTTTGTTTAAAGTTGTTGCCAGCAGTTTGCAGGATTAGTACTACTAGTAGTAGTTAGCCGCATTGTTACGGGTGTATTTTGAGTATACAATTTTCAGTAACGTAGGATTTATAATGTATTCCTCCTCTTGTTGGATTTAGAGTTCCGAATCAACCCCGAGTTCAACGATCTCACATCAATGTTACAGTACATGTACCCTCAGCGAAACGAGTACTGTATAGACTCAGTACTGAGTACAGTGTAAGCTTGCAAAACGTACGTCATGTTTGTCGAAGAAACAGGATTTATTACAATTCTTTTCATACATGTGAAGAACCATCGAAATTGCCATTTGTGTTCCTTGTAACGGTAAACTGACATAAAGTCCCGGGCAACATTCATCGCCTTTAAATCCTTGTGGCTCGCACAAAAATTGTAAAAAGCTTAAATACAGTTCTACCTGAGTTGGCGGAAATCAATCTAACAATTTGATGGTGCGCAATGCTGAGCCATCGATGGATCTAACGGTACCGGTACATCAGCGACAGATCCACAAGAGGGATCCGCGCATCGAAGTTCGAGGTCTGCAACCCAATGGAAGTGGCGTTAATATTTGGCATTGATGAGTACAGAGTACATACTATCGTCGCCACTGAGTTACGGAGTTGAATCTTGGATTTTCGGAAAAATTAATGGTCGTCCTACGGTACAGTAGCAGGCCTTTCTTGGAGAAAAGAAGACGTCGTTGAATGTTGAATGTTGTATTTTCGTAGGAGCAGGATTTATGATCCTCCCGAGTATGTATGCATCATTAAACTTTGCGTGTCAGAGTGTCAGAGAGGCTATTGTTGTACCAGTAACATAATGTTCCGGCACAACATGTTTCGGCTACGGTAGTCTAACTTTGCGTCGTTGCATCGTTGCAAGGTTCCAAGTTAGTGGGAAAAAGGAAGACAAATGCTGCTGGGACTCATTACGTATTGCGTGCTTGAAGAAGCCTTGAAGCACCGGTACAACCTGGACTGGACTGGCAGCTACGTTGCTCCGACATCGCTGATTAAATTTTGCTGTTGCTTGCTTGGCTTTCTTTTGTAGAAGCTCCAAGCGGCGGGAATGGATTGATTTGAATGATCATTCAATTGGATCGATTGAACCGAAGGTACCGGTGGCACAAAATAATTTACAGGGAGTAGTTGTTGTGACACGACACTTCTGAAGAACGATCACCCAACTCGCAGGAGAGGACTATCCATGACTGAATTTCTGAACTGCAAAGGCGCTTACGTTTGGCAGCAGCTTTGGCGGGGGCATTGGGATGTTGCCTTGTTGACAGAGACTCGGAGTCAATTGTCTTATCCGCGATGCAGGACCCCATTGCCAGCTCAGGACCGATACTGTGACAAGTCAACTCCTTGCCCAAAAAATCCATGTACCAGTACATGTAGCAGAAGCCGTGAGCGAAAGTATCATGGCACCACCTTTGGTTCGTGCAGGACGGAGTGACTCTCGTGGTTGTCGGATTCCCCCATTTGGTAGTGCTAGTAGCGTATGAGTTTCCATGGAAGGTACTCTGGCGTCTTTTGTAGCTATTTGGTTCGTTGCTTGCTTCTATCAGACGACTTGTCGTCCCGTTGTGTTCCACTGCCAAGAGAAAGCAGACCACATGTTGGCGGCATTGGTGCGTTTCATGGATCCAGTCATGTTGGCTTTGATCCTCTGAGTTCCTCCAGCCTACCGTACGGTATCGTCAGTGCCCGACGTGTTCATTGATTCCAGTCACTGCGCCCTTAGCTCAAGGTGAGCCTTTGGCGGATGGATCAATACCTGGGCGGCATATGTTTTGCTATGTCGTTTTTTTGTGTGTTGTCATGAGTCCCATGATGCATCGAGGAGTTGCTGGCTGAGAGCAAGTTTTTAAAACACGGCAGATTGAATATCGCCCAATAGCTTGATCGCTGGAGTCAACTAACCCCACAATCATCACGAGCAACGATTGTCAAGCCACAAGAGCTGGGTTTACTACTAGTAGGCAGTGCTAGCACGTGAACGAAGCCACGCAGGTGGTTTGAAGACCTTGTTTGAGTGCCTGGGTCATATCGAGTTTTTAAAACATTCGCCGTAGCGCGTAGACTTTTCAAAAGAAGGAATCCCTCGAAAAGGAACGAGGGAGTAACATAACCTCACGGATTTCTTTCTTATTTTCTTGGATCCCAAGCGTCAGCCCTTCCACTTCTGAAAAGTGCCACCCCCTGACCTCGAGACTATGATACGGCTCGACTCGACGCTAGTTTTCCTCCCAAACCCCACAACAAGACATGCGATTCTTTGTTGCGATCACCCCCCATAGGTTCTGTGCAACCGTATGTCTAAACTACAGTAGAGGGTCGGCCGTGATGTTTCGATGCTAGCGATGGTGTCAGCGTCAGCGTCAAAATCAGCTTCGGTCAGTTGTATTGACCGGCAGGAGAGCCATACTGGTAGAGGGAAAGGTCGGTTGGTTGGTGTCATCAGGTTGCATAGTCGGAGGTGTGGTCACGGGTTAATTTAAGTGAGCGGATTGGTCCCAGAATCAGTTGGATCAATTGTGGGTGCACCCGTGGAGGAGGGTTCAGAAGGAACACCGGAAGGAGAATTGGTGGCTGGTTTCATAGAAGGAATTGTGGAAGGTTGAGTTGACATCACTGTTGGAAGTTCCCTTGGCACACTTGTTGTTCCCTGTGACGGCGCTGTGCTAGGGGAACCTGAAGGTTTATTCGAGGGTGCTAACGTTGGTGTTTCGGAGTGTTCCTCTGTTGGAGGAATGGAAGGTGCTTGCGACATGGAAGGACCCTGGGAAGTAGAAGGAGCTTGCGAAATCGAAGGAGCTTGCGAAGGTGCGAGAGAACCTTGTGGGAGTGCCATTGCAGCAGCCATTTGCGGGATGTCGCTAGTGGGTACCATAGAGACAGGCGTCGTTGAGGGAACGGTAGGTGGGTTCGTGGCAGTTTGCGTAGGGATATTAGTCGGTGGCGTGGTTGTGGCTTGAGTAGGCGGATTGCTCGAAGAATCAGTTGGAGCACTTGTGGGTGGATCGGTGGCGGCAGAATCAGTTGGAGCTTGAGTAGGCGGAGTGGTCACAGAATCAGTGGGAGCGCTTGTGGGTGGATTGGTGGCGGGTTCCGAAGTAGGAATTGTGGGGGGATCCGTTGAAATATCTGTTGGAAGTTCCGTTGGAACATTTGATGTTGCACGTGAGGGCATTGTGCTGGGCAAAAGTGAAGGTTGATTCGTGGGCGCTACTGTTGTTGCCTGTGAGGGTGCAGTGCTAGGTAAATGCGAAGGTTGATTCGTGGACGCTACCGTTGTTGCCTGTGAGGGTGCAGTGCTAGGTAAATGCGAAGGTTGATTCGTGGACGCTACCGTTGGCGTTGTGGATGGTTCCTCTGTTGTAGTAACTGTTGGGTTTGTTGGGGGGTTGGAAGGGGCTTGCGAAATGGAAGGGGCTTCCGAAGGTGCCAGAGAAGGCTGGACCGATGGCTGCATGGAAGGTGCTGGTGAAGCTGGCGCGAGGGTCCACCCCGGAAGTTGAATGTTGACCGAACCATAAGAAAAGGCGGTTGAGTGGGTCGGCTGGGGTGTCGGCTGCGGTGTCGGTTGCTCTGTTGGTTCTTGGGTCGGTGCGTCTGTTGATGGTGCCATGTTGGGGATTTGAATGTTGATGGATACCAGTGAACCCTGACTGCTTGAGCTCCCGTTTGAGTTTCCGTTTGAGTTTCCATTCGAGTTTCCGTTCGAGTTCCCATTGGGATCGTTGGTGGTGGCAGTGCCACACATGACAAGAGGATGATCGGTCATGTCACAGATGGTATCCTCGAGCCAATCATATGCAGTGGACACTCTAGCATATACTCCTGGTGCATACGGCCTCGCACATCCTGGATGGAAAGAGCAAGCCGACAACAGAGTGACAATGACACGTTAGGGACAAGATTCAATTGACAAAAATATTTCTGTCGAGCAGCAGGCAATCTTCGGGCACTCACCATCACCCCAGGACGTAACTCCCACCTGTACGTAGTCGAAAGTGTCTGAATCAAAGTAGAAGAGCGGTCCTCCCGAGTCTCCAAAACACGAGTCGATGCCACCATCGTCATGTCCCGCGCAAAGGTGTGCACCAGTGGGTTGTGGATGAAGGTAATCGTAGCCCGCATAGACGTATGGTTCTTCGTCACAATTTTGAATATAGTCAACCTCCGCTTGTTGCAGAGTGTCGCTGGGTCCCGTGAACTCTCCAGTCCATCCATATCCGATCACATCTAAGCGTTGGTTATTTCTGGGAACGCTTGGACTGTCATTCAATCGCACTGGTTTAATGCCTTCCACAGGTTCCTCTAGCTTGAGCAGCATAAAGTCATAGAATTCTCCTTGCCCTGGGTTGTACTGTGGATGTATTTTGTAGTCGACAGGTTTAGCGACCACGGTGTCCCCTCCACTGTCTTCGACTTGAGTGGTATTGAATGAGATTCTATCTCTGAGTCTCGAGTCCTCGCAATGTGCCGCGGTGAGAACAACATCCTTGGCCACCAGCGAACAGCCACAACCCCACCTGCAGCCGGAATGGGACAATTTGGAGAAAGAATGTATGAGCTACACAAATACAAAGACATTTACATACAGACAGCCCCAACAACCTAAACTTACCACCAGTCCCCAAAGAAGTTGTACTGCTGTGGGTCCGAAACACTCCATCCTCCCACGACTTTTGTGACAACGGTGGGACTACTAGTACTGGAAACAGAGGGACTGCTGCCAGCGGTGGCTGAAACGGTGATCTCAGGAGTAGCGAAAGAGGATGGACTTGCAGTGGGACTGCTAGTGCTCGTACCGGTACGAGTGCTACTAGTAGCGCTAGTAACTGCCGTACTAGTAGTTGTGGGGCTTGTCGCGGTGTGGTTCTTCGGGGTTGCGGTCGTGGAGAGTGACAGTGACTCCTCCGAGCCGAACCATCCTGCCGTGCCGACTCCAATCCCGAGCACGACTGCTCCAACCATGAGGAGGAGGACGCAGACGCCAATGACAGTGGATGTGTAGTGGTTCCGGTGCCTCCTTGTAGGTGTCAAATCGGTATTGATGCTCATAGTGGTAGAGTCGTTGGAGGAAGCTTCCTCGAGGTCCATCAGGGAGGAGGAGGAATTCGAAGTGTAGAGGGTGATGGTGCTGTGCATGTGGCAGCTAGTACTACTAGTATGCATAGCATCAGTAGAACTAGCAGCACTAGTACTAGTACTGCTAGTACCGGTGCATATCGTGGTAGCCTTGCTAGACACAGCCGGCTGCTGAAGGGGCATGTTGGCGTTGGCGTCATTGGTGGAGTAAATGTTCAAGGTTGAGTCCTGATCATCCGTGACTCGTTTTTCGGCGGCGATGCTCGTTCTTTGTGTGTTCATGGCGCTCTCGCTCACAAGAAATTGATCTTTTATTCTTGACGACAAGAAGAGATGGCAACAAGGAATAGCAACAGCAGCACAACTACAACAGAAACAGAGAGAGAGAAGATGAGAATGAAGCGCTCATTCAATCTTCTATCGAACTACGGTTGTATTGTGAGGTTGCGTTGTTGATGTTGTTGGCTCGATGGTAGTGATCGTGTGTTGTGTGTTGTTGTTTGTGTGATCCCAAAAAGTGGCTTGGTCTTTCGAAAAGCGGTCTTACTTTGGAAAAGTCACTTAAAAGTCTCTGAGCGACATCATTCCCAAGATGACCCAATATGTCAAGTACTAGTTATACGAGGGTCTACGAAGTGCTGAATGACCTGGCACACACTAAAAAGGGAATCCAATCCCAGGCATATTCAAGCAGTTTACCGGAAGTACAGTGCTGCGTACACAACAGTTCAAAGTAGCACTGAACTGGTGGGAGTCTCACATAAAGACAATAGCCTCACTGGTTGTGCTTTATGTCCAAGGCTAATGCACTGGACTACTAGCTAGAACATGTAAGAAATAATGAAGCGATGTTACGTTGATACCGCTTGTGCTTTGGCGAAGCGAGGTGAATTTGATATCTAATAATTGACATTCCAATGCCACTTTACATGCTAAAGACATATTATTATGAGCAGAACAAAGCACAGGTACCGGGTACTGGTACCTACTGGTATGATAATATATATGTACATATTATGTTCCGGTGCTGAGTACAGTACTCTATTGTTGCAAGTAAGTGCTCGGAGTACATTCTTGCGGAAGAGCCAGTACCTGGCAGGGTAAGACGCAAGAGCGACTAAGCTGATCAAGTACTGGAGTAAGTGTTTATGATGTCATCGCCAAAAGGCAGAATGGTGCACCTGCACTTTCCACCCATGTCTACTACTAGCTAGATGTGACCACAAAATAATGACTCCCAGATCCCAGTGGTCTTGCTGGTTTGCTTTGCACCCTGCAAAACATGCACTGTTGACTTGCGGAAGCAAATTTAATCATTCGATTGTTTACCCCGAAGGCCGAATACAATCTACCGATACCAATGGAATGGAAGTCAAACAGCTTTCGCAAGCTTGAAAGTACTTCAATAACCCCAGCCTTCATGTAGTCTTTATTCAAGAATAGAATGACCTTTAAGCCCATTAGAGCTTGAGTTAGCGTGAAGATTCCCGCGATCTTTGCTCGACTGGATCTTTGCTCGACTGGATCATTGGTGGACTGGATCTTTTGTTTCAAGATGCATGCAGCAAATCCCCATTATTTTTGTTCTGCGCAAATTTCAGTATCATTGTTTTCTTTTTTTTGCAAGAGTTGCAGCCACACAAGATGACAGAACCTCGTATGATTGTAGCGTTTGAGAAGGACAGCTTGCCTGCTCACCTGAACCGTCTGATTGCCGAGATCAGCAGCGCAGCCATCAAGGAACGTGGCGTGTTCACGATTGCTCTGAGCGGAGGATCTTTGCCGTCATTTCTGGAGGAACTGGAAGACGCGTTTACTACGAGTTACGGCGACGATGACGAAGAAGAGGAGGAGATGGAGATGAACGAGTCCAAATGGCACGTGATTCTCGCCGATGAACGTTGCGTGCCTTCGAGTGACGCGCAATCGAACTTACGAGAACTTAAAAAGTTGCTCTTTTGCAAAACGGGATCACTTCGCGATTTGCCCAAAAACCAGATCCACGGAATCAACGAATCTCTACTCGAAGAAAGCGCCGACGCCGTCGCTCAGGATTACGAAGCAACGGTCAAGTCAGTATTGGAAAAATCAGGTGGATTTCTAGATTTGGCCGTTGTTGGATTTGGACCCGATGGACACACGTGCAGTTTGTTCCCGGATCACGAATTGCTGAAAGAAGAAACCAAGTTGGTCGCGGCCATCACCGATTCACCAAAGCCGCCTTCGTCTCGTGTCACTCTCACTTTGCCCGTGTTAAACACCATGACTAGAAACGTCATTGTCTGTGGAGCCGGATCTTCCAAGGGACCCATCCTCAGAAACTCATTCCTTAGTCTAGCCAAAAACACAGACACGCCTTACAAAGTGCCCAGAGGAGCTCTATACAAGATTCAGATGGAAGATCCGGCTCCTTATCCTTGTGCCATGGTAGCGCCCAACATTGAAGGGGTCGAAAACACCCTCACTTGGATTGTAGATGCAGAGGCAATGTCTTCAGGAGAAAGTGCTCCCTCTCCTTACTAACCTCACTTAAGAAGAGTAAGCACAAAACAACACACAAACAAAACAAACACAACAACACAAAACAAAGAAAGCACAAAACAAACGCAAAGAAAAAGCACAGAACTGTTTTTTGTGTACCAATCTACGAATTAATTGTTTCTGCCAGTTCATTCATTGGACTCGTATCGCTTTCAATTTTTTATTTTAATATCAATAATAGTAATTATTTCCTTAGTTAGGAACACCCACAATCACACCCACAGAGTAAGCTTGGAGAACAGTCAAACGAAAATTCAGCAATGTCGCAGAGCTTCTCGGGGACTCGACCACCAACAGCACATCCGGTCAAATCCAAACGATCCAAATTCGCCAATTCGGACAGATCCTTTGGCAAGCTCCCCGTCAGATTCACATTGTCTCGCAAAACAATTTCATTCAGTTGAAAGCAGGAACCAATCTCCGACGGGATGCTCCCGTACAAATTCAAGCCATACAGACCAAGCTTCTTCAAATGCTGCAGTCGGCCTATCTCACTTGGAATGCTGCCCGTCAAATTCACATTGCCTTGCAGAAATAGCTCTTGCAAATGCCACTCTCCACCATTCACAGGAAATTCCGGAATAGAACCACTCAATAAGTTATGGTCCAGGTACAAAATCTTCATCTTGCTCCACGAGACATTATCAATACTGTTCTTGGCGCCCCAAAGTTCTTCAGGAATGCTAGACGTCAGCTCATTCTCGTACAGAGAAAGCTCCGCCAAACCATCCAGTTGACCCAATTCGCTAGGAATAGGACCAGTAAACCCGCACGCACCGCCCTCGAATGTATGCAACGACTTGGCATTGCCCAGTTCGGTTGGAAGGCTGCTGCCAATTAAGGAGTTGCCAGATACCTTCAAATACGCAAGCTCCTCGAGAAGACCGAGTTCACTTGGAAGCTGACCCGAAAGCATATTCTCGTTCAGGTGCAGTTGAATCAAAGATGTCATGCTGCCAATTTCGGATGGCACGGAGGAAGACAGAATCTGCAATAGATACATCAGCAATGATCAGCACGAAAATGTGAAGATGACCACACACGTGCATGTTAGCAACAATGCACACGCACACACAAAATCCAAGACGAAGTTTTCATATTGCATTGCTTCGCTTACATTGCCTTCCAGGTAAAGGTACTGCAAGCTGGACATCAAACCAAACTCCGAAGGAACCTCGCCTGTCATCCAATTGCCGTACAATTCCAAGCCAAAAAGGTCTCCCAGCAGGCCCAAGGTGGTGGGAAGCGCTCCAGTGATGCCATTCAGGGATAGATCCATCACACCTACTCGAGACCATGCGCCAATCTCCGACGGAATGCTGCCATCTAACAGATTCTCTTGTGCGCGGAAATCATACATCTGGGACAAGAGCCCTAGCTCGCTCGGCAGTGATCCTCCAATGCCATTTGAATTCAGGCGGAGATGTTCTATGTTCGTGAGCAATCCGATCTCTACAATTGATGCACGCAGCAGAAATACAAATGAATGAACGAATGAATGAATGTGTACGAGAGACAAATAATGATGACAAAGCAGGAGCATCAATGACCGCATTTGACAATTGAGTAATCGATGGCATACGGAACGGCACGTACCGGAGGGGATGTTCCCGGAAAATGAGTTCCCTTCCAAGTAGACGTATTGCAGCTGCTTTGCCTTTCCAATTTCTGTCGGCAGCTGACCATGCAGAGAGTTGCCAGAGACGGACAGGGTTGTCAAGGCAGACAGCAGACCCACCTCGCTTGGAAGACTGCCTGACATGTTGTTGTTTTCAATGCTCAAGTGGACAAGGCGAGTCAGCATTCCAATGTGTGATGAGATTGTCCCTTCGAAACGATTGTTCTCAATGCCGTCTTCTTCTTCAAATGATCCATCATTTGTATTGTAGAGACTTAAGAATCTCAAATCTGTGAGAAGATACAGCTCGAGAGGCAACAGGCTGTTTTCCAAACCATTCTCCGGCAATGATAGATACTGGATTCGTCCTTCCTCGCCACCAAGGAGGGCCTGTAAAGTGCCATTCTTTACAATGCCATACTCCAGTGGATTGTGATTGTACCATTCGGTTTCCGGATGTTGATAGGACAACCAATGAGAATTGTTTTCCCACTTGTCTCGTGCCCCTCCCGTGGCATGGTAGAAGCAAACCAAGGCAAATCGTTGGACCACCCTCCATTCCGGGTAGGTTCTTAGAGCTGGATCTTCTAATGACCATTGCCAAGCTTGGTACTGTGGGGACATATCGGTGTTGTTTGCATAGTGAATTGCTTGTAGTGTGTAGTCTGGAAGGAGAGATTCGAGGTAGGCTTCGGATGACAAGGTAGATGGATCGGATGGACCAGTAATATTGTTGCCTGATGATGTTTGAGGGCTACCGTTATCAACCAATACAATGACGAGAACCACCCCAATGATCGCAATCAATAGGCCTAGGAGCGTCAATTGTATTCTGGTTCGATAGATTTTGTGCTCCTCCTCCTTTTGCGAGATCCGACTATGGTAGCTGTCGGTATCAAAGTTTTCTGCTTCTGGAAGCCCCTGTTTTGATGGTGGATCTTGTTCTTGAATAGGTTGGGCCACAACCAGCCCGGTGTCCTCCGTTGCAGCTGGTGACATTGCGCCTTCTTCCATATCCTTGAGTGTTTGTGTGGTTGGCGGTACGTTTCCATCTGATTCTGATTCTGATCCTGATCCTACTAGCATTTCCGGAATCTGTCCCACCAAAGAAAAGCGCAATCGTTCGGCCCGCCTTATGGATTCTCCTGGTGCTTCCGAATAGGCACCTGGGCTACCGGTGGCAGTACATGGACGACGAACACGTGAAGCTGGTGCTGCGGCACAATTGGGACTTGTAGACGTGGTTGTACCTGTATTTGGTTCCTGTTCCTGACTGGAATTATCCCTTTGGGTGGAACCAGACGATGTTGTTTCTCCAAACCGATGCTCTTGAATGCGAGCTTCCACCAATTTCAGGAGATCCAGTTCCTCCGAGTCACTGTCGTCTTGATGGTTGGTATCTATACCGGTATCTATACCAGTATCAGATTCTATAGGCAGCTGCTTTTCATTCCTTGGTCTAGTACTACATGTAGGTGGGCTCTGGGGTCTCGTAGCGGTATGCAAGGCTGCATGGGTATGGGTATGGGTATGTGTATGTCTGTGTGTCCCGGCAGTACCGCTAGTACTACTAGTACTAGTAGTTGGAGTTGATCCCGCTTCAGATTCGTGGTTTGTGTTCCTGTGTGCTTGTGCTTGTGCTTGTTCTTCCATGGCTTGTAGCTTGCGTCGTTCAGCTTGAACCTCAGCAGAATCACTACTGCGCAACCGCGCCTCCACGACCGAGAGAATGTCGAATTGGCTGCTTCCATGCCGCGAAGAATTGGCGCATGCAGCATCTCGAGCGGCTGCAGCAGCATTGGTGGTGTTTTTCTTCGTTCTTGGATTTTTCGTCGTCCTGCTTGTCGATTCATTCTCTTGCTTCTCGCCGTCTGTTGCTCTTTCCTTCCGCTCCATGGTCTTCGTGTCGATTGCCGTAATAGAATGGTGTCGGCTATTATTTATACCAGTATTAATATGGCTGTTGTTACTGGTTTGTTGTGACCCGTTGTGAGCTGCGAGCCATTGCCGGTCATTGCGCCTCTCTGGCTTGCGGCTGAAGAAACAGAATTCAATCATGCTTGGCTGTGGATTGGGTTCGGGATTCACTGTGACTCAACCAATGACAGGATCGACACTCACAGTGTCCACGCTGCGTCCGCCTTCATTGAAATATTTTCATCTGGCTTCCAAAGCTGCCTTCAGACCATCACCTCGCAGCTGCACGATTTGAGACAGTACACTAAAGGATATTGTCTCTTGTGTCAACGTTCTTTATGGTGTGGTGGTTGATGGCTTCCTGCTGATGAGAAGGAACCCGAGTCTCCAGTCAGAGGCGGGTCCACCATCTTGCCTCCTGCCCTGCAGATCTTGGTCCTTGGTGGGTTCGAAGTTGGAGCGAACAGTCTCCGGGTTCGTATGTGCCTACGATCAGTATCCCGATTCGAGGTTCCCGTTAGATGGGTAGCTATAGTCGGGCTGGAGTCTGGGGGAGAACGCCTCCATTGGTATCTTTTGCAATGACAGCAGACAGCAGTAGGTTGTCTGTCAGGCAAGGCATGTGGAACACGGTCCAAGCAGGGAGAGGGCCCAACCTCTGTTCGTCTTTCCTGCAAGGCGAAGCAAGAATGTCTGAAGCAAGCAAAGATATGGATGTGTTTTGAACTTGTTTCAACTGTCAACTACATCGCTGTACGGAACACTAGGATGCATACGATACCAAGGTCCGTTCTCTACACAAATTTAATAAAGAGACGTCGCTTTTCCATTACTAGTACAGTCTTAAAGGGAGTTGTTTACATGAGGCAGAGAGAGGACAAGCTCGTATTCTTGGAGGAAGAGGATCGTATGGCTCTCGATCGCTTCAGTGACTTCTTGCTTGGTTGCTTCTTGAACTGGCTGTTAGGGGTACCGGTACACACTGTACTTGGAGGAGGTTTGAAGAGGCTTTTGATGGGGTCCGAGTGAAGTTCGTCTTGTGTACCGATACAGTTAGACCAGTCAGAAGCTTCTCTGGTCAGAGAATTGAACGAGTTGGTTTCAGGAATGGAAGGGAGAAAGAAGGTGTGGTAGGAAAACGTTGGAAATTCCAGGTCAAGGGCGATCTGGTCTTGCGCGTCTGTGTCTTTGGCTGTATCTGGTACATGTAGAGATCTCGAGTTACTGAAGGCACTAGTAGAAGTGCATGGAAGTTTCCTCATGAGATCCTCCATTCTTGAAAGACTCAGAGGAACTGCGCCTGGACTTTCATTATTACATGCACATGTAGAACCTGCCGCGCTACTGCTATTCAGCCTTCGTCTCTTGGCATTGGGTTCCCCCGTACCGGTATGCATGGAGAGCCGTTCTAGTGCGTTTGTGGCGGGAGAACTACTGATTGGTGCTACAAGCACATGTAACGCTTGGGGTTGTGGTTTATCAGAAACAACGCCCATGGTAAAGAAACTTTTAATGATCAAAGATGGGATGATGCTTCTCTTTTGTTCCACAGACGGCTCTTGCTTGAATAAAATGAAAGCATCAAAATATGGTTGGCAAGGCTGGGAGCGACCACCGCAGCAGGTGTGAGTACCTAAAATTTAATTGGTGAAAGAAAACAGGAGACCGCAATACAAGAGAAAGCAGCCAGAAACAGCTGAGCAGGAATCGCAGGAAAAGAACATTGCCCTCTTCTTCCCCTTGGTTTTAAAAGCCTGCGTTCGTCTTCTGTGACTATTCTTTTCCATCATTGAACCCAAGATTCGTACGTCACAATAGCATGTGCTTCTGGAAGCATTAAAGGAAATGCTCACAAGTCCCCCAAAGGAACAAAAGCAAAGTAAAGGGCACGATGGTTTCTTATTCGTTGCGGACAAGACACTAAAAATACACGATGTATCATACTAGTACCAGAACACCAGTACCGTTATTGTAACATCATGTACGACTGTACCGTACTACGAGAGGCTCTTGCCCTTGACCTTTTTGAAGCAGCAGGCAAAGTGCATGTACAAGTGTAGACAGTAGACAGCTCTATGGATTATGGATGAGGATGACACCAACCCACCGCAAAAGCTACAATGCGAGTGATTGGCGGTTGAAGCCTCCTGGAATTCCCCACAACTAGCTACACCTCTTCTCTTGCCTCCTGCTACAATCTCAGTACCGGTACTACGTGCATGCAACTTGATTAGTATTTGAGCTAGGCAGCCAGTACGTTATGCGGGTGTGACTTGTGAGAGTCTTCTTCTTATCCTTTCATTGCAGCTTCTTCTGACCGGAAGGGCCTATACCGGTACAGCCACAAGTGCAAAGGTAAGGGCTGGTGGAAACACAAGCAAGCAAGCAACATCCATGTAGAATAGAAGGCCAGAGCAAGCAAGAAGGACTCAACATGAAGAGCACTTCTGCATTCCAAAAGAACACATTACTGTTGCTTTCAGTTAGAGAAACGAAGCTACAGTAGAAGTCACCTTCAGCGGTAAACAGCAGGTAGACAGCCAAAAAGCAGCCAAGCCACTCAAAAGCTCAAAAGTTACTTCCTCTGGCTGCGTTGAGGATGCCATTTTTCCAGGAGAAGAAGGGGCAAGGAAGCAGCAGTCGAGACAGAGCATGGCTTACCCTCTACTAGTAGTGTCTAGCTAGCTAGCCACCGAGGCATCATAGTTTATGTTGGTTCCGCACAGTGATTGATCATTCATCGGATCACCAACATTGTCCCTTCGGCCCACGTTAACCGTACCGGTACCCCGAGCTGAGTACAGTGAGGGATGTCCAAATTACGGTGTGTCAGAAGGTTTCTGTTCTGTTACCGACTTGCAGAACACGGAAAAAGAAGCCACCAGCCTGTAAAGGTTCTTGTGGTCCGGTTGCCTAGCCTCCATCCTCTCTTTTACCCAAGGATGAATCTACCAACTCAACTGTCTTATCGAATCCAATGCTGTGCGATCGAAGACCTCGACTGGCGAGGCATCAATCGTGTTGTTGCCTAACCGGGAAAACTGATGCTCTCTATGTACATCAGCACCATGAGCCAAATAGAGCAACCCTTACTATCAGAAGGCTACGCAGAAGCAGATCATTTGCGATCTACTAGCCAGCTAGGAGCTTGCTTTCCAGCTGATAGCCAGTTTGATCCGAACCTGGATCGTGGCTACCCACGACCTCTCCGTGTTGAATCAATCCACAGTACGTATGGTACCAGTGCCGAGATGTAGATCTCGAGGATGTCATAAACCAAAAACGAACAGAAAACACTTGCTTATTATTATAATAGCTAGCTTCTTACTAGCTACTAGCTATTAGTTAGACCATGATGAAATCTGCTACCTGTTTGCTTTTGCTCGCAGCTGGCTCCTTGCAATCCAATGCTCAGACCGCGGTAGACAATGCCCCATTTGCCGATGCACTCACGGGGGAACTCTACGAAGAAGGCAGTAACGATTGTACGTCGTCCTTGGGCGTTTCCATGGCGATGAGTCTCGTGTATCCAAGCGCCGTTAGTAATAGTGATTCGGAGCTCCAGATCAGGACCGTTTTGGGGTATCCAAGCGACTCCCAGTCTACGCTGCTATGGGAGGATGCTACCGCGAGTCTCACGTCTCGGTACCAAGGCGTCTGCTACAACGAATGGGATGGCGGTTGTCAAGGTGAAGAACCCACCGTGCAAATTGCCAACAGTGTCTTTGTACACGACGAAATCACGCTGAATGCAACTTACGAAGGAGTCGTGGGAGACTACGTGCAGCAGCTGGATTTTCAAGACCCTGAAGCTGGATCTATAGTCAATGCTTGGGTCAATCAATCTACCAATGGACTCATTGATTCGTTAGTCGAAGAAGGATCTCTGGAACCTTGGATTGTTCTCATTATCAACTCCATCTATCTCAAGGCGTCATGGACCAACCAGTTCAGCGAAGACCGCACCAATGAAGACGTCTTTTTTCCCACTGGTTTGAGCGCGGACGGTGAAACTGGTACCGGTAGTCTAGCTCATTTCATGCACAATGTGGAATACTTCCCGTACTCCCATGACGCTATTCCTGGATACCAAATCTTGCAGCACACATTTGCCGGTGGTGCCGAATCCTCCGGACTCTCCATGATTTTTGTACTGCCATTGCCAGGAACAACGCCCACGACAACCTTGGTCTCTTCCCAACAAATTTTGGGAGCGTTGAGTCAATTGGAAAGAACTCGAATGGCCGTTGCATTGCCAAAGTTCAAATTCGAGTCAGAGTACGAAGACACCTTGAAGGCGGCACTTCAAGATCTTGGAATGACTTCTCCATTTGACGAACAACTCATCAATAACCTGTGTATTCCTGATGACACCTGCCACACATTTATTGACGTGATTATTCAGAAAACAATCATTGATGTCAATGAAAAAGGAGTAGAAGCAGCCGCTGTTACAGGGATTGGTATCTCGGCAACATCATTGCCTCCACCATTTGCAACCCTTTTCATGGCAGACCGGCCCTTCCAGTTCTTTATTCATGATCAAGCTGAGAATGTCGTACTCTTTGAAGGAAGAGTGGGGCAACCAGAGATACCACAAGGCAGCGCTGCGCCTCTGCAGGCCAAACATGAGGACGCGGACTTTTGGGAAAACACATTTTTCGTCGAGGCCACGATGCCCGTGCCCGAGACCATGCCAGCCACTACGGAAGCACCCACGAATACTGATACCATGATGGAGTCTTTGAACACCACGGTCCCCGAGGATGAGGGGGGTTCCGACATTGAGATGAACAACCAAACCAATGCGGAGCAGGAAAGCACCAACAGTAGCGCCAGCATGACCGACGAAGGATCACCAGTCGAGGATACAGGTGGCACATCCACAGTATCCATCACAGACACAACAGAAGATACTGAGCTCACGTCCTCGGCCGCATGGCGTACGGATGGATTCTTGGCTGGGCTCGTAATGTTGGTGGCCTTGTACCCATTCCTGGCCATCGCGTAGATCCATGATCATTGATGGCTCGGAGGAAGTTTGAATGTTGGGCAAAGCTTGAGCTAATAAATCTCTATAGCTTTTGACTTCGAATAGGGCTCGCGATTGATTAAGCATATCATGTTATACACTAAAAACACGCTTTGGGTGCTGTCTAGTGCAATGCAACGGCCAACCAGTTGATCTAGCAGTAGGTACCCTCCATTCAACGCAGCCCATTAGAGGGCAGAAGCTTTGTAGATATGGCTAGGTGTTGGGTGGGAACCCAGTGGGCCTTGCTGGTTTGCACACTATTAGGTTCAAACCAGGCAGGCAGATGGGCTGACCCAATATGCCGCCCTCGTCGCTGATAGATTCAGAATTAACATGGCATTGGGTGGCGGTTGCCTTGACGAATTACTGGTGCAGGCTGCTCTTCGCGGATGCGGGTCTCACAAGTGGACAACCAACCTATACATGCATCAACCTTAGCAAAGCACTGTTTGACCCGACGTGTTGAATGGGCCAGTGCTCCACTATATATACCAGTAGTAGTACAAGTCTCGCGGCGTCCAGAAACTCGTCACCTGCTCTTTTACATGTAAAGGGATCCTTTCTCTCAAAATTGATTTAATGGTTTACCAGTATTGGTACATGTGAAGCAACAAACAGTCAACAATGTCCCATGCAGGGATCTACGATGCGGCTCATGGCCAAGCTCAGAAGAACATGCCCCAGCTGAACTTCTTCTCTCCGCGAATGATGGGCCAGAATGTGAAGTAGAAATTCAAGCCATAGCAATACAAAAAGGCAACCCCGATCAGAAAGTAAACGGGCAAGTTGCTTTCGTCCTCTGTACACCCTGCTCCACCCAAGATTTTCATGCAACCATACTTGTCAGCTCCAGCAACCGTAAGGAAGGTAATGCAAGTGGAATAGACCAGGAAAAGGAAGCCAGTGATCAGAGTAAACTTGGCCCAGAATGCGGACTGTTCGCCGCTTTTGACTAGCTCTCTACTCTCTTCTTTCTGACGAGGAAGCATTGGCAGAGATAGAAGGGATGAAAGATTAATCACCTCGGTCAAGACTACCAAATAGGCAAATTGACGCCTCACTTCGGGAGTGTCAGCGGCAAGGCCTAAAGGGATTTACAGAAACATGTCCTGGACTGGTAAGTATGCTGCGTAACAACCTAGATGTCATGACTTGATCACCGCAAGCACTTACCATCCTGAGAATTGAGATCAGGCATGAAGGCCAAGAACTGGTAGGCAATCACGACAGAAAGTGGGATGGTGGCATTGGCCGCGGTCGTGATGAGACTGTACGTGATTGCTTCAAAGCCGGGCTCTGAAACTTCAACTATAGCGAAAACGCTAGCCATGAAATTCAGCGTGACCATGAAGGTATCGCTCACATCTGCAAGTGACGGGCAATGTATGACGAATGAGCAAGGGTGAGATTAACAATGTTGGTGGTGCGAGGGAGAACCAGTGTGAAGAAAGTATGTGACGAAGTTACCTGTGAAAATGTAGAACCATGGGTTGCGGTAGATGTCAAAGACAATCAGCAAATAGAGAAGATTGAAGAAGGCAACCAGAAGAGATCCAATCCAGATCATCTTGCGCCATGAAAAGTTGAGGGCGTATCGGCGGATCAACCACAATCCCAAGAAGAAGATGAGGCTTTCCAAAATATTCAACACTTGGTTCTGCAAGGTCGTGAGTCCAAGCCACACAAAGTTGGCAGGGGTCTTGGCAGCAATGAAGATGTTGAAAGTAATGCTGGAAACCATACTGTAGAGCATGACCTGCCAAACAGCTCGTTTCTTCATAGTCAGCCAGAAGGATGAAGCAACCTCTCTGATATTCTTTCGTTCTTTGCGCTCTTCCTTGAGGGTAAAGTAGGAGGGCACACTCAAGAGGTTGATTGCAACAATGATCCAGACATATTGGGGAATGGTCAATCCAAAGTTGAACTGGGCGGCATCACACTGCATGTAGCACCAGGTATCAGGGTTTTCTTCAAAAAGATCGTTGCGGCTCGTTACAGTTTCATCGGTGGTGCAGGGAATGCTGGAATCAGTCTCGAATCCAGGGCAGTTCACATGAGGTCCCGAAAAACCAATGATGATGATAATGTTGATGCAAATTCGTCCAATTTCTCGAACAATGTAAATCAAGGTCTGGATGCTTCCGCGCTTCTTGTCTGGTTCTTGATGAGCAACCCAAACCTAAAGCCGAGAAGAAGTGAGGTCAGATATACCTTCCCTGTAAATTAAAAAAAAATGCTACATGTGTAATGTCTTGAAAAGCTTACCATCATTCCGTCGGCAGCAACGTCAGCTGCTACGTATCCGAGATTGGCCAGGGTCAACATGATGACAAGACTCGTGGGTGACACGTCTTTTCCCATGGAAGCCAAGACCATGAGAGCAGCAGCACAAAGAATCCACTGGAGCGAACCGTAAAATGGCAACATGTTAGCGAATGATAAAGGCATCATTCATTGAGCTAAGTGAATCGAGAAGTATGCAACTTACACCAACGGTAATATAGGGCTTCCACTTTTGTCCATAGATGGGGAGGCAGTCGCAGAGGATTCCAAAGAAGATCTTGAAGGACCAGAAAACGGTAACCAAGGAAGCCGCAGCAGTGAAGAATGCGGTGTCGACCCCATGCTGGATAACGAGGACAGGGTACAAGATGGAAACACTTCCAGCGTAAACTACTCCTACGGAGAAGTAGTTGATTGGAATTCCGATCAGCTCCTTCGACCAAGGATTGAGTTCTTCCTTCTCCTCGGCACCGGCTTCCTCGTTGTTGTCCGCCTTTTTTTGAATTTCCACGTCGTCCTCGCTGTTGCTCTTGGATCCAGCACTGTAAGACTCGGTCACGGATGCCGCATCGCCTTCAGGCTTGGAAGTAGTGCCTTTTTCAACCGAAAAACCGTCACCCTCGTATAGCTCGCTTTCCTTAATCTTGCCCTCATCAGCCAATTCTTCGCTGCAGACGCTGAGCACGTCATTGGCAGTGGTTCCGGGGAAGGTTCCGTGTACTTGGGTTGTCATGTTTCGGTTCGATTTTTGCCGTTGCAGTTATATTGCTCTGGATTGTGCCTCGTGTTGTTCAGTGTTGCTTTGCTTCCTTTGCGTTGTGCGCTTCTTGTAATGCAAAAGATCGCTTTGTGAGTCTGAGCCTTGGATAGAACTAGAGCAATCAATTCACAGATGGGAAAGAAAATGTGACCGTAGGAGCTCAAGCAGCAAAAGATCTCATGATCACAAGTTGGATTCGATGGTGCTGGTACCGGTACACCGAGCCGAGTGAAAAATCAGTCGCGCAACAGCTGCTGCCACAAACGAGATAAGACCGCCGAACGATTTTTTAAAAGAGACAGTCGCTTTTCCTTGACGAGGGGTGAATTGTTGTTGCCCTGAGGAGGGGTCGTGCCCCTCATTTGCAATCCATTGGCTTCCAAATTTTAGTCCCTGCTGCGTCACAAACTGACTTTCGTCAACAAGACTATTGATCGAATGCTGTACAATGCCGCGGGAGTCGTGATGCTGAGGAGAGGCATACGCGCGGGATTTTTGAAATTGAATTCTGCCCATCGTAAAAAGAACATGAAAGGATCCGGGCCCCGGCTAGCTAGCGTCACTGATACTGGCACCTTGCTTTGGATCCGCTGCGATACCGGTAGCTCTCAGCACATGAGAGATAGCAAGGCCGATTCCGAGTCTCAGTCCGATTCCCTGTGCCCTTGTAATCCGTATACTCGTACTTCGACATGCTTTTGCTACACTAGATGAGGATCTCCATGGATACCAGTCCGGTTGCAGCAGTGGCTGTTGCAGGGCGGAAGCATCGAAAGCAAAACAGAGCATCTCTCCACATGGTTCCGCACCTCGTCTGAGTGTCACTCATGTACATGTCCTTACATGTACCGGTAGGTACCTGGTACGTACCATCGTACGGTACGGTGCGTGCAAAATGGCATGCGCATATCCAAGCAGCAGACAAGCATCGAGGATTTGACGAACGGTGTGCATACTCCATCAGCAACCACGGTACCAGGTCCTTCTTTCGTCCTTGGTGCTGGAGCTGCTGGGCTTGCAACCTGCAGGGGCCGTACCGGTACTCGGCAGCAACCTGTAGACTGGCTAGAGGTAGCCCTTGCCTTAAGGTTGCATACTCGGGTCAGGGTTCAGATGACGAGCATCCAGTTGGCAGCAAATCTTGTACGTGATATCTGTGTAGAACTTGTACCAGGATTTGTTGAAAGTTCAACTTGCTGCTCCAATCAAAAGATGTCAGCTCAATTGGTTTGACACGTGGAATTCTCAACGAGGTCTGATCGTTACGTAAGATTCTACACATCACAAATTTAATAGAATGAATAGCTCGTTAGTACGGACGTCATAGCGCTGGCGGGAGGCGACCAGACGAGAAAGTTGAAGTTGATGTAGTGGCTTTGGAAGCTCGTCAATTGAGAAGAGAAAGAAATCAGACAAGCAAGCAATTTGGAAGTCAAAGTCAAGTTGAGCCCCATCAGCCCAAGAGAAGAATACCCAAGGTGGGCTCAGGTATCGATTTTTTATTAAAAATAAGTCGACAGCTTACAACTTTTGTCTAGCTACCTGTACCCTTCAAGCTACCCCTTCGAGATCTCCACTACTAGTACCTTGCAACTAATTAATATTCTACCATGAAATTGACAACGGCCATTTCTCTGCTCCTTGTGACATCGGCTTCTGCCTTTGCTCCTTCCACCCCAAGTACTTCCAGTACCAGAAGTGTACGTCTACAAGAAATTGTTTTCTCTCAAGAAGATGGATCAAGTTGTTTGGATTGATCATTCTAGAGTTTTGATTTTTATTTTGGTTTTTATTGTGATTGGCTTTGATTTTCTGGAGATACCCTCGCTGTTTTTGGGTTTTGGGTTTTGAGTTTTTTGGCTTGGAGGGGGTTCATGCCATCTAACCAAGCCCACGGTGCTGGACAGATATCTTGACATATGTTTGCCTGAGATGAGATTACTGGCAGACTTTTGGCTTGTTGATGTGTTGCGTTTTCATTTGGGGTTTTCTTTTTGTTCGTTTTTGGTCCACTGATAGCTTGCAAGCAGGCGCTGCTAGCGAGGATAGCTAGCGTCCTAAGAGGATCCATCTTACGTCGGATTGGTTGATTGATTGATCGATTGACTTACCCTCCTTTTTTGCTTTTGCTTTCCAATTTCTTTTTATCAGACCGCCTTGTTCATGGCAGAAGATGGCGAAGTCCAACCTCTCCGCATTGGAACACGTGGTTCTCCACTTGCCATGGCACAGGCATTCGAGACTCGCAAGCGTCTTCAAGAAATTTTCCCTGAACTCACTGAAGATGGCGCCATCGAAATTTGCGTCATGAAGACTCAGGGTGACATGATCTTGGACAAGTCACTCATGGAACTGGGAGGAAAGGGACTTTTCACCAAGGAACTCGACGTCGCGCTTCTCGGAGACGAAGTCGACATCTGCGTGCACTCTATGAAGGATGTACCCACATGGCTCCCAGATGGAACCATCTTGCCATGCAATCTGCCACGCGAAGATACCAATGATGCCTTCATCTCCAGGGATGGATCCATCACCACCATTGAACAGTTGCCAGACAACTCCGTCATTGGAACTGCTTCTCTCAGACGACAGGCACAATTGATGGCCAAAAACCCAACCCTTCAGTGCGTCAACTTCCGTGGAAACGTTCAGACTCGTCTGCGAAAACTTGAAGATGGAGTTGTAGACGCTACACTTCTCGCCATTGCTGGACTCAAGCGAATGGGAATGGATGGATGCGCCACTTCTGTCCTCGATTGGGAGGAAATGCTACCTGCCGTCGCACAAGGTGCCATTGGTATTCAATGCCGATCCGACGACGAACGCTCCCTCAAATACATTGAAGCACTCAACCACCCCGACACCAAGGCATGCGTCGATTGCGAACGAGCTTTCTTGGAAGCACTCGACGGTAACTGCAAGACACCCATCGCCGGACAAGCCAGAATCGTTGACGGGAAGATCGCCTTCCGAGGATTGATTGCCATGCCAGATGGATCCCAAAAGTTCGAAACAACTTCCGAAGGTGAAATCGCCGATGCCCACTCCATCGGAAAGGCTGCAGGGGAAGAACTCAAGGCCCAAGCCGGGGACAAATTCTTTGAAATGATGGTGGAAATGTCACCCCAACAAGTCCTTGGACAAATCACCAAGTAAAGTGAATGGTAACCGACGCGCTACTACAGAAAGTATGTATACCTTCCCGTTGATTTGATTCAGACGCAGATCCTATTCAACCAGCAGCTGCCATGGGCACGCAATTGAGATGGCTGCCAGGAGGCGGCTTCGTGTTGATTGCTGCCAACTACTCTTGCTAGGAGATATAAGTTTAATAACTACAGTTCATGATAGCAGTACCTGCTTGCATGCTATGGTAGCGCCATTATCGCTGCTAAAACAGCAGCATTCGTCAAAAGGTGTGCAATGGTGTCGGAGTATGAAGCCCTCCTTGAAAATACAATTCAATATACAGCAACTCGGCCACGTTTGCTCGTTGGCCGTTGGATCACAAGTCTACGCTGGAGATCGACGGAACAGAGTCCGGTTGGAGGCGGTCGACAACCCTGGATTTGGACTTGACGCTGCCCTGACAAGCATTGGCTTTGGCAGCTGCCTAAAAAAACCTTGAATCTTCTGTCGTTTTGCCCGACACCTTGACAGTGTGCTTGTTGAAGACAACTTGTTCCTTTCCGTTGCCGCTGTCGCTTGAAGAGAAGTCTTCCTTGGGTGGAGAATGGCTCTTCCGTCCATTGCATCTTCTGATTTGCCAGAACGAATTCCAGGACCTCCGGTACCATGACGGCAGTATCTTTGGCCACATCGCGGAAACGATCGATCACACCACGCCGGGTATGGATGCTACCAGGTACTTGCTAAGCCCATTCTTTTTCGAGTACGCTCCATGATGCTAGCTAGCTAGGGTAGCATTCTTCACTTTCAAATACGCCCAGTCAGGCAATTCAGCCAGTTCTTCCTTTGTACATTCCACCTTTGGCCTGTGAATCCCGATCCGATTTGAGCCAAATCTCGCCATTTTGCCTTGCTATCGTTAAGTCAGCGGGAGCTGGGATACCTCCGCAGAAAGATAGATAGAAGAAGGAGGATTATGTTCGGATTGCACTCATCTTTCAAGCTAGCCCTGGCGACAACACCCGACTACGTCGTGTGTTGCCGCCCGGTATCATTCATTCCCTCATTGCAACCTTCTTTTTATTAAGCTAGCCCTGGCGACAACACCCGACTGCGTCGTGTGTTGCCGCCCGCTACTCTATAATTTACCAACTGCCATTCCCTTATTGTAACTCTAACCTTTACAGCTCCTGCTGGCTTATTGTGCTGTTGTGATGATTGCACTAACCTTAAATATTAATGATTTATTCCTACCCCTAACTTGTATTGAACCATCAATGTTCAGTTTTGTTGGCTTATGACTATCTCTATCCTTATACTTTGGCTTCACCGGAATAGGAAATAGGAAATAGGATATAGGAAATAGGAAATAGGAAATAGCATTAAAGGGGTTAAAAACTCAGGCAGTTTACCTGCCGAGGTAAAAGGGTGGCATCTTTAGAAGTCTAACTCAGATTATCCCAAATTATGGCATCATCTGCAGCCTGCAAGGCTACACATGCACATGCTCATATTTCGCTATCCCGTGAAAATGGTGGAAAAAGGCCATTTTTGCATTGTCGGGTACGCTTGGAAGGCCTAAGAAACACTCTTCGACTTGGTCTAAGAACCCCTCTTGAACAATGGAGCGGCTGTTTCTTGCTGGTTGGGCCCCTAAAGTGCCACGAGGTTGAATCTGGATATATCGACTCGTGAATTGAGGTTTTGGTCACGGCTGTCGAACCCTGATGATTGTATCAACTTCCTCTTCATGTTCCCAAGGTTTGAGGGGCCGGTTCGTTTTGAGCAAAATCTGACCATTTTGCCTTGCTATTGCACTACGCTAAAAGCTAGTGTAAAGATCTTTCGAGTGTTTTGAGTTTGAGAGAATGAAAGCTATGAGAGACATTAGAAAGCTATGAAAACTAACCCATGAGAGAGATCGTTGTGAAGCTCATTGAAGTTGGTCTCCCGAGGGAGGACTCGAAGTGTGATATCGTACGTTATGGTAATAACTCTACGTACTCCACGGTCCAATTCCGGAATACGTGGAAACTTCAGCTAATAGCTGTCTAGTAGCGTGGAAGCTTTCCACGCAGGCTAAATATCTAGAGCGATGTTTCATCGACAACCTAGAATGACTAGCAGTCATGAGAACCCTGTCTCAATAACTATTCGCGAGGGACTACGTCACGAGTCGAACTCATGAGAACCCTGTCTCAATGACTATTCGCGAGGGACTACGTCACGAGTCAAACTCAAACCCTATCTAGGATCGAGTCGCGAATAAGGCTAAGAGCCGTGTATTGCATTCGCCCCCTGACAAGGGTCACAGAAGGTACGACACCAATCGGACAAGGAGAACATATGAATTAAAGTGCGGGGCACTCTCCGGAGATTGGATGTAGACATGTGCGTCGCACGATGGCAATTCTACAAGGGGATCAGACCTTGTATGGGTGTAAATACCTTATGTTCCAAGTCTGGTAAACTGTGCCGCCATTAGCGGTAGCATGTCGGAGCCGTACAGTGCCATTGTCATTGACTCTGTCCACAGCCCAGATAAACCTTGCAGCGCTTACGCCAAACAAAAAACATTCCTATTGAGTCAAGATGATGACAGATGCCCCAGGGATGCTATCCTAGAAGACCTTGGCTCTGAGATGGATGACTGGATTGCTGAAGGCGATCGACTGGTGATGTGTGGTGACTGGAACGAAGATGTTACCAATGATAGCATTGTCTCATTCTTTGACGATAGAGGCATATCAAACATTGTCTTCTCCATTCATGAATCCACCAATGCCCCTGAAACATGCAGAAGCAACCAATCCAACGTCTCGGTTGATGGCATCTTTACCACCCCTGGAATCCTTGCAAGTAAAGCTGACTATCTTTCCTACAATGAAGCCCCTGCTGACCACAGAGCTCTATGGGTTGACATCAAGATACATCATCTCCTTGGTCACACCCCACCCAAAATCTGGAAACCCCAATGCAGAAGACTCCAGCTTAGAGACCCACACTGTGTTAAGCAATACAACAAGATTCTGAAATCCCTCCTCCTCCAACACAACCTTCCAGGCAGACAGTATGCCCTTGAATCCTCAATCATTGGGGACCTTGTGACTGCAGCCCAACTGGAAGAGGCCAATGCGATTGACAAGCTGGTTACCAAATGCCAACTCAGAGCTGAGAAGAAATGCAGAAAGCTCAAGACAGGGGCCATTCAGTTCTCTATGGCAACTGCTCTCCCCAGAAGAAGGATCAAATTTTGGAGGATCGCCGTCAACCGAAGGCTTGGAAAAGGCAAAGTCAAATCCAGGTATTGGGCTCGAGTCAAATAAAGAGCTAACGTCACAACACCTGTCAAAACATTGACGCTGGAAGACATGAGGAATAAAAAGGGGAGAAAAGGTTACCGAATAAGTAACCGAACATCGCATCGATAGACAAGGTGCGGCAAGAAAACAGGGTGGCATTGGATGTAAAACAGCAGCTCGGGAGGCAACCAAACAATGGCGGAAGAGGTAACAGTCGCCATGGTAGCCATGCCAAAAGAGAAGGAATGAGGGGGAAAAGCAAGGCAAAGGACCCCCGGGATTTGGGAGCGTAGCATGCCAAATGGCAGCCTTTGGCTCTAGTTTGGGAACCTTGGCCACCTACAAGCCCAAGCTAGGCTTCACCCCCGACGGCGCCTTCTTCTTCTTCTTCTTGGTGTTGGTTGCTAGTAACACTCTAGCTTAGTAAAGGTAAAATATTGTTTTACTGTTAAGCTATTTCCAAGAAGTGATCTTTCTCCATGTTTTCTGGGATTGATTCAACTTCAAAGGATATAGTGAAGGGGTGACCATATAGATCAGTTAAACTCCCCATGTATGTAACTAGAGAATAGATATAGATATCCCCTATCAACTAGATTGGGATAACGACTAATTTGTATTGAGGTGTCTGTAATACACCTCCAACACACTCCTGCAGGTTCCATAAAGGATACCTGGAACGAATAATTAATGTAATGATGGTTGCTCCATAAGGAACGTTGTTGGTCGAGGAGACCACTTGCTAGGTTGCTCGGCATTCCGCTTGGTGGCGAGAAGCTTGTCATCCATAGCAGTGTTGACAAATCTGTCACAGTCAATGTGACATGTGGACAGTGTCGTCATAAAAGCACTGTGGCTACCACTTCTGTGAGTGTTGCCATCCTGTATGACTTGCTGTGGCGGTTGGTGCCGTCACTTGATGTGCTGTATTCGAAACTGGGAATTCCGATCACTTGTTGAACCGTGGACTGGGAAGTTCCGGTCCTTGGTATTTCTGTAGCTGGAAACTAGGAAGTTCCGGCTGCATTCTCGTAGACTCAAACTGTGCTCTTGACTGGCGATGTAGACTGAACTGGACATCGATATGCCATGGTCTCAATCGTCAATGATGTGTGGAAACATCAATCATTCAGGCTTGATACTGGATTTGGAAATCAGGTGAGCATGAGTCTGTGCAATAGCTTGGTAGCTATCTGGAGTCAGCTTGTTGTCCATTGAATGGAACGTGAGCTGTCTCTTCTTGTGGATGTCCAAGAAGGTTTGGATGTCCTGCTGTTGTCTTTCAGAGGAATGGAATCCTCTTCTTCCCAGCTGGGAAGCTTCTTCCTTCATCACGGCCTCCTCTTCTTTGGAATCAAATGGCTGTGACTTGTTGTACATGAATGTTGCTTGCTTGATGTGGACCTTGGTTTGCACCTCTTGTAGATGGGTGCTGGCAACTTGTGGCGTTCCGTCGAACTGTTGTTTGCTTAGAGCTGGTTCCATGGTGGAACTGTTCCTGTGGGAACTGTGGGAATCCTCTGCAGAAGATATCCCGTAGCACTGGTGTGTGGCTACCCTTGCTTGAGTAAGCTTGCTCTGCCTAGATAGGCTTCTGCGGTCGCACTTGCAATCTCATGATGGATCTTCTGAGTCGATCTCGAGAGTCAAACTGAATCGATCTTGTGGTCGCTGCTTGTGATTCGATCGCTTCGTGTCATTCGATCTGGCATGATCGTTTCTTGT